TAGTGCCCATGATGCATATGCATTCCGCTCCACCCATGTTTACCAGAATCATCAAACACTTCTGGGCAATAACCATTGGATTTGGGCTGATAGTGCTTATCCCCTAGAGCCATGGTGTATCCCCCCATTCAAGAAGCCTATTAATGGGGCCTTGACCTCTGACCAGAAGGCATTTAACACTGTCCTTTCCAAGGTATGTATTTTATTTTATTTTATTTTATTTTATTTTATTTTGCCTGGTTCGTATTCACATTTCTTTAGGTTCGTGTGAGGGTAGAGCATACATTTGCTGCCCTTAAGGGCCGTTTCCAGTCTCTCAGAGAGCTCCGACACCCACTGCAGAATGAAGAGCAACTCAAATACCACTCCTATTGGATCATGTGCTGCCTTATTCTGCACAATATGATCATTCGGTTTGAAGAACAACATGGCAATGGCACTGAGAATTGGGCCATTGGGGAGGGGTTAGATCTTATGCCACCTGCAGAGCAAGAAGACCTGGACAATGATGAGGTGGGAGATACCTCATATGCAGGCACCCCTGGCCAAGAAGCTCGTGCAAAGTTGATGAGGTACTTATTGGGGTAGTGGCTTACAGGGAACAGGATGAGGACAACAAGACTAGTGAATTGGTGACATAGGAGGCATGTACAAACATATAGGAAGGCATGTAAACATATGTGACATACTACCATAAGTGTCTGAGATGATGCAAGACGAGAAACGGAACACACAAAATGCTACAAGATCAGATACAACAAGGGAAATACATGCAATGATTAATCAGACACCCCCCCCTTCAATTTCAGAAGCTCGATCTCGAGCTGAAGGGCAGCCTTCTTCTCCGCATGGACCTTGGCTTGAGCTTCGAGAAGTTGAAGCTCGAGCGACTTCGCTTCTTGCGCACGTTGGTGGACGACGGCAGCCTCGCTACGGTCGATCTCGGCTTGCTCGCGTTGAAAATCGAGCTCCAGCTGCTGACGGTGCGAGTTGACCTTCGCGATTTTATATTCTGACTGGGCTGCCTTCGCGGTGTAGATATAATTGATCCCTTCAGCGAGGGACTTGACTTGGCCCTGAACATCAGATTGGACTTGAGTGGAAAGGGATGACTGGCCAGCCTTGTGCGAGCCGCCCTGTCGGCGTGCAGACGAAGTTACTGACCGGTGTGATGAGGACCCGCGTCCAGATGATGATGCTGAAGATGATGCAACAGACGGAGGCGACTGGGGTGAACGGATGGACCCACGGTTGATGGCGCGATCTGCGTGGGACTTGAAGGTCCCACGAGAGGTGGGTGGGGGTGTAGGGGGTGGTGAGGGGGATGAGAAGGGGCGCTTGGCAGAGGCACGGGCAGGCTGCTCCCCCTGTGGCTGCTCGTCCTGTGACTGCTCGTCCATCACGTAGTCGAAGTCGCTATTGGCAGGGGAGGCGTTAACGGCGGGGGGGAGTGTTAATGGCAGCGGGGGGGGCATTGACGGCGGGGGGAGCGTTGACGGCGGGAGGGGCATTTATGGTGGGGGGAGCGTTAACGGCAGGGGCAGTATTTACACCGGGAGGAGCATCGACGGCGGGGGGAGCATTGACGGCGGGGGGAGCGTTGACGGCGGGAGGGGCATTTACAGCGGGGGAAGGGTGAGCAGCTGGGGGGTTGGGGCCGAGGGAATTGTCGTTGAAGTCGACCTCCATTGACTCATCAATGGAGTCGATGTGATCAGAAGGGGGGAGGGCTTTGGCTTTGCCCTTGCGCTTTGAGGTAAGTGACATCATGTCAGCTGCGCGATCGATTCCCGGAGCGGACGAGAACGTCTTCGGGGCGAATGACGGGTTGTTCTTCCAAAGCTCGTGGAGCGCTTCGTACCACGGGAATTCCGAGATGACTTGTTCTATGATTTGAAGATCAGTTACTAAGTGAAATCAGATTGAAAAATAAAACGTACGGAGTAGATTATTTTCAGCGTCATGCTGAAGCGGGTCAACACCCGCGCCAGTCTGGTTAAAACGACCATTGTACTTCTTGTATTTGTTCTTGAGGCTAAAAATTAGCGTTAGCGAAGGCATATGAAGAGGGGTAAAGGGCGCACTAATTCAAACGATTGCCCACGGCCTGCGTGAACTTGCCCGGCTCGTCAACATATAAGTCTTGATACTCTTCATCCTTCTCAAATACACAACGGGCGATCACCGCAGAGATCTTGCTCTTGTCACTCCCAGACGGGGGAGGTTCGTTATCCGGCTTCTTTCCTCCTTCGTTGAACAAAACACGACAGTCGCCAGGATGGGTGGTGAGGAATTGCACGAGGGTATTAGTGCGGTTGCTGTTGTTGTCCCATCGGATCTTGATGCCAGAGGATGTAGCCACTACAGCATCACCGGGGACATTGTCAGATGTGGTGAGATCAGATGCACCAGCAGTAGAGGCAGTGGCAGTGGCTTGCCCTCGTCCCCTGGTGCCGCGAGTTGAAGTACCCTTGCCCCTAGAACGGGGGGGTCTTTGGGTAGTCATTGGTGGTCGGTGACTAGTCTTGAGGCGTGCGTTGAGCCGTTCTGAACGGCGTACTTGCGGACGGTCTGCAGGCATACCTGCGCGTGTAGCATGAAGTTTGATTTCAGACTCAGCTTGCGCCTGCCGACATTCCGTGAGGTTCTGAAAAGTTTACCCACGTGTTTCATAGCTTTCAAAACTTTCAAAACCTTACTCTGAACGCCATTATTATTGAGTAGGGTGCAGCAGGGTGCGGCACAGATGCGGCAATTTCCTAAGGCCCCCAAAACATTATTTTTAAAGTCCGATAGTGACATGGCTTTAGACATATACATCGTTGTCGAATTCTCGATGAGGCGGACGTCCTGAACATTCAGCCACATCGAATGCATGACATGTTCTTTCAATAAATAAAAATTCTCCGCCTCCTAAAAGTCTTTGAAGCGACTTGTTTCTTCCAACCTGCAAATATTGCTGACACCCATTCATGATGTAGATGGCGAATGCCCGAAGAAGGTCAAATTCTGCTGGTACTTGCCACTGGCCAGGGGTAAGTCTTGCGTGCATGCATCACTCAAGATGTCACCGGTACTGAATGTTTGCGGCGCCCGCCCAATCTGAGCGCTTGAAGCCAACACAACAGCAAAAATCGTCTTCAAGGGAGGCTGTCCGGTCAAGGGCATGATCAAACAAAGTGGTACATGGCACCATTTCTCTAACCACTTGACTCTCGTTGCACCTTACTTCGCTCACATAGATCCTTAACATTATCTACTTCAAACAATGAGTGTACACGATCAACCGAGGGATTCTATGCCGATTCTTCCTCCGGAAACCTGCTCACCCAGTGAAGCGATCGCTTATAAAAGTTAGGTATGTCGCCGGCGATGGCCACTTTTCATGGGGTTCATTTCACTCACTTTGATACATCCTTCGTCTAGGGCAGACGCCATGACAAAATCAGTCGGTTTCTAGGGAAGGTTAAGAATGCGACTACAAAAATTTCTGTGAGTCGATAATGATCCTGAGTTTCTTGGAGTAAGGCTCATGTGATCATACAAAAGCACTGCTACCACGACCCTGTTCTCCCGAACGTCAATCGCGAAGATGCCTCATCGTTCCCAAATATCGAGGTGGGTCACCCTTCAGTTTTTGCTCTCTCTCTAACTTCCGGTAGTCGTGCTCACGCACTCGCAATTCCAGGGTCATTCCAGACACGAAAATGCCTCGTCCGCTGCAATGGACGTTCAGGGAATTATGCAAGTCTTTGGTGGCATGATCTTGCACAGCACACTGCATCTCTATGTATCAGCATTACCGTTCTCTCCCCTCAACTCTACGATATCTCACAAATGCACTGCCAAATTTCCGAAAACCCTCCATCTGGCATCTGGACGTGACATGAACTGGACAGCTGTTCTGACTGTGATCAGCGGGCACACTGGTGCTGTTAATTCAGTCTCATTCTCGCCGGATGGGATCCGCGTCGGCAGCTGGTTCTAGGGATGGTACTGTCTGGGGATGCAGCGACAGGGCAGTTGGTGAGCCCTTGGAAGGGCACACTGATCTGGTTAGGTCAGTCTCATTCTCGACGAACGGAACTCGTATCGTAGCTGGTTCGGACGATAAAACTGTCCGGCTGTGGGATCCAGCAACGGGGCAGTCAGTGGACGAACCCTTATCGAGGCGCACTGATGGGATTATCCCAGTCTCCTTCTCGCCGAACGGAACATGCATCGTGTCTTGTTCTTGGGATGATACTGTCCGGCTGTGGGGGCAAGTTGGTGAGCCCTTGCAGGGGCACACTGCCTACGTTAACTCAGTCTCGTTTTCTCCGGATGGAACTCGCATTGCGACTGGTTCTAGGGATGACACTTTCCGGGTGTGGGACACAACCACAGGGCAGCCAGTTGGCGAGCCCTTGTAGGGGCACACTAAGGAGGTTCACTCAGTCTCGTCCTCTCCAGATGGGACTTTCATCGTGTCTGGTTCTTCGGATAAGACTGTCCAGCTGTGGGATGCAGCGACGATCAGTGAGCCACTTAGAAGGTCACACTGATTAGGTTACGTCAGTGTTATTCTCGACGAATGGAGCTAGTATCATGACCCGTCAGTCCCTGAGGGGGCACACTTATGGTATCGAGTCAGTCTCTTTTTCTCGAGACGGGACTCCCATCATTTCTTGTTTATGGGATAGGACTGTCAGGGTCTGGTATGCAGCGATTTGGAAGTCATTACAGGACCATGCCAAAGAAGACTGTCCAGCATCCTTCTCGCACGCCAGTTGCATCCCACATCTAACAGTGGAGTGGTCATCGAACGACGACTTCATTTCCCTCATCAAATACAACGCATGCAGTGTGTAACACTGCTGAGCTACTCGCGGGCACACCTCACAATGACTGCCGGTCGACTTCGTTTTTGCATCAATTTAATACTTGTAGATCATTGCGATGATCTTGTTTCAGAAATTGACTTGGAGGAGCGTCAGAGTCGCTTAGATCGAGTGCGATATTGAGTGTACATCTGTTGTCTATCATATGCGTAGAATGAAGTCTGAGACAGTTTGGATGAATGACGTGACAGGATTTTAAAAGTAGTACGTAACGATCATCAGACAATGAATGAAGTGATCAGAGAATATGGTTGTACAAGGAATGGAGAGAAGAGTGCATCTAAGCGCGGACTATCCTTTCTACCGAATCTAGAGCCCCTGGGCGCCATCACTCTTCGCTCTTTGGTTCCACAAACATGCCAGCTCCAAAATACCTTGCCTCGCCACCGATCTGTGCCTCATTACCAAGGTGCACCCCGTTTGGCAGCGAAAGCTGCAGAATCGCAGACGCCCGTGGAAGATAAAACGAAGCGTTCTTCACAACACCATATTCCAACACCTGCCCTTCAGCATGAGAAAACTCCTCTTCATCTTCCTCTGACGACTTATACTTGTGCGCAAAAAATCGCTCCTGGAAGTCACAATCGCTGCCATCATCAATAGCGCGGATAAGAACAGGATGGAGGACGACGTTGAAATGATTCTCGAGAGCGTCGAAAAGCGCCGAGTCACTTCCCTTGAGGTATTTCTTCTTGACGCTTGCCTTGCGGTAGAGGTGGGAAAGCGGAAAAGCGACGACAGTAGTGCCTTCTTTGTGCAACTCTTTGATTTCATCAACGACCGCCTGCACCAACTTCTGGTCCAAGTTTGGGTAAGTGTCGATGCAGGATTCCACATGTTGGTGACGGTGAGCAGCTTCTTTCAAGGGAGTGTAGCTAGGCGGGGACACCCAATTTTGAGGCGGTACCTCGGCGACTTCAACGTCATACTGGAGCACCAACCGTGTGCCCTTGGTCACGGGCATGACTTTGTGCTCTATGTCCGTATAGAATGCAACTATGGCTGCCCGGAGCCCGTCGCCGGACTTGGTTGTATACTTAGTTGGATGCATGTCGACACTTATCTCAACGCCTTGATGCCTCAATATAAGCTCTCCTCCCTCCCATTCCGTGTTGAGTGCGACGAGCACCGTTCCATGATGAGCATCGCTATGTGTTGAATCACGATGCCAGTCAAAGTGGCCTCCTTCGCCATATATAGCGAGCTTGTAGAACTTGAGAACGACTTTCTTGCCTACGAACATGCTTTTCCGGAGTTCCTCCTGGATATTGATCACGAAATCTTGATATCGAGATTGCTTATGCCCTTTCAAAACGAAGGCGAGCTCATCGGATTTGAGCTCTGTTCCATGCCTGTAAGTGGGATCCATGACTGTTTCCGCTCCCCTGCCGAATGGCGAAGGGGTTGCATGCTTTTGCAATACTGCAACGTCAGGTTTGATCCATGTCCCTGCGTCCTCTCCTTTGACGAGCAGATTGAATGTAGCTGACTTGACGCGACTTGTGAAGGACACGAACGGACTGCCGGCAAGGTTGTCGAGTGCATACGTGAGCTTAGTCTCTCTCTTCACTTTATAGGCTGCATTAGAGTTGGAAAAAGCATCGAGATATCCGCCGATGCGCTCGAAGTAGGACAGCTCGTGCTCGAACTCTGAGTCTGAATTGGAGGAAACTGATGGTGAGTCCATTTTCACTGATGTGCTTATCGATGGAAGATTTGAGTTAGAGGGGCTTCTTGTACCGACGAGTGGCTGAGGTTGAAATCGCACGCGAGCGTCCGATCGAGGCCAGAGTGTTCACAATGGCATACTAACAGTCTGGTTATTACATAAAGTAAGCAAGAACCATCTTCGTAAGTGAACCACAAGGGCGAACGAGAGAAGCAACCTTCTCCGTCCTGGGTACATTGACACGGTAGTGCTCTCTGTTGCCACCCAGTTCGAACGCCTGTGACTCGGGGGCTGTTGGCTACGCGGTATGATGTTACATGCTTCTTTTGCCATCGTTGACGGCGTGGCTGGCGTGAATTGGACAGGTTTGTGTCGCGTCGAGAGCCGCTCGCGGGCAAATGCCGGAACTCCCCCGTGGTCTTTAAGTTTCAATAAGTTACCCCAGCTTTCGAACTGACCCCTCTCCAGATGCGGTGACATGCAGACAGTTCCTAATCGGTGGTGGCCCATCGAAAGGAACTCGCCCCTTCTCATCACGGTGAGCATGGCATCGGCTGGTCGAGGAACAAGGAACAAGCCTTCTGAGCGCCTACGATTAGGTAATTGCAGACACTTGACTGAACGTTGTGACTGCACGACGTTTTAGCTTTTGGTGCCTTCCATTTGGTGCCTTCTATTGATATTATTGGTACACGAAACATTGACCTGCAGAGCAGATAACGGCAGATTGTGTAGAGTACCATGGTGGATAATAAGTACTAGGCTTTGCCACAACAATACGGGAGCGCTACGGTATTCAACTTGCTCCAAGAACCTTGTCAGATACGTTTCCGTGGGGAAGGGAGCGAAGGAGAGAAGACGGGTTGATCGATTACAAGCGGTTTGTTTAAGTACATGATCCTCGAACGTCCTAACAATGGTATCATTGATTTATATTGGAATGCAACGGTGAAAACAATAGCAGTGGATATGCAGACCTACAGGTCAAGTGATTACTCGATGTCAGTAATTGCGCGCTAATAAATATCATGCTCGATGAGAATAAACAAGAAAAACACACATCAGTCTAGGCTACACAAAATCATTCAGTTGTTCCAGTGTTCCAATACGAAAGCGAAGGGTATCTAGGAGGTCCTTCTGGACCCACCCGCATTTGCAGCCGTGTTCGCGCCCGTCCGATGATCCATGAACGACTCGGTACTCGACAAATACGAAGGGTCATTGTACACGCCCGGGTCATAGTGCGCAAACGACTGGCGTGAGCCATCCGACGCATTTGATCGTTGTTTGTGGGACGAACGCGAAGACTCGCCGCCGCCTCCGCCTGGCTGCAGAGACCGCGGGCGGGCGCCAGGCGTCATTCCTGCCATCTGGCTTAGACTCTGTCGGCGTCCATGCGTAGAGGAACGGTCCCCACGTTCTGCGGAGCCGTTTGGCGTCGGTTCCCTGGAAATAGGCGGTGCGGGGTAGGAAAAACCAGAAGGGACTGGGGAGGACACGTAAGACTGAGGTGTCTTTGAGCGCCTGCCGTCAGGCTGGGCAGGTGCGTAAAGCGAACTGCGTCGCGAGGGCGCTTCCCTCCCATTCATATTCGGAATGACAGGGCCCCCTGGAGGCGGTGCGCCGCTGTTGCCGGCGTAACCGGTTGGCAGCTGTCCTATGTCATAGAAAGACCCTACCAACGAGCCGGGCGCTGAAACAGGAGTGTTAGGGACTGTAGGTACAAGTGGGGTACGTTGCGAAACAGGGACAGGGACAGGGAGGGGGTGATTAGCATGATCCGGACTGAGTAGCCCCAATACGGCCGCACGCCCTGATGGTGCGTCAGAGGGAGGACGAGACTGTCAAGGCTTAGCTTTAACTTTTGTCTCGGACAAGGTAATGCACTTACTGGGGGTTCAACGGTTATTTCAGGGACAGAGCTGTCTGATGACACCACTCTTCGGTGTTCATATCCGGCCGACTCTCGTTGACTTGGAGTGGATACTGTCCTTGAATGTCGGGAATGCCGAGGCAGAGGGGCATCAACGTTATCCCAGTTTGGAGGAGAGAGTGGATTGGGCGTTGTCACGTTCGTTGGGCGAGGACGGGGGGGACCTTGAGAGCTTTGCGTGCGAGTCTGTGGCCTTCATCAACTCAAAGCGCACTCCACGTAGGATGAAAGCAAACCTTGGCTGCCCCATGTCGACGCCATTCCTCAGGCTCGGATGGGTTAGACCATCTCAGTTCGTCAGCAAGCCTCTGCTTTGAGTGCCTGGTAGCTTCACTGTCGTTGTCTCTTTCGCTGCGATAGTGATGGTGTCCCGCGTCAGATCCAGTAACAGTTTCATAGTCGGCTGTGGCGCTTGCATCTTCATGGATGACACTCAGACCGTTGCGCTCTCGACGTTTGTCACGGCTCGTCATGTTGGGCAGGCCGATAATCTCGAGCGCCGATATGGTGGAGGATTGAGACATGGACATCTTCGTTGACGTTTGTGACTCCGGAGAGGCACGACGAGGGGGATAGTCGAATGTTCTGACTGAATCTGAGGACGGCCCAGCGACTGGTTGTGACGGTGATGGTGAAGGAATGCGGTTGAGTTCATGCGGCGGAGGGAGAGGGATACGCTGGTCCTGACCCAGGGTTGGTATGTAGCCGTCTGGTGGGACTTGGAACTCTGAGTGCTGGACACTAGGAGCAGAATTTTGCAATGAGATTGGTCTGGTTGGGGGTGACCGAGCTGACGAGCGATCTGACATTGGCCAAGGTTGGAGCTCCGGACGCGAACGAGAAGATTGAGTGGTAACAGAGGGATTCGTGCTTGTTGTCCTGGTCCGCGGGTGTTCAACCATGACAGGCATGACTATGGGGTCTGGAGCGCGCGGGACACTCCTTCGACTGGCGGAATCAGATTCGGAATCATGACGGGAACGAGAGCCATGACGACCACCAAGTGACGTTGAGATAGGTGATGAGACACGGAGGACTTCTGGTGCGGTTCGACTCTCTGGCATGGATGCAGGCTGAGGAGGCATAACCACGGAAGCTGCGTCTTCTCCTTCCCGCGCGTCGAGCAGCCTGTCGAGGGTAGCGGCAGCGGCGTCTCGCATTTGTGACCGGCCTTCATCAAGACCACCTACGCGCCCTTCTCTGTACCCCATATTACGACCGCGACGAATGCCTTCTTCATACCCAAGTCTGCGACCCTCTTCCCTGGCAAGGTCAATCAAGCGTTCTTCATTCAATCTCCGTGCCTTTGAGCGCGCTTCAGCAGCCGCGGCCTCTGCATCATCCCTCTGGGCCTCAATGACTCCGAGTACATCTTGGGCTCTGAGAATTTCTCTCTGCGCATTATCGAGTTGCAGCTTGTACAGCCTCAGTTCCTCTTGTGCGCGAGCAGCCTCCTGCTGCGCAGCAACGCGAGCCTCGTTGATAGACCTGGTCCGTTCCAACGTGTCTGCTAGTTGTACTTCTGCTTCTTCCGCACGACGGCTTTCAGCGTCCAGCCTGTCTAATGCGGTATAAAGCACTTTGCGAGTCTGTTTTGCCTCATACTCCTCGTTAACCAGGAGTCGTAAGAGGTCACGAGCACTCGCAGTTGCGTGAATGCGTTCACGCTCGTGACGGAATTTGTCGTTGGGCGCGCCGTTGACACGGCGTGGCCTGCTTAGCTCCGCGTTTTCGTATGGAGGAGATAGCAGCGCGGTACGAGGTGAAAGGGATGCTAGATCGGATTCAGGGGTATCGGATCTGCATTGCGCTCAGTACTTTGCTCTGTTACAAACGGGAAACCAGCTTACAGCTGTGTCCCAGCTTGGAAAGGCCAAGGTTGTGTCATGACTAAATGACTCGGTCAGAAACGGTCACGGTGGAATGAAAGAAAAACCATACCAATATATCTAGGTATACAATTGAGCAAACGAAAGAAATAAAGAGATAATTGATTGAATATTTAACGGCTGTGGTAAGAATGAGCGGGCAGCTAGAGCACATTGAGGCCTGTGAAGCTGCCTGTGAGCTGTTGACGTGCTAGATCTACAAGGCGCTCGATATGTCCTTCCAGGACCCGACTGTCACACTTTGCCATATACGGCCTTGCTTACGTGTGCGTGTCACACTGTATATCTATTCCCGCCACCTGAACCTTAAATTGTTCGTATCATCCTCAAGACCCAAAACATCCCACCCGCCCTCAAAAGCCATCTTCAAGCATGAGCTCGTATGTTTTTCAGTATACTGATCATTGATTCCATCGTATCTAACTATCAAATAGCAAGCTATCAGTGTCAAGCGTGCGGGGCTCCGTCAAAGACCTTCTTGCTGACGCCAATGGCGAGAAAAGACGTAACTTTGTGGAAACCATCGAACTTCAGATTGGCCTCAAAAACTACGATACTCAAAAGGACAAGCGTTTCTCTGGTACCGTCAAGTACGTACGGTTCTCCGAGCTTGACAGCTCGTGATTGATCATATATCAGGTTGCCTAATGTCCCTCGTCCGCGCATGTCCATCTGCATTCTTGCTGATGCAGCGGACATTGATCGCGCCAAGCAAATCGAACTTGAGTACAAGTCCGTCGATGATTTAAAAAAGTGAGCAAGGCTAAGGCTCCACCCTGTTCTGATATCATTTTCTGATTTAATTTCGCCAGACTCAACAAGAACAAGAAACTGGTCAAGAAACTCGCCAAGAAGTACGATGCATTCTTGGCCTCTGAAGCCTTGATCAAGCAGATCCCGCGTCTACTTGGACCCGGTCTCTCTAAAGGTGAAATCAATTGGTGTTCATCCGGGGATATCTCATGCCTTAAACTTCACCCAGCTGGGAAGTTCCCTACTCCTATCTCTCACAATGAGGATCTAGCGAACAAACTCAATGAAGTCCGATCGACGATTAAGTTTCAGCTCAAGAAGGTCCTTTGCTTGGGCGTTGCCGTTGGACATGTCCAAATGACTGATGACCAGGTCCTTGCCAACGTTATGATGAGTATGTATCTTACTGTCACACGATCACAAGCTGCCTCTCACGCTGTCGTAGGTATTAACTTCCTGGTTTCCCTTCTCAAGAAGAACTGGCAAAATGTCCAATCGTTGCATATCAAGAGCACGATGGGCAAACCCATTCGTCTATTCTAAGTTAGCATGGGATGTCAGGGCTGAGAGCCAATGAAGTGGTATCGTAATGCAAAATAAGAAGCCCCGCGCGCTTTTACCAACGGCTTTAAAGGTGGGGAAGCCGATTGGGAGCTGATACGATGCCACGATCTTGAGCTTTCTCCCTCTTCCTTGATTTCAACCTTGCGTAGACACGGCCTTCGTAGAATTCACATGTACCTTGCGCTACTACTACTATCATGATATTATCAAAATGATATACGCAAAGCTACGTATGATGCCAAATGTTGTGGTTGCGAGGGCATTATCGTGGCTTTTTCTAACGTCACGATGAAAGCATTCAATATAGTCGACCATAGCTGTGCTTGCCGTCAGGCGAATTTTTTTTTGCTCGAGAAAAAGATTACGCCATTCCATAATTCGGGAATACTTTGAGTCACTGCCCCAACTTCACATTCCCCGGGCCATCATGATGGCCAAGAGACTCTATTGCCCTGAAGATCAAAGGCATAGCCTTGCAATGCTGAGTCGATCGTGCGCCTCCCGCCCTTCCCAACTACTGGCTCCATATGTAATTGAATTCAGTTTCCGTGGAAGAATATTCAACGAACTTTAGCGCCTCGGGCAATTCCTGACTTTGCTCCCAAATGGGTATTTCACTCGAAACCTTCTCCCATCGTTGCGCGACGTCAACGAAAGTTTAGATGATAATCACCATATATGGGGTATGAAGGGAATTTTTTCATGTACGTCTTCGCGGTGAACTGCCAGAAGCAAAGTTCTTATCTGTCAGAAGTTTGGTTTGGGGCTAACGCGGTCTTTTCGAAGCGTCGTGTCCTCAATCAGATAAGAAACTACGGCGACACTGTGAAATATGTTTGTCCGGAGTTTTGCCAGCGGACTGCTGGCTCAGTGTCATTGGATTTGGTGAGCGCAACTTGTTGTGCTGCGGTGGGTGCTGTGGAATCTGTTACTTATCATGGACATTACCTTCGGTCAAGCATTGCCAAGGAATCCACGTCAAGCTATCAAATGATATATCCATCCATCAAGATAGTGAAGCCATGAAACAGTTCAAGTTAATATGTTCCAAGACTTTGTCTCTGACGGAGCACTCCAATGCTTTTTTCTCAAGCCACGGCTTATTATGATAGCCATATTGACTGTCTGCTGCCGCAGACGTCGCTGTCAAGAGAAGTAACCGTCGTTTTTGTATTTTCGGCATGTACGACACCGCCATATTTTTTTTCTGGATGACAAGTTTCTGACACCAGGTCGTTTTGGGGCAGACGTTTGATCGCTATAAGGAATGAGGTATGTATGTGACGTTCTGTTATGAGAGACTTTTTTTGTGTCGTTCGTCGACCAGGGCCCGCAACGGCTCCGCTCTACAACGTCGGAAATGGTCCCGTAAGGCCCTGGATCGGTCCCTTGAACGCCGTCTATCATTTCATCGTTCAATGTGCCACTCCGCATCAGGGAGTTGAGCTAACCATCCTTTCATTTTGTCTTTACTTAGTGCACTGCAAGGCGATGCAACATCTTCGGCTGGGCCCCTGTCATGCCATCGTTGAGAGCGCGCCATCATAATTTGTCTCATCGTGGGTATAGAACATGTACATAACCGTTGTTCCAGATTCCAAAAGGCTGCGACGTGATTGAGGACAGGTCGGGGGTATTTGGCGCGTCCGAGAGGTGTGCCCGAGCCGCTCAAAACGGAATGATTTCCGTCGTACGACTGTCTTGAGACATATACCAACGTGAGGCACGGTGGACCTTAAGAAAGTTAACTCCTTCAGGGTTGCTCTCATCTTATGCTTAACTGTCGCGGATCTGGTAAGTGACGTTGGAGTGGTCTTCTGACTTCTGACATGCGTGATCCACCCGGAAGCTGCACGGGAGTGCACGGGACGTCGTTGACCGACATGGTGACTGATGGGCCGAGCATATGATCAATTGAGCTAGCTTCTTTGTCACTGGCAGTATGTCTTGTGTATTCATCCATGGTATGATAGAGTTCGGCGCCTGTTATCAGAGAAAGGCAGTCGACTTGTGGCGTTCGACAGAGATGAACTCAGTGTGAGAGAATTTCAGTGACGATCACTCAACCTATCGACGACTAACTACTTTTGCTACTGAATTATGTCAATGATGCCCTTCCTTGTCTTTGTTGGATTGAACTCGTTGAACGGAAGAAGACGGAATGCAAACGTTTTAGAGGTCAGCGAGTTTCTGACGGCGATCTGGCTGATTGACAAGTTGATGTCTGACCTGACTTGTAAACTTTCCGTGACACGTTGTGGAGATGAGCGGAGTGTATCCACTCAAATTCCCTGAGGGGGGTGAGTTAGCAAAAATGAAAATGCAAGTACAATGTAATATAGTATCCATGGCGAAGAAATGTGCAAGCTGGCAACACAAGCGACTTTCGCTCGACTTCTGGGCGCAGTGTTGAGCCGATCACCGTGTGTTGAATGACGAGAAGGGCTTACTAGCTTCTCGCGAACATTGGTTGATCGCGATCGAAACCACAAATGGGTTGTCTGGACGGTCCCGAAAAGAGGACTTTCATAAGTGTGCCTGGGGAAACGAAATTGAATTGCGTGAAGCGGTTTTTTTGTGCGTAAAGATACGACTTGAGAGTCGGAGAGTATGCGGGATTGAATTGGGGGGGTCAATTATCTCACGTGGGCGAGGAAGAAGGCGTCTATTCCACAACAGATCTGGCAGAACTCAACTTTAAAATGGTCAGTATGCAAGCATTGAGGACATTCCACTGGCAGTGCAAGTTGTATCTAAAGAGAAGTGTCATATTCATGTATTAATGGGTCTTCTGGTTCTAGACGGGGTGAAGCGCTGAGTGTGAAGAAATCGAGCCTCGTGAATCCGGAGGTTTTCTACAAAAACTGCCTCCGCTCCGAAATTAATATTCCGTTTTGGGTGCGCTTCCGGAAGAAACGGCAAGTTATTATCAACAACTGTATGTTACGAAATGACAATTCCAAAGTCTAAACGTAGCCCTCAATTGAAATAAAATTGAGGTTCTCCTTGGATTCTATCAATAACAAATATAAGACATTTATTTGGTAGTCTTGACTTATTTACGTATTTTCCTCTTGGGCGTCACTGCCTCGACAACTTCTTCTCCTCAAAAGCCTGTTCTCCAGTTCCTCCGCAATCCGTACAATCCTGTCCTCCGTTTCCTCTGCAGCCCTGCAAATTTCGCTTCCCTCCATATGCCTCGTCATAATTCAACAAAGCATGATTCTGCTAGTTCTCAGATCTATACTACTCAATACTCTTCTGCACAGTATCTATCTGATTCTAGTCAGTCTGCAGGTCATTCGCCGCAGTCACCGACAGCCCCCTCTTCTCTTTCTCAGTCCTCCCAATCGTCCGGGACGGCTAATGGAAAGAAAAAGCATGTCTGTCCGACCTGCGACCGTGGCTTCACTACCAGTGGCCACCTTGCCAGACACCTTCGCGTTCACACAGGTGAACGCAATCACAAGTGTCCTTTTCCTGGATGCGAAACACGTTGCTCTAGGCAAGACAACTTACAGCAACAGTGAGTACATCTTCTATTCTTTATCGTGGGCACCTAGGTCTATTCTCGTTGTACTATCGTGCCACACAGCAATTGCACCATTTTGATTCCTTGATATAACTTATCACCATCATGCATTCAACATATTTTATCGCCGCAATTCATGGCCAACAAACTGAGCTTCGTTTTCTTCTTTCTTCTACAGTTACCGCATTCATCTCTCTCCCGGCTCACGACGGAGCTCAAGCTCCGCAACTCGTGCTGCGATTGCCCGTGCCGTGGGCATCAGCGGTTCTGGCACAAAAAATAGCCGGACCACATCGTCGTTGATTTCAGAACGCAATTCGTCGGACACTCCCTCTCCTCCACCGGCACTCGAACACGCGATTCCTCCAGCGCCTGACTCACCCCCGCCGTTGGTACAGGCATTTTCTGTACCGTCTTATTCCGATAGCTTGCATTCTGGCAGTGTGTCCAGTAGATCCCCAACACCTCCCGAGAACTCCTTCCCATCAATGATCAGCCAGCATTCCCAGGCCATGTCCAACGGTCAAGTTGCATCGCACTCATCACCGATCCAGTCGCATTACAGTGACAGCACGCCAAGCTACGATGAGTCCTCGCAAGCTAATTACGGCTACGTCACAGCAGCTGTTTCTCAGCCTTCCAGTGGCCATGCTGTGCATGATCACTCATACGACTATTCTCAGGCATACGGCGAGAAGCCCTCCATGTCGCGTATTCATTCATCCTCTCTTCATCAATCACCCATGGAAAATATTCATGATGGCTCTCCGCAATCATCCGCCCACCTTTCGTCTGTATCATCTCGTCTCTCAATCTCACACATCTCGCATCCACACTCTTATCCTACACACTATCAGGCAGTCAGCTCGCCGTCGCCTGACTCACCACATTCTGTCTCTCCGCACTCTCAGCTATCTACGCCCAACTACTCAGCCTACCGGGACGACTCACACGAGGTTGCGTCTTACCAAAATGGTTCTGGGATATTGGATCCTGTCTCTGATCATTCAAGCATATCCAATAACTATATGAACACACAAAACAATGTTGTTCCGTATAGTCACACTCTTATGTCGCATCATTCGAGCATACCTAGATATGACTCGCCACCACCTGTCCTAGCGCCGATTCAGGACGAGAGGGTGCTCCGCGGGGACATTCGGATCCCTCAAATGCACCATTCAATAACGCCGCCCAACTCGCTGTCATACATGCATCATTCCCAAGTGCAGAGTTCATATCCTTATCATCCTCCGCATGTCGGCCTTGGGCAAAGCGCTTGGAAGGCGGATAACGCTCTGCGGGCTCGTCCCTCAACGGGCTATGTATAACACCGAGACCCCCTTGTTTCATGTACTGTTGTGAATCTCGTATTTTATAGCTGTCTCGTAACTCGGATTTTTTCTGTTTCCGTTGATGTCTTTGTTTTGTGTATGGATTACTTTCGTGCATTTCCTGCCATTTTTACAGCAGTTGCTATGCTGCTTGGTACCACATCGCTACTGCACACATACCATATACCTGCGTATCTAAACTGCATATACATACTTTGTACATTATGTTGTTCATAAGAATCGCATCGTGGAATCCGAGCGGATCTGACGTGGCAGTACTGTGCCTTGATGTGACGTTCAATTTCCACGGTAAACACGTACTACAACTTGTTGTCGAAGGCGTCGACTCGGACGGTCTATCAGATAGGTTGCAATGCCCAGTGATCTCGACAGGTGAGAAATCACATTCTTTGTCACAGCTTGTTCTCAAAGTACTGCAACAACGTGTAATTGGCGATCAAAAACCGGCTTCTGTGCATTGCGTTATCCAATGCGCACGACACACGTCCGACACTGCATACTTCTCGCGCGTTGATCTTACAGGCAAATAGACCAGCTCACACGATGTGAACCCATATCCGAGGAACAGGTCAAACGGCTTTGCTTCAAGGCCCGTGAGATCCTAATAGAAGAAGCAAATGTTCAAGCCGTGGACTCTCCTGTGACGGTGAATGCATCCAATTCAATCCTCTCCTAGGCTAATATTTATTTTGCTGTTCTGATTAAGATCTGCGGCGATATCCATGGGCAGTTCTATGATCTTATGGAACTATTCAAGGTAGGCGGGTTTTGCCCGGAGACGAACTACCTTTTCATGGGTAAGCATTGCATCTGGGTGCGTTTCAATCGGCTGTCTAATGTTTAATATCCCGTTGTCACAGGTGATTTCGTGGATCGTGGCTTCTACAGTGTCGAAACGTTCCTACTCCTCCTGGCACTCAAAGTCCGCTATCCAGAGCGAATCACATTGATCCGGGGCAACCACGAGTCACGGCAGATCACACAGGTGTATGGGTTCTATGACGAGTGTCAGAGAAAATATGGCAGTACCAACGTGTGGAGATGGTGTTGTGAGGTCTTTGACTATCTTGCGTTAGGCGCGATCGTGGACGGTAGAGTTTTCTGCGTCCACGGCGGACTCAGTCCAAACCTGCAGGCTATTGATCAGGTGCGTTTATTATGTTTCATGCTCCGTGTTTCGCGCGCGCGTTCTTAGTTCTGCCTTTAGATACGCGCTATTGATCGAAAACAGGAAGTCCCCCATGATGGTCCAATGTGTGACCTCCTTTGGTCCGATCCAGACGGTGTGTATCTCCTTAAGTCGTGCTCAGTCATGCACTATGATGATGTCAGCTCAACACGTCTTTCTGTTGAACAGATATAACTGGATGGGGCCTATCTCCGCGGGGCGCTGGCTTTCTCTTCGGCGCTGACATTACCAAAACTTTCGCGCACCACAACTCCATTGACCTCATCGCGCGGGCCCATCAACTCGCTATGGAAGGATATAAGCTCATGTTTGACAACATGATAGTGACAGTGTGGAGCGCACCAAATTACTGTTATCGGTGAGTGGTGATCAAATGAGCACCCTGCATGCGTCTCGGCTCTCGTAACCTATCGTGTTTTCATCACAGGTGTGGTAATGTGGCTTCGATTCTCGAGCTAGATGAACGCCTTGCTCAAGAATACAAAGTTTTCCAACATGCGCCCGCGGTAAGTTCCTTGCGTTTCGATATCCCCCCAAAGGCGATATGCGGGGATGAAATGTTGCATTGCATTTCATCCAGCGCTGTGATCTGATCATATCATGCCACTAGGACGTACTCTCCATCCCAGCAAAAAGGCCTCCTGCGGACTACTTTCTCTGAATGGGACTTCCTCTGAATGGCAATTTTTTTTACCTTTCTGATTAGAAGGTTGCTCTCCTGGCAACAATTGCCTGCCTGTCTGCCGCGTGTCTTGGGCATGCCATAAACGCGACTTTCTCATCAAACAGTGCATTTAAGCTGCTTTCCGCTGCTTCTAGGGATTGTGTGGGCGTAGCGTGGTCGGCTAAAGGCGCAACGAGTGGGGTCGACGGGGTGCCTGGCTTTATCGCAATCCCCTGTGGATCCTCCGTCGATCTTCGTTGACCAGTTTAGAGACGCCCAGAAGCATGACGTACAAGCGCCTGCCACACTTTGAGGAAATAACGATATAATTGCTCCGTAAGCGCTCAACTGTCTGATTTGTCTTTAAATAAATGCCTCGTTGCGAGGTCTCACCTCATCCTGTCTCCAAGGACCTAGGTCGTGTCCTACCGCACGCTCACACGCATTCGTGTCAATTCTTTTATTTTCTTCGGTATGGCTAATTTTTTTTTGGTTCCGAGAAGGATATCATTGTCAAGTGTATTTTGTAGTGCGATTTTCGGTCTTCAACTTCATTCATTACTGTGCTGTGAAGCTGTGAAGGCCGACCGATGAGGATATCGCCACGATTCAATGCTTGTCCCGATTGGTGTATATTGCGCACAATGATCACTCAGCGCGTTGATGGGCCGTGACCTAAACTCACAGGTTGATCTGTCATTTCACTTTTTTATCTTTTTTATCTTGTTGGCACGATTTGTGAGTGGTCACCTGTGGTCACGACGCGTATTTTCGTGGCCTTGGCATTGTATGTTCCGATGAGGCGGCGACTCACATGATGAGTCCTGTAAACCAGGGATCAATCCGGTTCAATTTATCACTCAATTGTCGATCAATCAGTCCTACGTCAAGCGGTGTCAAGGTCAAGATATACCTTAAGATGCTTTCGTCACTCCCCGCGCCTCCTTGCGTTCGTGTTCCTCTGGCCTACCTCCTAAATGCAACGTTTTTTTCTGTCATTTTGAACGAAGGCCTTGACGTACGCTAGGCAAAAATGGCTGTCCTTCCTTGGTTCCGTGCCACCATCTTTTGTGAGTAGCCGAACTATTTTAAAATGTGATGCCTTGAACCTAACTGTGTCTACTAGCATTTAGTTCAGTATTGGCTCTCGTGGTCATTGGCCTCTGTGCCCACATCCAGTCGCTTATCTCTGGATATCAAAATGTCCACTTGGCCTTTGCCGCCTTTGGGCTTGCAGCTGGCAGTCTCACTGTCTTGTCCCTTCCGCTGTTGTGAGTGCTACTGAAATTCTGATGGAATCGATCATGAAATATGCAAGGACAGTTTGATTGTAGGTCGTGTGCGCCGTGGAGCATTCGTGTCCATGATCGCGTTCGAAATCGTTTGGTTCTGTGCGTCAAACGTTGTGGCAATTTTCTCGTTTACTCATCGTCTCTCAGTCATTCTCTGGGCGATTTGGATCGGTACAGCTAGTGATGCCGTTGCGGGCAGGGCCCTTTACTTCCCCGATGGATGTATTTATCCTGATTGTGAGTCGCTTGGTGGTTGTGTCTGACTCTTGCGACCTGCTAATCGTAATTATCAGATCCCACATCCAACCAGATTTGTTATGAGATAACTGTAGTGGAGGCTGTTGCATTTATTATCTTCTTCTCTGGTACGTCTCCAGTATGTGAATGTTTGCCGTTTGCTAGAGTTTCTTTCTTTCAGTTTTCATTTACTACGACACCATCGTCTTGTATGCGATCATCCAAGCTATCCGTGGAAGAGGAATCTGGACCTCTTCCATCGCCGCGGCAAGCGAGGCCCCTGGGCCTCCTCCAACCTCAGCCTTGCCTATGGCTCAGTACACTGCAGTTCCCGGCGGTCAAGCTCCATACCTTATGTACGGAGGCTATCCTCAAAATGCTCCTCTACAGCCATACAACGGCTATCCCGCTCAGCCCCCGAATCAACAGTACTACAACTATTCCCCGGGCTCGCCCGCTTCAGGGAGCACTCAACCCCCTCACGGCGGATATTCCCTAGCCCTGTCAGGCACTGCGCCCCTCTCACCCCAGCCCAGTAACGCCCCATACCCCGCCGCCAATCAGGGTCAGATCCCTCCTGCCGGCGGATATCAAGAACAACCATATTATGGGATAAGTCAGCCTATTGCAGTCTGAAGGAAGCGATATGGTGATACTCCCGACGGAAGATGTTTACGCGTTGGACGAGAAGGCAGGAAGTTCTGGTTTGTGCTTCAAATATACTCCCCATGCCTGCTTTGTTCCGCTTGCATAATTGATTCACCCTTGCGACGATCGCTCGTATTGATACCGAGAGTTACCATGATTTGCGACCTTTGATGGAATTTGCTTCTTGCGTCGATGTATGGGCGCTGATGAGTATTCCTTGGATCCTTCAGGCAAGTCCTCGCACGATCGAAGTGGGAATAGCGCCACCTTCTTATGATGGGCTGGTAACTTGCGAAGGAGCAGTTTTCTGCGTCGGGCTCGGAACTCCGTCAGAGCAAGAAACGGAGTCAATAGAGTGGCGTGGCTACCAGCGTCTAACAACTAGTAAGTCAAACGACACGTCCAGTCTCTCAATTGAAGTTCGTCACGCAATCTCATTGAATGATTATTGTCGCTTCCAGGATATACCCCGGACCAGAATTCAGGCCGTTGAATAGCGTTTGGAAGGTGGCTGTGCAAAACTACGCATGTGTCCTCGCGTGATCCAGCACGTGTTGTGATAATCGGTTCGGACAAGACTACATGACCGAACTGGACAGAATTCGAAGCTGTACGCTAGATGTTCTGGCGGTACAGTAATGGCAATGCACACTATACCGGCGTCTACCACCTCGCCCGATGCCGAGTCCTTGATGTATCGATGACTTATTCGAGACTGGACGTTTCATAGATTGTGGAGGTCCGAACTTTTTGCACCAGTCCCTTCGACGCACAAGTGGCGCTGCTGCTGCCGCGAAATCCCCGGAATGATAATTATCATGGAGAGATTCCCCATGAAAGCCCCACAGAATCCCCACGAAGTAACTCGTTCGGGCTGGCTCATCATGTGCTGGTGATGATGATGACGAGCCCAGACCATGAAAACATAGTCTGGTGGCCACGACGAGCCACATTGCGCCTTCGAAGTCAAACCGATCTGCCTACCTTGACGAGGAGACATCTCCCTTTATGATTCACGTTCAAGAGTTCAAATACAGAACTGTAGAACATGAATGGGCGATAGACGATTACCTTGCGGTTGGGCTCATCGGGAAGTTCAATGGCGGCTGCAAAATCTGTAAGTCTGTCAAAATTAAATCAAGAAAGTACTTAGTCAATTTGCAGACGGCAGTGACTGTGCGGGCACTGGGCAGGCAGTGGCCTGCTGTGCATTTATGGTCCAGCCTGTCCAGGCCAGGATTTACTAGAATATTATGGATTCGTTACCGTTGATCATAGTGGCCTAGGCTATGTGGGCCCAGAGGCCTGCATGTCAGGGAACTTTGTCATTAATTCACGTAATATTCCCTCAATTCCGTACAAATTTGGTCATGAATCTGACCTTGGTTGCGCTCCAGCTCTCATCAATGCACGCCTGCGGCCTGCCTGCCTGCTTATTCCAGGGATTCTAAAACACATTTTTTCTGACACCTATCGCTCCGACTTAAACTCGACGAACGATTGGGAACCAAATTGCTGTTGACATGAGCGAAATAATCTCTCCCGGCATTCTTTTGTCGCTCTTTCTTGTGTCTGCCATTCCTTCAAAGCCGTAGCTTTAGATGTGCTATGGGCCGAGCTGGAGGGTTTGGAACCCCTTTTCTCTGGTCTCCCGGTTCGTCTACGCTATGATGGGTTTTTCTTCACAGTCGCAGTTGGTGCCAGACATTCGAGAACTCTACGGCAGCGGATGTGCTCCTGATCCCCATCCACGTATGCATAACCTTCTGGGTCCTAACCTCGTCCGGCTGCATTTGACGCCTTAGGGAAAAGATTTCTGGACGGACATCGTGTCTTCGGTGTTATCAGGTCTTGACAGGCATTCACCACGACTGCAAATTGTCGAACTACATGCGACGTTACTCAAAGTCAGTGAGCCTGCTATCTGTGGGCTCCCGCACCTGCGTCGGGTATCGCCTACCTTACATGGCGATGAAGATTTGTCCTGATTGTCTCGTCTCGTGGGCCTTCAAGTATAGTATTGAATATCAATATTGTGGCACCCATTTCACCTGCCAAGTCTTCATTTCGTACCTCTAGCCTTGACAGTTTAATCATCTGCTCGTTTAATTTGACCTTGGACGGAAATACGCTTGAAGGGTGGGTTGTCCCATGCAGAAGCCTGCAGATTATATCCATCAATCCTGAAACTGCCCTCGCCATCAAACGCACCCCATGCAAGCAAACTACTATGAGCAACAGGCCAGGTATCGGATTACATTAGCGTTCTCACCTTGGTCAGGCAACAGGAGGGTTCCCGCGTTTAATCCAAACGCCATGGGCTTAGGAGTTCGGTCATGCTGCAGAGAAGAGTTGCTTGTCATGTGTTTTTCTATGTAATTATTGTACCGCTTGCGATGTTAGATGAGTGGTCTTTGATAGTGCTTGACATCGACGCATATGCATCATCAGCGCTGTAGCCGCCGAGTCGAATTTCGTGCTTGCTTAACATTGCAAATATCGATAATACTGATATCATAGGCATTGGGTACGAACACATTGCACAAAATGTTTCAACGGCACGTCCGATATCATGGCATCGGTGTGATCAGCCTTAGATCTAAGAGTCAGTGACTAAGCTTGCCACTGACTCTCAAGTTGATCACGCTTCAGAAGCTCTCGATATCTTCATTTTCAGCTACTACATACCACTGTACAGGCAAATACTCCATGCATGCGTGCCTGCTCATTCCTGAGATCATAAAACTCATTTTCTGTGACATCTTCTACTCCTCTGGCAACTTGGAGGTTGGATATCGACCTGACCGGAGGGTTTCGCGATGCTCTCTAGCTGCTCTTTCTCGTGTCTGCCATTCGTTCAAAGATATAGCTTTGGATGTGCTATGGACCGAGCTGAATGATTTGGAACCACTCTTTTCTTGCCTTCCACAAGATCTGTGGACAAAGACTCGTGAGGGGAAGCTTGTACGTCCTACCTGCCGTCGGGTGCGATGCTGTCCATCGTGCTAATCGCTTTCATCGTGTCAATATCAGGTCATTCGGAGAACTGTGACCATTGCAGATTGGTCTATCTTCGAGCGATATGCATCTCGGGTGCGAGTTCTTGGACATTCAAATATTTTCGGGGGGGTAGATGCAGAGTTTATTCACGCCATATTGAGTTTTTCTTCACAGTCAATTTTGGTTCCAAACCTTCGACTGCTCGAATGCGGAGAATGTCCTCGTGATCTCCATTCATGTATGCGTTACCTCCTGGGTCCCAACCTCGTCCGTCTCCATCTGACATCCAAGGAAGAAGCTTTTTGGACGCCCATCATGTGTTCAACGCTATCAAGTCTCTGCAGGCGATCACCACGACTGCAAATCGTCGAACTAGCTGCGACGTCTTCTGGAGTCAGTGAGCTTGCTCTTCGTGAGCTCCCGTACCTACGGAACTTGGAGCTTACCTTGCACGGCAACGAAGATTTTTCCTGGCTATCTTGTCTCGTTGGCCTCCAAGAATTGTCTGTTGAGATCACAGCACCTTTCGCTCCCGTCAAGTCTCACTTTCGTGCCCAGTCTAGCCTGAACCACTTAGTAATCCACTCATCCACTTTGACCTTGATCGGAAAAATGGTAGTGGGTTGGGTTGTTCCATGCACACAGCTGATCCTCTTCTCCGAAATTCCTGAAACTGCCCCTGCCGTCGAACGCGCCCTGCGCGAGTTGACAGATCGCGTACTTTTCGATGGTCTGAAAATTATCGTGCTGTATGTGTACGAGGTTCCCGACCTTATCGACAACGCATTCACCCTCCGCACATTCACTCCCCTCATGCACTTCTCTAGTCTGAAAGAGATTAGCCTTGAGCGTTTTTGCATGTCGTTGCTTGATGATGACGCACTTGGTTCCATCGTAAAGTCATGGCCAAACCTCGAGAATCTTTATCTTGGAACATGGAGGTTTTGGAAGACACCACCCAAAATCACTTTCAGGGGCCTCGTAGCCGTTTTGTCGTCTTGCCCCAATCTCAGGAAGCTCGGTTTGGTGTTTGACGCCAAGAAGGTAGCTCTTCCTACGGCTGAGAAACCAGGAGGTGGTGTTTCCAACACGAATATCACGACCTTTGGGGTCGGGTGCTCTCCGATAGCACGACCTCTGCAAGTCGCGGTCGCACTTTCGGCGGTCTTGCCATGCTTGAAAGAGATCAAGGTCGAGTCCGCATTGCCCGAGAGGCCGGACAGAATGGCGCGACAGGTGAAGTGGGACGAGGTATTGGAGGACATTAGTGTTTTTACCCTGATCAGGAGACAGGAGGGTATGCGTCTTTGATGCCACGGGCTTGGAGTTAGTCTGCACTCATAGAGAAGATCGACATGCAGAGTCACTGGTCAACTTGCTTTGCCCTAGGTAAACCATTGTACTTCGCTATTTTACACACTGCTCAGCGGAGGTCATGATTACCTCCTATCAAAGTGATGTGTTTGTGTATGTTTTGCTCATGGTACCAAGTGGCTTTTCAAACAAGCAACGAGGCCGGCAATATTTTAGTATCGGGGTGTCCCGATCGAAAGGCACGGGGAGCCAAGTGGAGAGAGGTATTGAAGTGTATTAGGACCGCTCAGAAAAAGAAGCAAGAGAGCGCCACGGGCTTGGGTTGGGGGCCAGGGATGCGACGAGAAGACCAACAAGAATGCATGGGATCCCAGTCACTCATCGCAGATCATTGTTGCGGTGTTAAACGTAGTTTTGAATCATGGTTTCTATGTGTCACATTGGGTGAGTAATTGTACGCTACCACTAAGGGCAGCATTGAGCAACCATAGACCGTGGCGACAGTATGGTATCACATAGTAAGCTAGCAGTAACACATAGATAACCAGAAACATGAAAAAAAAATACTCAAATGACAACCAGCTTGAGTGTTTAATGAATGTGACCACCACAAGCGAGAAGCGGAGGCGCGGACGACTTGAACATGTTTGGCCGGGTACTGGCGGCAAAAGGAATGAAGGGGCGAGAGGGACTTAGTTAGGGTTGGGAAGTAGTGTGGGATGCGGTTAGTTTGTGGTTGTATGGAGGTTTGGGAAAGGCAAGGGATGGTGTGATGGCTAGTGAAGCATGCGAAGGGCCTGGGAGATGTTGCAGGACGGTGCAGAGGGATGTTCGGGGAGGAGTAGGAAGGTATCACATAAGAAGGGTGCGTGAGTAGTGCGCAGGAGTGCAGACGCGCGCGCAACACCAAGGAAGGAAGTGTAGAAGGTCTTGTGCTCAGCTTTGTACTGGTACATGTAAATGCTAGATCATGATATATGTGGCCTCGGGTTTTACATACACTGGATTCGCAATTTAGGCATAGACACTGATATACGAGATTATCAAGATGCACTGTTCATGGACTAAAAGAGGGGTATAATGAAATGAGCGAGCATGTCGAACAGTAAATTCGAGAGTATCAGCGCGCGCTGATGAATTATGCGCGTGCAGCACCCACACTCGTCGAAGTCGACTGAAACCGTGCCAGCACCTCGCTGAGCGCTGCTAAATCGAACACTTTAGGCTCTGTCGCAAGCGTCGTCGTCGTGGTCGCAAGCGACAGTGTAGCGGTGTTGGTCTTGGTGGCAGATTTCTTTTTTAAGGAGGGCTTACCAGCCTGCGTGCCTCCTGAGATCCATGCTTGGACAAGGGGGTTGTTAGGCGTTGGGACGTAATTGCATGCTGCAAAAAGGTCTAGATGGCGGTAGAAATTGTCTGTCGCGTTATACAGTGGAAGCGCTGTATGATGCATGTGTGAACACGTGTTACAACGTTATCCAAGGTTTAAAACTCACCAGATTCAAGAAGTCCAAGTGCTTGACGTGGTGATACATGACGCGTGAACATAACTGGTTGACAGTCATGTAAAAGTATATCTAAGGAAGAGAGAAAATCGACTTACAATAGGCACAAACTACTATACAAGCTCTGAGCTCGACGCGGCACTGAACAAGCACCTGGCCACCGCCGGTAATGGCATCACCAATAAATTTACATGCTGTCGGAAGCTCAAGCAACAAAGCTTCGCGACCATTATTTGGGATATCAATAAAACAGTGATTGAACAGAGGAAGATCTGGCTTCGGTAGCTGGGCAGATGAGATGGAAAGCACATGTGTCATGCCCAAGTCCAAGAGAAGTGATTCGGCAGCATCAGGATCTCCTGGGAAGTCACTGGGGATTAAAAGGTGTAAACTGCAATGCGTTTTAACTACACAATCGAGTGTCCGCACCTACTAAGGTATAATTGATCTGGTATCACGGGTACGGTGTCGGCGATCAGGTCGAGGTATTTAGATACTTCACGCCTTTGCCTGCGCTTCCAGGCGATGTACTCGCTGTTTGTGCGTGAGGGCTTGTAACGGCACTCGCCGAAAGCAATCAACTGCTTCATGAATCCATAATTAGGGTGGATCTTTGGTCGACCTGCGTAGCCGAACGGTCATGAGTCCAATGAAATAATTAGGATATCGAATCTTACGTTTTCGTACGTATTGTATTGCTCTATGAGCAGACAGCCGTTGGGTGGACATCACTTGACATTCAATGGCACGCGAGCAGCCAAACTAAGTGTCCCACAAAGAAAGCAACGAACAAAGGGACGTAAACTTACGGTAAGCGCAGACAACAGTGGGGCTTCTTGAGACGCCCATGGCGCAATGAACTAGGACCTTTCCCCCTTGGTCCAAAGCGGATTGAATGAAACTGCATCCCTGAGGTAGATGTATAAGGAGATCTTCGTATTCCGAGTCTTGGACCGGTATAGTGAGGTGGTTATGGTCTGTGGAGGAATACTCGGTGCAAACTGAAAGAATGTGTGTTATTCCAAATTTCTTGCGTACATCGGTCGATAGAGCGGCAGAGAGACTGAGGTCTATGTCAGATAAGGTCATAGTGCTGAACAACAGGCTACATACTTTCCAATGAAAACGTTGTCAGTAATGATCGGGTCTATCGAGATTGGTACATCTGACCAGGTCATGCTCGGTGAGTAGGTGAAGAAGCAAAGGAAGGGAAAGGTGGAGCTGGCCAACCAATATGCCAACGTTTATACCAGAGCCGGTGGAAGGGGTTGATCACAGGTTCTGATCGTTTTTGGGTTTCGGAGAGAGTTATCCATATCGGAACTTGCCGTTACCGAACACATGATTCTCTTGCCAGTGCATGCATGCGACTAACGTTACACGAGTTCATTTCACTCCTCACAAGGCGGAACTACCACGAATAAAAGGTCACACATTGGATGGGTACCAGGTTGAATACAGGTATCAGAACTGGAATTCATGAAGCAAACTCACTGTAATCTTGGCTTTAAGTCGGATCTTGGTGGCGGCGTTGATAACGATATCACTGCATCTCTCTGGTCAAGTACCCTCACCCATTAGTATAATTCCCTCAACATATCCATTGCCAATTGATGCAATTTCCTCCACGGAGCCGAGCACAAAGCGAATGATAGCAAGTGCAGACTAGACTAGTACTGTCGTAGAGGAGCCTGGAGCGGACGTTCTTGGTCTTCACGAGGACTTGCTTCTATGATTGAAGGCTCAAGAGCTCAAGGTGGGTGGTACCGGTAAAGTCCAACTGGAGGACGTCTTTAGGAACGATGTTGGGATGTCACGGTAGTGAAGCGCCGTCGGTGGAATTTACATATCTGTTTAACATACAATGGTGAATCCGAACCGACCACCCCTGTTAACTGTGCCTCTGGGTGACAATGAGAATGAGACAGTGAACAGTACTGTGTACACCCAAATTTTATTTTTTGTGCAACAGTGCACGGTCACAAAAATGTCTAGTGCACTGGCAGGGTTATTTTCCCTGCGGACCGGCGCGGGCCGCCAAGTTAGGTTTTCGAACTCCGCCAGGTCGTAAATGCAGCTCAAAGACTTTATTATTAACGCCCGCACGAGTCGTGCAGTGGTGATAGCTGTTGTCTTTCCAAAAACGCATAAGATATGTCGAAGAGGCGGGTAGCTTACTATTATGATGGTGCGCTCATCATTCACTCTATGTTTCTTTTTCCTAACGACCCAATACCACAGACGACACCGGTTCATATACGTACGGTCTCGGTCATCCTATGAAACCGCATCGGATGCGCGTCACACATGATCTTGTATTAGCCTATGGAATGCTCGACAAAATGCACGTTCTGGTGTGTCTTACCTCCTGAACTGCGTATGGTTCTGTTAAGGACACAGCACATGCGTAGCGTCCCAAACGTGCTACTCCCGAAGCCATGACGGCTTTTCATACGGACGAGTACATACACTTTCTGAATCGCGTGACGCCAGAGACAGCCGAAGAGTTAACTTATCATGGCACCCGTTGTGAGTACCAGCGATGCCCATTGATCCACTTGTTACTTATGAATTACCTCCACAGTTCTGATGGGCGAGGACAACCCCGCATTTGAAGGTGTATTTGAGTTCTGTTCAATATCAGCCGGAGGATCAATATGTACGACCTCGTTCCTTTATCCATGCCTTCTGCACTGACATGCTCCAGCTGCTGCACAACGCATATCTTCAGGAGCCGCAGATATCGCCATTAATTGGGCAGGTGGTCTCCATCACGCGAAAAAACGCGAGGCATCAGGCTTCTGTTATATCAACGACATCGTGCTCGGTATACTAGAGCTCCTGCGGACATACCCCCGCGTTCTGTACATCGATATCGACTGCCATCACGGAGATGGCGTAGAGGAAGCGTTCTACACTACAGACCGCGTCATGACTTGCTCGTTCCACAAATTCGGGGAATATTTCCCTGGTACCGGGACTCAGGAGGATAGAGGAAGAGGAAAAGGGAGGAACTATACGGTGAATATCCCCTTGAAGGACGGAATAACGGACGATGCTTTCAAGAGGGTGTTTGAACCGGCGAGTACTCGTCAAGTGTGCACCTTCCTCAGCTAACATCTCTTCAGATTATAAACAAGATCATGGAAATTTATCGACCCGGTGCAGTCATCCTACAGTGTGGAGCGGACTCTCTTGCAGGAGATAAGCTTGGATGCTTCAACTTGACTATGAATGGACATGCTCACTGCGTGCAGTATTTGCGCGCCTTCAACGTCCCACTCATACTTCTTGGAGGTGGAGGATATACAGTGAAGAACGTTGCACGGACATGGACCTATGAAACTGCATGTGCACTCGGCATTCAGGACGACATCGACCCAAATCTGCCATGGAACGAGTATTTTGAGTGGTTTGGCCCGCGTTACAGGCTCGAGGTGCCGGAGAATAATATGGATGATTTGAATGTGCGGGATGGGAGCTTGGATAAGGTGCGGGCGACGGCTCTACAGCAGCTCTCGCAATTGCCTTGTGCCCCCAGTGTCGGGATGCATGAAGTTCCAAGGGAAAGTCTGGGGCGGCACCTTGGGTTAGATATCGCTGAAGAAGATGCTGACGAAGACGGTGGAACTGATGATCTAGATCGTCGGCTCGCTCGTAAGTGTCAACCAACCTTCATGGCACAATAGAGGAATTCTGACATTCTGCAGAACACTCCCGGTTTGTGTACAAATTGCAGGAGCCAGGGGGAGGCTCCGACGAATCGGATGATGAACGGTACGACTCTGATGGATCTTCATATCGCCGGCGGAAGCGTATGAGCATCCTCTCGAATCGTGTCGTCGGCGTTGATCCTGACGTCGGGAGGGGTCCACCACGGGGACGACGCTTCTTCAAGAGTGCTGTGCGGTGGGACGAGACCTATGGTCGTGTCCGGTTGGGTAAGGAGCCGGTACTGGGCTCTCTGAATGGGAGTAGACTGGGGGCGATGATGGAAGCGGCTGGACGAAGTACCTCAGGTGGAGATATGACTGTGGAGGACTGGGAAGATGGTACTTCTGTATGATTTAGGTGTGTGGCGTGCGTCCGTTGGTATATTCATTGTCATTAGATACCTAATATTAAATGGGACGTTTGTAGTGACACTGGTTTATGTATTTGTTCGTTTGATTGCAAGACTACCAATTTTATAGTAATCCCCTCTCGTCAAACAATACAGAGACTTGGACCAGTGATGTCGGGCAACGTGCAGAGAAACCAACCTGAGGTTGAGCAAGCCTGCAAAGCTCCACGTAATTCTAGAATGCGGTCGCGAGGTTTGAGATAATGGAACTGTATGTCGTCGTCAACCTCTCTGAGCAGATCATGTTGATCATGGGGTAGATGGCTCAAATTCTAGTAGAGACATCGTCAAGTTCGCTTGCTCGCAATTCAGTGGTCCCGAACCAAGTTACCCTACGGAAGTCAAGGGCCGCCTAAGATTCTCGGACATAATTTGGTGACGTGAGATGGGACGTGGTCAAAATACATTTATAAACCTACTCAAGATGTTCTGGTGATCGCTGATGAGACATCGGTGCCGCAATCGGTGTGCTACAGTCTCCAACTTGATCCGCAGTCCATCAGTACATGTATCACGAACTGGCAGCAGCATTTCGAGACCAATCGATAAACTCAGCGCTAGGTATAAATCAACAAGGGATCGAACTGTAGACTGAACATCCTGCTTCGTGTATTTTATCTGACTCGATTGCCAAAATATATTTATCCTTGGGTAGGCCTAGAAGTATGCGTTTCACGAACTGCAATGGATGATAAAGGCTGGAACTCACGCATCTCGGCAATTCCTCCAGTGTTGTCCATGTGCCATGCGGCTCAAATAAAGCTCAGTATTTCCTCTGGGTATCACCAATACAGTCCTGGGAGTATAAAATGGCTGTCGAAGACCGAGCGGAACCCAAAACAGGAGCTGCCGATTGGGTCCTAACATCCATCCATCAACTCCCAACGAAAAGGAGGTCGACCTGCGGTCATGGTGGCGGCTACTCTCAATTAGCTCAGCAGGGTTGTGCAGCGCATGAGTCGAGTTGGACGAGAAACGAATGATTTGATCATTCTGAGTGATGGTTGCATCCCAGAGCCGGACAGTGCCATCTTTTGAAGCAGACACGATGCGTGTGCCATCCGGGGAGAATGAAACTGAAGAAACTGACTCGGTGTGCCCACGGAAGGGCTCAACCAGTGGCTGCCCCGTTACTACATCCCAGAGCCGGACAGTGCCATCTTTTGAAGCAGCCACGATGTGAGTGCCATCTGGAGAGAATGATACTGATGAAACTGAATCAGTGTGCCCGCGCAAGGGCTCACCAACTGGCTGCCCTGTTGTTGTATCCCACAGCCAGATCGTGTGATCATCTGAACCAGACACGATACGAGTGCCGTCCAGCGAGAACGAGACTGACAAAACCGCATCAGTGTGCCCCTTCAAAGGCTCGCCAACTGGCTGCCACGCTGCCGTATCCCACAGCCGGATGGTTTCATCCCGCGAACCAGACACGATGCGAGTGCCGTCCGGCGAGAACGAGACTGACAAAACCGCATCAGTAGTGATGTGCATGGCCCGGCTTCAAGCCGTGGGCCGAGCCAAGCCGGGCCCAATTAGGCCAGGCCAAGCCAAGCCAAAGTGACGGCTTGATCACGGCTTTGGCCCGGCCTGGAATTCTGGAAAGCCAAAGCCGACGGCCTGGGCCACGGCTCTAGGGCTACCCTATGTACTATCAACGACAACGACAACAACGAACTTCCGACATAAAATTTTGTTCTCAAACTTGACTTTCGCCAATACAAAAGTGAGTTTTGCTGTGACAGATTCAGGCATGCTACTACCTAATATAGTCCAGATACTACCAAGGTAGCTTCAATTCTCTTGCCTCTTCGTTCATTTTAATTCACGCGCTCAATTGTACCTCTGGACAGAAACTCTACAGCTTCATGACACAAGATGAGATGCTTCGCCAAATCTCGTCGACGCGCATTATCCTTGGACAGATCTCTCAGCAGACCCGTGAATGTGCCCATTTTATCCAAAATTATTCGGAGACCAAGAGCTTTTGTGAGTCTTACAAGCTGTTGCGCTTTGCACTGTCTCAAGCTTGTACCATTATCACAGGGAAAAGACTCGGCTTATTGTATTCGCGATAACTCTTTATAATGGATTGTTGTCGATTTGACTTAGTGTGCCATCCTTCCTCAGCTCTACATCAAGTTACGACCATCAAGTCAATTGTGAGCAAGTACTTGAGTCGACACACAAAAATTAGATGTCTATTGTCAGGAGTGCACTGCCTGCCCCTGGCGTGAAAGATACCGCCGATGCCCACGAAGATCTGACTCGCAGCGTTCCGTCGTGATGCCCGTCCCAAGGCCCTTAGAAACACGTCCGTGGTCAACGGCATGGGTACATACTTCTCCCACCCTTTCGTACTTCGTTCGCCATCCCCTGCTCGCGATAAGCGTATTCAATCCTTGTATGAAGTGTTCGAAGCCGCTTCCTCTTCCAGAAGCCGTCAGCGATCCAACTGCAGCTGGTGAAACTACAGTAAGTGCCTCGTAATCGAAATCTGTCACTCTTGTTATGTTGACTGTTATCATGGTGCGTTCTAGGCAAAACCCCGTGGCAAAACAGTTCCGCTAGTGGAAGTGGTCGTAAGGATTTTGGTCAGTACTTTGTATTTGACTTCGCTTCGAACTGGGACTTACGCACGTCTTCCACTAGCTGCAACTGAGAACGTAAGTACAAACATGACAGGCTGCCAACCTACGTATCTGCGAATCGTTGCGCTGGCATCCCTCTGTACCGATGGGTTAGTAATTTTAATCTTCATTCATACCAGCGATGAAACATTGGACAGGCGTCCCTCACTACTTGACGGAGGACGATATATTCGAAGGAACTCAGAATCAAAGCTTTGGGTGGTGCATGTCACGAAGAAGCAGCCAGCCATTTCACCGCCGCTATTGATCGCCCTACTCGAGCCGCGGCTCAGGCCAGAGCCAGGCCAAAGCCAGCCGTCATTTGCAGCTTTGGCCCGGCTTTGATTTCTTGCAGGCCAGAGCCGTCTGAAGCCAGGCCAAAGCCGTGGCTTTTGGGCCAAGCCGGGCCGGAACATCACTACGCATCAGTGTGCCCCTCCAAAGGCTCGCCAACTCCAACTGGCTGCCCTGTCGCTGTATCCCACAGCCGAATAGTTTGATCCCGCGAACCAGACACGATGCGAGTGCCGTCCGGCGAGAATGAGACTGACCAAACTGTATCAGTGTGCCCCTCCAAAGGCTCGCCAATTGGCTGCCCTGTCGCTGTATCCCACAGCCAAATAGTTTGGTCCTGCGAACCAGACACGATGCAAGTGCCGTCCGGCGAGAACGAGACTGACAAAACCAGTTTAGTGTGCCCCTCCAAAGGCTCGCCAACTGGCTGCCCTGTTGCTGTATCCCACAGCCGAATGGTTTTATCCTCCGAACCAGACACGATGCGAGTGCCGTCCGGCGAGAACGAGACTGACAAAACCGGTTTAGTGTGCCCCTTCAAAGGTTCACCAACTGGCTGCCCTGTTGCTGCATCCCACAGCTGGACGATATTACCCGAACCAGTTACAATGCGAATTTGATCCGGCGAGAACGAGACTGACAAAACCGGTTTAGTGTGCCCCTCCAAAGGCTCGCCAACTGGCTGCCCTGTCGCTGTATCCCACAGCCGAATAGTTTGATCCTGCGAACCAGACACGATGCGAGTGCCGTCCAGCGAGAATGAGACTGACAAAACCGGTTTAGTGTGCCCCTCCAAAGGCTCGCCAATTGGCTGCCCTGTTGCTGTATCCCACAGCCAAATAGTTTGGTCCTGCGAACCAGACACGATGCGAGTGCCGTCTGGCAAGAACAAGACTGACCAAACCATATCAGTGTGCCCCTCCAAAGGCTCACCAACTGGCTGCCCTGTTGCTGCATCCCACAGCTGGACGATATTACCTGAACCAGTTACAATGCGAGTTTGATCCGGCGAGAACGAGACAGATAAAACTGAACCATCCTGCCTCAGCAAAGGCATACCAAGTGGCTTCCCTGTCCCTGAATCCCACAGCCGGATAGTTTTGTCATCCGAACCAGATACGATGCGAGTGCCGTCCGGGGAGAACGACACTGAAGATACTGAACTAGTATGCCCCCGCATGGGCTCACCAAGCGGATTTCCTGTCGCCGCATCCCACAATCTGAGAGTTGTATCGGCAGAACCAGTGACGATGCGAGTTAGATCTGGCGAGAACGAGACTGACAAAATTCGACCACGGTGCCCCCGCCATGGCCCACCAGATTGCTTGCCCGTCGCTGTATCCCACAGCTGGACAGTGCGATCCAAAACAGCCACAATGTGAGTGCCGTCAGGAGAGATCGAGGCTGACTCCACCCCAGCCGTATGTCCGCGGAGCAGACTCTGAATAGCAGTCCAGTCTGGAGCATGTCCAGATGTCAGACGAAGAGTATTTGGGAACTTGGCGGCAAATTTTGTAGATATCTCAGAGTTGACGGGCGAGAACGGAAGTGCTGATACATAGAGATGTGGCGTGCTGTGCAAGATGATGCTGTGGAAGACTTGAACGAATGTCTGCACATCTATTGCAGTGGACGAGACATCCTCATATCCCAAATGACCCTGTGATTGCGCGTCAGCACTCCATCTGACATCAAGTTTGGTAAACTGTAAGCTCACCTTCAGCCACTTAGCTATGATCAGAAGAGCAGTAACGGCACAGCCAATTGCACTTTTGAGGCCAAGTACTTCCAGCCAGAAGAGCAATCGCTTGTGGTTGAGGAATGATCATATTTCCTCTGCGGGTTCCGTGTTGAAATCCGCTGCTTGGATGTGTGAAGCCCAAAATCGACAGGAGTAGGACAGATGCGGGGAAATGGATCTTTCAACTCGGTCGCTCAGTCCGAGGTCCTCGTAATTAGGGATGTACGACGACTTCAAATCACAGATATTGAAGTCGAGTTCATGTTCCATCACATGAAGTGATGCAGAAGCAAGGTCGCATTGCACCTTCGACATGTCGACGAGAAAATCTTGATTGCATGATGGGCCTGTCAGGAATTCGCCGAAGGATGAGTGAAGGGGTCGGATGGGGGCAGTTGGGTTGGTAGTGCCGCTGAGGAGGGGTCCCATGTGTCGCACTATGACCTGCACCTCGTAACGCTCATTTGCGTTTGGAAAACGGCTCCGCATGGCATTCAGGGAATTTAAAGAGAGGGGTTCGGCGGTTCCGAGGATCTGTCCCATCACGGAACGAAACATGGCTAGCCACATTTGCTGAGACTCGGAATCCGCGTGTTTATCCTTTGGCATGATCTCCGTAAGAATGAAGTCGTATATATCATACAACAAGTGTTCCCGCCTAGCAGGATCACGGGACACCACAGCATTGAAAGAATCCCTCTGAGTGACGCCCATACTGGGAGCTATGATGTACCTGCAAGCAAGACGCGCCCATTCAAAAAGCCCATCAGCTTTCTTAGCGAGCGCTACAAAATTACCATCCCCAAAATCCGAGTGTTCTTCTAGCTCTTTCGATACGTAAGCGTAGATGTCGCTCTCTGCGGTGGCTAGTGGGATGTCGTCCATGGACATCCGCTGAATATGCTGAGCACCTGCAAGCTCAGTTTCGATGTCAGGGAGCGGGCGAGAAGTGACAATGATCCGGAAGTTGGCTGGGAGTTTGGTGATCCGTTCACCTAATTTTCCCGCAAGAATGCGGAGAAGGCGGTGCCGTGTCTCTATCCCGCCGCTCTCGTCCAATGCATCTATCACGATCACGATAGGTCTTGTATTTGACCCTGGGAGCTTCCTCAGTGGTTTCATGATAAATTTGTCCCATTGCTGAATGATATCCGTCGTCTTCTCTAGTGAACTCGCATCCTCAACTGCATCTGCCAATGCTCGTCTCAACTCCGGATCCTGGTCAGCCAGGTCGCGTGCAATGGTAGAAAAAATATTTTCGTGGTGACGGTCGGCCTTTCGCTGGCTGTCAAAACAATAACATGAACCAAGCCCTCCCACATCTTTGAACCACTTAGCAATCGTGTGTACGATGGCTGATTTACCCGTGCCGGCAGGGCCAGATAGCCACAGCACACGCGGAACATTGTCTCCAGTGCTGTGGACCCAGTCTGTGATCTTGGAGATGATTTTCGTGCGCATCTCTGGTAGGCATTGTTTCCCGATGTCGAGCCCAGCGCCCTCCGCATAAGTCATGCCACTGAGCTCCAGTATTTTGCCTGAAGAGTATGAATATATGTTGAATGAGAAGCACGTCCAAACCCTTACCTGTACGATGGACATAGATGGCTACGTCGCGAATGACTTGCTTCTGGAAGTTGTCCATGAGCTGGTCTAACATTCCGCTGTACCCTAGAATCACATCATCTGTTCCCTGGCCTACGTTCTTTCCAGTTCTCATCCCTATGAAAATGGTAGAAAATTGAGATCGTAAAAAGCGCCGTGACTTGTTGAAGACTCACAAAAGTTCTTGGTCTCCGTATAATCTCTGATAAAATGGGCACATTCAAGTGTCTGCCGAGAAATCTGTCCAAGGATAGCGTGCATCGACGAGATCTGATGAAGCCTTTTGTCGTCTGTAATGAAGCTATAGACTTCACCCAACTTCTGAAGAAGGCTGAGTATCACTTTATCACGATCCGCTTGAGCAAGAACTATCTGCACGCAAGACGACTGCTCAGCAAGAGATAGGAATGAGAGCATAGCCAAACATACTTTTGCGGCCCAAGACAACACGCTCAGTGCCATCTTTGCATATGGATGTATCTATGGAATGGGATTAGTTCGGCTCCTATCGAGAGACATGGTTCATACATCTGCAAGCGCCCCAATCACAGTGTCAAATATCCTGAGGGGTTTGAGATATGTGTCCTGGAAATTATATGCAGCATCGAGATCCGCTTGTGCATTTTGTGCGGCGGATGCTCCAGATCTCAGACACCCCCAAAGTGGCTTCATGAGATTTGCAGCCTTTTTGGCACCCCGAAGTGCCGATTGGGGATCAGCACCTTGTTCCACACCAGAGGGAGTTTCCCGAATCTGTGCAACCACCAGGATTTAGACACAGAGAGCAGACACTGACAGGTAACCTGCCTTAATATTTGGATTCGATGAGGCACCTTCACGATAATCCTTCGGGAGAACAGGGTCGCGGCTGCGGGAATCCTTCGAGTGCTTTCGTACGATCACATGAGCCTTATTCCAGGAAACTCAGAATCCTTGTCGACTCACAGAAATCTTTTTAGTCGCACTCTTCCCTAGCCCGAGAAACCGACCGATTTTGTCACGGCGTCTGCCCTACACGAAGGATGCCATCAGAGTGAGTGAAATGAACTTCATGAAAGTGGCCACCTGGCGACAGACCGATCTTTCATCAGCTATTGTTTCACTGGGTGAACAGGTTTCAGGAGAATTCAGTGGCCTCGAATCGCTCAATTGATTATCTTCGGTCATTGTGAAGTTGAGGATGAGGATGAGCGACATGGGGTAGGCGAAGTAGTTAAAGGCTGGGTGGGTCCCACACCATTTAGATATAACAATATCAGGCCAGTACTACTGGTCCTCGAGGCAAGATTTGAAGCGCTAACTGGAAGTCATGGTGTTCGGGCACTACGGAATCTGCCATAGTATACATAAAGGTCTAGAACCGAAAACACCCCATGATGGCCTGAGGAACTGCATATTAGTCAACAATGGCTCACCAGCCTGAGGCTCCGTCCGCGCGAACTCGTGTATTCATATATCAATTGGCCGGCTGCGTGCCCTTGCCTTGGCATTGGCGCTGTTGGATTCTCAACATAGTATGTAGCGGGCTCCGCAGCCTGTGGTGCTGTGTGCAATCGTAAAATGTTCATGATCACATGATTGATCACATATGATCAGCGCACACCTAAACCCTTTAGCTTCATATGGGAGAAGCAAGGGACACAACCTCATCATAGATTTCGACTTGGTTTATCATCTTGAATGAAACATGATATCGTCAGTGAGCCCATTCAGTCACATACCCTGTATTAAACAGGCAGCCGAGGTTGAAATATCCCTGTTCGAGACAGGCCAGCGGACGTCGGCCGATCGAAAATGTGCACCCGTGTCTAACGAGTCGGCCGGTAGGCTCAAAAAGAGTTGATATTTACAGCTGGGCCCATAGATTGTGATAGTCGATGTAAACATGTCGGCCGATCACCAGGGGAAAATGGGGTGTTGTGTGATGTTATCAGCTCGGCCCATGTTGAATATAGTGGCCGAGTGTACAGATCAGCCAATGATGGGTGTGAAGCTATTGTCTGGGTGTACTGATGAAAATGAATGTCTGATGCTATCATGTCGGCCGATTGACATGAATGCCTGATGCAATCATGTCGGCCGACAGACTTTGTTGTCTGATGCAATCAAGTGAGCCGATGGAACCAATACTATCGAATCGGCCGATTGAAATGTATGCCCGATGCTATCAGGTGGGCCGATGGATATGAGTTTGTGATGAAGTCAGGTCGGCCGATAGAACTGATGCTATCAGGTCGGCCGATATGATGTGTTGGCTGATTTAATCGGGTGGGCCGATGCGATCAAGTGAGCCGAGACCGAAGTCAAAAACATCGGCCGAGATATGACCAAAATCAAAAACATCAGCCGAGATATGACTGAAGTCAAAAACATCGGTCAACATCAAAAACATCGGTCAGCATCAAAGACATCGGTCGGCATCAAAAACATTGGTCGAGATATCTCCGAAATCAAAAACATCGGCCAAGATATGACTGAAGTCAAACACATCGGTCGGCATCAAAAACATCGGCCAAGATATGACCAAAGTCAAAAACATCGGTCAACATCAAAAACATCGGTCGGCATCAAAAACATCGGTCGGCATCAAAAACATCGGTCAAGATATCTCCGAAATCAAAAACATCGGCCAAGATATGACTGAAGTCAAAAACATCGGTCAACATCAAAAACATCGGTCAGCATCAAAGACATCGGTCGGCATCAAAAATATCGGTCGGCATCAAAAACATCGGTTGAGATATCTCCAAAATCAAAAAACATCGGCCAAGATATGACTGAAGTCAAAAACATCGGTCGGCATCAAAAACATCGGTCAACATCAAAAACATCGGTCCAGATATGGCCGAGATATGACTGAGGTCAAAAACATCGGTCAAGATATGGCCGAAACATGTTGAAACATCAGCCGACCGAGATATGGCTGAAATCCAAAACATCAGAGATAATGAGAAAAATGACAGTTGTAGTCCAAGTCAAGGTGAGCACATCAGTAGTCTTATCTTGTCAATTGGTTGTGGTTTGACCGAGATATAAGCTAAGGAAATACGAAACATTGCCGACCAACATATGACCGAGATCCACAATATCGGCCGACCAAAAGTTGTTTTTATGCTTAACATTGTTAACAACAGATGTAGCCCCAGTAAAGGTGAGCATATTGGTAGTATTATTTTGTCAATCGGCTATCATCTGACCAAGATATAAGCTAAATAAATCCAAAACATCGGCCGACTGTGGATATAACTGAAATCTGAATTACTATGGCTCATAACTTTATCAGATCTGATCCATTTTTGAAGATTAGACCATTGATGTGTTCACCTAGATGAGTACTACCCATTTTTAAGCAACCGGTGTCATGCATGGTATGCAGTCCATACCATGACATGTGTGCTATACAAAAGATAAGGAAGGTATAATGAACTGTACTCTACCATATCACCAAGTGATTCTATCATTTTTCATTGATTCATCAGTCTGTTTTCTGAAGCCTCGTTTCTCGTGTTTCATTTCTCGTATTATACACGGGGATTTCTATGTATTTCTATTTTGTTCTGTGACCTTCCATTTCTTTCTATTTATTCTTGGCTTATTCATCAGACTTTCTCACTAGCTGACTGATCATGTTTGTAATCAGGTCATGTGACTGGGAAATAAGGTGATTTGTAAGGATTCAGCCTGACTCATCGTGTTTTGTCACTGATTCGTCATGGTTTGTAAGACTTGCAACTGTATTTATAATCTTCTTAGTAAACAGGATGACTCAGCTCACCAAAAGGCTTGGTTTGTAAGCACAACCTTACCAATCCATGAGATGACTCATGCCTTTGATTTATCATGCTTTGTAAGATACATGTATTATTAGTAAAACAAGCTGACTCAGCACACCAAATGGTAGGATTTGTAAGCACATTCTTACCAATCCATGTGATGAATCATGCTTAGTAATCTGGCCTCCAAAAAGGTATAAAAGGAGCCCATTTTACACCCATGCAAATAGAACTTCCCACTTTAAACCTAATTCACTAATCTGAGAGTGAGATTCAGGCAAGACATAGTCAAAGTGCAGGCAAACCAAGTGCCTTGAAGTAAGACTAAGACAAAACTTATACTCTAAACCTATCCCACTAACTGAGAGTGAGATCAAGGCAAGACATAGTAAGGGTGCAAGTACTATCATTTTCAACAAAGTAATTTTAGGTTAAAGAGCCCACAGGGAGGCTATCCAGAATAACCAAGTTACTCATCACTACTCTACTGAGCCAAGCTCTACATATATTTATCAAGGACATCTCTCTTTTACAGGAAGAGAAATACGAGACAGGAGAACACGACAAAGTTGAGACATACTTTCATAGGTTGAGACATGACCTACTAGGGTGAAACATACCTATCATTTTTCATACACAACAAAATCACAGAAATCAGTCCATATAGTTTCTTCAGACAAAAAGGTAACTTGTTTACTCTTTGACCACCCACGAACAACACGTTATCAACCGAGAAGTAGAAAATCTGTTGACCGTGAACTTGAGGAGCTGGCAACTTCTAGTCTTATCTAAGTGTAGTTGTGATTGTCACTACATTTTACACTGATTTCACATAAGACCCTCAAGTAAGAAGACACCGGGCCCAAAATCATCAGTTGAAATTGATCCTGGAGTGGTCTTTCAGCTTTTGCAACAGGTAGGCAACTGCACAAAGTCACATTTATATATAATTCAAGTTGAATATTTCATTAAATATATGTAAGATAGACTGTAAACTACCTAAGGAACCAATACTACATATTGCCCTGAGGGTAGGGGGTGAGTGGAAGGGATGTAGTGTAGATGTGTGTTGACCTAGCCTTAAAGTCCTACTATTGCTCAACTGACCATTTTCGATGTTTTGGGTCTTTGAGCTTTCTCACACTCAATTTCTTATCTATTTCACTTCCTCAGCATTCAATTCTTGTTGGATTGTTCTGTAAATGTATACTTATGATACTGAATATATTGTAAATGTACACCAAGTTTCTGATTATTAAATTTCGATGTTTTGAAGGTATTGATATCTTATCAGTAGAAATAGCAAGCATATGCAGTATCTCAAACTAACAGCCTATTTTGAACTGATCTTCATCATGAAAGGAAGTATATATACTATTCTAATGATATATTAACAGGGTTGACCAGATGTGCAAGGGTAAGATACTGAAAAACATCAAAAATGTCAAAAATGCGATTTTCTATCATTTTGTTTCTGTAGAAGGATCCTATGTGTGTCCTGGGCTGGATGTATGATATATACACTACAAATAAGCGTAGGAATGGACTCCCTACTATCTTTGAGGTCCGGTACTACAGGGAAAAAAATTCCCAGGGGGTAAACCACCAGGAGAGGGGGGGTACACTATACAATAAGGGATTCTACTATGATCCTGGGCTCCTGATACATTGTTTCTATTGCTGAATAGATGATGGGGATATAATTTCAAGGTCTATTCACCTAGACATAAGCAATAGGAACAAAATTTGTACTTTTATGTATATATGCCATATACATGGATGCAGGGCGCTTCAGGGGGTCAAATAAAGTTGGCAATCTCCTCATATATACTACTAAACATGTTCTAAATGCCCTAGGACACTTCCCTCTCAAAGGGGCAAAAGTGCGAGAATGTTTTGTGTCCTACATCCTTTTGAAAGGGTCCTGGAGGAGGAGCAGGCATACAAATATACAAAAAAAGCGGTCTATTAAATTATATTGAACATATATATACCAAACTACTACTAATATATGAAGGGGAAGCTATTGTGGTATAATGGTGAAGCTGCAGTGATATTAGGAGGGTGTGGGAATAATTGATATTGTGGAGATTCCCAAAATGGGCAATGTCTTTGGTGTTGTGGGGTAATGTGGGCAAAATTGCGAAAATATGGGGTGTGGGAATAATGTGGGGCGAATGTCAAGTTAATCATAATATTTGTTTCATTATCACCAATGTGTTGAATTTTGGGCATATCTCGGTCATTTCAGTCATATCTCGGCCGATGTTTTGGATTCCGGCCATATCTTGACCGATGTTTTTGATGCCGACCGATGTCTTTGATGTCGGCCGATGTTTTTGATGCTGACCGATGCCTTTGATGCCGACCGATGTTTTTGATGTTCACCGGTGTTTTTGATGTTCACCGGTGTTTTTGATGCCGACCGATGTTTTTGATGTTGACCGATGTTTTTGATGCCGAACGATGTCTTTGATGTCGGCCAATGTTTTTGATGCCAAACGATGTCTTTGATGTCGGCCGATGTTTTTGATGCCGACCGATGTCTTTGATGTCGGCCGATGTTTTTGATGCCGACCGATGTCTTTGATGTCGGCCGATGCCTTTGATGCTGACTGATGCCTTTGATGCTGACCAATGTTTTTGATGTTCACCGGTGTTTTTGATGTTCACCAGTGTTTTTGATGCTGACCGATGTTTTTGATGTTGACCGATGTTTTTGATGCCGACTGATGTCTTTGATGCCAACCGATGTTTTTGATGCCAACTGATGTCTTTGATTTTGGAGATATCTTGACCGATGTTTTTGACTTTGGTTATATCTCGGCCGATGTTTTGGATTTCAGAGATTTCTTGACCGATGTTTTTGACTTTGGTCATATCTCAACCAATGTTTTGGATTTCGGAGATATCCCGACCGATGCTTTGGATTTTGGAGATATCTTGACCGGTGTTTTTGATTTCGCCCAATTTCGACCAATGTTTTTGACTTCTTATCTACTACACTACATACCATGGGCCCACTGTTGGTATCACAAACACACTTTGACCGGCCCACCTGTTTTTATCAAATACGCACTTACGACGGGCCCGCCTGATTGTATCACATACGCACTTACGACGGGCCCACCTGATTGTATCACATACGCACTTACGACGGGCCCGCCTGATTTTATCACATACATCCACTACCTACCATACACTGTCTACCGAAATGTCTATGCTTATCTACTACACCACATACCATGGGCCCACTTGATTGTATCAGGTAAAACACTTGACGTGGGCCCACCTGTATTTAACAGAACATTTTATTGATGGGCCCGCATCCGCTGGCCTGTTAGGAACAGGGATATTTCAACCTGGGCTGTCTGTTTCTATCAAGGGTAAAGTGACTGCAGTATGTGCGTCAGCTAGCAATTAATTCAAAGTCGACAGCGATATGTTGAACAGCGGGAGATATCGCTGGCCAGGTTTAACAGGGAAGTGCAAAGAAGATACATAAACTAGAAGAGTTCTAAAGATCGCCACGTCCTATCTCTATACGTTCTAACCACTGAGCAGTAGTCTATAGGTGAGTGCGTGAATGAGCGTTAGACTTGAGAAAATCATAAAGAAACTTACCAATCAAGCAGTCTCTTCAAAGTCTTCGTTTGTCAACCGTCGAGCGCTCAATAACTTCCTGATGTGTGTGGGCAAATACCCCATTCCCTTGCGTCATATACTGAAAAGTGCTTTCAACATGGGGATAGGTGATTGTTCGAAGATGTCGGGTTGATTCACAGAAGGAGGCCGATCCTCTGGCCTAATGAACCCATCATTTTGAACTTCAAAGGCACACTGGCCCTCGAGATCCGCGGTGTAGATCCCCAAGAAACGACACAGTTTCACATATGCACCGTGATGAGGAAAGTATAATTGTCCAGCAAAGATATTGAGCTGGAGGATCAGGATCTCATGCGGCACCCACTGCGTGGGGAGCAATGGTATACTGTAAAGTTGCAAGCCATCGCATGACTTCATCATTCTGGTGACACGTGGTGTATAGATGTGCAAGTGAACTTGCGTACTTGCCCAGATTGCTGGTAAAAAGGCGTTAGCCTCGAAGGGGCTAATGATGACCAACACTGGCACACCAGACGCTGTGCTTGAAAGAATCCAGTTGACTGGGCGAATGTAGTTGTCTGTTTTGTCTGAGAAGCTGGCCAGAACTGTAGTGAAATCCTTCGAGGCAAGCACATGATGGGTCCACGGCTGCCTCCCTGAAATGGCAGCCGAAGTTGTGGCGAGAACATCGAAAACTGGGGTGAACACACCCGATCCTTTCGGAATACAGCCTGTTCGGATGAAGTACCGGACGTCCTCGTCAATTATATGGTTTGCAGGTACCACCGACAGCGGCCTCTCAACCTCGTGCTGGAGCTCGACTTCATTCACCACTTCTCTCACTTGCTCTTCGTCCAGGCGGTTTTCAGGCAAAATACCGAACCCCAGCTTGTGGAATCTTCCCAAAAGATCTTCTTCTACAAATGTCTGTGGGGCAGAGTCACCCATCAGAGCTGGGGCATATAGCCCTTCCAAGTGATTGGACTCTGGCTGACGCCATGAATTGGCAAATTCAGCAGGAGAAATATTGCCGGATAACAATGAAGACCATGAACAGCAGCGAGATTTATGATCCATGCCATGCTGAAGCCACCGTGGAGCATGACAGCGTATGTCCGCGCACGTTTCAATCATTGCCCACACAAGGATATCTGACACGTGGATGTCCTCAGCAAGGCCCTTGTTGTTGACGTCCCGGATGCTGTGATCTACTTCTGGAGACGCAAAAAACATGACTGAATGGCCGTGACCGAGCCTTCTCATGCGCATGCAACCTGTCAAGATGTTAATGAACGCAACAAATTAAATGTATATGATCCTGACCTTGAACAAGTCGGTCCTTAGTGACCTTTGGTCCTAATGTGACAGCTGCGCGTAACCCCAGAGGCAACTTGATGTCCGTTCCTCGGGTGTGTGCATCATCCAGGTAAAAGACACACTGATCTAGTTGCTGAGCATAGCAAGACGCAGTGAATAGCTCTACAACTTGATCCCGAGTGCGCACCACAAGTCCATCGTGCTCGTTGAAATAAATCGCTGCTTGAACATCTCGGTTGATTTCTAGCCACATCTCCGCCACCTCGTCATTCTGCAATTCAAGCAGTTGTGCACCCACATCGAGCAAGACCCGTATTTCTGGCGACTGCTCCGCGATGACCCTAAGGAGCTCCCGAGCGCCTTTACCAGCTGCATGTGAATTGTAGTGATCGTTTTCGTGTTGCAAAAGGTATGTGAGAACTCTGGCGTTTGTGCCACGCTGGTGTGCCAATGTATGCTGCGATATGGAAGTGGGAAGTAAGTAACGCAAATCGTTTGTTCCACTGAAGCCAGTAGTAGGAAAAGACTTTCGCTCTGCGAGGTCCCATGCAGAGCAAGATAATTTGTGGGGAAATCTCTTTGCTTCCTTTGGAAAAACGATCTGAGCCAAGAAGAAGTCTACAACAGCCTTGGTTTGTCCGAAGAGAGGCACCAGACAGGCATTGAACTGCTCAGCAGACCGCATGTTGATTCCACTGAGGTATCACAGGTTTTCTGGAAGGACATTGGGAGGTAATCCCTTGGTCCACGTCTCATACTCCAATGCGGGATTGTCTTGCTTCAGCAGGTGGCGGAAGCAGGTAGCTAACTGGTCCTCAGTAAGCCCTGCATAGTAGTATGAAAGACATGTAAGGGCGATTGAGATGTCTGGATGTCCGAATTCTGCCTTGGAAGAGGGAATATCTTTGGCTCGGTATGGCACAGCGAGCATCGTGCGTCGAGGATCCAGGCCGTAATCTATGCGCCATCACCACTCCTTCAATGTAGATACCAATATACCGAGTGCAAGGAGACCTCGAATGAGTAGTAGTCCATTCCACAGACTGGTCCCAGTGCAGTAATTTCGGACTTGATCAAGACACTGCACGTCCATGTCGGCTTTAGTGACAATATTGCGGATGGCGTCTTTTATATGAAGTGGCACATGTTCGAAAGCGAAGTTTGGAAGTTCTCCGTCAAGGATGTCATCAAAAACCAGCTGAACCAACTTTTCACCTGCACGAACGTCTAGGACTCTGAATCGTGGAAAGCTTCCGACAGCACCGGACTGAAACTCTACTCCAAGAGGAAAATCTCGGTGCAGGCAACGAGCACGTTTTGCCACGAGAGTCAACACCTGTTGTGTCGTGGTCCATCGGTCGGGATATCCTTCCAACTGCTGTTGGTCGCCCATAGCATAGACAAGTTGAAAACGAACATGCAACAGTTCATCACTCTCATCAAGTATATCATGAGTGTATGTATCAAGCCACCATTGACTTTGCAGCACGGATGTGGCAGATTCAGTCGAGGGCTGTCTGTTTGCCTTCGTGTAGGAAAGCTGTTGCTCCACAGTCATCAACTTGAAAGAGAGGACATGATCCGCTTGTGCGACAAGGACACCGCCAATGTGTTTGCACTCCTCAAACAGTGACTGGATAGTTGATGCATGTTCAGGAGTAATTGGAGAAGAACGCGAGAATGGCAGGTAGAAAATTCGCCTGTTGGTAAGGCCACCGAGTCGTTCCACGAGTAGCTGAAACATTTGCACAACCAGAGGCTTTAGCACGACAACGCGTACTAGCCTGCTGCCATCTGCTAGTGCAGCACAACAGACAGGTACGATCACAGACGATTTTCCCTCCCCATGTGAAGCTGCAGGGCGGCATTGTCCCCAGAACTCGGGGATATCATCTCGGTTGCCACATTGGCTTGCATGGGGCGGATAAGGAATCGGTTCTCTGTCTAGTATCGTTAGCGATCGAGTATTTTGATTATTGACGACCATCAAATACCTGAATTAGAAGCCAGTCCAAATATCCTTGCGTACCATCTACTTCTTGGCAGCCGTCGTTTACTAGCTCATTTATAAACTCCTTGCGGTCCCCACTATTTGCCAGCTTCAGCAGTCGCTGTGATCGTTGTAACCGAAGAAGAATGTGAGCAAAATTGGTCAAAGCGGTTTTCCATGAGTCGTGAAGAGGCGTCATTGACACGGAGGCGAGAAGCCCGAGCATGAAACGGTAATACGTGGCCATTGCCCAGAGTTGAACAAACTCCACTCTGTCACATCTGAGGGAGCTAGGTGTTCTTCCAAGCTGCGCAAAGTGTTGCTATAGAGCTCATTACAACGTGCAAGGTGATGTTGTAACGTGTCGACTGTTGGGATTGGGCTCGGGGAGATGGGTGATTGTTCATTATCCAGATTGGTTCTGCTGTCATCTAGATCTTCAGCATACTGGCGACCAAATTTGTCGGATGAAGGTCGAGATCGCAAGAAAGAGATGACGTGCTTCAGTAGAGTCGAATCACGCCTGCCACCAGAATAATTGTCGGTCAGTGAGACAGGACTTTCAGGATGTGTGATTGGATCCGAAAGTAATGTAATAACGGGGGCGGGCTTTTTGAACAAGTGTTCGGTAAGGACAGTGGTGACAACTGATACAACAGTTGAGTTGCTTGGAGTAAATGCGTATGGTTGCTTCGAGTTGACGGGTGGCGTGAGGGTTTGTCTCGCTTCGTCAAGTACACTCTGCACTTGATCTAAATATATCTTCAGACGATGATTGTGATAGCAGTTCGAATATAGTTTTTCAAGGGTAGCTGTGAGGTTGGGCTTGTCATATCGAGCACTGCTGAGACACTCCAGTGCGCGCCTAGGGACGGAATCGCAAGGCCAACAATCAAGAAGGACATTGACTGCCTTTGTCTGTTCATACAGACACTGTGATTGGAAGAGATCCTGTTGCTGAGCACCAAAATCGCGAGATGACTCGTGAGGGTGACTAGACAAGGACGCCTCAGGGCTATTGTGGAATGTGGGATACGAGGAGATGTGCTTGTGGAGATGATGTTCTGTGGGTATAATTCCGAAGGAGAGGTCATATAGATCATATCCAGGGGAGTGGACTTCGCAGAATTTGGGAATAGCAGCGAACGCGAACATAGTTGCTGCGAGCCTCATATTCTCCGGGGAGGAGTAAGCCATGGCTGATAGTGTGAAAGCGAGTTGGAATGTGTGACGCTTTTGGTTGGTGTGACGGCAAAGTTTGTAGACAGATATCCATCTCTTGGCCAAGTCGGGGTTTAACCATCCTCTATCATATTGAAGAGATATATCTTGCATCTCCCCAGACACTTTATTCCACGGAGCAAAAACATTGTATATCGACTGACAATGTTCCAGAGCGATACTCCAGTCGCGCACACCCTTGGCAGCACTATCCTCCCGTTCTCACGGTCTCTCAGACCCGGTTTTCATGTAGGGCGAAACTGGTCTCTGAGACCACCCACTCCAGCCACCCTCTCCAGAGAGTCTCCCGCTCTATTACTGCAGAGGTTTCAGAGTATCCTCTTGGACCTCGCCGCGAAGACCTCCATCCTTGTGGGAGGGTGTCTTACATTAGATTGAGGCTCGTGTGTGAAGTTCGCGAGGCCACCAGCTAGTTATTTTAAATAAGAGGAGCTCGTCGAGGGTATCTGACATCCCTTATGTTATTCGATCCCTTGGTGCCTATGTTATTTTTGTCGCATATGTTCAAGTCAGTGTGTTTGTCTTGTACTTATGTTATTTCAGATATCTCGTACATTTCTTATGTTTTAATCAACATGTTGCAATGTTCTGATTAACGGAAACATATCAGATTCGGGCAAGCTTCTCAATGATCTCGCTTCGAAGGAGACAACAGCAGGCTATGGAGGAGCCGCTATACTGATATTGACAAAACCGAGTACAAAGTGTAGTAGATAGCAAAGTAGGTGGGGTATAACACGGGTGCGAGACGCCAATGAGACAACGACAAGGTAAACATACGACAAATCCAGACATGAGCAACACATGATGCGAAAAGAACAGATCAACTGAAAACGGCCAAAAACGCTTGAGCAGCAAGGAGGGCATTAAGTAGCAGGAGGAGGCTTCAGGGGATTGGGCAGATCGCGACTGAATGCTCGTGGTATAGCATCATGACCATAGTCATCTTCATCCCATCTTGAATCCTGGAATCTCCTGCTGGGGCCTTGGGGGTATCCACCCTCGCGGTAATGCCCTCCACCAACTGGATGACTATGATAGGGACTTAGCGATTGCCCGCGCTCATCGAGGTCATCGCGTCGGGGCCTGTATCGGGTTGGGTAGGTGCGTTTGCGCTCACCAGGACCATAGTTATCATGAAATTCGGACGCAGGTGAGCTGTCGCGAGTATTCAAGTCACTTTCTACACGAATATCACCAGATCCATAAGGATCTTGGGGTGGACCGTAGCGGGAATTGCGAGAATTGCGGTGGTAGAATGCATCACGGGGGTGAAGAGTGTCACGGTCGAGGCCACGCACAGGTTCTTGCGAGTACCCTGAGTACCCTCGGGTGTACGGATAACGAGGATCAGTGTCCCAAGAATCACGAAGGCCATCGCGAGGGTCACGTACGACCTCACGATGGTTGTATGGAGGGTTGCGAACAGCACTTCGAGTGTCTTCATGACGGAGAGGGTCGCGGAGAGGGTCACGACCATCCCGAGGATCGTGGAGAGGGTAACGACCATCCCGAGGGTCGTGGAGAGGGTTGCGTGGAAGCTCACGACCGTCTCGAGGATTGTCACAAGGGGCATCATGGGGAATGTCGTCACGAGGGGCATCATGTGGACGCTCGTCCTGAGTTTCACGAGGAGTGCGGGGACGAGGGGTGTCGGAGTCACGAACAGGCTGCTCATTGGGAACAGTAACACTCAATGGGGCGGTTGGGGGTAGTTCTTCCTCCATACCTCCTACTACTTCATCCTTCACCCGCTGTGTAGACTTTTCCTCCAAAAGTTCAGATTGAGTATTTGCTGAACCAGTAGCCTCGGGGATGGCGCCCATTGTGGTAGCAGAATCAGCCTTCATGCTCCTGGCGACGTCAGACCCAGAGTCCGATTTCCCGTACACCATACGAAGGCCACGGTTCATCACCACCCGAGAGACCTTGGTGAGTGGGCGTGGTTTAACACGTTCTAGAGTATATAAATTAAATCACATGGAATCAATGGGATAAAACAAAATAAAATACCCTTTTTGGACTCGTCAGAAGGTCCGTCTCGGAGACGCATTGCTTTACCGACTTCACCTATCGAACTTTAAGCAAATATTAAGACAGACGCACATGGTACTCACTATTTTCTGGCGATGGCAGACCATCGGTCGATGATCCCACTGTTAAAGGCGATAGCAGACCGCCTTTCATGGGGAAAGTATTCGAGGTTGACAAGGGAGGCGGAGGCGCCTTGGGTTGGACATTATTCTTACCCCACCCACCTTTCTTCCCCACTTTTGGAGAATTAGTCTTTTCAGTAGACAGGGCAGTCTTCTTAAACCCACGTGATGTATTCGCGGACTTCAGCTTCCTTTTCTTTCCTTGTCCTGGTTCCTCGTACTCAGGGTCGGACTCATCCACGGAGTTCTCTTCAGTGGACGTAAATTCTATTACCTCACTCCGAGTTGCAGGTGGCTTTGGAACAACTTTGAAAGGACGCGATGGCGGAGGTCGGACGACTTTGAAAGGCCGTGATGGTGGAGGTACAACTTCGACTCGCATATTAGGGTTAGGCTTTCGGAGAATTGTTCGAGGTAGGGCCTTGGGCGCGGAAGTTCCAACTGAATCATCATTATCCACACCTTCATCATCGGAGGGTGTAGGGGACTCGCGTGCTTTACCCTTACCCTTTTTGACCTTCGTAGTTGCTGTACTAGGCTTGAGGCGAGGGAGCCCATTGTGATCAGTGTGACCGTCAAGGAACAACCATCGTGCACCATGTTGGGGCCATTCAGGCGGAGGTGCTTCGCCCTCGATTACGGCCTTCTGAGAAGTGCTCACAGCCACTATATATCATGTAAGTATAACATAGTTACCATAATATGACACGTACATCGATCCTCCTGGGGAAATTGGGTGATGTGCATAGTGCCCGCCCTCAAAGAATCAACAAGCGCAGTGATCTCCTTCTGCATCAGCGCCCCAATGCCTTTGTTTAGCGCAAGTTTACTGTGAGCCTCGCCGGGAAATATGCATCTGTGTGCAGGATATCCTTGGATCCTGAGATTGGCTTCCATGAGCGCGGCCGGCATAAGTTTCCAAGGGAAGATCTTCCCGCTGTTGATTGTGCAGCCAAATTTGGCTGGTGCGATGCGGGGCATGTCAGTCCAAATGAGGATAAATGGTAATCATTGCACATACCAGCTTGCTTGGTGATTTCTTGCTTCACGAATTTCAAGCCATCCTCCCGTCGTCCCTCCACCACGTCAGAAGCCTGGTCTACGTCGTTGGCAAGGCTTGGAGTCGTTTTTTTGCGGCTATCGTCCTCTGTTTCTGGAAATGCTTCTTCGATCGCAGATAGCAATGTAGTGTTACTGGTTGGGGCCATGTAAGCATTATGTAGCATGAGCATAAATGTACTCACTACACATGGGCTTTGAGATGACCAATGATCGCGTCATCGCTGGCACGGCATCGCGTTTCCCAGAACTGCGAGTTGCTGAGTACATGTGGAAATTTGAAATAAAAATGAGCTTACACCAGCAGCACCAGATGTGCTGTAAGAATGGCCAAGCGAAGCGTCTTCATTAACAATCTTACCACATAGTACAACGGCACCCTCAAACCCGAATCTAGCGGAGCCGGACTGAAGCTATAACAACAAGTGTCAAAAAATGTCGATACTTTGGCAGCAATTACGTACAATGCTCATCACACTTCGGTAGTGTCTTTGGAACGCCTGTCCGCGCTGGGCTATGGTCTGGGGAGATGAACCCAGGTGAGATACTTCCTCGTGCTTTGACAGGATGTCTTGATAGGCGTCTGGAAAGGTGTCCTTGAATTTCTCGTAGCATTGTGTCCGCAAGGTCGCACCTGTGAAGGATGTGAGCATGCAGTATCATGTTGTAGTTTCACATGAACTTACTAGGCGTCCCACTGCCTTCTGGTACCTCTTTTCCAATGCGGCCGAGCTCATCTTGCATGTGGTCCTTGAAGTAATTCGCGTAAAGATTCCAGTAGTTGGTGCCACTCACACTGCGTCCTCGAGACTTCAGGTATAAGTTGACCAGTTGGTGCATGGGGAGGGTGGTGGACACTGAGACCCAGTGAAAACCCACTGTTCTGAGAATGGCTCGGGTTGTCTGAGGTTGTGTGTGAATTTGAGAAGCCTTTGAGATTGTCTGAGATTGGCTGGCGAAGTTGATGCTAATAATAGAACTGGTCTGAAATTGTGCGATATCGATTATCACATTGTTGCACGCTGCATCCAGCACCTAACAGCTCCGCCATCACAACACACTCGCCTACTAGTAGCATGCCACCACCAAAAGTGTATCAAGTCATGCGCAAGGGCCGCGTTCAAACGGTCTCCAAAGCTCAATATTACCGTTTAAAAGCCCAGGACGGTGGTGCAAACACACGGACTCCAGACCTTCAAGCGCTATTAGTCGCTCGAGCACAAGCCGATGCTCCAATTGCTTCGTCAAGTACCTCTAGTGAGTCAGGAACTATTGTCAATAGCATTAATGTTCTAATAAATGTGATCATATATTAGCGGAGCTAACAAGAGAGCGCGCACGCTCAATTCAAAGCGGTGACGTGGATATGACTCTCGATGAGAATGCTCCAGAAGATGAGGTAAAGTCAATTACCTACCAACTGTTGTTTGATTTATTGACGAGGCATGTCCTGTACAGTTTTACAATGATAATGGTCTCCCAGACCCTCTCACTGGTGACGAGGGCCATCCTGCACCTCCACCAGACCCTCCTATTGGTGACGAGGGCCATCCTGCACCTCCACCAGACCATCCTGTTGGCGACGAGGGCCATCCTGCACCTCCACCAGACCATCCTGCACCTCTGCCAGACCCTCCTATTGGTGACGAGGGCAATCCTGCACCTCTGCCAGACCCTCCTGTTGGTGACGAGGACCGGCGCACCATACAAGATGTTGATTTGGATGAAATTCAACGTCTTGCGAGTGTCGGCGGGCACAAAGATATATTGCAATCCATTTCATTTATTCAGGCTCTTCGACGGTCCACTTTAGATGACAGTCTCTCGCCACTTGATCCAGATGCTCTTGATCGTCTCCGAAACCCTCCGCAGCTTCAACTTAAAATTGAGGACCCCCATCTGCGTCTAGCTATCGAAACCTATCTTGCGCTTGAACATTCTGCAGTGGAAGCATACAATAATGTCCGCAAAGCTGTCCTACGATGCTACCCAGACACAGTCTTTCCTTCCCACCATGAAATCAAACGTATTGTGGCGCAGATGAGCGGGATTGATTCCATCATAGATGACATGTGTGCGGAGGGCTGCACAGCTTTCACAGGAGATTATGCACTTCTCGACCGCTGTCCTCATTGTCATTCTTATCGCTATGATCAGATCAAATACGACGCCTCTAATGGCAAAGTTAAGTCACCCGTCAAGGTGTTTCACACAGTCCCCATCGGTCCACAACTCCAGACGCTCTACCGAGACCCTAGTGGAGCGGCTAACATGCGCTATCGTGATGAACGCACAAAACGTGTCCTGGAAGAGCTCGAACTGGGTGATGGCAAGCTTTCTGCATACGATGACATCATTACGGGTACAGAATATCTGAAAGCAGTCAATGAAGGCAAAATCCAACACAACGATATCGTTCTCATGTTATCGATTGATGGCGCCCAACTCTACGAGAGCAAGGAGTCCGATTGCTGGATATACATTTGGATCATCATTAATCTCTCTCCCGATCTACGTTACAAGAAAAAGTATATCCTCCCGGGCGGAATCATACCTGGGCCTAATAAGCCAAAATTCATAGAATCATTCCTTTTTCCTGGTCTACACCATCTCGTGGGCTTGCAGAAGGAAGGGCTTCGCATATGGGATGCATCCAAGGACCGAATGTTTACGTCAGATCTCTTTTTCGCATTTGGAACTGCGGATGGCCCCGGCTTACTTTGTTTGAGCTCGATGGTTGGGCATACCGGGAAGAACGGGTGCAGGATGTATTGTGGTCTGAAGGGACGTCACAAGCCTGGGCAGCCGCAATACTACCCTGTGCTCCTCAAGCCTATTGACTATACTGTTTCCGGATGCGATCACGATGACATTGATATCAACAAACTTTCCTTATCACCATGTTCTGACTATGTCGACAATCTTTACCGTGTCGTCTCCGCTACAACAACAGCCCAGTATAATCAGCAGCGACTCAAAACAGGTATCATCAAGCCAAGCATATTGCTTGGCCTCTTGCCCAACCGCATGTTTGGCATTCCTGAATGCTTCACCCCCAATATCATGCACTTTGAGGGCCCCAATATGGGTTCGCTCTTCACTGATTTGTGGCGTGGCACAATGAGGTGCGATCCCTCAGATAATAGAGACCTATGGGACTGGGCAGTATTCCGGGACAAGGCTGTTTGGATGGATCACGGTGCCACTGTAGCTGCATGCGCACGATACCTCCCCGGCTCATTTGATCGGCCCCCACGCAATCCTGCTGAAAAGATTAACACTTACTACAAAGCCTGGGAGTTCATCCTATGGCTGTGGGGCCTTGGCCCAGGTATTCTCTATGGTATCTTGCCTGACAAATACTGGCAAAACTTCTGCAAATTTGTGCGAGGCGTCCGAATCATGAGTCAGCATAGCCTCACGTTCGAGGACATACAGGAGGCTCACAGGTGCTTTTGTGAATGGGAGTACGAGTTCGAATGCATATATTATCAGCGACGGGCAGACCGAATCCATTTCATTCGGCCATGTGCTCACCAGGCAAATCATCTAGCAGCTGAAGGTTTTCGATCGGGTCCATCTGTGTGTTATGCACAGTGGACCATGGAACGTGTCATTGGTATGCTGGGGATGGAAATACGCCAGCCTTCAAATCCATTTACGAACCTAACTTTCCTTGCCATTCGCCGCTGTCAGATCAATGCCCTCAAAGTCATGATTCCCGACTTAGAACCACCCGACGGCCTCCTTCCAAATCATTCTGTCAATCTCGGGGGCGGTTACGTTCTCCTCAGGGCTCGTGACAGATATAGCTATCGTCCCGGTGAAGCCGAGCTGCGATTGATTAGTCGATTCCTGGATGCACCTGTTCCAAAGTTCAAGCGCTGGGCGAGACTGCGCCTTCCAAATGGGCAGGTTGCTCGCTGTGCATGGAAGGAGACACTCAAGCCTGCAGAGAAAGTTCGCATGGCACGAAACATCAAGGTGATTCTCCTAACTCACATTACACCGCAGATTCTCACCACAAATTCAGGTCACAATCAATGACAGGAGCGAAATTGCAGAAGTGCTGTACTACGCCCAGCTTGCAGTGAAGGTTCACGAAGATGATATAGGCGAGGACGAAAATGGTACACAGCTAGAGTACAATGAGGACGGGGTCTATCGGTTCATCACAGTCGCAATGGTCTCAGTTTATTCTCGCCCAGACCCAGAACTACTCCAGAAGTCTTCACAGACTGTCTGGTCATGCCAACATCATGGTGACCAGGCACTACAACTTGTCAGCGTGAAATCAATCCACTCAGTGGTAGCTATGGTACCTCACCGTCCTGTACTCCCATCCGGAGTCGAAGAGGATCGCTTTTTTCTGCTTGAAAAGCCAGGGCTTGGTTTGCTCACTGTTGACGAGGAGACAGAAGATGAAGGAGACGGGGATGAGTAGACGGGAACAGGTGGTAGCAGAGAGACTTACTATAATTTTGTATCATGTGGTCAATGCGCCGCCCCCTAATTGTTCTACCTCCGCCACGATGATATACCCCCCTAGCAATTTCTTCCCGTCTTGTGCGCAAGGGATGAGTGGTACTCTTGGGCGTCTGGGGTCAGGTGGAGGTAGCGACACGATAAGAAGAAGGTCAAGTGCCGGGTGTGGGAGGGGGGCAAGTGAATTGGAGGGTCCAGCAGATACATGCTTATAAGCTTGTTGCGTGGAGCGTAGGACCAACGCCACTGATCAGGTTTGCTAAAGGAAGGTATATGTCCTCGGGTTGAGGTCCTGGGCTTAGTGGTGGGGGGACGATAGACGCTGGTATGATTCGACTAAGCGCTGAGACCAAAGATGACCGAGTCTGCGAAACACGTGAGTGCAAGCAAGGCAAAGCAAGGAACAGTACTAACCCAGGTTTGAGTCGCCTGTGCGAAATAGAGAGAGTTGCTGAGTGTTACCGAGCGACAGGTGAGGGACGTGTGCACCATAGGCAAGTACTCTTCCTTGATGTCAGGGAAGATGAGGAAGTGAACTGATCGTGCATCGGGAACAGAAGGATCCTTTACAGATGTATCAGCATGGTCAGTCACAGCGCTTTCCCGTCGAACACGCACCATAGTCCTGCAAAGGGTGAACAGTGTCTCGAATAGCGTGTTGAGAGCAGTAACTCTGTATCAAAGGTATCTCGCAGGTTCATCTCCTCACAATGCTTCACCTGTTCATGGCTGTTTCCACCTAGTTCTACGCGAACGGTACCTTCGAAACGATATATCTTGCGGTGTTGACGGCTGTAGGGCATGCGATGCAACAGCGCAGACCCATTTAGTAGTTCTATTGATATGTTTCAAGAACCGTGTTGCAATATTAATGCTACCATGACAAGAAATACATTAGTGAGAGTACAGTAAGAGCGGCAGCAAGTAAGAGTGGCGGCACAATTAAACTTTACGCCGCTTCGTGAACCTCTGCTGGAGCTCCTGCTCATCAGCATCTCTTTTCTCCGCTTTGGCACTAAGATGAGATGCACCAATTGGACGCACGAGGTAGCGCCAAGGCACAGTGGGATTGTCTGGATCTGGGTTGGGGTTTTCGAGGCGCCTGCTAAGGAGGTTACATGGAGAGGCGCTGCTGCAAGAGAAACAGGTAAGTAAACAGTAAAATAGGGGCACCGTAATTGTACAGAGGAATGGCCTGGGGACATTTGTCTTCTTCTTCCTCTTTCTTGACCACCAATTCCTCCTCCGACTCGTCTTCCGATGTCTCGACCACCGACTCTTCTTCAAGCTTGTCTTCCGATACCTGAGAATTATCTTCCTTGTCCTTACCATTTTTCAACTTGAGTATCTGGGCATCTTTAAAGCGTAAAACAATTCTCTGCATATGTGTGAGATAGGCATTGAAAATAACAGATGACTTTACCTTGCGTCCAGGAGAGTCAACATCGAGTGCGAAGCAGTATGTGTCCCAGGACGGAACAACATTGTCAATATCGAGGAAAATAATGTCCTCGAGAATTCTGACAGTGTCGATTATGATAGGCATTAGGGTATTAAATTAGAGTGATATGAAAGCCTACGTTTCGAGGACTTAACGAAATATCCCCAGACTTCGGAACTTTCCAGAATATCCCCAGACTTCAAGTGGGTCATGTGAGCGCGTTTTCGAGCGCGTTAAGGTCTTTCTCTTATACCACCACAACCATGTCTTATTCTTTTCCCCAGTATAATAACTTTACACCATCTGACAATTATGAAACACCATACCCTAATATCCCTAATCATTCTACAGGCAGTTTAGATATGATGTCTCCCGGCCCCCCTGAATTGAGTGGGCATGAGACTATGGTAAGTCATGTCTTTGTTACAAACTAGCTACTAGTAAGAATTAACACACTATTATTAGGGAGCAAATGGACTTATGAGCGCATATATGCGCCTTGATGAACAGGTCAACGGCACCACTGGTCCACAGAGTAATTTTTATGAGTGTACTGACTTTGAGTGCATATATGTGTGTTTATTGACAGATTAAAGTCCTGCACAGTGAAATTTTACAGCTGCGGATGGATAACCAAATGCTGACACGCGAGCGGGATTTACATCAGTGCGTAGTTTTTTCTTTGTATCACTGGCATTCTCTGACATCTAGTTACTTGTTTACCAGGACCGCTTATACTAAGCTCGCAGAATCTCTAACTCTAGCTCCAGATGCTGCCAGCCTCAGTACCCTTGCCCCTCAGACACTGCCAGTGATGCTCAAGGCAAAGGAAATCTGTGTCCCGTCCTATAATCGATCCGACTTCCCTACCGAGTTCATATGGACAAAGGAAGACTGGAAGAAACACCTAGAGAAGCCATCAACCCAGCTCGAGAAGTCGCATCCCTTGCACTTTGTCGTCGACAAGAACAACAGGCCCGTTCCAATGGAGCTTATTTCAGCAATTCGTACCACACATCTCGTCGGGTCTTTGTGGATATCTGGAACATCAAAGAGGCACCGAAAAGCTGGGGAGCTGCGTCAGGATCCGCCAGCAAGCTGTACTACCGAGAGATGATAACATTCTTCCCTGAACTCGGCTACTGCGACGGCAATTGGAAATGTGATTCTATTGCAACGGCAAGCTATACCTCTTGGCGTAGGAACCATATCAGCCGCTTGATCCGCGAAGGGACCTACAAGCCGACAGTGGACGACATGATCGATTTTGATAACCTCGAGACATTAGACACTGATGACATCAACAATGCCACTGACGATATGAAGATTAGGAAACGGACTCGTGACTCTCAGGCTGACCCACTAATTTGCACTGTGTCGACTTCCACCAAGAAGCAGAAACCTTCAGAAATATCTGGTATGTCAATTGACTACTACAGTGGCTCAAAAAAGTGTCCGGATGTTTGTGTGATTTTGAGTAATTGGATCATAGCAAGCCAGCACCTAAATATAACATATTGGTATAGGGACATGTCTGAAAGCCCTACATCATGGCTCGAATCTGAGCTATGTAGCGTGGGAACAAACCCTTATATGGGCGAGATATGGTAATTCTATTCTTATGACTCATTCGGACACTTTTTTGACTTTGTGTTAAATCAATTTTATTGTATGATTCTAGTACTTTGTGTTGCCCCCCTTGGCTTTAATAACTGCTGCAACCCTTCTAGGCATACTTTCTATCAATTTCTGACACTCCTCTTTGGCAATTTTTGCCCATTCTACTGCAACTCTCTCCCATAGTTCAAATTGCCCTTTTGGAGGATCTTGATAGGCAGCAAGTAGTCTCTTGAGTAATTCCCAGAGATGTTCAATGGGATTAAGGTCTGGAGACTGTGCTGGCCATAATAAAACATTGATGTCATGGTCTTCAAACCATTTTGTGGCCAGCTTGGAGGTATGCTTGGGGTCATTATCTTGTTGAAAGATAATGTCTTCTTCATCAATTTCTGACTCCTGCATGCTTTTGAGTAGACACTCCTCTAGGATGGAGATGTACTGCTCTGCATTCATCCTTCCCTCCACCTCACAGAGAATCCCAACACCATTCCACCCCATGCAGCCCCATACCATCATACTTCCTCCTCCAAACTTCAGTGTACCCCTAACTTCTCTTTCTCCTAGGGGTTCTCCTGCTTTTCCACACATATTCCTGATCATCTGACCCCATTCTATTGATTTTTGTTTCATCTGACCAAATAACCTTCTTTTAGTCTTCTACAGTTCAATGTTGGTGCTTTAAAGCAAAGGCCAGTCTTCTCTTCCTATGAGCTGCTGAGAGAAGAGGTTTTTTCTTCTTGGTTACAGCCTTAAGGTTGGCTGCCTTGAGGGTGTTTCTGATTGTTTGGATGGAGACAGGAGTAGAGATAATGGAATTGATGAACTTGGTGGCTTACACAGCATTTGAAGCCTTGCCAGACAGAATTTGATGAACAACAGCTCTGTTGTTCTGTGGGGTAAGCTTAGGAGGACATCCCATTCTGACATTTTCCTTATCTGGTATGTTCTTCTTTATAACTGTAGCAATAGTAGACTTGCCAAGACCAGTTTTGGAAGCAATATTCCTGATAGATAAACCAGAGGTAGAGAGAACAAGGATATTATCCTTTTGAGCAGAGGAGATGGGCTTTATGATGAGTATGTTAAATTTTATGATTTTAAGTGGGTTTATATATTTAAATAATATTAAAATTAGACCATATTATTATTATGGTACCACTTTTATTAAGATTATTATGTATGAATGTTCTCATTTTGTGATTTTAATATAAAGTCAAAAAAGTGTCCGAATGAATCATAAGAATAGAATTACCATATCTCGCCCATATAAGGGTTTGTTCCCACGCTACATAGCTCAGATTCGAGCCATGATGTAGGGCTTTCAGACATGTCCCTATACCAATATGTTATATTTAGGTGCTGGCTTGCTATGATCCAATTACTCAAAATCACACAAACATCCGGACACTTTTTTGAGCCACTGTATATTTTGTCTGTCTAACCCATTTGCATTAGTAGTAGCTATCAAACAGGACTCGCCGTCACTACCAGAAGATGTGGAGCAGAAAGTACTTGGTACGTGCATGAGCCTGCCTTTCGCACTCATTTTCCATTTTTACTTGTTGGAAACTTCTAGAATCAGACGAGAACGCACCACCGGCAGAGTCGCAGCCTCATACTGACGATGTATCACAAATGACTACAGTTTCTACACTGGAGCCTACAAGTCCCTTGGCGAAGACGCGCCCATCCAAGCCTGCCAGAGTACGTATTTACGTCTATAGTATCCAAGCTATATCATATTCAGATGTTCATTGATTCTTAGTTCCGCGCACGACCATTACAATTCGCAAACCCACTGTAAGTCTCATAGCAATAACACATCATTATTTAAAAGCTAACTATTACTACTTAGAACAACCCAAGCTACAAATGGACCTCCGCTAATTGAAGTCCCTCCCCACAAAGAACCGGAGCCGGCAGCCCCAACCATTGTGCTACAAGCCCCTCCTGAAGACCAGCGGCCAACAGCCCTGACCTCGACTATCACACTAACCTCCCCCTCCGAAGACCTGCAGCCAACAACCCCAACCATAAGAACTGAACCAGATACGCCCAGTGCCTCTGATGTGAGCACCACTGCTAATTCTGCTCCGATGAAGAAGTCGAGGAAGATGCAGATTGGAAAGGCACAGAATGGAAGGTATGTGGTGTGGCGTGTCATTGTACATATTCATAGAGTCCCTCTTAGAAACCTATGTGCACAAGAATGGCTCGCTCGTACCAAGAACGGCTCTGCGGCAGAATTCAAGCTCTACTATGACGGATTATTGGCAGCAGAGAGAATGGTGTGTTGTCGTGTTCTGTCTAGCGAGTTTTTGCTCATACATTTAATTAGTCGTACAATGACCTCGCTGCGAAAAAGGTATGTCTTGCCAATATTTCATTTTTCATGTGACCGCCATTGCAGATATTCTCTCAACTACTCCACCAGGTTGCCGCTGGCGAGTGGCCCCGTTAGCAACGATCTTTGGACCTCGTCATCTCTCCATTATCTTGATCATCTTGGCACGAAGGTGAGCCTAGTTGATATAGCATTGCTCCTACTTATGTTCTCTCGCAGCTGGTACTACTCTCCTTGAACAACTTCCCGCAATCCTGCCGTCCCCCAGGACCTCCCTGCACAACGATTGTCCGGATATGAACGGAGCACTGGGTGGAGTGGACGGTGGTGTGATGTGCTGTGTTTTATCGTATCCGTCTACCTGTAATGTACATCACCGCATCCACACAATATCAGCAGATTCGGGACAATTTAGAGTGACGCACATCTAGCACATCTGGGACAATATCAGCAGGTCCTGGACAATCTAGGGTGATGTGCGGCTAGCACATTTGGGACAATATCAGCAGGTCCTGGACAATCTAGGGTGATGTGCGCAAGCAAGCAATAATTGTGTCTAAACGATCTGAGACAATCATAGACATTCGCACATGTGCTATTAGTCTCATTTTCGTGCTGATATTGTCTCGATCAGTTCAGACGATTTCACGCAACCTCAGCCATTCTGGGAAGAGTGGGTTTTCACTGGGACTGAGAGCTCAAGAAAGTAACGCTCGATGTCCGCAAACCCAGTATCGAGGGCTGTGTTCATTTCGGCTGACCTGCGGCCAGTTACTGCTTGATCCTCTCCGTGCGTTATGGGCTCGCTCTCTTCAGGGAACCGTACGCGGTGGGTGGTAGCTGGAGGATAGTACCCTATGTCCAACTTTGGACTGGGGTCTCTTGGGGGTCCATTATTGGTGGACGCAGAGGCGGCAGAGGTGTTACTGCCACCAACATGGAGTGGGGTTGGCGGGATGATATTCGTGGCTGGGATAGGACGAGCATGATCTTGAGGCGGTAAATATGCCACAGGACGCAGAGTGAATGATGAGTTCTGCGTAAATCCCACAGAAGGTTGGCCTGTTGGATCTAGCGAACATCCGCGAGACATGACAGACTGAGCAGATGAACTGGCGGGAAAATGAAAAGGTGTGTGAGAAAGCAGAGGTGCAAGGCGGCTCGCATTCTGTGTGTTGATCGGTTGAGAGCCTTGCACATTAGTCACAGACGGTGCAGGCCACAGCGACTTGTCGCCCATGCCAACCATACCAAGAGCTTGATCTCCAAGCAATCCAGCCGCCGTGAAAGGATGAGGCTGCATCATGCCGAAATCATCAGATGGGTTTTGCTCCATCCAAGGAGGCTGCTGGTCCATAGGGCCATAAAACAAATCCTGTAGTGGTGCAGGAGTTTGTGGTGGAGGAAAGGGTGAGGTGTGACGACTGTTGACCGCGTTCAATGTAAGTGATGACGTCTCGCTTGTTGAAGTTGAAGGACCGTCCTGCGCCATGTGGTTGAATGGAACTGTAGGAAGCCCAGCCTCGGCGGAGGTATTTTGATAGGCCTGGCGTCGGGCAGAAGCGTGCTTGACAATACCAATGTCCCGCTCTGTGGCCTTGAGTCTGGTCCTCAGCCGTGAGGGAGTCAATTCGACAGGCGGTAATTTGTATCGACGACCTCCACCAAACTGTTCTTCGATGTAGTCAAAGGACACAGGAGATGAGCTCATGTAGCTCGGACTAGGAGATGGCCGTTGGTCAACAGCAGAAGGATTTTCTGGCAATTTCTGCGTCATGTCTGTAGTTAAGACGTCAGTGATAGAACAATGTTGGGTACATGGGCATGCGTACCTATATACAACAGGCGATGGCGAGAGTCCATCGTGAGCATAGGCATCATATCAAGTAGTAACACGGGAGGGTGTTGCTTACCAGATCAGGGGTATGTTCGATGAGGGTAACGTCGAGGTGGTCTGTCTGTTGGGTGGATTGTAAAAAATACTAAGTAAAATTGAGGGGAATACTGAAGGCGAAATAAAACGTACCCCAAGGGTCATACTTAAGACGCATACCCACAGTGTTGCTTTGCAGAACGACCCCATTGGTTCATCAAGACTAAAAGGAGATAGATGAGCATTGATACAGAGGCTACATACGAAATACAAGATGATTTTACGAAGGCTCAGGAATAATAGTTGACGAGGGTGTGGAGGGTCAGAGAGATACACTCACAATCATCGCTGTGGCTCTCACGAGGCTCCAGAGAGGGTTTCGTAACTAATGGTCCTAGTACTGACAAGGACGCAATCAGATTGAAAATAAATCTAGTACTGAGCCCGAAAGATGCAATCAGATTGAAAATAAATCTAGTACTGAGCCCGAAATGCACTGATGGAAGACAGATATTTCATGTCCGAGTCATACCCTTTCAGCGTGCTGCAAACAGACGCTGCGGCCTGAAACAATGGTAAGATGAGTCAGTAAAACTTTGTATGGTGGTAATGAATTGAACAGCCGATATCCCACCGAATAACAAGACCTAGACCTCAGCTTATTTGCCATCGATGCTCACGGTATTAGGGTGGGTAGTATGAGCTCAAAACTTTGTACAAGTGCCAGGAAATTGACGGTCCAACTAGCTTACCTAAGCGAGTCTCCAGGACACACTATTGATTTCCTCTTTAGTCACATGCGCCGCCAAAATGTCACCAATCGCACTCAGTTACTTTCATCGATGGCGGGAGGCCTTCTGCGATCAACAGCCACATGATTCCCATCTGCGATGGTCCTCCTTTACCACTGATCCAACCTCACAATCATGGATTTCGCAAAGCTAGACTCTCTTCTCCAACGCATTGCAGTACAAAATGGCTTGCCGGTGGAGACGGTCTTGGAAAGGTGGTTGGAGAAGCGGCAGGTGAGCGACCCCAATGAATGGAGAAGCCTCAACGACATACCCTGTATCGTCGGTGGGTTATCAGCGCTGCTTGGTGAGTTTGATGTTGGCATCTTCTCAAACTTTTGCTAAGAATGATGCAGGGAAGCTCGAAGGACGAGAGGGGACATTTCCGTGGAAGCTCCTACCAAGAGAGCTAGCCCGTCGTGGCTACGTCCTCCAGAACTATCCTGCAAATGTCCTGATGCCCGGTGAGAAACGCCCTTCCGTAAGGAGCAAGGGGATACACGACCTCTTGCTTCGTGAGCGCCGAGTGTTTGCAGATGCCCTCAAGAACAACCTGCTCACCGTCAAAATCATCACCAAACAAAGTGCCCTCACGAAACTCATGGCCTCCCGCAGGCCCGTCATCATCGAGGAGGCGCCTGCACCTCATTCCAACCACACTCGTGGGCGGCGTTGGTATGCTGATGGTCGATCTGATCGACAAGGTCTTCCTCGCCTCGGCTTCAATGACAGCTCTCCTGCGCCATCCCCCACACAACGCCCTGCTCCTGGGCCACTGTCTTGTGTACAAACACTTAGATCATCTCCTGCACGGTGTCCTACTCCTGGGCCGCTATCTGCACGGCGTCCTACTCCTGGGCCGCTGTCTGCACGAGCTCCTGTGGTAGCTCGTGCAATGCGTCGTCGGGAGAGACTCAAGGTGTTTGTGGAGGTCCCACTTCCCTCCTGGAGGTCAAAATTCAATCTAGAACGAACCCTGTCACCGGTAGGTAGACCCATCGACGAGCTCATTCCACGGATATCCTGCATAGGACAAGGTTCACAATGCCGTGATGAGGCTGCCCGTAGGGAAGACGGATCTGGGTCGGAGGTGGATGAGCTTCTTGCGTCCTGTTGAAGTGAAGTGGGGCTCAGAGAAGTTGCACTCGGAGTTGTGTAGTAGTGGGATCTGCCTTTTTCCATTGTTCGCCTGTTTAATTGTCCATATGTACTTCGCTCTTTCTGTGTCTGTCCCATGTACTCTGTGTGCATGTCATTGCATTGATTTGTTATCATCTGCGACAAAACACGGAGGGTATAGAAGAAGATTGAACAGTGCTAAGATCTTCGTGGACATAAGATATGATATTATGGTTATAATACCTACAGCAGTACAACTACACGAGCACTTGTAATTCGCTATAATTTGAGAGCCAGAGGGGCCGAGGAACGATCATAAGCCAATGAGATTCAAAATATGAATAGTACTTAGTTTAAAAGACATATGTACAGGCATTGACTGTTTATCTCGTTGTCTGGACTGGCCTCGTCGATGCTAGCAATATGCCCCATCATGCTCATATGAATATTTTAACAAGAACTTTATCGTGGATGGCCATATTACATTTCAACGAGTGACTAGGCATTTACAGCGGTGAGAAGTTTACATCAACTTTGGTTGACTTTGACTATTTGTCCAATAAACCTAACCATGGGCCACCAAGCCAAGTACTTCACATTAGAAGAAAAAATGGCAGCTGCTCGTCGACATACCGAATCATATTTACACTCACAACGGTAAGTATCGTTCAGTGATTTGTTATTGCAACATTATTGATATGTTTATCAGAGGCAAAATCGTTCGACAAGCTCAGAATGCTCGTGCTTACACTAAACATCATAGTCGACGCAGACCTCATACAACATCGAAGGACCTGCACAACCCTCTACCATCTTCTATATCGCAGTTTGCCAACCTTCCTCTTCCCAATTCCTATCTTTTCGCCGATCACTCAATGGTTCCGACTTGCTCGATGTTTCGGATCTCTCTCAGTGGGACAAAGCCCCACCTTACAATTCTCTGCCTCCACCCGACTCACCAGAAGAGCAGTGTTTCACCCAGAATCTCTTTGACGTGATGCACGGACACAATTTGCGTATGGAAAGGGAATCTCGCGCCCATCGCGCAGCTATGTATGATGCGGGAGAAATATCTGAAGTTTTGAAGGAGCTTCAAGACGGACAGAAGAGGTTGCTTGAAGGCTGGGATGAACTGAATACTCGTGTTGCTGACCACCGGCAGGTATCTGCAAGACACAAGCTTATGGCTGAGTGCTACCGCCAGGGGGTAGCGCGGAGGATCTTAAGTTATCAGGAGGAGGTTGATTTGCTAGTTACTGGGCAGAGTCCATACTGTCATAGTCCATAATACCTATCATTATACTACTAGTACTCTACTTTGAATCAGACCTGTAAAGTGGTAACGCAAGAACCATGGCCCGGAGATAGTGTCGCAGATTGTCCATGTCCTGCTCAGGTAGTCCCGTAATATGTTTACCGCGTACAACGGCGAAAATCGTCGCTAAAACCCATACACCACAGTCAAAATTATTATTCTGAAGGCATTGGACCTAAAATAATACAACGTCATCGGAAAAGTTGTGAGAATGGAGTGCGAGACTCACGTTCAACGGTCGAGCAATCCACCCTTCAAGGTCAATATTAACACGATGTTGGTGTTGGCACGCGATAGCAAGGAATCGAGCAATTAGTCTCATTATATCCTTTCAGATCCAGATCTGATCAGTCAAACGCAAAGGTATTATTTAAATCGAACCTACTTTAACGTCGTTTTGCCAAGGCTGCCTATTACCTAGGCTATCAAAAATATGAAGTTCTTTGTTTGATAGGCGGATGACACATAGGACCCAGTGCCCAATGCCCGATGGACGATGAATGGGAAGCACCCAGATGTCCTTTTCCCAATAATGAACCCACGATGAATTGCGCCAGATGACATCGTCTGGCGCATTGTAACGAATACGGGGAAGATTGTGGGTCGAGAGGATTGCACATTGTGCACCCGATGTCCTGAGCTGAGAGTGCCAGAGAAGTATAGCGCAGCTGTTAATGCATACATCATTCAGGCATGCTGTGGGAGAACTAAGGAAGCCGATATCCCTGGGGTCAAATATCTGACAAGGGATACCGTCGTGCGAGCTAGGGCGCACTCGGGCGACAATTTTCCCAGGTATGAGAATGTCGGGCTCACGCGTTGGTACGTGCAACGGAACTTTAAAGTCATCTGCAAGAAGATTCTAATATATCCTAATCAGTGTCACATTCCTGACAGTGGATGTCGACATACCTCGGGAAGATCCCAACAAATAATGGCATTAGCTTCACGTCCGTAATCTGTTGAGTCATTGTCGTCATCCGACTCCAGTATGCCCACCTGACCCTCCAGAACATCAACAAGCGCTGCTTGTTCGGAATCAATGGGCGGGGAATGGTCAGGATCAACGAGGGGAAATTCATCTTCAACCTCAGGATCTGGCGCTGCAAGTGTGCCAATGTTGATGGAAAGAAGTATTGTGCTGTGCGAGGCTCCAGAGAGGGTAGTAGCAACATCCAGTGCTTTGTTCACTTGGCTGACAAAGCATGCGGGAGAAGCCAAAGAGTTGGACCATCGAGATTGAAGTTGGATGAAATTAGCATGCCGTCGCCATAATGGAACAGCAAACGGTTCACCTAAAGTCAGATCACACATTAACAGAAGGTCGTTAGATGAATTGAATTAACTCCCTTTCTGGCAACCGAAGAGTGAGTTCAAGCGCTGCCAGCTCATCACCGAAGAAACGACAAAGATTATCAGCCTCAATGCTGAGGCGGATCTGCTCTTCTTCACATCGATCTCGCTTTAAGAGTGCACGTATACCATCCCTGATGTGTGGGTCCTCCAACCATCGGGGAACTTCTCCTACTGATGGTGTAATCCATACATCTTCCATTAATCTTGGGTCGTTACGTAGTTCCGTAAGTTTGGTTGGAAGAGGGGCGGGCAGGGGAATCCCCCAACTCGGGTCGTACAGGGAATCTAAACGCTCGCAGTATAAGTTGAATTTTCGAATGGCGGTCATAAGGACCGGTTGCCGCTTTGATATGGCTTTGCGTGTATGTTGATGTAGCTTGGTGCCTGCGGATAATTAACAAAGGATACCGTCATAGTTCACAATAAGGTTCGAACGTACCCAAAGCCTGTTGAGCACCTCCAACAGCGCGGTCGAGCTTATCCCATTCGAAAAAGCTTGCAATAGCACATTTGCGAACGTTCATCTTGAGGTCCCGCGCCATTAGAAGAGTACGAACGAAATCAAGGTTGACCCCTTGAAGTTCAGGGAACCTGTCATGAACATTGAGAGATGAGTACAGAGTCTCAACCTTTTCTATTAGGCGACCATGTCCTCTCTCCAAGCTCCGCAGAGCTTCTAGTGTGTCGTCAGATGCCGATTCTCTCACCAGCATCGCTCTGGTGTTCTGCAGTGCTCTATCCGACGCATCGAGGTCTGTCTGGAGGGCTATTACGGTGTCCAGCTCTTTCTTGAGGCGAGCCGGAGCATCTTGGAAGTCCATTCATTAATACTGATGACCTATCATAAATTGAACTCACGAGCACGTATAGATAGCTGCGAACGCCGTTGCTGGGACCACTGAGACCGTAGTTCGTCGATGGGGATTTTGCAATGGTCTAGCATATCTTGCGCTACCGACCCTTGCTCTTTGATGCCACGTCTGAGGCAACGTTTGAGCCAATTCCCAAGATCGGCTCGCATTTCGGAGCCTATAGCTGTGGCTTGTCTATCAATAAGCCACAGGCGACGTTGCCGCTAAAGAAGCTTTCAAGTGAAAAGTGTCATAATGAAATTGACGCGAGACGTACGGAAGAAGTCCTTTCAATTCCAATCAGGCGAACAAAGCGGGACCAGAGACGCTCAGTCCCTTCCCCGTCGGATAGGCCAAGTCCAACGGACATTCTTGGGTTATAGACGAGTTGACATGCCCACTCATGCCCGTAGGCATGCATGGCAGTTGTCGCAAAACGTAGTCGTGTGGTAATGCTTTCGGGAAGAATATTGTACTGGACAGGTGTGAGCGAATAATCCAAACTTTATCAGTGATAGCTTGAGCATACCTTTGCGAGTGATCGCGCGAGAACACAACCAACATCATACAAACCAACAACCGTTGCCTGGTGTGGGAGTAGTGAAAATAAGTGCTGGAGGAGGGCTACCGAATACTTCTGTTGTTCTCCAGGGGAATCGATGTTGGCGAAAAACAACGGAATATCATGGCGACAAATTAATGCCATAATCCCTGTGTCATCAAAATTATCCATTGCAGCTTTCTGCTTCTTGCCATCAGCAGCCTCGTAAGCATTTTCACATTGGTCTACGGCCTCGTCAGGGATGAGGGAAGCATATGTCCTTGGAGGTTGCTTATGTAGGGCGACTATTCGGCGGCCGATATCATCAACAAAGGTTTTCGGGATAAAGTATGTAGGGTCGTAGAAGGCTGGACAGTCGCCAGCAGTGCGTCGATGACGGTGATGGAAATTCCCATCCATTGCGACATGGATATCGCCTCCTTCGTCTGTGGGTCTACCATAGCATCTGCCCCCGAAACAAGCGGGGCATATTTGAACCAGAATGGGCGCACATCGACCTGGATGTAAGGTAGGCGAATGCGTTTCAGGGACATCAGAGGATGCTTGCATGGTGATAATACGCTCCCGGCTTTGTTGGAGAAGGGTCTCGAGTTGTTGTTCGACTTGGACTTGCAGTATGTCAAACCATTGGACAGCATAGCCGAGACCTCGACGAAACGGGTCCTGGATAAGTCCGCCCTTCCAAAATGTGTCAGTAGTAAATTAAATACATAATTGAGACTTACCTGTGCGTCTGTCATCTGGAATCCCCGTCGAGAATAATGAGTCTTTAATGCTGATGCAAGAGCGTTAATCGCATCACACGACCGCTCAAACAACGCGCGGTAGAATGAAAGCAAGTCAACAGACACAGCCATCCGAGGCTGTGAAGGAGAAGTTGGGAATAGCCCGTGGTAGACCAGTACCTGCGCGAGACTGGAGCATGTGCAACTTAGTACATCTACAGATTCAAATCCTGCACAAATGTTAACGCACACTTCTTTATTGTATAACAATAAGCTTACGGTCGAAAAATAAACATACCAATGTGGTCCGTTTGGGTGAACATGATGGTATCGCACATGCAGAAATGACTGGGTGGATGTTTTCGAGCGTTTTTGCCTGTGTTCGTCCAAAATAGCGAAGTAGAGGGTTGACGAGGGTTGGGACAAGTGCAGTCCAGGAACAATACAACGAATTAGTCGATTTATCGGGCACGATTCGTCGTTTGACTGGTGTGTCGATTGCCAGGGAATCGAGACTTGGATCTTCGAACATTTCCACGTTTTCAGAGTGCAGTGGGTCGGCATCACCAAGACTCGGACCCATGTGTTGAGCGGTATCGTTTCGAGCTGCAGCAGGGTCAGCAGACAATACCTGCGAGCCTGATTCTTCACGTTGAGGCTGCATAAGTTGCTGCATTTCAGCTAGAAGTCGGCGACGCTTTGCCTCCACGCCCGGTATATTGACCAATGTTTGTGTTTTTCGTTTGTCTCGAGCCTTCCTCGGGCTCACAAAGTGGTGGCCTAGCCCTGAAGATGTGGACTGAGCTTTGCGAGTGGGAAGTGTCGAAAAAGACATCGTGGAGGTAAGAATAGAAGGACGTACCACCATGAAGAAGGAATCAACAAGGCCCCAACGTTATGTTCATGGAAAGCACGCGAGGGGGCTGCTGGAGGTTTGGGATGTTTCTAGAGGTCCGCGAGAGGTGTCGTGAGAGGGTTTCTGGGTATTCTAGAGGTGTGAGAGGTATCGACCAGATACGGGAGGGTTCTAGGAGGGTGGATCTGGAGGGTCCCGAGGGTCCCGAGGTGGGCTAGGAGTAAGTGTTATTTATAGATGGGGGGAGGGTGGGTCTCAGAGACTAGTTTCCCATAACATAGAAACCGGGTCTCTTAGACCCTTTATAGGCACCGAGAGGTGCTGCCTGAGGTGGTCGCGCACCATAGATGCGCAATCAAAAGACCTTTGTTCATTGATTGAGTAGCGGACCACATCCCTGGCAGTATATTCACTGCTCGACAATTTGCTAGGACAGAAGGAACTGACTAAATCACGGGAGTAAAAGACAATGGATTGCTGAGAGGCACGTCCCAGAAGAGACTTTTCCCGTGCTGGAAAGTTCGGACAGAGCGTATCGGAAGTCTCCTTGAGCACCTCCAGCTTCTGTGCATACTCGATTATATTCTTGGCGGCATAGTAAAATGCGCAGCTTTGCACATAAGACGATATTCCATCTTGCCAATGAACGTCCTGCATGCTCATATTCTGAGCAGGGTACCAAATTCGATCGACGGTCAAGGAACCTAGTCGACTTAGAAGCTGGCAGTCGAACGGGTCCAGTTTCATGAAGGAATAGCATGCAGCGGATTGCAGCAAATACATAGCTTCTTCCAAACCGGTGCGTTTAGTCAGTGGATCTGGAACATGGGCACTACACACGGCGTGCAGGTACGCCTTGTACAGTTTATTTGTGAGACCAATATTCCCCACCAGGCGGCAGAGTTCTATGTCGACGGAATAACAATGATAGGCATGGGAGCAGTATTAGAAGGGGTATGGATGGTGACCTGGACGTGGTGGCCTCTGGACTCCACTTTGATATCGCCTTGTGGGACGATGACACGGCGGTTGCTGTAAGTCCGTTGATCTTTTGAACGTAAAACGAGTCCAAACATTGTACCAGTAGACTGATTTTCGTCCACAACCATGCCTCTCTGGTTGCGCGAATGCAGGTCCCCATCTTCGTCTTTAAAGAAAGAGAGACCAAACCGAGGGAGATCGACCTTGACGATTGTCTGTCCTGCTTCCACGCTACGAATGACAGCCAGGTATCGGAAATCTTCGAGTGGGCTCAGCGGCTATCATGCGGAAGGTAGGACTATGGATGTCAAAAAGAGCTGATTGACCCAGTTGCACGACTGATTGCCCGCCCTCCGTAAATTGCAATTCCCAGTTTTTGTCAGATGGCTCCCATAGTCTCTCCATTGGACGAAATTCAATAGCACGAGTGCTTAGGTTGAGCCAATGTACGTGATTTTCGAGCAAGAATGCAGGGATGTCTGGCTCAAGCTTGTCTCGAGGTATTAGCTCAAGGAGGTGTCCATTATCACGTTTCGACTGAATGACAACTTCCTGGTTGCGTATCCCGAAAAATATCTATAAGAACAGTTACGTTTTGGACATCACCCGTAAATCGTGCTACCTTACTTGAAAGCCATGTATAAGAGCTTTTGTCGCAAACTCGAAGCCGGGAATTTTTGTAGCGAAAACATCAAGGTCTTGCTACTCAGAACTATCAGATAATCGGCGACTGCTTAGCAGGATGGGTACTCACATGACCGAAGAGCACAACATAGCTAGAATGCTTCAAAAAGCAACGTGGCAGCCTGCTCAAGGGCTTGCCGTTGACCAGTAGGCATGCCGTCAACACATCAAAGTGAATAGTCTGACGAGATACATCGCCATCGGGCGCTGTTTCACATCTAAGCCACCGAGAGTTTGGGGATTCAAGTACCATCCAGCGCGTGTGGCGCTTGTATGCAGGCCAGAGATGGATCATCGCCCGATCAAGACCTTCATGGTCAGCTTCCGCATGACGTTGGAAATGAATCTCTAGGAAGTGTGACAACCGACGGTCGCGTTCAAGAAGTAGCCTTGAAACTGGAGGAAGAGCAAGTAGATCTCGAGGCGCGTTGTCCTTCAACATAACAGAGCAGTACACTAAGATCTCCAAGTCATGTGACGATTGGAGGAGTACACTGATGCTGTCCGGGCCCACATCGTAGGTGCTGCGACAAATTGATGCCATGTCACGAACGCGAGCTCGGCATTCATAACGGGAATCTTCGTCTGCAGCATCTCGAAGAGCCTTAGATAGTTCTTGCACCAATTTGAAAGTTGCAGTTCGGACAACCCGCAGCAACTTGTGTGATCGCTCTATGACATCAGAATCGTCTGCTGAGGAGAGAAGGCGGGACACAAGGGTAGAGATAGTTGCCATAGTCCACCCCTCCAGCCAGTTAGCTTCCACGCTGACTGTCAAGTTTTCCAGCTCGTCAATAAGGGCGTGACCAAAATCTGCGACCCGCAGTTCATAATGCCATACCCTATACCCATCCGCCGAAAGCTTTCCCACCTCACGGCTAGCCTGAAGCAGTAGCAAATGAACTGCAGGATCGCGAAAAGAGAGCGTGCGTGCTCGTAATTCACGAAGAATGTTGATCCATTGCAGAAGGCAGCCGCTACGGAGACTGCCGAAAGCGATGAATTCATGGAGTGTCAATTCCGCATGACACGTAGCCTGGTTGGCCAAGACTTCATTGGAGGTGTGTTCGGTACCCGACAGGTAAGATTGCAGTCCACGATACGGGCCTGGCGGAAGCTCGTAGGTGCAAAAATTAGATATGTCAAGGTTTTGAAAGGGACTAGACACCCAAATGCCTCTGGTTGTATCGTAAAGGCGGAAACGCAGCCCATTGTTGACACAGATGTCGTTGTCGGTGCATGGAAGTGACTTGAAGCGGCTGTGAGAGTTAAGGAAGGACTGTGTCTCGGAGCCCAATGTGATATGCTGCCCGGGATGCATCGGGTGATTGTCCAAAAGTGGCTTGTAATGCGGGAGCAGCATGTACTGTTTTGCGCTTTCAATCGGTTTTATAGCTGAGGTACATATGTCATGAAGAAGGTGAACGGTGAGGGATCGCCACATCTTGAAAGTGGTTGGGGCACCGAGTTCAAACATCACTACTGCTGCATCGTTGACATCATCGGGAAGTGGCCATTCGTGAATTTCAATGGAAAGACTCTCCCTCTCCAGATTCTTCCTGCACCTGCGGCAATCATTGTTATCGTGTAGACTCAAACCCCGTGAATCGATGTATGTGTCACAAGGGAGAGTATCAATGCCACGAGTGAGACCCTGGTACCTCCTGCTCTTGTCGCGAAGATCTTCAATTCGCATGCGTCGCTCATCACCTGCATCATCCTCGATGCAGAGCTTCTGCGACTGCAATTCCTTGGATTGATCATAATAGCGCACTGCAAACATGTCTTTTCCCGCATCGGTCGAGAAGACAGAGAAGCCCGAGGGCGCGGCATGGATGCGAGCAGCAACATACTGCTGAATCAATTTGAGTCGCTCTAAAGCAGTAGCTTTTTGAAGGAGAAGGGGATTGAAAATGGTAACTGGAATCTCCGGAGAATACTCTTTGAGGAGGGGGATCGAGGCAACAGCTAGCTTGTCGAGCGCGGCCCAGAGTTCGAACAGCGTAAGGAGCATGATGGATTTACTTTCGGGGTTTTGGGAATAGGAAGGTTTCGCTTTGCTGGAATAACTTGTAGCGCACACTTGAATGGTCTGGCAAGCGGCATCAATGCGGTAAGCATCAAGGTTAATAATACTGTCCACCCAACCAGCAATGCCTAGCTCGATGGCGCGTTCGAAATCAGAAAGCGCTAAAAATGGGTCCTCGGCATAAGCACCCTCGAAGAACTTGGCGTCAGGATTAAGGAAGTCGTCAATGGTGCCCCACGGACGATGAGCGGGTCGAAAATCTGGCACTGTGGGTTGGACATGGGTATGATGTAATACACCGACGATGTACTCTTCGCTCGCCGTCAAAGAGAGCCTGGTGTCTCTGTCTATATCAATCTTCGAGGCATCCCAGTGAGGAAAATGTGTCTGTGCGACCTGGATGTCCTTCCAGCGCAGTTCGAGCCGATTTTTGATGTCTTCAGTAGCTTTGTGCATCACCTGTGCCAACGGCCCGTCTTCGGCCTGAAGCTTGACCAAGCGGCGACTAATCTTGGTGGACATGAAGTAGAGCAGATCGCTCGACAGATCCTTCTCAAGCGCTTTGGACACAAGGTCCGTCATAAGCGAGGCCATGAAAGCCTTGTAGCCCTTTCGACCAAGGGTGGTGCGCTCGAGAGATGTCTGCAATGCAACCCTTATGACAAGCCAGAGGGACGATCTTCGCCACGGAAGCTTGTCCTTCGAGCATAAGACATCATCACCTATACGTTTTCGAATACAAGGGATGTCAGCTGGCTCGCCAAAGGCGCGAAGGATGCCAGTCAGAAGCTCGGTGATATGGCGAGGATGTGGAGGGTCTGTGCCTTTGAGGACTACGGAGCGCGCTTCGGTATTCATTGCTGCCGGATCTAAAACATCGCGGGTCATATGCGCGAGGAAGTTCGCTAGCTCGGGGCCAAAAGTAGGATTGTCCACGATTGAGTTTGGTACAGCGATTGCAGGTCCTGGATACGAACATAGGAGTTTCCCTTGTGCTGCCATGACAGCAGACGCTGACGGAGAAACTTCGAAGGATTCAAATATCGTTTTTGCATCGAGCCTACGGAGCACGACAGCTGCATTTTGTGCCCGAACCAGATATGCGAGAATATCTGTAGGGAAACATTGAGATTTGCATCAATTCTGAGCGCCAATACCATGTGCTTACCTCCAGCTTGCATGGATCGAATTTGTGACTCAAAATCCTTGGTCAGGGACGTAGAAGTCGTTATAACCCCAAGGTGCTCCAGCATCTTCAACAAAGGACTCCAATGCTCCCGATCGACGTCGGGCAAAAGGCTCACAAAATTGTGAGCAGAGCCTAGCACGAAATCAAGGAGGGCGTGGTCATTGTCAGCAGCATAATCATCATGCCGTGGTAACTTGATGGGGCAAAAGATATGTGTGATTATGTACTGCAACGCAAGAGTTTCTTCAGTTCCTGAGGTAGAGGCCAATATATCAAGCCTCGGGATATGAGACGGATCTTCGTCAGAGGCTGCCTGGGATAGAGCGGAGATCTCAGTATCGACGATAGCTTGCACATTTGAAGGGGCGTCCGCCCCCGATCTCGCAAGCGGATTCGCGAGGTTCACGATTTCATGATCATCCTGCAGGGTCGTATGTACTGGGAAACAACCAACAGTACCCTCCAAGCCAGAAGGGGCTTCCTGGATACCAGAATTTAGAATAAGCCCATGAAATTTTTCGGACACAAGTACCTTCAAAGCAGGGTCTTGTGATGGTACTCGGTCCAAGCTATTAGAATCTCTATAAAGAGTGGAATGATTCTCGTCATCTTTGGAAAGACGGGGAAGCGATGGATTCTGGGACTCACTCAGATAAGTGAAGGACTGCAATAACAAGTTTGAATGCCTACCTCGCAATTCTGAATCAACAAAGAACCTTCATTGTCAACATTCCGATGAACAGGGACGCTCTGGGAACGCCTGAGGTGTTTCTGCACAATATCAGCGTTAATTCTGGAACATTTACATCGCCATACAGATGTGTTTTTACTTGTAGTCAAACCCTTGACCTTCTGCAGAAATTGATGGATACCACCACGAGGTCGGCTCTGTATGAAGGAAGTGTCGGAGGCAAGATTTTAAGTCCAATGTATTTCATGAGCCCTTGTCAAACGTGATCGTCATGGTCACGTACCGAGCTTTCGTCAGGAATTGTGTCGCTGGATCTCCAGGCTTCAGGAGGATGATCTGGCCTCAAAAAATCCGTGACACGGGACTTGGAGACACTGCTCATTTCGGGCAGGTGAAGTTGTGCTACAGTCTGAATGAAATTAGATGCGTAAAGTATGCGGTGAGAGCAAGAAGTGAACCTGTCAAATCCCACGTCATACGAGCGTTTACACCCTTGACCACTTGACAGTCCTCGAGGCGGCGCTAAAGTATACATGTAAGCATTTGACGCCTGCTTTACACCCCGATCATCTGGGAGGCATTATTGGGAAGCCCCGGCCACGTCGCCGCACTCCTCGTTCGAAAAGCGCCCGTACCATCCTTCATTACAAGTCTGAGGACTCACCAACAAGGTAACGCCCAATGGTGAACGCTGGACATTCGATAATCTTTGCGCAATTCTGGGGGCCGGTTTTAGTTGTCTGATAATGCGCGTTACAGACTCCAACCATTCGGCGGGTGTTGTCAGGACTCCTGGCAATCCCTTTCGTATCTGGGATCTGAGCTCCGGGACATGATAGTCTATCATACATTATCAATCCGGGGAGCCGAGTAATTGGAAATGCCCATCCGTGAAAATACTCAGTTGCGGCAACTGCCGCGAAATGCAGTGGCCGAGTCGGAGTAGTACGTTTCCCTGACTTTCAAAGGAGTGGCAATAGCTCAATCCAATCTCAATCCCTCAGGCCTCAGGTCTACGTTTTTAGCATGCATGTCAACCCATGGAACGAACGAACACTTCAAGTTGCTTATCAGGTCGTGTTAGACGCTCACCAAATACGCCCCAGAGTCATCCACATGGCCACGGAGCACCTTTTCACTATACAGATCTTTTCAACGCCTTTGACGCATGTCGCATGTGTGGCATTTGGGATTGTTGCGGGTATTTTCGTGTTGTATGAAACATTGTCTGGCGCTAAATATCAGACTCTTGCTTCCAGCGCCCCATTATTGTTTGACTATTTATTCCAGAAACAGACCACACGCTCGTTCGGCCAAACGAAGCTGCTACCACTCATTCTCGAGTTCGGACATGACGAGAGTTGCTGTCACCAATTAATTGCGACCTAGAAGCTGAATTGTTCAGCAAGTGCTCCCGGAAGTTGATGAAGCATCACGCCTTTTATTATCGACATCACCCCTTAGCAATGGACCCGAAATTCTAACATGACACTAAGATGCCTTGCAACGAACCATGATGAGATCCCTTTTCGTAACAGATGACACTACACTTGCTAATTCGCTTTCATGAAATTCGATCAGGCCGTGCCATCCCATGAGAGTAGAAGTAATTGTTACAGCACGAGAAGGGACTTCAAGTTCATATCAGCCGCATCAGGAGCCATAGTTATGGGCCCGGATATCCTGACTTGTGTTCTTACGCCGTAACGTTTTTTCTCGATTAAATTGTCTTGATTGAAGTAGATCTCCCGTCTTTCGAAGGACGTGCAAGAATAAAAACCCTCGAGACTCTATGAGGTGATCATCCTCCTCAATTACGATCATGCAGCTCTCATTTATTTTCACGACACTCATGTCTTTTGCAGCTATTGCTGCGGCATATCCCACACCAGGACTGGGGATGAAACGTACTTGTGAGGACGCATTCATTAATTTAGTTACTGAGGGTGATACTGATGCACTACGCTATGCAGCTTTGACTCAGCGAGAAGAGCTTGACTCTAACTTCACTCGCTATTTGAACACTAGGGCCCCTGATGACATTCCTAGCGGGCCTCAACTTGACGATCCTGACACTATTGACGAACCCAATTTCAATGACTGACAAGCGGCGCGAGGACGTCGAATCGAGAAGCGCGAGAAGTGGCCATACATATAAGAAAGGGATCGTTTTTTTTTGTTTCCGCTGTTTTCTTGATACGTGATTTATTGCCTACCAGTTGTATAATAAAGGAGGATGGTGAGGGGTGTTACAACGTCGCCAATCACCAACTTGTAGTTTTTGTGTGCACAATGCTCCTTGCGTGTCGCTTCCTATGGTGCTTATTGTTAGGAAAGTCGGGAATTCCGGAATTCGTGGCACTGTAGGTCACGCTTGGCGACTTGCCATTGTTTGGAGACCATCTCGCGAGGGCTGCGACTCTGGGTCTTGCGTGTGTACTTGAGTGGTGGTCTGTGACGTCCCCTGCAAGATGGACTGTTTAGGTGCGAGCACTGCATTTCGCACAATTGTAGACGAAGACGGCGTGCATAAAATTCCTAATCGGACATAAAGATGATCGACAGTGATCGATGAGTATTTGAATGATGTCATAGGACTCACAGGCATGGACTGGGTCTGCTGACCGCAGCGCAATGCTTAGAACAATGCAGTCACTGCGTCTCAGAAAGATACCTTGCTACCCCTCGTCCTTGCGCCGTTCTCTTCACATGTCTACTCGTCTCCTGCGTCCTTCATCAGGCGCACCTACTAAGCCCCATAGCGCAGACAGCTACTTCAAAGATGTAGACGAGACACCTCCGCAAGACCCCACAATCCACCGTGTCGATGCCGCATCAGAGGCAGCGCAGAGTTCCTACGAACCGCCTTCAGGGCAGTGGAATCAGGCGGGGGTCGGTACCAGCGAGTACGAACATGTTAGCAAAGACGCGCCGTATGACGTGTCACCTAACAACGGTCAAGCAAAGGAGAAGAACCTGCGGTATGGTGGCACTGAGAGATTGGATGCTGAGACTAGTCGTCCTGGGGAGGGTCCAGAGGGTCAAGCGAGGGAAGGACGCAAACCAGAATGAAGTCCAGGAAGTCCCTGAACATGAATTTGTCTCAAAGGTGTTGTTCTTTAGTTCATTGTCCTGGCATGCAGTATCTGAACGACTTACATCATTACAGAACTTAATGACAATACCACTGCAAATTCGATGAATTCAAGATAGGCACGCATAGTGGAATGTAGCGTTTGGTGCAGTTGTATGAATATCCACTCTAGAGTCCGCAGTTAAGCGTCTTCGCCATACCGAACGTTTACGTATAATTGCCTTTCCCGTACTACTACACCTTTACTTTGAAGTTTACCTTTACCAACTGGCAACTGGCGAGGAAGCTACATTTTGAAGTTTTCACTGACTTGTACTACTCTGTAACGGTCAACCCCCGTTCCGATATTCCGTATTAGACTGATACATTCCTTTCGATCCTTAGACACAATTGCGCGCGAAGTATATGCCGTCGTTATACCACTGACAGTTTATTGCTTATCATGTCACTATCTACTTGCTAGACTTATTGGTAGATCCGACGGAGCTCCATCACCAGCAGTACTTATACACATAGACTACTCGTAGTTAGGACAGTGTGTTTTGAACCCCCCAATTCATAGACTTTGATCCTGTCTTTGAAGTCTGAACGCATTCGATCCTTGTGCCGTTGTCTTCGAGCCTCACACGCTAAATAGTCAACGTCACATACTCAATGACCCTCGAATTTCTTGCCAGTGCCAAGTCTTTGTATCGCGAGCCTATACTGGTCCGCTTTTTCGCCTTCATGACTATTTCTGATCACATGCGTACCTTCTATCCGTGCAATCAGCACAGATTTCCCAGATTTCCATGGCGGGCCATCGAGCGCTTGAATTCGAAGACAACATGGTTGTCTCAAGGTGCTCTCTTTGTCCAATTATCCTTTCACACCCTAGTTCGCTTCCCCAACCGATACACAATTCCAACCGTTTGCGATGAGCAAAAACGAATGTGTATCCTATATGAGGGATTCGGGATTAGCTCCTCCTGGGGCTCGCGAAAGCTCGGTACGTTGTTCATGTCACGCTCAGTGGAACGCTGATTCTGATGTTCTTCATCCAGAGCCGATCCCCTGGCGGGATTCGTCAATTTCTGCGGAAAGTGAAAAATGGCTCGACTAATCCATTTTCTGTGAGTCGACATGGATGCTTAATTATCCTGAAGTAAGGCTGACGTTGTGCACAAGCGCCTGAAGACTTCTCGCAGCCGCGACCCTTTTCAAGGCGCTTCTTCCGGTGTGGAGCCTGAATGTACTGATCCCCGGTCAGTGAACGCGGCGCGTCGGATTGCCCATGAGGCTGTGAACGGCATGGATTTTGTTTTGGGACCTGCGATAACCGTAGTATCCACCGCCCAAAATGCACAAACAGATCTCACTACTGCAGGCAATATCCAGGCCACATATCTCCAACCCCTCAAGGTATTCGACGCTGTTATTGGAAAGATTGCGAATGTAAGTGCCTTTCCTCTCATTCAGAATCGAACTAATCTTGTCCCATAGGTACATCCCTATGCAAAGATGGCGCTAGGCGTGCTGTCTTGTGCATCAAAGGTATTTTTAGTGTTTCCTTCAGTCCAATTTCACGTCTAACTGTCATCTATGCAGATGGTTCTTGATCAAGCCAATCGTAATCAAGCAGTACACCGTCTTCTCGACAAGTTGGATCAAGTTTACGACTTCATGACACAAGATGAAACTCTAAACCATATTTCATCAATGCGTACTGTCCTTGGACAAATCTCTCAGCAGACCCTTGAATGTGCCCGCTTAATCAGAGATTACTCAGAAACCAAGAACTTCTGTGAGTCTCCATACTACGCATTCTCAACCTCCTGCTGTTATCACAGGGAAGAGACTCGGGAAGGACATCGTCTCGGAAACAGATGATACAATCCAACGGTACAGTGATGTATTCGACGGGCTCATGCAAAACTTTCAGGACCAAGCCGTTCGGGACGTAGCCATCTTCATTCATCGTACGGGTAAGGATTCAAACGAAGTTCTGACTTGATATCTATTGATATCTCTTCAAGTGAATTGTGTCTGGTTCTGTGGATGGCACTATCCGGTTATGGGATGCAGCAATGGGACAGGTTGTCGAGAACGGGCAGCCCAAAATGACGAAATTGGCTCGTCAACGGATATTTGGCACGATCACAGCATTCGCTTCTCATCTAACTCGACTCATGCGCCTCACAACGCTGCTGAGCTCATTCAAGGCGCCTCTCACAATGACCCCAGATCAAGCTCCTTTTTACTGGGAGTTGACAGATGGATGGTAGGGCCCAATCGTCGGCTCCTATTTTGGGTATTTTACAAGTCCTTGGACCGCATTAGTCATACCCAGAGGACGTGTTGAATTCGCAAAGGCCCTCCGGGCAACCCAGGACCTTTCAATCTCAGCCCGTGCTTTTGATTGCTTTTCTTATACCACAGCTGTATTATGGGATGTAGGGCCATCACTTTCCCAATTCTCCTCTTCATCCCAATGCGCGGGCGCCAGCAATCGGCCTGCAGCTTTCGACCACGATGAGGTCGGTCACGTTTTATGGGTGCCATCCCAGCCTGATCAACTCGTCCTACGGAAACTTATGCACATGCCAGAGAGCGAAAAGGAGAAAAAGCGACAACAGAAACGTGCGTGCTCTCTTATATTAGACGTCCGAGGTGTTTTTGATTTGCATCTTTTCACTTTCCACCCCGTTCGGATGCATCAAGCACCAGCACCAGCACGCTTGTTTCTTACTGCACTATATTTTTTTTTCGTTTTTGTCACATTGTCAACGAGCTCACTCCCATCTACATCTGTATCTAATTCGTCAAGGAAACTACACCCAAGGATCAAACCTATCTCAAGGAAAGTACCTCTGTCCCGGGGGATATCGCGATGCGGAGGTTTTCTATTCACTAGATCATTGAGCTCTGTTATCTACGGCGACACGCAGATGATGGTAGACTCAGACCGAAACACCAAAACAAAATGATTCCCTAGGTGACTTTGCTCCGGTCGAGTCTTTCTCAATGCAAGTGGATGACGTTGTACTGCCCCCAAAGTGCGCGATGGGAAGAACATCCAGCATCGCTGTTGTCTTCTCTAACACTCTTCCTATGGCTTCTTCCTCACTTTAGTTATCTGTGTACAATGTACATGAGGAAGTAATGAACAAGAACTTGACATCGATGAAGTAGAGGCCATGACAAAAAACGCGCGCGACGTTGAGACAAGACGAATATTTGGAAGGCGTGAGGGAGGCTCAACTCACAAAAAAAGACAATTAGGATAAAGATGACTCATACCGGTTCGGCAATGAAGTGGAGCCTGTGTGATCGTGCAGACAGAGATTAAAGGTTGTAAACCAGTACCTATTTCTTAGGTCCTGGAACTTGATTTAAGCCGCATGGCACACGGACAACACTGGCGGTATTGCCGAGGTGAGAGTTCATAGGCCTTTATGATCACTCGAACATCAATACTTCTAGCCCATAGCAATTGATTTGTATAGACGATACAATGTGATGTTTGATTTATCCGTTGCTTAGTACTTACAAGTTGTTTACAAGCTCACGATCCTCGTGGAGCGACTATCGCACGACTGTCAGAATAAAAGCTTTGATTATATTTACAAGTCGAATATGTACAGAACGATTCAAACCGAACGCTGCCGGAGGTCTACACGAAATGCAGACATCCTAATTCAAGCGAGAGTACGAAGTGTGGAATGTCAACCCGAGGCTAATTTTTATTAAATCTTTCCAGTGTCAGAAACTAACAGGCCCCTCAACGCGGACAATGACTACAAGATCCCACATTTCTCCATATGATATCCACCGTGCTGCTTCTGTCGAGGCAAGTCCTCATGTACCTCGCAATGTCGTTTCGTGTATGTGGAATACGATTGTACTCCGGGTTGCTTCTATCGTTCGCGATGTCGCAAAGCTGCCGTGCATTACATACGTCAGTCTGGTGAAAGCCTGTCCGCCTATCCCACCCGCACTTCGTGCAATGTTCGAGACACTTTTTTGTGAGACACATTCTGAGATTTTGAAATGAGATTGATAAGATGATATTTGCGAGATGAAGAGGTGCAGATAATAGGGTGGTTGGCTTGCGCTGGTGCGTTGTTTGCAGTGAGGAAATTGCTCACCATTGCGCTGCATTTATACCTTCGATGCTCTAGGTTTTATTAGAGACAAAAAGTGATTTCTTGGGAGGGGTACTAAGATATGACGACGCGTGCCTCTCGGCGGGTCGCCGAACAAGTTCGTGGTAGATAAAATCGTAGCCGGGAAACAGCATGGGTGACGTGGGCTGCGGCACGGAATGCAATAGCCTGACTATCCTTGGGTGTGGCGGCCAAAGACAGGAAACACGATGGAAGTGTGCTGAAAACCGACTGCGCGTACCTGATTTTTGAGCCACTCGGAGGAAAGACTGAGACCTCAAAGCGTATAAGTGGGAGAGCGGTCAATTTGAGCAATTGCGACATGAAGAAGAAAGCGGTGCTGCCGTCAGTCTGTCATTGCGTATATATATCGCTGTGATTTCTGCAAAGGTTAGCATCTAAGTGCCGACGACAGCCTTGCCAGACATGGACTTTACCCAGCTGTCATCTTTCTTCCACAATCCCTTTAGCAATGGAGGCACGGGGACAACAATGGAAGAAGGAAAAAACCCAATGAAAGGTGAACAGCCGCAGTAAGCGGTGCTGAGATTTTTATGGTCGCGAGAGGCGGCATACTTATGGCCCCCTTCCAAGGGTGTTAAAACATGTATGACATGCCATGGAGGTGGCAACGGTCATATCAAAATATCGTCCTGAGCCTCGAACAAAAGAAAGTGTCTCCGCACCGCGACCTATAAATCAACCAATCGCCATACAAAGAAATAGACCAAGCACGCCGACAAAGCAAGACATGCGCATGCTCTGGATGTGACCAGCTAGCAATGCGTACTTCATCCACAGCAAAATATCAAGCCGACATGAGCGGAGCCGTTCAACCAACAGCGAGACTGCCACAGCAGCCTTGTCGAAATGTAGTGGCGTAAACGCACTCGGAACGAGAAAACTCACCAAGGAAAATATCGCGTGTTGCCTCTTTCTTTGGCATGATTATCGTCTGGATTTAAAATGGGTGAGTGCGCCGAGCCTGCGTATGATTTTCCATTTTCAAGGGGGTCGACCCGAAAGAGGTGCCGCCTTTCTTCTTTTCGCCAAAAGGTTAGAAACGGGCGCGGGCCGGGAGGAGTTTGAAAAATAGTTGCTTACTTGCTGCCAGTACTGTGGTTTGGTCACCGTTCAACGTGTTGGCTTCAACTCTACCAAGGATCAAAGCGCATCAGGAGGTACCAGGAAGACACCCGATCAATCGATGACTATTCTGCAAAGAACCAAGGCAGTGCTACACGTAAATGTTCTAGTCTCCGCTGGTCCAGACCCGAATCAGAAAGATACGGTATATGAAAGAACCGTAGGAGTATTACCTCTAATACGTTGCAGGTGTCTGATTTCAATTGCCATCAATCGTAACGTGTACGACAGCAGGGTGACTGAGAAGAGGGTTGTGGACAGGAGTGAGAGTCCAGTACGAGGATAAATCCGGCAGGCGAGAATCAACTCGTTCCCCCTCCCATCGACCATATCAACAAAACATCGTCCAAGGCGTCCCGCACATCCAACCATCTAGAATTAGTACTGACTGACCCCTAGCAGTGACTCAATTCCCAACTGAAGTAGTCGGTTGCTAATCGAATCGATTACGATGCCAGCGCCAGTAGCAGTGTGCGTCGTTGCGGCTATTGCAGGTGTCGCTGCTGTTATTGCTTTCCATGAGGTGACTTTCTATCCAAACCTCATATTCGCTTCCAATTAACCTACTCTCTAGTTCGTCTTTGAACCCCACATCGCCCCCGCCATCGAGCGCTGGGCAGAGGACTTCCTCGCCAAACGTCGTGCTCGACGCAGAGGTCCTGTTCCTTCGGCATCCACCCGAGGGTCTGGAGATGGTCACCCAGGCCCCAGCGGTGCTGATCCGAGGAAGAGGACCCCTGCGGGAGATGAAGACTCTATCGAATTACAAGGCCTCGACCTCAACGCATGGCTGAACCAGGTCCATCGCACCGCCCCACACACAAGTATGAGGCGGAGAGCCACAGTGATTCATGATACAGACGAAGGGAGTATATCTACCACGATAGACGTATGTCTTCCATTTCTCATCGTATCCTTCCGAATACTGATCAAATACAGTCCTTCACATCCCTCACGCACACTCCGCTCGCACCTACCCATGTCATCTCCAATGTCTCCTCCCCATTCACAGAAACCCTCTCTATGTCAGCCCGCACACCCGCCCGTGCCCATTCCCGCGCCTCTTCTCGTACCGCAAGAGACGGCGAGCGCGAGGTTAACACTACTTTATTTAACGCCCCGTCTTCCCCTTCGTCATCTGCACCCCCTAGTCCGCCATTCGGTCCCATCCTCCCAGACACACCCCGCACTAGCGCTGCCTACTCTGCTCGCCCATTCTCCCCGGTTGTGCGCACACCCGTGCGTTCTCGCGTACCATCGAGCAGGTCTTCTTTGCAGCACTCGAGCTCGCGTATCTGCGTGGATGTGCAGGGCAGGCGTGTGGACATTGACGTAGTGGGCGAGCACTTAAACAGCAGCGTCAACACGAGTATGCACGAAGATATGAGCGCAAACACGAGCGTTGTGGATTCACTGTCAGAACGTTACCCCGCCGCCTCCGCTCCACCTGTTCTGCTCTCCCCGCCTCCATCAGACACTGTCTTCTCCTCCCCCAGCACAGACGTCCTGAGCCTTGGGAGCAGTGGTAGCTGCCCTGGCTCGCCATTTGACTTGGTCTCCCCGCCTGTTCGTATCGGCGAAGTGCACCTCTCCCCGCCCGAGCAGCATGCATCCCTCTCAGGTGCTGCGAGCTCCCTGTCTCCCTTGATGATGAGCGAGCATGAGTTTGTGTCGTTTGGCGAAGCATCAAATGCGGTTGGGGAGGAAATCTTGGCGTCGCGAAGCGGAAGTGCGCGCCTGCATAATCCGTTTTCAGATTTTGATGAGGGGAATGATTCTGACAGTGACAGTGAGGGGAGTGGTAGTGATGGGAGTTGGGGACGGGTGCGTGTGGGGCGGAGCTGATGTGGCTGGTACTTGTCTTGCTTCGAGGGTGAGTACGTATTATTAGAACAAGATGGATTGGTGGCGTAGTGTGCGTGGTTCCTTTTTCTCTTCCTCTATACCGTCTGATTCTCTATTTTGTTGTCGTCTCTTACTCGTATTGTTCCATCGCTGTGTTTCTTCTCGCATTTTACTTTCCCTCATCGTGATTGCTGCAGCTTGTGCATGGTATTTGCCGTATGCAGATTGATCTTAGCTGCATACTAGTCTCGTACTTGTCGTGCACTTAGGACTGGGATACATGTCTTGCAAGTTTGTGCGCTTGAAGCTCGCTGACTCCTAAAGTGCTGAAACGAATTTATGTAATTGTAACACGTGACGCGCGAGTCGCGACCTTCTTGACAATATTGAGTTTAAGTTGTTGAACCATCCTGTATATATGTCCCTTGCCAGTGATTTTTCGAATCTTCTTAGTACTTACATCAAGCCGCCATCAGTTGTTTCACAGGGCAAGGATACCAAAACCATTAATGGGCTGATCGATCAGTCCATTAGATCAAGCTATACATGGCCAAAATCGGATGACGCAGTCACGTATTTGACATGGTGCCAACAGCACTCACTAGTGTACTGGTACCAGTGGGTCAGTTGTTACACTTACAGGTGAACAAACGATGAAAAACTTCAATGCACACTAATGTCTATTCGGTTTGATAGATTCGCCATATCCCGCATGGACTACTCTACTGGCTGCACATGTCAAGCGACTCAACGGTCAAACTAAGGAACCTGGTTGTTCTTCTGTCAGATTCGGTGTATCTCACCTCTTTGTCGCGGAGCCACTCTTTACTAGTCAACACTGATCTGTAAGTTTAAGTTGCAAACGGTAGGTGTCACACCACATCTATGTTCCAAAATCATCTGAGTCATCCCTGACAGTCCTGTTTATTTCAATACCTGTGAAGTTCGACTTTCGCCTCGTTTGCACCCCACGATGACTACCAAGTCCTTTGGCAGCTCGCCTCCCCCGTATGACCCGATCTACGCCTGTACCACCCATCCAATCTTTATTGTCCTCTCTCGGGAAAATCTGTAGCAAGCCCATTGGTAACACACCTGTGTTATATGACACGAATTCTGCTCCGGCTCTACCACTAGATTCTGTTCTATCTCGTGTCCGTGATCTCGTCTCTGCTCCCGATTTCACCCGTTCCTCCGCCGCCAAAATGTCGATGCCTGCGCTGCTACTCCAACTAGTACTGCAGAGTTCTCCGACCTCCTGCAAATATCCAATATTGAGGGTCGCACGGCGTTGTATCGGGCGTTAAGTTGCACCTTGCCTTCATCATCATCGTTGTAACCCTGCCGTAGGCTTTGCAATTTGAAGAGATTGAACATATGTGCAGGCCTATATGTGCATGCTGGCCCATTCAGTTTTGTTCTGATTTGGTTGCTCGAGCGCTCAATATCGACACCTATATGTAATTCGTACCTGCAGGTGAGTTTTCAACCTTCATTACAAGATCTATGTATAGCCTAGGCCACAATTGGCCGCAAGCACTAGCGCTGAGTCAAATTCATGGTAATAGGACTTAATCAGATCAGATCATCCTTCGTTCGCTGGGTAGCTGGCAAATATCGATCTCGTAGCCTATTAATAATGACGTGTCCTGGAGCCTCCTGGAGCTCAATTTCCTTCTTGCTGCTACGGCCTGGAATGTCGCGGGCGCTAAGTCGGTGTCGTGTCGGAGTGTCACTCGCGCCACAATCATGGTGACCTTGGTAATTATGTGCTTGCAGCGCTTATTTTTGATGACACCAGACGCCAGCAATATTGTCAGGCTATCTGGTGCGTGATTAACCTATCGATTTTCGTTCAACTTCTGAGCTCTCGTGTATAGATGTGCATTGAATCAATTTGAATGTGCACATGTCATCGACGTCCAAATTTACTGATCGTCTGTTATCCAGGAAAAGGAGCGCTCGTCCATCATGGCAAATTTTGGTCGCAGCAGTGGCACAGCACGCTGCCCAAATCCGATAATATGACCGAACCTTGTGACATTTGCATCTACGGCTTCTCAAGTGGCAGAATGTTCAGCTCTTCAGGTGCTCCATAAATACCTGTTCTACGTTGCCTTTTTCTAGCTAACCTTTACACAAATATGATTCTCTGCGCGTATGCGTAGCGGTAGTTGGCCAACATGTATACACGCCTTATCATATACACATCTTGGCTGGCGCCAAAATGCAGACCTCCTATCTGACCTGTCAGTCGCACTTCATCAAAAACTTAGGACCTGGCTTATCTGTGATGGAACGTGGCACGTCCAGCGCTGGTAGGCGTCAAGCCCTTCAGATATAAACCGATATCATATCAAGCTCGTTGATCCTCCACTTGTGATACACTTATATCCAGTCTCATCCCTTCTTACTAAACAAGCCGTTTCCCTACTGCACAGTCTCCATGAATCGCCAAGAGCAAGTCATATCCGACATTACGCTCGAACGAACACAGAAGGCATTGGATAATGCCATATCAAGTTCAAACTCAATATCAACTAGAGGGCTCGACAAGTTGAATCGAGAGGGTTCGTCATCGTCACTCCATCTCAGTCACTGAGGGTGGTACTCAAATTGGTTTTCCATCCCCTAGGAGACTCCGTCGCCCAGACCACTCAAGGATTCGGATTAGTAGGCGATTTCTATACCCAGAATGCCACAGCCATCAAGTCGGCGTCTGACGCGGTGGGTGCGGACCTCTCAAAGAAGAATATGGGCGACTTTTTGGGAGAGGCGAAGAAGGTGATGGAAGCCCTAGATTCTCTGCAACAGATCCACCCGTTTGTCGGTTGTGCGTTTCCCACTTGTCTGTCAGTGTTTCCGCCTTAGCTAATAGATAACTTGCAGTGGCTATACTCGCTTTCAAGGCTGTCGTGAATCTTGAGCTAACGAGAAGAGAGAACGATCGTAAAGTCGGGTTGATGTTAGCTCAGGCATCTGACATGATGACCATGCTTCTCCAGTTAGTCAGACGACGCCATTTTAAAACGACTTTGCTGATTCAATACACTGTTAGACTTCAGCACACTAAAGACCCTGCCGTTGTTGGACCTCATGGAGAGATTCGGGCGCGACTCGATCGTGTCTTGGACGGCATCAAGAAAGACATCGAGGATTGCGGAAATGCCATTGACAAATACTACAAGTCGAAATTCATGGGTTAGTTTCCCTCAGATTCTTCGGTGTTGTATATTGAGAACGTCGTTCCCAGTGAAATTCTTCAGATCATCCCATTGGGCTAGCGAGTTCCTTAAAATTTGCGGCAGCTTTTGCCAGCGAACGCAGGACCTCCAGCTCGCCTTGAATATCAGAACAGCATTGGGAGTTGACATTGTGATTGATAAGCTGGACAAGCTCATCCGGGTGCAAAGCGAACGTGAAATAACGTTCGAGAAAGAAGTGCAAATGCGGGGTGGAAAAGAAAAATGTTTGGAAAGTGAAGACAAACTAGTGGAGCTGCTAAAGATCGCCGAGCAACGGGAAGCGCGTCCACAGAATAAACTGCATGCCGATGCTCCTTCCAAAGATGTCAACAAGCCTAGTTCCAAGGCCACTTCGACCCTCGATGCCTCGCTGCTCCACGAACTGCGCGCTCCTTTACACGACTTACTCGATGAGAACCGAAGGCTCTTCATGTTCAAGCTTGAGACACAGACATCTGACATCAAGGATGCTATCAAGGATTCCGAAACACGTATCATGTGTGCCTTCAACAGCCGATTTCGACGGGTCAAGGATCCGGTAAGGATCAATAATCTCAACTTCATGCATCACTAACTCGGTTAATTTCACCAGCACCTCCGTTATATCTGGAAAGAAATGGTACGTCTTTGTGTTGGCGTAACCGAAGCGCATACTTATCATGACCAAGAAATGGACAACAAATGTCAAGACACTATACTTTATTGCAGAACTGCATGACTATTATGTGACCCATTTCTCCCGCCTCCATCATGAAACTCCGCTCCCACAAGCAACGTCGGATACTTCATCTTTGGAACTGCGAGTCTCGTCTCCATCCCCCACCGTCTCCGTCATGTCAGATTCAGAAGGAGAAGACCGCGAGCTTCCAGCAATCGATTCCGCACACCACGAACTTCCTACTGTCCACTTTGCAGACAAGTGGTGCTTAAAATATTTGTCCGTTTTCTATGTTCCAAGTTTATCCGAAGGCTTCGACAGCGATGCGAACGGCTTGGTCAGTATAAGGGAAGTCAATGCCTTTACTTCCGCGATGCCTTCGGACTGGAGTCTGCCACAGGCACTTGCATACTGGGCTGCAGGTAAGAATCATTATCGTCAGGTCGAATCTGCATTGTTTACATCTGCGAAGGTTGGAGAGTCGATTGTCGATATTACCATACACGAATCGAACAGGTCTTGAGCAGCATGGTTTATGCGCAAGAAGATGTGCTTCCCGAAAACAGGAGGTGTATCGCTAGATACTTGAATTCAGACGTTATCGATGGTTTGTCTCTCTGTTCATCTTTGAACAGGGGGATTCACACAGTAGGCAGACATCAAACGGCTCGTGCGTTCTCTTGGAGAGCTCGGATCTGAGAATTTTGACTCGGATCTCGCGCAATTGACTGATCGGCGTCGCGAGACTCAGGAGGAGACGTTGGCAAATAAACTTAACATCGTGAAGTATGAAATCGATTCCACAGATTCTATTAAACTTTTCGGATCCGGTCGCATCGAAAATGTGAGTTGTTCATTCAGCGCTTGCGCTAAATGCTCACACAAATGCTTGTTCAGTTCTTGCTACCTGTACTTTACCTCGTCATCAGGAGGCATTTACAGATCATGAAGCTTGCCAGCACAGTAATTCTGGTGGATAGAGAGCTTGAATATGCAACTCAAACCATAGGAAATATACTGGGAGCGGTGTCTCTGCGCGTGGAGCAACTGGCAGGTGAGCTTCCAAGATGTACGATGGTGAACTGTTTCCTTCTATAATCGCAGAATCATTTCGTCAGCAGGGTACCGATCCAAAAGTGAGATTCACCTGGTATGCGCATGGCTTGGTGCGTGGATACAGCAATAGCGTATCTATTCCTTGCTCTGACACCCTGCAATAGTACAACTTTTGGTACAGTCCGGAACTATGCACAGGCACAGACGACACCGAATCCTGGAACAATTTCGGGGTTGATGAAACTGAGTTGGAGATTGGCACAGCAGAATTAAAGCTTGGTCCCTTCAGTCTGGGGGAGGGCGATCCGGTGTTAGAAAAGCCTACAAAGCTCGTTGCAATTGGTCCCGCTCAGCGGCCTGAAGATACCAAGGACGAGTACTTGCGTTTGTCGTGCATGAATAAGCTCCACAATATGCGGTGGTACTCTTCCTTCGATGATATTCCTCCTTACCTTTCGCCGGGGGACGCGGAAAGGTTGGATTCCCTGTCTGAGGAGCTGCCTTCTTCAGATGTCCAACTCTGGGATTCATTAGCTGAACTCCATATGCGCGGACGATTGTTTGGGTGAGCCCCCTCTATCTACCATTCTTCGATCGTCTGATTTTCTGGCGTTCAGATGTGTCTGCGATGGATGTCATTCTTACATCATCGATGTCCTTCGCCGCTGTGCAGACTGCAAGTCTGGTGAGTACGATGAGTGCAACCCTCCCGCGCGAGACGAATGATCATCACACACACCTAGATGAATATGATTTGTGTGCAGATTGCGAATCTCTGCCGGTTTCAAATTACAAAAATCCATCCGACCACAAGCCGACACACAATCTACTTGTTTTCCGCATGTCGCTACCTACCACTCGCTACAGGCGAGTTCGGTGGTATGCTAGGAATTTCTTATCTACTTGTTTACCCGCCGCAGTACCGCCAGAAGGATCGTCGACTGCACAAGAAGACGAATCCGAAACACAATCAGATGGACCAGAACTTCCGCAATCAACAGAAGCCACTCAAGTGGACGTGGCTTCCGCCTCTGTTGATTTGGGTGAAGGTGATGAGAAGTTAAGCTCGGGCGTGGCATTCAGGGGGATAGCTGGAACCTCGGTCGCGAATGGGGATGTCTACGCTTGTGCTGAATGTGGCGTGAAGATGAAGGGCATTTTTTATGTATGCCTTACCTGTCAAGGTCAGATTCATCTGCATCTCATGGAGCACAAAGCTTGATAACTACCACAGAAGACATTGCCTTGTGTGACGATTGCGCATTCCATGATGAATTCCGAGTGGCCACAGAGCACCACCCTCACAAACACTGGCTGATCAAGATTAAAGGGAAGATTCAAGATGCAGGTATCGGAACATCAGACGAACCTGTCGATAACGTGGACGAGACGACTTCGCTTTCCTTACGAGTCGACAAGCTGGCTGCGATGGTCGAATCTCGCTTCACTGAGCTTGATCTCCGCATTGGTGGCCTTGTCACACAGGTTAACCAGCTCGTGCATAGTCTGAAAGCTCAGCTCCCTGCGGAATCGGTGAACGGTTTGGTTGACTCATGAATTGATTGGCAGACTGTTATCGATTTTATTTTCTGATTTTCGTGTATTGTCTCTGACCTTTTGTAACTGTTTCATTCGGCGGTGCTAACTTACTGAGTCCTTTGTACTTTTTACATGAGAATGATGAAATAAAGATGTTTCTTTCCTCTCGTGAAAAGCTAGGCGGAGAAAGACCGAGCTCGACGTACCATTACCGCCATTACCACTCGTAGGCATCCTGTACAAAGCTCAACCACCATGCATGATAGGAATTGGCGTCATATTAGCGTCACAAAAACAGAGACATGCAGCACACACTCAATGCAACCAATGCGTGGTATAATTGGTGTGCGATCAGCGGGCGTCTCCATTGAAATCTGGCGCGGAAGAACTTGGTCTTTGTTTGAAAAACTAAATTACTACAACCGCATCAGTGGAAACGAAGGGATCACGTATTGTCGGGTACGTGTATGCAGACGTGGTAGTAAGCATGCTCACCTCAGTCTCAGTTCGAAAGACTGGGTGGAAACAATATCGTACTGAGAGGATTAATAGAACATTGAGAGGGAGAACGAAGGGATGGCGTGCGCGGAAACGGGTATCAAGAATGTTTATGGATATAAATAGATATGTATGACGAATGTATCATGATGCTGACCGCGTTGGATCATCTCTCAAGAGCCACTAGCCTCTGTTATTCTAAAGGTGAAACGCAATCAGTAACTATTGGACATGAACAGCAGTAACAATACCTCTCTTGGATACATGGTTACTCCTCGCGCTTCGCGATCCGACATCCTCACAACCACTAATCACCGTCACTCGTATCACCGTTGCTATCAGAAGTGTTACTTGTGTGACTGGTGTCGTCTTCAGAACTGTTAGAAGTGTTGCTGGGGTGACTGACGTCGTCGGGGGCCCGAGCGTTCAGGCGGTCAACGTCACTACTAGCAGAGTTGCTGGAGTGACTAGTGTCGTCGCCGGGGGCCCTAGCGTTCAAGGAGCTAAAATCGCTACTAGCAGAGTTGCTGGAATGACTATCGTCATCGTTAGCATCGTTGCTGGTGTGACTAGTGTCATCACCGGGGGCCCGAGTGTCCAAGTGGCCAATGTCGCTATTAGCATCGTTGCTGGTGTGACTAGTGTCATTGTTAGAAGTGCTGGTGTGACTAGTGTCATTGGTAGAGGTGCTGGTGTGACTGGTGTCGTTATTAGAGGTGTTGGAAGTACTAGTGTGACTAGTGTCGTTGTTAGAAGTGTTGGAAGTACTGGTGTGACTAGTGTCGTTGTTAGAAGTATTGGAAGTACTGGTGTGACTAGTGTCGTTGTGAGAACTGTTAGAAGTGCTAGGGTGACTAGTGTCGTTGGGGGCCCGAGTATTCAGGTAAGCAACTTCGCTATCACTAGCAGGGATGCTGGGCTGGCTAGGCTGACTAATGTCGTTGTAGGATCTAGTGTCCACAAAGCCAACGAGGTTAGAGTCAAGCCGCTCGCGCTTAGCCAAAGCTGCATAGCATATCAGTTTTACACCCATCGATTGGAGTGACACGTGAGCCCTTACAAGAACTTTTCATCCCATGTGGTGTGGGATATGCTGCAGCGATAGCGACAAAGGAAAGGAGTGTGGTGAAAACGAGTGAGAGCTGCATGGTTGTAATTGAGAGGAATTGACACGAGGTGTCAGAGAGTCGCGGATTTTATACCTTCGAACCATGTATCGTAAAGCCAAGGTCAGACATTCGGGCGATAATCATGGTTCTGAGCTGTTACAAGGCGTCCCTTCTATGTCATCATTTCGGTTCCGTGTCCAATGGCTGGTATGAAATTCCAAGTTCCTTCTCTTGCTGTAACAATTGCTTGTACTTGGCCCTCACGGGCATCTAGTAAGGGAAAGACTTCATTATGGTTCATTCGCGAGGCGTCCCTAGTACTACGTTATAATGTTGGGTGAGGTTGCGAATAGAAGGTATGGTACGAACTTCGAGTTCCGTACGCTCTTGCTGAAGATGACACTGGATGGAAAGAGCATTAGTTCCGTCATACACTCTCGTCATGTCCGAACTAGAAGCTTCGTTTATCTGAAGTTGAAAGGGCAAAGAGTAAATTGGCAGGATAACGCTGAGGCTTGCGGTCTGTTTCTGTTATTCTGTGAACAAACAGTCAATAGTCATGCGGGGATGTTTCATGGGACGAAAAGATACCTGCAACAATTCCGGAATGCCACACACAAGATACCAACTACGAATGCCAATCAGGAACGAAAAAAAAACCAGACGTTGGAAAAGAGCGTGTATAGTAAATGCTGGTAAAAGAGTGGGGATGTGGTCACTTTGATGACTCTGGGACGTGTTTAATGAGCGCCACTTTAGCACGACGTAACGCACAGTGTCCGTTCCACGATGTCCATGTTAGTCATATATGTGCCAACAACGTAGACCTGACCGTCAGAGTGAGAAGACGCAAGACCGAGATACTACTTGTCGTGATTGGATCTGCTAGTCGTCAGTTGTCGTCTCAGAGTCGTTTCTGTTTCACAACCCAAGAAGATACAGAGGAGCGAAGCAGTCTCGATGCTGGCATGCGGTGATGTACATGTTTCGAGAATACCATTCGTTACGGTTAGTATCAGAAAGCAGGTGAAACTGAAGTAAGGCAGCGCCGTAAATTTTGTGCGGTTTGGGTAAGATGGAGTTCGTTGAGAAGAGCGATCTAGGAGTTCTCTGATAGATTGGTGAAAATAGCGTTATCGAAGGAGTTCTGTGTGCCGAATGCCGGCGAATGCCGATTGCGATCCGCGACCGAAAAGGAAAGCGGCAAAATTTAACGTGTCCACTGTCACCGTCCTCCTCCTCCTCGGATTCTCAAGTCAATGGGGAGGAATACTCAAACACGTTGAAAGGCCTTCAGCTCTAGCGCTCTACTACTGCTTTTATTACGTCCACGAGAGCGACGAACCAAGACTCACAAGTTACCACAATTTCCGGTGCCCTGCGTCGAGGACGGCATTGAAAACGGTCCACTTCACAATCACTACCGTATTTATCCAGACTAAAGACAAAGTTCATTGACAAAACGCAAGCGGATTATCAGAGGAGCTACTGCCAAACTTCAATGCTTTCAACTTGCGCGCTCGTAAAGCGACAGTATTGACATGTGCCACCGGTGGATGTGTGTAAAAATTTGTCTTGCAGCGCCGAACACACTCTGTTACAACGACGGTCACCCTCGCTGAAGTCCTGAGGTATCGTGGTCAATCATCACCATTTCTCGCTGTCAGCCAATAAATGTCATAACAAGCTAAACACTTTTGAATGTCATCTCCAGCTTTGCATGTAGGGTGCCATCAGAGTCTACATGTACGGGATTTCTGCAACAGCACAGTCAGTTGAATTCGTTAAGGAGAAGAGTTGCGAAACATGTCGGTCGCTACAATCATCGTTCCGAAAAAATACTGCAAGGATCAAGCTGAGGAAGCGAAAGACTTACTCGTACGTCACCCAATCACCCAATGCCCACATACAACTAGGGATAGCTTTGCCAGATACATTGCCTTTGTATCTGCCGTGAATGCATCGGTACCTCAGCTTCAAATGGGTCTGAGTAGTTAAAACTTACCCAAACGGCACGAGTGTCTCTACAAATTTAAAGCCCACGTGCTGCAGCACTTTAGGCGGCACCTCACAGGCAGGTTCCCCTTTCCTTCTGTGATCTTCTATTACAAATGAAAGTTTTGGACAAGCTGGAAGGCTAGGCGAAGAGAGACCAAAGCGGCCGCGCCATTTCGACTCGGACCCCATATCAAAGCTCAACCACCATATACGTCCTGCAGGAGATGGCATCATTGTACCAGCGTGAGGGACAATACGAGGGCATGGACCACATACCTCCCCCAACAAATTCACAATTTAACTTTTCTGTAGTGCGCAGGCGTTTCTGAAACATCCTGATCCGGAAAGAAGCAGTGAACTGGTGGTCGTCCAATCCTCTCCCTTCATGTATCTCAATATCATCTGGTGGACAGCCCAAAAATTGCCTCAAAGACTCGTCCTTGACTGATAAGTGTGTCATACATCTGTTTACACTCTCGTATTACCAAGCACTTACCATCAGTATTTTGCAAATTCAGCTGCGAGAATAATGCTTGGTTGCTAGTTTGCATGCATGCAAGACGCAAGTCGGAAGAGCATTTAGACGAATATTTGGAAATAAAACTAGCCAACGCCAAAAATGCTTCTCGCCGGTGGTTCACAATTGCCCAATATAGCGCTGTATGGCCCTCGATATTAGGAGTCTGTAGGAGGTCTGAGAACTGTGCAGCTGAGAGAGTAGAAGCGCAGTCATTGACAGTTTCGTCAATGGACAAAGAGGTGGTGAAAGTTTGAGTGGAGACAAGATCACGAATGCGAGATAGAACAGTGGCACGTTCCTGCTTGGTTGATTGAGAGGAGAATATAAATGGTCGTTTGGATTTGATAGAATCAGTTGACAATCCGGTTGTAGAAATTGTGTCATACGAGGGGGGTGAGTTAGCAAAGGACTTGCTATCATCAAAGGCTTCCGACTTCATAGCCATTATGACGGGGCAGATGAAAGTGAAGGCGATCTTCGTCGAGATATACAAGGAAATAGGGGCGTTGTGCCAAGCATCCCGCGGCACCTCGGCACAGGGATATTAATATATTACACGTGTCCCTGATATCAAACACGTGCTTAGAGTGCGTTCATTGCACCAAACCGAGTGGTTTGGTGCTGTGGAGAGCGTTAGAGACCTTTTGGCGAAAGACGAAGGAGAGAAATGACATGGACGCTGAAGGAGCGTGTCACAGAGCGACAAAGAACTTTACAATATCAACCCGACGCCATCCCTCCCTTTCGGCTTGTCTGTAGTCGATTATGTGACAATAATTACTGTGGTAGGGCCGACGCCATCCCGAAGATATTGAGGCAGCTGAGTGGGGGCAGTCGTGCTCAGTGGTCCCGTCTTCCGAGTCGCGGCAGCCTCTGTGCAGTTCAGCCAGGTCACCTGCCAGTGGCGGAACTTTAGCGGCCGGGTCATAAAACTCGGTGCATCGGATCCCCATTGTCAGCAGTCTAAAGACGTCAAAGAAGAATATTTGCACTACAGGCGCAAGGAGCTCCACAATGCGCGGAACTTCTACCTTCACCTGTCTAGACTCTCAAATTTGTGTCGTCCCCTCCGAGTCGAGCCCGGTATTTGTTGTTTTAGCTGCAGTAGATGCGGGACGTCTTTTGGATGATTGATTAGGGCGGGCGTCATGGTTGCAGCAGGCTCTAAAAAATCCTTTTCAGAGCATGATGCAATATTACGTTTCTTCGTGCGTTACACGCTAGGACAACACGTGAGGAAGTTAAACTATAGTCCAAAGTTCGTGTACTTACGTTGCATGTTCCTTTTTTTTTTTTTGGGGGGGGGATCATAGAACTTGTGGTACTCGCTGGTATGCCATTGGGCTGCAGGCGATTTCAGTCTCACATCGCAAAAGATCAAATGGAACAAGGACATGACGTCCCGGTCGCAATCAGGCATGTAGGACAACCACGCTACAGTACAGTAGCAAGACAAGACACGAAGCAGCATATCGAAATAACCTCTTTCCCTGGATTTATACAAACACCAGTGAATAAAGCTAGCGGCACAGCAGATCACAGCCTGCATGAACCATCCTGTCTAAGAGCGTCTTATGAACATGTAGAATGTACGTACTCGGAGTCAAGTCCCGCGCTAAGGCAAACCTGCCATCCGCAGCTCGGACTCGAGAAATTCTTCTATTTCCTTGATAGTCGGACGACTGTGAAGTCCACCATGAGGTGACCAACATCGTTGAATAAAATTCCACTGTGCACTAGTGACGAAAGATTCTTCAGGACGTCTGGGCTTTACGCCTTTCGAAGATAATACGATGACATGAATGTTATTCTTGATATCGTGGTAAGGTATTGATCCTGTGAGTAACTAGACTCGAAGTGTGGTAAGTGGGAGATGCTATGAAGAGATGATGCACCGTACCTGCAGGAGAATACTGCCGAATGAGTAGATATCAGTCTGCTCTGTTGGGATGCATGGATTTATTTCGCCTTCCCGCATCTCGAATAACCGAGGGTCAGTCCATCGCACCGCTGAGCGAGTACCTCCAGATGGTTGGGCCAAAGTCGGGATTTCCGCGAGTAACGACATGACTCCAAAGTCGGATAATTGCGCTCTGCCCTGACGGTCCACCAGTATATTGAGCTAGACAGTGTTAGCGTATCATACTGCTAGGGACAAAGGCCTTACTCCAGTGAGGTCTCCGTGCACAACAGAATGAGCATGTACTACATTTCGAATTAATGAAAGCCATTGCCACGAACAAATGAAAGAAAACCCACGATAGCCGAGGCCAGCTACTACCTGTTTGGCCTAAATACGCGCAAAGATGAGAAATTCATTTCTTCCAAAAACACTACTCACGAGATCCAACTTGCTCCGCAATGACAAATGATGGCTAGCGATGTAGTCATTCAACGACCCCTCGTTCACCCAGGGCGTTACCAGTGATGGAAAGTGTCCGAAATCGTGCGCAATTCCATATAGTGGTAGGACGTTTTTGTGCAATAATTGCGCCCAAGATGATATTTTACCCATCAGTCTCTGAGTAATCCGTGAGTGTATCTTGGACAAATATGAAAGAACGAACCTGACAATTTTGACTTTTGTCATTCTCATTCAAAAATGGAATTTTCAGTGACTTGACCGCAACCTATAAATCATTAGTACATCGAGGATTCAATAGGTGAATATTACTCACATCATGTTTTCGCTTGTCACGGTACCATGTCGATCGCCAAACGTCACTGTACGTACCCGACAACGTCGGGTAGATTTCGCGACGAACAATTTGCCTGGTGAGGTCAATGGGGGCGAAGTTGCACTGGGATTCTCCCACAGCATGTTGCTGAAAATTGTTGGGAATTGTTGGTGTCCGCCTGCAAGAATCTGACGATGAATTCACGGAGCTATTCTGAAATTTAGCAAATAAACTCTTTTAGGGAAGTAAGGTGTATACTCAGACACATCAATGTTGGAACCTTTTGTCAGGACGGTCCAAGAGTCTGAAATGACTGGAACGGCGCCTTGCTGATTGGAGCATGAACCCTCAGCAAACGAATGGAGAGTTGCAGGTGCCATTTCTCGGTACGACCATCGAATGAACGTCCAAGGTACTTTCACGAAATATGTGAGTAGGTCAGAGATTCCGGAATACTGTTGAGGGGCTGTCGGAGCGTGGTCCAGTGGATTGTTGGACATGACCTCTAGCTATTGAGCAAACACCAGAATGTGGACGTTAGAGAGTAGGCGCTGAATGCATGCGGTATTCATACCTTTCGACAAGCATGCCATGAGTCTAGTGGGAAGTCCTGTAGACTATTTCAATCAGTCCAGTTCACCGAAATCACAATCCTTCGACCCTTCACACCATGAGTCCAGCCGAAGACCCACCTGTACATTCGAATCGGCCGATGCTAAATATGGCCGCGGTGCTTCCACCCATTGATCCCCAGAAGTCAGCCCCGCTGCGATGCACAACTTATTGGATAGTGATTGGATGAAAGTGCATCCACAATATCGCCTCATACAGCTTGTCAGATTTTCAGATAGGGCTTTGGATGATCCACATCCATGATTTGTACTGAGTACCAAGCCACCAGTTGATGTGGCTGGCACAGCTAGTTCTGCCGTCACATCATGACGGGACGTTGGTGGGTATTGCAAACTTTGTTCGTAGGTTTCATTCAGTGGTTCTCCCGCGCCTTAAGGCCTGTAGTATGTCCACGATGATCGTGGAACCTGAAACGAAACTCATCGCAGGGCCCATTAAAGCCAGGCCAACTACGCCTGTGATAATTCATTTTAAACGTATTGACTCAGGCAAACCTTAGTACAATCTTGGTTTGATTAGTGCGCTTGGATTTCATGACGGTGTTGAAAAACTTGCCGTAGTCAAAAGACACCGTCGTTTGCATCCGAGTCTGCTGGTCTTGATACTAAAATCATCAAGGTGAACTTCTTGCGGAATTACGATGCACTGGCAGAAAAACCTCCCTTCAGCGTTCCCTGAACGTTCCTGGCAAAATAAGAGCGGGTGAACCATGTTCCCGCATACAAGCTGTGAATTCTTCAATTCAATACACAACAACAAGGTTTACACGTGGATTAAATCGAAGCAGATGCACTGCCTATCCAACGTTCAACCGCCGCGAGGTGCGGACTTGGATCTGAAACGGATGGTTTCTAGTACAATTCCAGTACAGGGTTTGTTAAGTTAGGTTCACAGCCACGACTTCGGTGGTAGTGACCAGATCAATGTGTTGGAAATGCCATTCTTAGGACTACGCATGGTGAAAGAAGGTCTGGTTATAGAGTGTGGCAGGCAAGAGATAAGGGACCAGGGTACACAATGTTAAAAGAAAAGCTGGGGAAACTCAGCGACGCCAAGTTGTTCCGCAAATTCCCGAACCGCGGTTCACGCTCGCTTTAGCTACTGTGTGTTTGAATATGAAACTGCAGTATGAGTTTTTCAAAAACTCTGCCTCGCTACCTTTACCGGACAAAATGATGTGCGCGCTTGACCACGTTTGGATGCAAAAGTCCCCAGTTAAGGCCGAGCTTTCGAAATACTCGTACTCTAATGCAGAAGTGGTAAGTACTCTAAGTCTTAGGCCATCGCGCACGGTATGTGTGGAATGAGTTCACGAATACTGACTAAGACTGCAGAATAGGAGAATCATCTCAGATTGCGTATTCAAACCTGCTTGCCGCTTGCATGACAGGCCATGTTCATGTCATGACGGGTGTTCATGTCCAGTAGGCACCGTTGTTCGCGGAGACGCACTGGTAACTTAGCCGCCGCACAGCACTGAGTTGTGCTCCTGGGCGTTCCGCCTGAGATGCCCTTGTGATATGAGAAACCGTCACTCTTCTTGTGGAGTTAACAGCGTGTAAGTGCTCGTGTTAACACTATTGCAGTAAGACTGGTACTTGATATTACAAGGGTCTATTGCCAACTACGCAAACCTACTTTAAACCACAGTACCCTGCCATGGCGAGTTCATTAATCTGGGCTGATGCCGCTGTGAACAGGGTGATCATCCACCAGATGCGCTAGAGAAATCGCAGCCAAGATCGCAGGCTCTGGCACGTCAGAAGACTCGCAAATGAGAGCTCATGCTGATATGTGGTGGCAAGTTTATGCTCATGCTTTACTTCTGTGAAAATGCAGGGATGTTCCTAGCCCAATAAATATGAGATCGCTCTCCACTTGCTGTAGCTCCTGAGTCCTGACATTTTCCATTCTCGAAAGATTTATCCAGTCTTCTCTTCGTTGCTACCCCGCCACAATGTCACAACCGGTTGCGGAGGATTCAACATCTAACACTGGTGAGGGTGAGTATCCTTCTACGTGACTGAATGCTGGTGACGAATGATTAGGATTTGACTGGAAGAGACTGCGCCTCGATTGCTTGCTGTCTCCTTTCTCACGTTCCACCAGTGAGGGTGCCACTTCAGTGAGTGTTTATCAATGTGGCGCCTTGCAGACATTGACCGACTCGATGCTGTGTACCGATAGGGCAATGATTCCGATGAATCAAAAACTGTCCCGGATCTTACGAGCAGTAGTACTGACCCTGAATCACCTTGTATCATCTCGCCTTCTGGGTCAGTTTCAAGTTTCGAGGACCTTGCACCCCTGGCCCGTGAAGATCTTTTCTGGGAGAGTGAACTCTCTCCATCACTGACGCAACATTGCGTAAAACAGTGTGTATTCCTCTGCAAATACACGGCGTTTTAAGCTGAGGCTGAACGTTTCTAGAGATGTTAACCTCAAAAAATACCGAGACGAACCTCGAGATCTCACGCATGATATTAAACGCCTCCAGGGTTACCCCCTCAATTGTGGCGGATTCAGTAACGTCTGGAAGTGCAAATTAGCTCACTTTTTTCGAAATGGTACCAAAGTTAGTTGATGAATTGGTGTGCTTTCAAAAGATTAACTTTATTTTACCAGATGCGCTCGCAATACGTCGCCGTCAAGGCTGTTAGAATGCTATCAAGGGACCCAGAAGTCGTCAATAAATTGATCAAGGTCAGTTCTCGTACAGTCGATCTACATGGCATCTAACATCACTCTCTATCCAGAAATTGCGTCAGGAAGTCTATATTTGGCAGACGCTGGAACACCCACATATACTGCCTCTGTATGGCACTGCGGACGGTTTTGACACTGTCCCAGCGCTAGTTTGTCCGTGGATGGAAAAAGGTTCTCTCCATGGATATCTGGATGATATGTGGAAAATGCAGTTGCCGCCTAACATGCAACGTCTCTTTCTTCTCGTAAGTATTTTTGTCTATATTCTTACAGACACCCTCTGATCAGTCGAAATACAGCTTCTACAAGTTGTTTTAGGTCTGCAGTATTGTGAGTGATTTCATTTGCGACTCCGTGGCCTCATTCAGACTATAAACGATGAATCAGTGCATGAAAAGGACATTATCCATGGGGACCTTATGGCCGTATGTCACAAAAGTCTGAACAGTCAGTTCGCCCTGCTCATAAAATTTCAGCCTAATGTTCTGATCGATGAGAATGGGGACGCTCTCCTTGCGGACTTCGGCATGTCGCGCCTGCTGGCGGACCATGAAACATCTTTCTTCAAATCTAACAGCCCAGGCGCAATTCGTTGGGCCGCTCCAGAAATCATATCACTCGATAATGAAAACACCGATGAAAAAGTTAGCGAGCCAAATAGAACAAGTGACATCTATTCATTTGGTTGTATCATGGTGCAGGTAATGTCAACCGTCTTATCTGTCGCAAGTGAATTATTCCAAATATTTTATTAGGTGCTATCTGGCCAAAACCCGTACTGGGATATAAAGTCCGAACATGCTGTCACTGTAGCCAAATCCAAAGGCGCTGTGCCGACACGGCCTACACTACATGCAATCGCCGATGATCACTGGTGCTATCTCGAACGGTGTTGGTCGCCGTGCGTTGAGACGCGGCCTTTGGTTGGAGAAGTTCTGGAATACATTCAGGCAGAATACGACAACAGAACTTAGCTTCTTGAGCTGGCCTCTTCCGCCAGTGATACAAACGAGTTGACCTCGAACGCCACGTTTCCTTGCAGCTGCAGCACATGTGTTGTATTCAGATCGCGTGTATTTATTCCGTCATGGCACGATACATTACTACTCACTACATATCCTCCCATTATCTTCCTGGCAGAATTGACTGCCCTACAATAAATTTCTGGCTCGCATCTGGCTCCATAAATCTGAAGTTGAAACTCCGCGGCATTGAATGGCAATTTCACATGTAGTACCAAACATAGTTCAACGTTCAACGGTACCGCTCTCAATTTCCAAAGACTCAGAGTCAGTCACATCGACTCAGCTTAAGCCCTAATTTATCCGCCGCTCGCTGTGCTGAATGGTGACGGGAGCTCTCAGGTCGTCGAGTCATTGTGACTGACCCATAATTTAGACTCAAAATGTCACAGTCAATCTGGCGGTTTATAAAGGGCCTCCCTTCAGTTAGAGGATGCCATTGTCGTGCTCGCCTCGCCTCATCTGCACCACAACCAAACCAATCAGACCTAACTCATTTCTTACTGACATTTCTGCTAAGATGTCGACAACTACTACTAGTACTATGGCCGCCCCTCTTGCCGCTGCTTCCTCCCAGAACGTTACTCTCCCCGCTATCCCTGAGCTCACCAATCCCAACTTCCTTGACGTTCTTCTTCCTGTCTCTGAGCATACGAGCTCGATGAAAATCACTGAAAATTCCCCAGCACATCCCAATGCTATGATGGACGCGCTCCGGTCGACTGCCCATCACAAGCTCACTGAAAACGTTTCGCCTGCTTTTAGTTCCACTCTTTCGGCCACGCTTGATGCATTCCAGGGCATACGTCCCGGTGTGTCTGGGTACTTCGTTGATAGTTATCTTTCCAAGGCTTGGCCTGAAGACCCAGCTCTCACCCTCCGACTCATCTGGTCTCTTAGAAGCATTCATGATGGGAAGAGCGACAAAGAGCTCTTCTACATGGCGTTTGGCTGGCTCTTCGAAAACCACCCCCGCACTGCTATCTCCAATCTGTATCTTCTTGTTGAGCCTGTCTGCTCTCGCCTCCGTCCTGTCAAAGGCAAAGATACCAAAAAGCGCGTGAGCATGCCTCATGGGTACTGGAAGGACCTCCTCAACATCCTTGCGTTGGCCACTGTTGATGAACTTCATCCTGCTCCTGTACGCTCCAGGTTTCTTCACAATTATACGCCTCGTCACTCTCGCCCCAAATTCAAGTCTAATGCCGAGCAGGAAGTGTGGTCGAAGGAAAGGCGTATTCAGACCCACGGTGCGAACCATGCCCGCATTGTGGAGAAGCTAAAGCAGCCAAAGTATCGTGCTTTGTATATCGCAGTTTCCAGGCTATTCGCAGATCGGCTTGTCAAAGATGTCTCGATTCTTGATGAGCTAACCTCCCTTCCAGCGGATGCGAAAGTGAAGGACCGCGTATCACTCATATTTTCGCTCTCTCAAGCGACAAAATGGGCACCCTCTCCTGGTGGGTCGCACGACAGAGTCACGAATATCACCTCCGCTATCTGCATTCTCCTGCACCATGCTCACATCACGTCTTCCCTTGCGCATAAAATCCCTATCACGCTCACCCCCAGTGCTCTGGAGTTGCATGTCTTGCGTTCCTTCCTCCGCTGTCACATTCTTTCACCTTCCCGTCGGATTAAGTCCCTCCCAGAGCCCCTCATGTCCGCCAATCGCTGGTCGGAAATCGTGTACTCCCGTGTTGCATCCGTTTGCATGAATGACAACAAGCAACATTTCTTCAATCACGATCCTGACCGCTTTCTTTCCTACCTGACATATGTGGAATCAGGAACGAAGCAGATCAGCGGTGCAACACTCTTCCCACACGATCTTGTCTTGCAGGCAGCGGCATTCGTGCCCACTGCACCGGTGGAAGCGAATCTGACTCTGGATAATGCTATGAAGGAACACAAGCGTAAGCTTGCGGAGATACAAGTGCGTGTGGCGGAGGCACAGTGGGCGACGCTCCTTAAGCGTCTGCGTGAGGCTGGGGAGCTAGATAACTGCATTGCCGTCTGTGATGTCTCAGGGTCCATGGGCAGTGTCAACAATTATCTCTCTTACGCCGGACCACGCCAGCCCCACGTAGCTCCCATCTGGCCTGCTGTATCCCTCAGCCTCGTCTTGGCGCGTCTCGCGAAGCCACCTTTCAAGGACGCATTCATTACTTTTTCCTCGAATCCACAGATGGTCGTGCTTGATCCCGAAGGCACTATTTCACTCGGCGAGACGGTGAGAAAAATGTCGCGTTCTGATTGGTCTATGAGCACCAACTTCAACGCTGTCTTTCTCGACCTCCTTCTCCCGCTCGCCCGGAAGCACGCTGTGCCTCAGGACCAGATGATACAGCGTATCTTCGTGTTCACGGACATGCAGTTCGATGCGTCTCAGAGGACTGGACCGAAGGCGGCGGCGTGGGACACGAATCATGATGTCATCGAGAAGGCGTACAAGGAGGCAGGGTACGAGATGCCGGAGATCGTGTACTGGAACCTGTCCACTGCAGATCGTTACCCGGGTGTTACTGTTCCTGTGACCGCCGAGCGGAAGGGCGTTGCGATGTTGAACGGGTACTCGCCGTCGCTGTTGAAGGTGTTCATGGGTGGGGAGGAAGCGGAGGAGGAGGAGGAGGAGGAGGAGGAGGAGTGGGAGGATGTGACTATGGACGAGGGAGAAGTGAAGGTGAAGAAGACGTTCACTCCCGTGGAGTTCATGGAGATGGTATTGGGGAAGAGGAGTTTCAATGGGCTTGTTGTTATTGATTGAGGGGTTGGTTTCGTTAACATGTAGCACTGGCATCTTTACTAGCATCATTCACTAGCATTTTTAGGACTCATTTAAATTATTTGTATACTATTCAATGCACGGACTTCTCTCCCAAATGCCTAAATCCAAGATATGAGCTTGCGATTAGCCTGGAATAACTACCGCAGGCTCTCAGACACTGTGGGAAGTAAATACCCTGAAAGTAAACGTGAGAAACCCTGAATGACATATCTCAGTGACTACGTCACTGAAAAAAGAATCCGTTATTTTCAGCGTTCACGTGAGAGTCACGTCCATCAGTACTTGTGACACTGATTGGTTTTTCAGTGTTCACTTGACCAGTGCCGCAAGTACTGAATCATTTCTCAGTGTTTACTGGCCAGTGGCGCAAGTACTGAATTATTTGTCAGTGTTTAATCGAACTCAATTTCAATGTTGTTTTTCCGCCAAATCTGCACAGAAACGCTGGGCGCAGACCTGGCTTGGATTCAATCCGTGATCTAGATGACATTGAATATTGGCAGCCCAACCCCCCGAAGGTGCTCAAATCCTGGAGATGTTCCGTTGGAAGTACGGTCTCAGATCCAGCATTATGCTACCACAGAGTGAGGCACCTCTCCATTCAGTTCTTACATTTGTTGATGGTTATTGTCCGCGAAGGCAATTGTCGCATCCGCTAGTCTCGCTGCACAATGGCTTCCGCGGTTTGCTTGACGATAATATTCACGAGCTTTTCTGGCTCGGTGTCGATAACTGGAGTTCCTGCGGCGGTTCTGAGCTCGGCACAATCCGTACTCTTCCAGATGTTGACCTGGGCGCTGTAGCTGCACGTTTCCAGGAGCATAATTTCCATGCACTTCTGATGATCGGCGGATTTGAGGCGTTCAATGCACTGCTGAGCGCTGATCCTTGAGACGGGGAGGAAACACTACTCTACGTTCCACATCCCAATGGCCCAGCCACGATCTCAAATAACGTGCCGATGACGGAGTTCAGTTTGGGTAGCGACACGAGCTTGAATGCACTTGTTGATGCGTGTGACTCAATCAAGCAGAGCGCCAGTGCGAGTAGGAATCGGGTGTTTGTAGCTGAAACGCAAGGTGGCCAGTGTGGGTACCTTGCCACCATGGGTGTCATGGCAGTGAGTACTCTGGCGCTGAAGTTCGTAGAATATGGGACTGATGGGTGTGCCTACTCAGACCGGTGCCAGCATCGTCTACACTCCAGAGCAGGGCATGAACCTTGACACACTTCGCCAGGACGTCAAATTCCTGAAGATCTGTTATGGTCTAGATGCGAAGGGCAAGAGTGAAGGACGCATGGTCATTCGGTCAGTTTTATGTCTCAAACTCAGTGAACCTGCTGAGATGATTTCCCAGCAATGAGTGCGCGTCGACGGTCTATGGTTCTTCAAGCTTCGTTAGGCAACCTCTGCCCATTGTACATTTTGGCAGGCGATGGGGAAGTGCTTCGCGACGAAATCATATATCTAGCGCATAAGGCGGCCAACCCAGCTGAGTACCCCGTACGAGAGGGTCCATCTCCAGGTGTATGATGGTACTGTCACTCCTCTCCCTCAAGACCCTCTATTGAACCGAGGACTCCAGGAATGTGTCATGTTTTGACAGTCTTCAGCTGATATTCCTCCAAGCCGGAGTGGTAGAAGGAAACAATTTCATTACCGGCCCTTTGTCTTATGCTGTTGCTGCAGCCGTACATCTACTCCGCCTCACTTTCATCTGTAATATACCCAGCACCATCGAAGGCTGGTTTTGCGAAATTGCTTCTGCGGTCAATGATAGTCCATTCCCCACGACTTTCAACCCTTCCCACAACTCCTTTGACATTTCGCAAGTCGGTGATAATGCTAGCAAGGTTTCTTGAATAACGTGTTTCCTCCTTGGTAGCATCTCTGCCTCCAGTCTGGCATGGTCGAATGAGGGCGAGCAGAAGAGTCTTGCCAGCGAGCCCTAGCCACTGAGTGTTGTTTGACAATGGGCAAACTAGTATCTTCTCGAGACGACCATACTGCACCAACCGAACTACTTGAAGAGTTCCGTTTATGCGGTCTTCGTATTCGAGTTCGTACTAATCAACTTATCAAGTTCAGATCTGGCATATGATATACATAACCAACTCACTCGAACATATGAGGAGGTTCTTTGCTTTGTGGACCTCTTGTTGGCAATGTGCGTCCGAATACTGTCTCCGCCGTTTTGAATACGAACTTTTTTCCAGAGCGCCATAACATTAGGGAGATTTGCGAGGATTACCGTGTGCCTTCCGCCAATGAGTTGCTTGATATATAACGCAACTTTCGCCCGCTCATTGTGGTCAGGACTATATGACATCACTCGAGGGGGCTGGAGAACATAGTCGTTGTCTGGTAAGAATGTTTTTAGTGCTATCTCGAGTTATTGGACGAGGACTTACAGTCTTTAATAACAGTCTCATGCGTTGTGAGCTGGGACCAATCTCGTCGGATACTTAGAGACACTTCCTCTTGGACGTCATACCGAAGGACCACTTGCTGAAGGTATGCCGTATATAAGACTTCTTTGTTGAGGTTTCCCCAAGGCTGAACTCTTGACTTCAGCGCTGTTTTGAATTTTTGACAATAGCGCTCCAGGAAAAATGTCCACGTGGTCCACACAGGTCCGCATCGACGAATGTCATCAGCAATATGAAGCATTCCGTGAACAGGAAGGGTGCAGGCTGGTAATCTTGACTCGTCGTGCTGATAGTAGTACCTTGTGGTAATATCAGTCATGTATTACCTGTCTCGCAATAAATAACTTACTTTTCATACTTGACCACCCAGTTTGCAATTCGCCGTTCCAATTCATCAATCTCTGCATGTGTGATCGAAAACTGTAGCGTTTTTTTCATGATCCACACCAACTCACAAAGGTGCTTGTGGTATTTTGCATTCGGAAAGCGACTGCGCAGGAGTGTTGGGGCAAGGTAAATGATCCAGAATGACCATGATTCAGCTGTGAAGCTCGAGTGATCATCTGCAATATTGCCGAGGACTCGGACAAATGCAGCGGGAATGTTTGCAACCGCAGCGGCTGTTTCCTCTCCAATTTCGGCCCATATATGATCAGCTATCTGATAGTCTTCTTTTCCAGTATCCATACCCTTGAATTTGCCAGTCCAGTGCTTGACGAGCATCGGGGCAATATTCTCAAGGAAGACGTGCATCCATTCCCATGGAAAGGACTTGGCGAAGTCAATCGACCCTACTCGCCACCTGTCGGAGAGATGAAGATGGCCTGCACGGAGGCCATTTTTCTTGCCGATCCTCTCCTTCTCCGCAGCAGTCTCCGCTTCGTCTATCTCCTGCAACACATGTTCGAAATGTGCATGACTGCGAAGGGGGAGATGAAGTGGGTCCCAATGTGGGTTCGGAGCATCAGGTCGAGTAGGGGGGGTTAATGGGACGTAGTAATTAGTCTTGTTTTCAGATTTATTTCGAACACCTGTTATCAGACACGACCGACATGGTGCGAAGCCATTATGGCCACGAATCTCCAGTAGTTTTTCTATTGCGAGAATGTCGCCGAGTTTGAAAATGTCGTAGGCGTGGAGCCAGAACATCTGCTTCTCAAGGCTATCGAAGGTGAGAGCACCATTGGCAAGTTTGGCGCACTCGTTCTCGAACGGGACAAGGAAAGATGCGATATCTTTTGGTGATTTTGGTCCCTGGAATGACTCCAAGGCAAATAAGATGTTCGTGGTGAGTGCGTATAGTGGGGGGAAAGTTGTAGATCTGGATAAGGATTGGTGTTGCAGATGGGCCCTTGCGATATCGTCCAAACAGTAGATATCCATCAGTTGCCAAAGAAAATGCAATGTCGTTTTGTCCAGAGAAGTACTTATAGTTTTTCTGAATACCATCGACCAGCACAAACTCGTCCCGGAGAGACTGGTAGATCTCGCCATCGAACACGTCATTGATAGTACCGGGGCCGTGGTCATATTGATGGCGATATAAGAGTTTTTGCACTGTATCTTCTTGCGCAAAAAGGCCCTGCAATTGAGGGACCAGGGGCATGTAGGAAAATTGACGTCTTGGCTTCCCGTGAGCATCAAAACGTCTTTCTCTGCAGAAGTCACATAGATCGCTGTGACTGTACCTTGCAGTATACGCAATGCAGGAGTTGATGCAGCAATCTATTTTCATGGGCAGTGATCGTAGTGAGTCCCTCGAGACGCTTGAGCATCTTATACTCAGAGTCGATGTCCATTTTGTGACTAAACTTCTCGCGCAGTTCGTTGAACGTTGCACGTGGCATATGACTCTTGATGCGGAGACTGTGAGCGCGGAGATTATCTCTATCCTGCTCTGTCAACAAGGTATTGCCTATATTTTCTTGATTATTTAAATACTTTCCAGTAGCGAGTGAACTTACGGAGTGAGTGATGCAGTGCCTCGACCTCAGCATCTACCTGACCACCTATCACATCAAACTCATCTACAGTATTTTCTTCTTCTTCGTCGTAGAGAACATCTTCATCCGTACGATTGCTCGCAGTGTCTTCTTCATCAGACTCACTCTGCTCCTGAAAGATTTGGACTTGGGCCACCCATGCTTGCATCACTGTGACCGGATACTCCAATCTCAGGCTCTAGATCCATTGCCTGCAGATCCACTGATGATTCCGTGGGGGAAACAGAGGGTGATATATTGGCCAACTTTGCCTTTCTGTAATGACGGAGTCGCTGTCGATAGCTGAGAAGGCGCCCGCGCGCTTTGCATTCAGTAGAGCAATGGCAATATTTCCTCTTCTTGTTGGCCATCGTGGAAATGTTCAAGGAGTAATCGAGGAGCAGTGGCGAATCATATATATCTTGTGACCCCGAATAAGCTTTATCGAAAGTACATAGTACAACACAATGGTTCTTGAGGCGAAATAACGAAAATTGTTCTCGACAAATGCGAAATAGAGTTCTCGCCGACAGCTGCAATCGTGGCGACATGTTCATATATGTTCTTAGTTATTAAGTCGGTCTGGAGATTTACGTCCAGTCAGTGCACGAGGCTCCAGCCAAGCCTCACGATCAGATGGCCTGTCATCAGGAAGATCACCATCACCACTTGATTCCAGTTCGGGTGGCTCGTCGTATTCAGCAGCCTGGGGAGACACCATGATTGGTTTGGACAGTAAATGTGGATAGCGTGTACCTCTCGTGGTCCCGGACGTACGTGTGTAGGAATTTTTTGCAAGTAATGTGCGGGGATGGACGTGCAGTTCCGGTTCGGTTTTGCGTGCACTACAGTGGCCTTGAGTGAACAGACAGATTGTCCAGCATCTTGTGCGCAAGGGATGAGCAGTACTCTTGGGTGTCTGGGGGTCAGGTGGAGGTAGCGACACGATAAGAATAGTGGAGAAACGAAAAGAAAATAGTACGTACCTTGCACCACTGATGACTGCAAATGTATCATCGTTTGGGCTCCAACAGACGAAGGTAGCGGCTCTGTTGATACGAAGAAGTACCAAGGTAGGCTTCCACACCAGCTTTCCAGTAAGCGGACCAGGAGAGAGGGTCCAGACGTATGCATTGCGATCTTAAGAGGCGGTGACGATGCGGTCGCGTCCATTGCTTCATCCATCATAGCCTCGAAAAGCGCGGCTGCCTGGGGCGAATCTCTGTATGACTGAGGGAGGGCATTGACGCGGTCCTGGAGTTCATGGGGAAGGTCCTTGATAGATTCGTCAAACAACCCATTCCCTTGCGATGGAGACAGGGTCAGGAGTGGGGGAAACGAATGCGAGGTAAGACACAAGTGTGTCCCAATCGGGAACGTCGAAGGGGCAGGCGTCTGGTGTGCGGATACCTGAGGGAAAATCAGCAATCTTCCAGTGCAAGTAGTAGAATGTCGTGCCTCGTGGGCAAGCTCAATTTCTTCCTCACATACGGTGGTCCAGAACTCCACGGCCTGCAGTGCGACTCGTTCATCAGAATGCTTAAGCGAGGCGTCTGGGAAGAGACACGTTGGCAGTGCTCGTAGACACTGCTGAGGGTGGAATGACGCACAAGGCGTTCGGCTGATTTGATCTATGGAGGTTATAAGTAGCTGCATTAGGGTTAGGGTTAGAACAGCGTACCTTCAATATGTTTGGCTAGTGGCGTGCTAGTTCTTGACGAAGGTGGCACAACGGTCCACCATCTTGTGCGCAAGGGATGAGCAGTACTCTTGGGCGTCTGGGGTCAGGTGGAGGTAGTGACACGATAAGAAGAAGGTCAAGTGCCGGGTGTGGGAGGGGGGCAAGTGAATTGGAGGGTCCAGCAGATACATGTGGTGCAACCAGGCCTGAGTGAACGAGCAAGTGGCAGCAGACATGGCCCAAAGGTCGCTTATAAGCTTGTCGTCCTTCGTTGCGTGGAGCGTAGGAACAACGCCACTGATCAGGTTCGCTAGGCTTGATGTATATATCAACGAGTTCTTGAAGGCCTTTCACGTACGTCTTCTCCGTCCTTAAAAATCTCCCAGTTAGCAACATCCGCCACAGCCAACAATCAAGAATCCTTACTTGACAATTTCTCGAACTACGAGTAACCTCCCTCCGAGTAGTAAAGTCGACGCAATCTGCATCTGGGACTGGACTTGAGGTCATACTGGGCCTGGGCTCATCCGCGTCATCATCGTGATTTCGAATTGAAAAATGATCCGTTGGGAGCAGTCTTGGTGCGTGTCAAGCCCCTTGGAACAGCTGTGGGGACGGGAAGCATTGGCGGGGAGGTTGTGGAATGACCAAGGAATGGAGCTCGAGCTGGGGTAATAGTAGAGGAACGTGTTGAGAGTGTGTTGAGAGGAACGTGTTGGCGTGGCGCCACCTTTGGAGGTTGCACAAATGAGATTCTGGGCCCGGGTACCATAATGTTGGGGCCAGGTCCCAGATTCACCAGGTACAGAAGGAGTCGGGGAACGTGAACGATATCCGGGGTGATTGGGAGAAAGAATTTCGAAGGCAGTAAGGCGGTACGGGGTGGTTGGGAGAAAGGAATTTCGAAGGCGGTAAGCATTCGGTGGGCCTGTCCCATCTGCACTAGATAAAACTTTCACTTCCAATGCGGCAGAAATAGCCAGAATGACTTACTGTGCCACATTCGTACTGTAGCCATACATCCGAGGAAGGAATGAAAACAAAACAAAAAATCAACTTACGAGTGAGTCGATGATGGGTTCATTGGTACAGGTGCGGAGACCTCCAGCCGCGTCGAGTACCTCACCCAATCATCTGAAGAACAAGAACTTCGAAAATTGACGCATTACACGTCGACGATCTCACGTGATCATGCCTCAACACAACCAAACATCGACTTGTTGATGCAAACAACGCGTAAATAACCCCTACCACTTACTACTAACTATGCCTCGGACACGCGCTAAAAAGCAACCTACTCCAGGAACCAAGAAGAAGCTGCAAGCACTGCAGAGGCAAGTCGATGCCAATGAGCAGGAGGTACAACACGCGATCCGTAAGTCTTATATTAGTATTAGGCAAGTATCTTGACTGCGAAAAACCTAGGTGAGAAAGAGGCCCGCAAGAAACTCAGGGCCTGTCAGAAGAAGGGCGCAATTACACGTCCAGATGGTACTGCCGGACGACATTTCAATTTACAGCATGCTATGAATCTAGGTGATAAGGGTACCGTGTATAAAAAAATTCGGGTAAGCACTTCTTTTGCTATCTACGTGGATGATCACATACTTTCTGAAGTACAAGATCATTGAAATTGCCAAGGACAATGGTCTACGACTCGATACCACCATTAGATACCAGCCGCCGACACTGTTAGGCACCATAATCACATTGGTACGTGTTTTTTTACAGCATACATGCATATATGCGCTAATAATACTGATAGGCCATGCTCGAAATCCCACACCTAGCATACTTTAAGGACGGCTGGCCCGTAAAAGATTTTTTGCAGCAATTCCTGCGAAATCATACCAACTATAGGAGAAGGATGGGATATGACAAGCCGAGCTCAAACAAGGTACGTGATGAAGTCATATCATTGGACCATTGACTATATTATTTGTAGATCTCCCTCTCTAAGCACAACAAGTCCACTCGAGTGCATACATCCACTAACCGTGCTAAGTTGCCAGTTACCGCAGCTCGCTCTCACTCTGAGCCAGATGATAGTAGTGAAACGGACCCTGGGTCAGATGAAGACTTCGACTCCGAGGAGATTGGGCCAGGGAGTGAAGGAGGCCTGCCTGCCGATATCGCAGAGCTCTTCAAGAAACGAGTCGATGATTATTTGAGTGAGGTTGCACTCCAATGCTGTGTTACCTGCACTAAATGTTGCGTTCCAGAGTCCAAAAGACGTGTCACCCAACCCTCAGCACCTACCGGCACTAGCCAGACTGCCAAAGTGACAAAGAAGAGCACTAACACGAAGTCGCAGACAGCAACTACTTCCAGCAAGAAGATCACCACTGTCGCTGTCACACAAGTTCATAGCGAGAGGGCCAAACCACCGGCAGTTACGAAACCTCGGCCACGACCAGTGCCACGCAAGAACTTGGAGAAAGAGAAGGCCAAAGTTACCTCTTCGACTCACTACAACTCTAGATCACCCCCACCACCCCCACTGCCTTCATCACCCCCACCGTTCCCGCGCCCTTCATTCAGCTTCTCACCACAGGATATTCCGGACACCTGTCCGAATGAGGACTGCGAAGATCTTGTTCCCTCTCCACCATCACCACAGCTGATTCATATGTTCCGCAGTCTCGCAGAACACATCCACAAGGAAGGAGAATATGGTCGCACAGTTCTCCGCATCACACTTCACATCTGTTCAGATATCGCATCTGACAACCAGCTGTCAGAACTACAGTCAGCAAGTGGCAGAATGCGGTTGGCCAGTATCAGTTAATTTCATTGACCTCAACAATTTCACGTGGTCATTGACAGCTGATGTTGCTAAGATCCTCTCAGATCACAGCGCCCGAGCTAGCCACATCGTCTGGACAACCTTGTTGGATCGCATTTCCCGCCATTACCGCAACAAGGGAGTTACAGAGGAGGAGTTCCTTCTTGCTTTTGCAAGAGACAAGGGACCTACGACGGCTTTCATCAAGGAGTTGTCGAGCGCTGGCTTGTAAGTACTGTGTTTCTATTGATTGGCTACTGATAACTTTCTTCCAAATAGTTTCGGCTCAAAGGGCGAGCACATCATTGTGCACGCCCTAGAAGCCATGTTTCACACATCCACCATTCCTCTTGACGCTATTCGGCCGCTCGACGTCAAAAAGTTCACTCATGCTTTCCTGGTTCCATATGTTGCTACTCGTGCAATTGCCCATCAACTCAATGTCAGTATCGCAGAGGCTCACACGATCCTGTTGAAAAGCAGAGAGGCTGGGATTTGGCTACATCCTGCACTAGACTCGGACGAAGAACTGGACCAGATCTGCAGGTCGAACATTCAGCGGTCCAAGTCAAACACAATTGTCATCCGTCACAAGGAAGCTCAAGATGGTCCGCCGAGGTTTCGCAACCGGACTTGGCGCACAGAGGTACTTTCACTTCATTTGACAAGCATATACTGACCATACATTTATTCAGACCACACCGCCTCCACAACCTGGACCTTCACGCCATGCCAATGCCCTCGAGCTCTCTAACCGGCTATCTCCTCTCTCCTCGGTGCCACCAGTAAGTCCTTTTGTATTCGCATAGTAGTTTCAGGCCTGCATGTTTGAAAACTTTTCCAGTCGCCTGCTGCAAGACCTGATACATGCAGGGAGACACGGAGCAAAACTAAGGCAGTGGTTGTTCGGGATAAACTGGAAGTCAGAAGAAAACGCGCCCGGCACTGACAGTACTGACCTTTTTTCTTCGACTTGACTTGTCTTGCGAGTGGTGGCCATATACACCTTGGACTGCTGGCAACCTGCTATTTGATACACTCTGGACTCGTTCGGTACACTCTGGACTCGTTCGATACACTCTGGACTCATTCGGTATGCCGGACCCTCAATGCCTCGCTATCATTATTTCTTTTTTTCTTGGACCAAATCATGTAATGCTTGCCCACTCTCATGTAATGCTTGCCCACTCTCATGTAATGCTTGCCCACTCCGCATCGTGAATGTATCATTATTCCAATCACTATGAATGTTGCGCACAGTGAATTTTCAGTGTCCTGAGCAGTGTTCCAACGGAATAGAGAATATTCAGTATTGCAGACTCTTAATTTGCAATGTCTCAAACACTGTTTTGCAGTACCGCGAACATCACAATTTCAGTGTTTTTACTTGGTGTACCAATCCCGTTTCAGTGTTTTTGATACTGAAAAATGTCACTTTCAGTATTCTAGGTACTGAATTCTCGCACAGCCTATGTTCTAGTTACAACGTAGACTGCGGTCAAAATACACAAAACCCTGAAAGTCAGTGTTCTGGACGTTGACTTTCAGTATTCTATACATTCATTTTCAGTGTTTTTACTTCCCACAGTGTGGAGAATGAGCCCACCCGGGGGTTAGCACAACGTGGTGAGTAACTTAACGTTGATGTGAGGCAACTTGCCCAACTCGAGCCCCGGCGGGCGCTGAGTGTAGTAGTAATTCTTATGTAACATCCAGACGCACTGCCACTGAATCCTCTCCAGTTCATAATTCATACCGTATGCATCCTAAATCACTTGGTTCATCCTTCGGTTCAGGCTTCAAGACCAGCTTATTAGTTTTATACCAAAAGAACTACAAACTTCGAAGGCTGAAAAAGAGGCCTCCGTCGAGTCAATTCATAGGCACTAAGTGAACGACAGCACTGTCCCACTGGAGGGCCACGACAGCCATATCTATTAGCTGAAGCTTAGTGGCAGCATCAATTTTCACACAATCATGAAATCGACCCCATCACATTGTGGCGTTGTCGTGTCCCGTGTTGGGCCACGCAATACAGGTGAGTTTACTTCGATTGTCGTGGCTTATACTTACAACTCATTCATCATCGATCTACACAAATGCCACCACCTGCTGGTGCGATGCACGTTTAAGAGTCTCCGGTTTCAAACCTCAAACATCCACCAGAGAGCATGCATGGCAGAGCAGAAGTCAAATCGACAGGTGAGGACTATATGTCAATATTGTGATAGTCCACATTTCTGATAATGTCTGGCTGCCCGCAAAGTTCCAACTTCTTGCACTGAAAAGCGGTGTTCTCTCATCATTAATATTCACCTCCACCGCATATACAAAACCGACAACTAGAGTGCACGCAGTGTTGTAGAGAATCACACACGCTCTAGTGCCATCAGTAAACCGGCGAACAAATGAGAATGACATCCGGGAGCGCCGTGCTCCCGGAAGAGATGCCTCCGACACTGACACCTTCTCAATCTCTTTACCAGCTTCTAGGTCCCATCGGCGAGCAGTACTATCTTCAGAGCAGCTGATTATTCGTTCGCCATCCGTAAAGTGATATGGATGGAAAACTGTGTTTGGCCTTCTGAGGTCACCACGGGTATCGAAATCGTTTCCTCTACTGCTGCTGGTCTCTATCTGGAAGCCATGACTAGTCTTTTCGCCAGCAAGTCGGCAAGCCCTTCCGTGGTCATTTCCGTCGCTGGATCCCCCACTGACTCAATACTCTGAAATGGACCGGCCACGAATTACCAGTGTACAAGCTCCATATTCGCATTGTCTTATCGTATGGCCCACAAGCAGCGTGCTGTCTGCAGAGATGTCGATGTAGGTGATCTTCTGTGAGTGGCGTTCTCATGATCCCTGTCTCAATCTCAAGGACTTTAAGTTCCCCGTTGTAGGTATAGTAATGTTTCGCCATCCGTGACTCATCCCTTGATACCTCCTCCGCACGCACTCCCTTCTCACAAACATCCCGCGTTTCCTCAATCTTCTTACCCGCTGGAAGGTTCCATTGCCGTGATCTCATCGCAAGATCCGCTGATCATTTGCTTGCCATCCAGAACGTGGGATATGGATAGAATAATGTGACCCTTCAAGGTCAAGATGGGTGTCGATATTGATTTCTTTGCTGACACAGCGAGTTGTGTTGATCTAGAAGCCATGTCTGGTCTCTCCACCAGCGAATTAGCAAGTACGGGCAAGGTTTTATTTGGAAGTAGTATTTGACGGACCGTCGGTGAGGTCTTCTCATGTGCGTTGATAGTACTTGATTTCGAAGAATGCCAAACAAGTGACCCAACAACTGGCAATTTGTACATTTTGCCTGTCGCGATCGTCAGTAGTGACTCAGACAGCGCTGAAAGTCCAAGACAAACTTGAGAGGCCAACTTAGCACATTATGGGAAAGTTATCTAACACACTCCCTCGAATTCCAGGTGCGAGACAAGGAAGGAATCCGCTGGACCAGTAATTGCTAATCCGTTTGGTCTTGAGACTGCGAGGGGGAGGTTAGGATTTAATTCCAATGATAAGTTTTGGCACTGGGAGGACGATCAAGCAGGCGATCAGAATAGACCACAACAATCCACGTATCTGGGATGTCGAGGGTGCGAAAATATTCAACATTCAAGTCCTGAATGCGGCATGCTTCGAAGATATCACCAAAATGATGGCACCCTCAACCCCAGTTGACATCAAAGTGTATGCCACCGCAGGACTTCCCTTCTTTGACATCTTCAATGAAGTGCCAACCAACGTCCACGGATCTGACATATTCAAGAAGGTCAAGACTGTCTGAGATGGATCAGATGTTGGATGTGGGGTCACGCATCACTTACGAGCCTGGCACATACATCCCTTTGCAGAAATGCCAATGTCAAAACAATATATTGGGCTCTATGTACGTATCGCAAACCTTCTTTGCCCTTGTATAGATGAAGTCTGTTGCTAACCGGTTAATTTACAGTATTCGTCCCTCCGTCACAAGAATCGGAATGTCATGATTCACGTCAAGATCAGATGAATTTCCGTTATTGCCGTCATGAATCCATGGCATTAGATACTCGACCTTCCGATTCCTTCGTGAGAATGATTGAAAGGCTGTTCCGGTGAGTATACGATCAGACATCACATCAGTAGCCAAGAATTACCTATATCCCTGTCTAGTGCGTTCTCTACAGATAGGTGATATCGCTTATAAGTGAGCTGCCAGTTGAACACCACATCAGCCAACCTTTCCACCCTCAAGGACAGTTATGCTACTCTGGCTACAACGCATAATAGGACGAAACCCAGTCTTGATACGTTATGGGCCGGTAATGACCTTGGGGATCATGTTTGCCTTGCTTGCAGGGATCTCCATCCTTCTCACGCAGGTTTATCTGAACGCGAACTTCAGAACCCGAGTGAGCATGGATGATGCCACATTGAATATTTTCCGTGTCAGCGGATCCCCCGGTGTAATTTTGCATACATAAAATTTAGTGGATCCATGCTAACTACTCATGCACAGCTTGTGTTGTGAATACTTTGTTCTTGCTATCCACAGGGAAAATCTGACATAATTTAGCCTCGCTGACATGTTTTCAATCGACCTGAATGGACAGACATTTTCTGTGAGTATCGTCTTGACACCTGTGCATCTATATCTAAAGGCCTTCAGGTTCACTGGTCTCTTGTTGGCGCCTGCGGACATCAGTATACAGGCTCATCGAACGATAATTGTATTCAAAATCAATTTGTCAACAACATTGCACTGTATCTGAACGAGTAAGTGGACTTTTTCTCTGTGAAGCTGACCTCACATTGCTCGTTAGAAATGCCAGTGCACATTGGAATGTAACAGCCCCAATAGGCACGTTTGATTTGTCGATGACACGAAATCCTCCACCAGTGACATACATACCCGGAAGAAGGTGAGCTCTAATTCATGTTTGCACTGGACACTGATCCGAACATCTTCCAGGAAATTACCAGCAGAAGAATATGATACAGTTTTGTCCAACGATCCTTTTCTTCCGTATACGCTGCAGAAGCAAGTATCGACTCTTTATTACCCATTTGATCGGCGGGACATTGCTTCATTCCCCTTTATTGGCATTATTGACTCCCTGCAGGCACTCTGCATATGTATCGCTATTAGCCATTGACACCGACAGCAATCAATCACTGCCGATATCTGGTGTGATTGGATATGGAAGTATGGTAAATTGGATCGGTTCCAGTGTGTTTTATCCGACTATAGTAGATGGGGAGACATTGTATGCACTGGCACTAACTGTCGACCGGCAAAAAATGGTGAAGGTGTTTGCCCTCCTCCTAGTTGTCACAAACTGTAAGAGTTTCTACCTAGCATGTATGGTCCGGCTTGTTCTAATCGGACTATAGGGGTTCTCTCTCTTACTGTTTTATGGATGACAATCCTGGTGCTGTTCCGTGTGAACGTTAATGATGGGCTTATCTTGACCTCGACGGCAGGTGTGTGAGCCGCAGAGGATTGATAGATGCGCCACTGACAGACTTACAGTCCTTTTTGCCCTTCCGCAGATCAGGGCCAGTATGCCGGATTCTCCACCATTTGGTAAGTACCAGTGGCCCTGCACATGAATTTGGTCACCCTAACCAAGATCAATAAGGCACTTTCATCGGTACCTCGAGAGTAACGTTGTTTGGGGAAGCATAGCTGACGCATGATCCTAGATATCGCCGGTTACTTCATGAATGTCTGTCTCGTCAGCATCTGCGTAAGTCTACTATGTGTAGAGTGCTTTGCAGCGATTTTCTCACCCATCCTATAGACCTCAATTCTCCTCTTTTCGCAATTACAGTACCATTACCAACCAGCAGCCATGAGATCTGTTGAGCCTACGATATCACAGCGAGCCGGTTTCCTCGTGGGCAAGGAATGAAAGGGTCGCGGGGCTCTGCAAGCGCACATTGCGAGTGCGCTTATTGTATACGATGTGTAAGATATGATGGGCGGGAACATGTGCACTGCATGTTGTACGTCCTTGTACTCCAGAGTTTTTGTCATAATTAATAAACCATCCCTGTACCTGTCAGTGAGTTGCTGCTATTTTTTGAAAGGCCTAGCATTGTCCTTAGCCCACTAGCCTAAGGCCTTTGATTATGTGACCTCAGGGAACACAAAAACCGCCACCTCTCACGCTGTCCCATCAATGACGCTCAGCGCTTTTCGCGTTTCATCACTTGTCCATCACAAACTTTACTACAAAAGAGCAGTCAGAACCGTGGCGTTATTGAACTTGGCAAGGGTCTAGTACATACATATCATGAACCACAGCCTACTGACAACATGCTAACACGTTTTATTGACAGGTAGTTAATTGGCAGTGCAGCAATTAATACATCTTGAACGACAATTTAAGTAGGATCTTGTTTCTTTCCTAGTCCTTGCAGCTCGTTTGAGCATATCACGCTGAACTTCACATTGCTCAAACAACCAGAGTTCCGCATCATTTCCCTCGCAATCCTTCGCTGTTTCAGTGCTCGAATTTTGCTCGTGCCGTGTCACGGTGTATTTACCTTGACCTCCATTCGTTTCACACTTATCAAAGATGTTCGATAGGAACCCCCATATCACACCGACAGTATTCGTATACATTTTGTCAAAAGTCTTCATCTGAATCATCCTCGCTATCATAATTACTTATACCCGTCGAATACGGTTCCTCTCCTTGCGTCAGATTCTTCTTCCTGACAAAGAATGCTATCCTACAAGCTAAGCGTGTTCCAAACCCGACCAAGCCACCCCGACCAGGTCTCACTACACCAACGACACCGGAAAAAGTCACGCAATAAGACGTCAGACTGTACAGTCTGTAGGCAATCTGTTTTCCAAAGAGATCCACATGAGGGTGTCAGTGTCGTGCACGTGCTGTTCCATATGCCAGAGATGGAGGTGCATGCGCGTGGCGAGAATCGCAAGGATACAGACCTGCAAACTGGTGTGTTTCAAGTTGTCAGCAGGAATTCGCAACGGAAGTTGGGGTGCATACCCATCAAGGAAGGAGTAGAATGCCGGCTGGGTGTCCGGAACATCAATGACTCGATCATGCAGGAGGGTGTTGAGAGGCTTACGCACATTGGAAAACAGGATTGGCATAAGGACATTCCCGGCTGAGAGAACTTTCGGAATAATAATCATCACCATGAGTATGGAAAGATATGTAAGTCCTGACTCACGGAGATTGCAAGCGTAGTAGAATATGTTATGCTTCACCAGGACAACGTGAAGAGGGCTGTTGGTCGACCGCCAGCTCTGTATGGCACGCATTAGTGTTAGGGAGCTCAGTCCTGGGAGAGCGCCAGTCAGCGCGCCTATACAATGCATGCTGCCAGTTCCCGGCGACATACCCAGTTGAAGAATAAGCAACAGAATAAACGCAATGGTCATGTGGACACTGTCCGAGGTCCGGTAGCAGCCTGTGATGCTTGGGATCGCGCTAGTTGTAACTGTGAAAGCGGAGTTGACATGTGCGAATACTAGTAAAGGAGGGTGAGAGCACGAACAATGAGAAGTGGAAGTAGCGGTAAACCACAGGGCGATAAATGATACAATGATAGCCTGACTGATTGATCAGCCATGAGCTTGGGTGTGGCTAAGGCATGGGACTCACAACAAGGGTGGACAACACGGCTACAAGTACAATTCTATTGCAGTTCCAGAGCACGTATGTTCTAAGCACAAAAAAGCCTGGATGAATCAGATCAGGAGCACGTGTATGTCGCAGGGAAAGATATACACTCAGAGCCAGTAAGTGATATCACTGCAAAACCTGTGAGAGTAAAGAGCAATGCTCGGCAGAGACAGACATACAGCATGCACTGCACGTACATGAGGAAATATCGATCAACATGCGGCATTTCTGAGGAAGTCATGCAGTAAGCATTGCTCATCAGACGACAAGTCCGCCATACGTTCACATACATCGGCTTTCTCGTTCGGTGTGAAGCTTCCTGAAGCACAGCATGTTAATTCATCATCGGGGTTTATGGACTTGAGCTGAACGCACGAAGTAGGTTCATGGTGATGAGACCAAAGGAGGAAAACCGTATAACGATATAAAAGGCTTTTACCTTGGTACGGCGCGACCAAAGCAGGAATGTCGACTGTGAATAGCATGTAATCGATGTCAAATCTGAGGCATATCATAGAACAAGTGCATTACCTCTTCTTGAAGTGAACAGGCATAATCATAGGTCTGGATTACACAAGTTTAACGGCGGACAGGAATAAGTCCTGATAAGCCTACCAATAATGTAGCCAGCACCACTGAGCTGTCAAGTGAGAAAGAGGAAGAAGTGGCGCAGACGGTACGCACTGTATAGGTACTGGTATTATACTATTTATTTGTTATTATCTTCCCCTCGTATCAAGAAAGCGACGCACCGCTAAGAGCTGCAGACTCTTGGCCGCTGCGATATCGTCGGCTGAATACTCCATCTGCGCTCATTTGAGAGCTACAAAAAGAATTTCACACACATACCATGCACCTTCTAATCTCTTATATATGAGCTGGGTTACCGGGTACCCATCAAGATGCCAAGATGGGGGCGTAAATATTTGGACTCGTCAGCTGGCCTTGATTATCGTGATGGAGTGCCTCACTGAGTGATGTAAAGTCGACGTAATCACTGCATGCACTAGGCTGCACTAGGCGGGGGCATTGAACTTGATGGAAGTTACAGTTGATCACCGTGACTGGCACTGACTGCTAACAAAGCCATAGTAAGACTCTATTCGGACGCAAAACGACCAAGTACTAGGTTACCTACTAGTAGTCTAGGTACACATAAATAGATTTGATCCATCACAACGTGTGTGATCATTACATACATAATAATGATGTGACTTTCTCGGTGTCACGAATGATTAAACCAGTGCTTGGTGTCGACTAAGACAATTTGACGGTTTCGCTCTCCAAAGACGTCTAAATCGGACACACGGCACATCCACTGGAAAGAAATGCATGACAGAACAGCAGCCAATTCAACAGGTGAGGACTCCATGTCAATATTATGATAGCCCGCATTTCTGACAATGTCTGGCTGCCCGCAAAGTTCCAACTTCTCGCATCGAAAACCGGTCTTGCTCTCTCATCATCAATATTCATCTCCACTGCATATACAAGACTGATAACCCTCACTGTCCATAATTATTGTCTCCGAAATCGAGGGAGCAGTTCACCGTTTCATCCTAGAGTGCACGCAGTATCGTAGAGAATCACACCACATCCTCCAATGTCATCAGTGAACTGGTGAACAAATCAGAATGACATCCGGGAGCGCCGTGCTCCCAGAAGAGACGCCTTTGACACTGACACCATCATTTACCTACACAGGTATATTGATGTTGCGAAACCACTGAAAAGTACTTTTTCATCAGGCATCTCTGCTAGTTAAACGCTCGAACTGATACACATCTGAAGCGAAACGTGAATGATATCCCTTCAATGAACATGCTCAACCCACCAGGCTCCATCCTTCTATTTTTTGCACCTTTATCAACCACTTTCGCACAGCGACAGTGCTATGATATAGCCGGGTGAGGGAGCGGTGTCATCAACACACCCTACACCAAAATCACCAAATTATCAGGGCCCATCAGTCAGATGGAGACTAGTTTCAAGCGCTGATCGTATTCTAAACTTCATTTAAGACGCCCAACCACGCCCATGCCTAACCCCCAGATACGCGGAGCGGAGCTTGAACTAATCCTTGCTGCGCGTAACGTCAATCTTGATGGGTTCAAACCCAATTTATAAGAGATAAGAAGGTGCATGATGTGTGCGCTAAACCCGTTTTTTACCTCTCGAACGAATGCACATGGAGTATTCGGCTGACGATCTCACAGCGGCCGGGATTCTGCAGTACTTTGGGGTGCGTCATTTTCTTAATACGAAGGCAATATATTCACAGATATACCATGCGTGGTCACCAGTACATATGTAGTGCGTGCTGGTTGAATGCCTTCTTCCTCATTCTAATGTGACAGTTCAGCGATACTAGTTACATTATGGGTAGGCTTATCCCGTACTATTCCCATTCACCATCAAACCTGTTGACCCAGACATATGATTATGTTTGCTCACTTCGCGAAGAGGTAAGTAATGCAATTTTTCAGTGACACAGCATAACGTGTCAGTGCTGTTCAAAGTCGACATTCCTGCTTCAGTCGCGCTGGACCAAAGTGAAAGCCCTGTACATCATCACACGATACGCCCCCTTTTGTCTCGTCATCACGAACATGTATCGTGCGTTCAGTTCCAGCTCACATCTCCCCAATAATGAATTGACATGTTTCGTCCCAGTGGCCTTAGTCCCGAACGAGAACGTCAATGTGTGTGAGCGTGCAGCGCACTTCTACTCATGACGGTACTTACCCCGCAACTTCGCCAGAAATGCCGGATGTTAATCGATATTTACACATGTACGTGTATGGTACATGCTGTATACATGTCCTTGCCGAGCGCTGTTCTTTGCTCTCACAGGTTTTGCAGTGATATCACTCACTGGCTCTGAATGTATATCTTTCTCCCGCGATACGCACGCACTCTTCATCCGATTCATTCAGGTTTTTTTGTGCTCAGAACATACGCACTCTGGAGCAGTAATAGAATGGTGCTCGTAGCTATGCTGTCCACCCTTGTGGTGAGTCTCATGCCTTCGCCACACCCAAACTCATGGTTGATGAATCAGTCAGACTATCATTGTATCATTCGTCAGCCTGTGGTTTACCGCTATTGCAACTTCTAATCGTTCGTGCTCTCACTTTTCCCCACTAGTATTCGCACATATTGACTCCACTTTCACAGTTACAATTAGCGCGATTCCAGGTATCACAGGCTGCTACCGGATCTCGAACACCATCCAATTGACCGTGCCGTTTATTCTCTTGTTCGTGTTCCAACTAGGTATATTGCTGGGAACTGGCAACATGAATTACAGACACACGCTAACACTCTCCCCAGTACTAATCTCCCTCACACTCATACGTGCCATACAGAGCTGGCGGTCAACCAGCGGCCCTCTTCACGCCGTCCTGTTGAAGCATAACACATTCTACTATGTATGCGGCCTCCGTGAGTCAGAACTTACATATATTTCCCTCATTGACAATGATTATCATTCCGAAAGTTCTCTCGGCCGTGAACGTCATTGTACCAATGATATTTTATGATGTGTGTAATCCTCCCGATACCCTTCAATATCTTTGAGTCATTGATGTTCCACACACCCAGTCTCCATATCACTCCATCCTCGAAGAGTATGCACCTCTAACTTTTGTCGCGGATTTCTACTGACAACACCCCAAACACGTCTACAGTTTGGAGGTCTTTATCCTCGCGATCCTCGCCACGCGCATGCACCTCCATCTCTGGCATATGGACCAACATGCGCACGCCACTGACGCTGTCGTCTGGATTTATTTGGGCGACATCTTACCTACAGACTCTACGGTGTGATATCTTATCTCGTAGCTTGTTCTCCGTCGTTTGTGGAGTCGGGTTTAGGACATGCTTAACTTATGGACTTGCATTTGTTTTATCACGAAGTAGAATTTGGCGCATGGAGAGACACCTAACTTAACGGGCATAAGTAATCAGGACAGCGAAGATCGTTTGTTTAGAAGTGGCCTTTTGACAAATATATGAATGGATATGGATACTTATAGTTGTTCGTCGCAACGCGCGAGTGGCGTTCTGCTTTTGTCGAAGGTCTCCGAAAGCTATTGTTCGTATAATCACAACTCTTCCACTTGGCATCGCTGATCTAGATAGGGCGTGACAATGGAAATTCTATTGGGCTTTTGAAATGTAAGGGTTCTGAAATGTGCTTGATAGATTCATCCTGGGTTTCATGCAAACAATGGGGATGCGCATAGTACAAGGTAAGAAATAGAAGAGATGTGTACATACGATGCGTTATATTATGGAAACTGCGAGCCACAAAGCGCGTTGTAGGAAGGTGATGATCAGACAAAAGACAAAGACTTGTTGGCAAAGGCAGAATTATCTTTCCCATTAGCACGCGTGACTCCTGCGAAGAACTTAGGATCTTTGGTGGGGGAAACATCCTTGGGGCTGGGGGTGGGATGCGAAGGAAGTGCACAAGGAGCCTGACAGCGCATCGTTAGGGACATAGTTTACGAGAACCGGGAAAGGACTTGCGTTCAGGAAACCATCATGTTTCTGGGTGGCACTATCCTTTGTGTTTGTGAAGCACTAGAGGGAAAAGTGTAAGTGTATCGCGATGTTGACAGATAAAAGATAAACAGCCTACATGAAGGAACGAGCGCACGCAATTGCGATGTTTGGGTCGGGATGATGGAACGGTGCTCTAAACACACGTCAGAGGTGAATCGACACAATGACAGAGGAGAGTGTGCATACCTGCATGTTTGGGTATGAAAGTCGGCTGAGAGTTCGATCCGATGCAGCAGTGAGATGATGAGAAAGACGGTGGGTGAGATCAATGAGGGTACGAGAAAAATCGGCTTGCATACGACTCGGAGGTCAGTGGTCACAGCAAAAGTGGCGTGTAGGCCCAAGTGTGGTAAAAAACGAGCCACTGCAACGTGTTCACGAAAAGTGTGGCGTAAAACCAAGAAATATAGAGGTCATTGCGTACGAGAGAGTGCTTTGACGATCGGAAATCTATTGTTATACTTGGATACCTAGTATGCATAAAGCAGAAGGCGAAAAAATGGAAATGTTCGCATATATCCCCGAACGACAGTTTTCTATTCGAATGGGCACATCGTTCTTGAACAGTCTATGTGAAGTCGGTGGGTAGAGCCACAGGGTCTTGTCCTCCTGATCGACAACGAACATTGTGGGATTTTCGGATAGCTATGATAGTAGGGAGAGAAGGCACATGTAGAAGTACTCGCACTGGGCATGTCAGTAGCAAAGGTAAGCTGTATCGCGTTACGCACGTCGGAGTCCGTCCATGTCTACCTGAAGAAATTCCTGACTTTGTCTCAAGCATTTCTGCTTTTGACACGTACTTGACCGAAGCATGCAATGGATAACGGTGTGGACACTCGCAATCTGGAGAATGAGTACTACCACTGAGTACAACCTGATAGCCTGGGCAATATTCGATGAGCCAGCCGCGTTGCGGGTGCCAAGGCCCAATTCGGGCGCTGGGTTGAAATAACAATGAACTGTCGATCGATAAGGAGCACTATGTCGGAAATTTCTAGCGAGCCTCCGAAGTCAATTTAAGACATTTTAAGGGTACTTTTCACACGGTACCCTTTTAATACACACTAATGATGTAAGATAATATTTCAAGGCACTTATAATAGCTTGTCCCAATCATTAAAAGGCACTATAATGGTTCTGGACGAGCCACCTTTTAAGGGCATGAAATGATCATGTAAGCATTGTAAAGAGTCTTTGTGCGTCTCGATGCCCTTGCAAGACCAATATCCAGAATTTCAAAATAATAATAAATCATATTCATATTTATATTGATAAATGTAGTCAAAAATACAATTATTTTAAAAATCAAATCGGAGAGGGAGGGGTGGGCCTTCAATGTGTGAATATTGGGGGGAGCACTGGATGCAGATGGGATAATGGTCGTCTGGGAGCGAGAGGAGGGATGTGCAGGAGGGGTACAACAGACGACGCACCGGTACCGGTTGACTTGCACCAGGCGGGAGTACTGGGGGGGGTTCACTGACGACGCGCCGGAACCTGGTTGATTTGCACCAGGTGGGAGTACTGGGGGGTAACAGACGATGCGCTGGAATCCGGTTGACTTGCACCAGGCGGGAGTACTGGGAGGGAGGGGGGGGTGGTTAACTGACGACGCACCAGAACCTGGTTGATTTGCACCAGGTGGGAGTACTGGGTGGTAACAGATGACGCGCCGGAATCCGGTTGACTTGCACCAGGCGGGGAGTACTGGGAGGGAGGGGAGGGGGTAGTTAACTGACGACGCGCCGAAACCTGGTTGATTTGCACCAGGTGGGAATACTGGGGGGTAACAGACGATGCGCCGGAACCTGGTTGATTTGCACCAGGTGGGAGTACTGGGGGGTAACAGATGATGCGCCAGAACCTGGTTGATTTGCACCAGGTGGGAGTACTGGGGGGTAACAGACGACGTGCCAGAATCCGGTTGACTTGCACCAGGCGGGAGTACTGGAGGGGGGGGGGGGGGGGTGGGTTAACTGACAACTCGTGATGGGTAGGGATAATATATCTAGCAACCAACGATCAGCAGTTAGAAGTCAAATCATTAAGATAAAGATATTCACAGCACCAAGTTTTTTGCACGAGTTGATCCAGAACTGACAGATTGATTGTGTCGCTGATCCTGGACCTCATTACAGTAAGTGAGGAGAGAAAATTGGCGGTCTCTTATGAGGGGGAGGTAGTGAAGGGTCTCGGGGAACAACCTAGCAACACCAGTCAGTGGACATGCAAACAGGGGGCTCCTAGATGCTCACCAGCTGCCGAAAGATATTCAGCACAACAATGAGAACCGGCATATAAAAGAGTCCCAACAAAGCTGCTCTGCCAGGATTTGCAGTGACATACTGCTGCGCAGCGTCAATGAAAGCTGCAACGTAGCACGCAGCTGGGGCACACAGCACCAAGTTTTTTGCACGAGTTGATCCAGAACTGACATATTGATTGTGTCGCTGATCATCTGGCAAACAACGATCAGCAGCTAGAAGTCAAATCATTAAGAAAAAGACATCCACAGCACCAAGTTTTTTGCACGAGTTGATCCAGAACTGACAAATTGATTGTGTCGCTGATCCTGGACCTCGTTACAGTAAGGAAGGAGAGAAAATTGGCGGCCTCTTATGAGGGGGAGGTAGTGAAGGGTCTCGGGGAACAACCTAGCAACACCAGTCAGTGGACACGCAAACAGGGGGCTCCTAGATACTCACCAGCTGCCGAAGGATATTTAGCAAAACAATGAGAACCGGCGTATAAAAGAGTCCCAACAAAGCTGCTCTGCCAGGATTTGCAGTGACATACTGCTGCGCAGCGTCAATGAAAGCTGCAACGTGGCCCGCAGCTGGGGCAGTCGAATCGAACGGCATGAAAGAATGAGGACAAGATGCAAAGATTGTGAATATAATGATAAGCTCACGCTTGCCATGATCTGAATCATGGAGTCCTTGACAGCGACAATTTAAACTTCATGTGAGTGATAGAATGAAAATTTAAACACGACTTACTAATATTAGCAGTCCTGATGATAGGTTGGGAAGGAGGAATGATTATTGTCATTATTCCCGAGATGATTGGCAGCGTCGTTGGTATAATATGAACTAGTTAAAACTTAAAAGCCTGCTGCAATTGTCGAACTTGACTTGTTTGTCATTGTTATGATCCGCCCATAAATGGAATGACTTACACAAACTTTCAAGGTCTCACTAGCCATTGAAACCTTTAATCCGACCTTTTGTCGTATGGCAATATAAGCACGAACCAGTCTGGACTGTCCTCAGTGGTTGGTGAGAATAAAGGGATTCATTAACAGACTCAAAATCAACAACAATGCAAGCGGCCAGTAAACATGACAAAGGAAAATTGGACAAAAAATTGGAGAGGTAAAAGACTCGATCAATTAAATTGAGAAACAAAACCATGAGTAAGACAACGCGTGCAGTGTAACATTACCATGATTCACCTCGCCGACTTCTTAGGTCTGCCGCGAGCAGCACGTCGCTTGGCTGGCGGAGGGGCCAGCGGAATGATCGGATCTGCATCTGGGTATAGTTCGGGTTGAGTAATAGGCTGGACACCAGTAGTTTGGCGTTGACGAGCAGCGGGCGATCTACGACCACTGGATGCAGACGGCTCGGAGTCATTTTCCAATGACAACTGGCCAATATCAACTTGAAGCTGAGTTGTGGTAGAGGTGACGGCCCCTCCGAGTCCATGGCTAATGGACATGGTAGTATGATTGTTGGAGACAACATGAACCGGAGGTGTGGATACAGGAGCGGGAGTGGGAGCAAGAGTGGGAGCGATAGCAGGAGCAGGGGCGAGAGCAGGAGCAGGAGCATCTAACTGCTGGAGGAAATTGTCCTCCCAGGTGCGAGGTTGAGAGGATGGGGTCGAAGCGCTCACTGTAACTGAGCTTGCGCCGAAAACTTCCCTGTTGTAGTAATCCATCACACTGATGGCCCACGAGCTGCGTTTAAACAAACGTTCCAGGTAAAAGTCGTAGTCTTGCCCGTACTCGATCTTTGTGGCTGATCCAGTTGCCGTGAGTTCCTGATCGTGCGTCAATAAGAAATGCGCCTGTGAATGCATAAGTTATCAGTATACATGCAAATCCAAAGAAACCACATTGAGGAATGTAACACAATGTGAGTCACTCACCACAATAGCGGCGCCTGCAATAAGACCTTCCGTTACACACTGCGTGTCCCAACGCTGACCCCTAGCCTTCGGGTGTCCCTTCGTTTTCCCAGAGAGCGAAGCCTTCCCGAGTATCTCAACGCGGATAATCTGGTGGGTGAAGTCAGTGTCCGTATACTGCTTTGAAAGCAGCTGAGAATGTACTTACTTTGACCATGATGGGTGTTTTGAGGAAGTCGTCAGGAACCATTGCAGCGGGATTCATGAACAGGATGGGGGCCAGACGTGTATACTCGTCCCCACCATGCTTCTTTAGAAGAGCGAGGAGTTTTTCATTCTCCTTTTTTTCAGCAGGCCCATCGGTGAAAACGGTTGGGTCAAGCTTCAAACTGGAGTAAATCAAACCTGCGCAGTCCTTGAGGCTATGCAGTATGTTCGACCTTTCGGAACTGACCGCAGCGCGAAACTGGGACACATGTAAACGTCAATGACATTGAAATCACGGATTGGGACATTAATATGACTTACGAGGGATCCGAACTGTGAGTAATTCTCCATCGCTTTATGTAACGACTTGGGTACACAATGATAAAGCTCGGCCATGGCGCCATTAAGCTTTGCCTCAGGTGAGGTCCAACGTGTATCACTGCGTGGGTCGATGTTTGGTTGGGGAGTCGTTGGGAAGAGCCCATTCATTACCCAGAAATAATGGAACATTGCGTACTTCTTGCCGGCACGCGTGATTTGACTGTCGACAGCTGACGTCTTCTTGAGGACTTTGTTACGGCTGCGCGCTGGAATGGCAGCTTGGAGCGTTGCGTAATCTCTCTTGAGAGCTCGTAGCTCAGATCGCACTGTGTTATACGCTTGCTGGGCTATTTCGAGTGCCTAATAATATAAGTGAGAATGTGTAAATATGTCAAACCAGATATGAGAGTGAAAGACGAACATACCTTGCGGACCTCAAGCATGGGTGCGTCTGGTTGAGGGATCATCAATATCCTCCTCAGGGTCCCTAAGTCGCTCCCTGCATCAGATGCGCTGTCTCGTTCTGAATCGTCGTCAGATCCATAACAAGTGTCCTCGACAGCATCAATCTCTGCAGTGAAGTCCTCAGCATCTTCAAGTGGGGCTCGTCGAGGCATTGTGATCTGTATCTGAGAAGGCGGAACAACAAAGGAGAGACGGAACACAATCAAACACTCACCCTGGGTTCAGTTATTATAGAAAACCCCATTGAATTATTGACACATAGGGTGCTGCTGGATGATTATGTTGCGGCGTCCAATAAGGCGGTATTCGGTCCATAGCGCCGTGCGACATCGACAAACGTGAGAGCTAGACACTCGGATCAGTGTCTGAAAACGCATGGATGTACCTTGCACGTAATTAAACGTGAGGGTAGCAGCCCATGATGAGATGGTCTTCAATAAATAACTCACCCTGAATCTACATGAGGGTGGCATTAGTTATTACGAGGCTGTGATATTATTCAATATGATATAATATAATTCTACGACATCGTAATAACTCGAGACTGTAAGTGCGTGATCAGTAATGGATACATGGAACTCAGAATAACGCGAAGCTCACAGTGACAAATAAGGGCAGCGAGCGTGATGTGTCGTCACCAGCATGCCCATGTCTTCATGCGAAGAAACATGTCGCTATCGATATGGTCAACAACGATAAATTCACCTTGATGTTCGCGGTCAGGGAACAAAACAGCACCACGGATGAAAGATGCGAGCGGAACAAATATGGAGTTTGCTCTAGGAACAGCCTTGACACGAGTGAACTTGAGTTCACAGTCAATTCTGCGAGAAATACCAGTGCCCGCAGTATATGGCTGGACCAGTGCGAACTCAAAAGACCCAACATCTGGGAGATGGCACTTGAACATGAGTATAAGCTTAACGAATACTGATCTTTCCGGATTGAGCTGTATGAGCACGCAGTCATAGCGTGGTTGCCCGTGGAAACTCGGATTGCACCGAAGGTAATCGGTAGCTTGTTTCCAGTCAACGGTCGACTCGTAGTTGACCTTGAGGTAGTGATGTGCGCAAATCTGGAAGAGAGTCAATTCAAGGCGTCAAAAGATACAATCAACACACCTCGAAATTGGCGGGTAGGGTAATCCATCTCCTCAGTTCATATCCATACCCAGGCAAAGATGTATTGAGAAATCTGGAGAACTTCCTACGAAAGTCTTGAAAAGCACGGTCAGTCGGGCTACAGATATTCTCGATGTCTTGGATAGATTTGAGTTGCTGCGGCGAGCCAAGTTTGATATGTCCTTGTGCAACAGCTGGATTGTCTTGAGCCGCAGCGTCCAGATCATCAACTTCATCGTCCTCGAGGTTGCGCTGCTTGTCAAATGTGTCAACACGTCCTCTCAACAGGTTGATTGCGAATTTATTTTGGTTGACACGAAGAATCTACGGTATTGTTCAGCGGGTCTACCAAAAGGTGACACAATGTAAGGCATAATATCACAACTCACCTGTTCAGCCACTTTCTTTCTGTTCGATTGGCGCTCGTAAGCCTCCTTCAAAGGGCCATGAAGCTTCTCATTTGGACGAGTACTGTAGTTGCATGCCGCGCCCTTCATCCGGATGTCGCGGGTCACGTGTTTCCAGAGGTGAGTCTTTGGGAAGTCCCAGTCGACTCTTAAATCTTCGATAGGAGATTCTGCAGCGCATTGCGCGTAGTCCTAGAGTGAGAAACAATTGGTTAAGTTCTATTTCAGCAAAGGAACGAGATCCTACCTTGAGTGCATCATTAAAAACAAGTAATTCGGCTTCAATGGCGTTCAACGTGCTTGTTGTATGCACATTTAACCCAATATAACTGTCAAGCTGCAGGTAGCTGCTGATGAGACGAAGCAGTCGGTACCCGTCTGGGCTATCAGCTTGCTTCAAAATATTCAATGCTGAGTAGAGAGATTGCTTTGCAGCGGTTAGATAGAGCAACAACAAAACATAATGGTACATACTCTAGACAAATCCTGCATCTTATTTCCATCGCTGAATGACATGTGGATGACGGTGTTGAAGTGATTTAACTTGCGCCATCGAGGGAAGTCGGCAATTCTGCAAATGATGAGCGCAAGAGCCACAAAATCTAAATATATTTGACTTACTCCTCTTCAAACAACGACTCTGCCTCACGTCCCAAGAATTTGAGAATCTTCTTCAACTCATTGAGTAGATGCTTCCAAATTCCCAAATGAAGAGCATGTAAGCGGTCGAGACTGATCGCGTCATGAGGGTCAGAGTGCGAAACACTCCACAAGACGTTCTAAGTTCACAATTGATTAATGTAGATACAATATAAATGTATGTAGCTTACCTTGATAGGACGTAGTCCTAGCGCCTTCAACAGTTCTTCACCGCGAGCCTTGCTTTCCTCGTAGACGTTAAGTGCAGCTATTGCGTCTTGCATTGATCTCAACCGAAACGACTTCGAGAGATCATGAAGTTCGTCAAGTGGTACGATGCATACCAGGCACGGGCATTTGCTATGTTGGCCACGAATCAGCGACATCATACACCTACAGGGGCTGTTAGATCGAAGTTCATGCACCGGTACACCAAATTACTTACTGTTCTTCATAGTCAGCGGAAAGTATCAGTAAGATGGGAAACAGCCAGCGCAGAATCTGGTCAAAGCACTTGAATGAATAGCCTGTCTTCGAGTATTGCGCGACCAGTTCCAAGAACTTCACAAATGACTCATGCCATACCACATGCTTGAAATTTGTGAAACCTGTCTTGCCGTTTTCGCTTGCGTCTTCGGAAACCTGTCATTATTCCATTCGTCAAATTAAGGTATGTTGAATATTCGATAACTTACGATAGGCAACAAACCAACTACACGGCCGCCGCCAATGCCCTCACCATTCCGAATTCCTACCGGTAAATTGGCACAACGTACCACAACGGGATACGCCTTTACTGTACCGTGTGATGATAGTCTTGTCTTGTCCGCATACAATATGAAGCAAAAGGGGGCCGCGACAAGACCATGCGGAAGACCGGACTATTGATTTTGAAAAACAACTAATCAGTGAGAGTACTTATGAAACAACTGTTACGTACCTGGACATCCCACCATCGATCGCCTGTCCACGGTTCATCGTAAAACCGTTCAAATCCCGTACTATTATGTTTGAATACACGTTGAGCGTCCCAGACGAAATGAGGTGCGAGTAAGGGATTTTCTAGTAAATCAAGGGCCCATTCCCATATGGGCAAAGAATGGACCTCATACACACGCTCCTCTTGTTTGTATGGCACAGTAATCTTGTGTTGTGTAAACTAGACAGGTTTCTGTAACATAATGATCCAGAAGAAACATTAGCTACATACCGGCGTCACTTGAGTACTCGCGCTATGCAATGCATTGCAGAAATCAGCATCGTTTTTCAGCGTTATTTTAATCTGGCCTCTCGCGATGCGGGCAATCAGAGATAGTAGTCCATCAATATGCGACTTGTTAAGCGCAGCGTCCAGAGCAATTTCCGCAAATTCAAAGTCACCTCGTGAGGAGAAAGGGCGCCATGGCTCTTCATCAACACGAAGGCCATCGGGAGCATCATGTGCGTTAACGCGAAACTCATCAAATGCTTGGAACAGCGGTTCACGACCACTGGATGGATGATATTCCGTTTTGAATTCGAGGGGCCGCTGGATAGACGCTGGAGGACCGGTTTCAACAGACGCTGGAATACCGGTTTTAACAGATGCTAGAGGACCAGGTTCAACAGACGCTGGTCGACTGAAAACTGTACAGAGAAATCAATCAGTAATGTAACAAACTATCAACACTAATATACTCAGACGTACCTGGGATGTTGACACTCTCATTCCCATGGTAAGATTCGAAATCATTCAGATCTAGGTCCATGGGATCAGCCGGAGCAGATAGGTCAGCTATGAGTGAATGACATTAGATGTGCACGGGGAACAAAAAACGGGTGGATGCACCAGGAGGAATGGAAGAATCTACATTTGCAGCCGACTGACCATTGCTGGCGCTCAGTGACGGGCCAGCTATTGTTTCAGGAAGCCTCGTCACCTTACGAGCCTTCCTTCGAGCTAGATACCTCGATAGATCAATAAAACAAAGTGCTGACTAGTTATTGATTGGTAGATAAATTCAACTCACCTTGTTGCTGGTCCCTTTGATATTCGAGACCAAACGCCTCCTGCTCCCTCTCAACATCCGCACGCTTCTTGCAGGTTGCTTCGTGCTTCTTGAAGCCCTGGGGCTTGAACTTCCCGTCACAGTGAGGACATAAGCGCCGTCCTGTAAGTGTTTCCTCTGTATAGTTATACTTGCTTCTAGATGGTGCAGTACGATTCGGAGCCATAGTAGTAGCTGCGTGACAACAACGATGATAGAGCTTAGTGTGGGCAAAACAAAGTGTTTCAGAAGATTTAAATGGTATTGATATGACTCCGAATTGGCACGTCGTTGATACTAAGGCATAACAATTATCAGTACTTCTCACGATCACAAGACATCTAAATTATCTCATGTGTCCTTGAAAGGTACGTTATAACGTGCCTTTTAACGCATGTGATCAAACTTGTAAGCCGGCGGCATTAAAAGGGCACTTTACCTTTTTCCGACATACGGAGCGACGAGCTCTGGCAGGTGAAAATTTGCAACATTCCAGGAGGTTGGAGGCTTTTATGTAGGACGTCATGTAAAGACGTCATGTAAAAAGTCGGTGCGCTTTTTTATCTCAGTGTGTGCGGGCTTGGCATGAATGGATGTGTGCGGGGCCCGGGCTGGTTCCCACGACCCTTCTACGACCTCAGCACATACTACCTCGATAATTCTTGCTGACGGTTAACCTCCGGAGGATGCACCCTGATCTACAGTTCGTATCCAAGTATGATGTTTGTGAAAATGCAGGTGGGTCATTGTTCGAACCACTCACTTTAACGCGCACTCTTCAGACGAGCCCTAGCTTACCCTCTTCCAGATCTTCAATTGAACCTTCAACACCATAAAATTCATTAGGCACCAATTCACTGCATTCAATTTCACCAATGTTCTTCAAGTTACCTCCTCTGTAAATTTGCCAACCAGGGTTCAGCTTGGCATCTCCGCCATCCGCGCTTAAGCCTTCGTCGCTTGAAGGCGAGATGAGTGTCACCGAAAATTTTGATACCGATCCCGTCATAAGACGGCGTCACGCCCTCCCCTTCAAGTCGGCCTCAGGGAGTAGGGGAAAATAGTACCATTACCGGACTATGACAATGGCTGGAGCACAAGTCAGTACGGGAGGGTGTTCATCACCGGCGTTCCTCAGCTTCCCCTCTTTTACTTTGACAATTATGTTCTATTTCCTCTCCAGCCCTCCGCCCTCCATGCGGCTCTGCCCGGGGTATCTAACGCACAGTTCAAAGATATAGTGATGCACCAGGGTGACTAGCACAACTCGCGTCCGATCCCGTTAACGTATCTTCCTCCGCGCATACGGTGCCTGCAATCCGTTAAAGGTCTGCCTTTCTAGCCAGGAAGTCTATCGTCAGGGGGAAAGGGTGTCTTTCAACACTATCGCACGCTTTATGCGGCAACTGAGGAGAATGAGCCCTAATGTCTTCAACTTTGTTGAGTAGTGAACAGAATGGCGACACAGGTAGAGAATGCTAGAAACTTAGGACCTGTGAAAAGGCCAGGGAGTGCAGCATATAGCTTGCGTGGAAAGGTAGCAATGGTAGTGGTGCTGAGATCGACGAGTCGATTTGGTCCATGTTTTGGTTGACATCATTGCGACATAGACAACTGGTTTTGAGAGCACTGTGAATGTGAGCATGTATTTCCACTATCTCTTGCGTTGCTTATTTTCTATCTTGTTTTCAAAGGGGTTCCATGCTGTGGTTGGAGCACTGTATGCAGCTGCATTGATGTTCTATTGTTATTGTTCACGCTCTACGCCACATTGTCTTGTCCTTCCATAGGTACTTAGGCCTTTACGCTCCGACCTTCCACATTTCGCCACCACGCTTGTACCTTCTCGTCTCCTATATAAGTATTTTTCCGTGCACCGTCATCAGATTCATCCCTCAAGCCAGCAGTTCTCATTCGCAAAATAACCATCATCTTCATCTCTCACCTTTTACATCTCAACACATGAAGCAAAAGTGTGCATTCAATCTTTGCTCTACCATGGTGCCAATCATCCAGGAGGTATGCTCTTCTAGTTCTGCAGTTGCGTCAATTCACATATCTTTGTCTTTAGGGTCAAAACGCACCGATGCTCCATGGCGAGCCCATTTGTGATCACTGTGACTTTCGCTTGAAAGTTAGTTCTTTCTCAGTTTGTCTTTGGATGTCGTGCTGATTTAGACCTTCTCCTGTAGGTTCCGATACCCAAGTCGAAGAACCCGATAACAGTTGAACCAGTGAGTGTTGGCAATTTCCCTATGCTCCGTCGATATCGGGCTGATTTGTGTCCTCCCCAGCGGACGCCGGAGCAAGATACACGCTGCAACGAAATAGCTTACTGTGGGGATCATTTTGAGGTAAGTTCTATCTAAGCCCTCAACCACTCTCTCCTCAATATGATTGTCCAGTACCCTGCCCATCTCCCGATACCATGGGAGGGCCAGGTAACAACCCGCTCCATGATCCCCTTGACGGCTGGTGAAACCAAGCGGAAGTGGAAGTATGGTCATCGCTCGATAGAACCTGCAAAGGGTCGCAGCCTGTTTACACGTCTCAAGAATTTAATCAAATTTTGAGGACTACTAGACGTGTATGAAGGCTGAGCGTCACTGTTTATAATTTACGACCGCATTTTTATGTGTACTTATGATTACCTCCTGTCATGTCTACTAACATGTATTATGCCAGGTTTCACCATGATGCTCTCCACTGGACCCAGAGTCTGACAAACAAGTCGGAAGAGACCATTCAACCGGACAAGTGAGCTATCTTACGCCAGTTCCAACTTCTGTTGCCACACCCTATTGCAAGTATCCTGTATCCATTTTGTGATTCAGACGTGGCGACAAACCATCGTGAACAAGAGGCTTGTAACGTCGTATGTTCATCAGTCGTCATTTATATTTTCGTCGAGAGTCATCTTCTAGACCATCCTCACCGTCATAGTAATTGCTTATAGTCGTCAAATTAAGTTTCTCTCCGGAACGCCGTCATGTCGACAGCAAACGCTAAAATACACGCAGTAACGAGGAAGAGCGCATGATTTTGAGACGGTAAGAGGCTAAACCTGTTAAGGACATGAAGTGTAGGTATATATAGCGATGAACAATATGCAGCCAAATGTCAGATAATACGGCGCGGTGTCCAATTAGCGAAGAGTAAGAAGGCACATACTCTCCTTGCATCAGATTCTTACAAGGGTGCATTCCTGAAAGTCAAGCGCATCCCAAACACAACCGACCCACTCCGACAAGTCAGCTCGTCATCCAAACCTCGCTCCACGAACAATACCGAATAAGCCACACGATAAAGCGTCACACTGCAGGGTCTCCAGGTGACATGTCAGGCATGGAAATCCACACAAGGCCCAGGGCGTCAGTGTCGTGTATGTGCCGGTCGATATGCCACAGATGGAGATGCATGCGCGTGGCCAGGATCGCAAGGATACAGACTTGTAAACTATATGCGTGTTTAGTATTGAGAGACGAGAACTAGAATACGAGGCTCAGTCACGGTTAAAGGGACTAGCATTCAGCGTAGTACTACGAACCTAGAATACGAGGCTAATGTATATAGTGAGTATAATGGAATAAGAATGAGGAAAAATATGATACACACCTCAGTCACGGTTAAAGGGACTGAGGTGCGTTGGTGCGGGTTCGTAGTCTTATATAGAGTTAGAATAAAGTTAGAATACGGTTGAGAACGGGAAGAGAAAATGAGTAAGGTACTGTTACTGTCTTGCATTCATATATGTCAGGACGTCGTGACGTCCTGTGTGCCCTGGTGGTCAGGCGCACTCTCAACACTCCCACTCGCCAGACCACGCAGGGCAGTCTGACGGAGACCCATCTCCTCTCTGTGACGACTAACTGCTGGACGAGGCAGCGCTTTCGTGAGGCTGTCAGCGAGCATTTCCGAAGTCGACTTATATTCGAGTCTGATCTGATTGGTTTCGACGAGACTGCGGACGAGGTGATAATGCACGCGAATGTGTTTCGCCTTGTCGTGGAACTTGGGATTCTTCGATAGGGCAAGGCTAGCCTGGTTGTCACCATAGAGAAGGGGAGGGTCGTAGAGATCTGGGTCTACACGGAAGTCGTGGAGTAGTTGGATGAGGTATAAGGCTTCTCGCGAAGCATTTGAGAGTCCAATATACTCCGCTTCTGTGGTTGACGTTGCCACGACAGACTGTTTCTGTGCCTTCCAACTGACTGGACCACCAAACAGCTGATACACATACGCACTCGTCGACTTGCTGTCATCTCGGTCTGCGGCGTAGTCAGAGTCTGAGTGACCTATCAGCCCGTCGTCAGTGAGCCCGAATACGAGTGTCAGGTGTGTCGTGCCACGTATGTATCTGAGGAGGTGCTTGAGCTGGCGATGATGATCAATGGTGGGATTCTCCATGTAACGTGAGAGGGAGGAGACGGCGAAAGCGATATCGGGACGTGTGGTGCGCATGGCATAATTAAGTTCCCCGATCGTGCGTCGATAAGGAATGGATGCGATGGCAGTCGCTTCGTCATCAGTGGGACTTCGTGTTGCTTTCTGAAGTACGATGCCTGGAGACATGGGAGTACCGACCGGGTTACATTGAGACATCCCGGCGTTTTCAAGAATCTTCTCCAGGTAGGTCTTCTGACTGACCGATAGAAGTCGTTTCTCGCGATCGCGAGTGATATGCATCCCAAGGAAGTGTCTGGCAGGGCCTAGATCTGCGAGGTCGAAGCGTTGGTTGAGCCGTGTTTTGAAGCTGTTAAGGAAATCGCGTGAGTTCGACGCGGAGAGCATGTCGTCGACGTATACGACGAGCCAGATGATCTTGTCTCCTTCGTGGAGGACATATAAGCTGTGATCAGCCTCGCTTCGAACAAACTTGAAACCCTCTTTCCGCAGATACTCGTCAAGCGTTTGGTTCCACTCATATCCTGCCTGCTTCAAACCATACAGCGCCTTCTCCAACTTCCATACCCAATCCGGATGTTCTGGATCCTCGAAGCCGGCTGGTTGCTTGAGGTATATATCCTCCTTGAGTTCAGCATTAAGGAAAGCCGTACGTACATCCATTTGATCTAACTCGAGGTCGAATTTTGCTGCGAGTGCGAGGAGGATTCGGACAGTGTCATACTTGGCAACAGATGCGAACGTCTCTGTGTAGTCGATCCCTTCGACCTGAGTGTAGCCTTGTGCAACAAACCGGGCCTTGTGCCGGGTGATGTTGCCGTCCTCGTCTGACTTCACTGAGAATACCCACCTGGATCCAATGGCCTTCCTTCCTGCTGGGAGAGGTACCAGACGGTGAGTCTTCAAGTCGCGCATGGATTGTAGCTCAGACTTGCAGGCTTCCGACCATAGCGGCCATTCAGGTAGGGAACGAGCTGCGCTGATCGATTTTGGAATGACGGGTGGTGTAGAAGAGGAAGGCGAAGGCGTGTCTGTTGTATGCATGGCGGATTCATGAGGTGGTGATGGGTCAGGTAGGACTGGGACATGGGTCCAGCGCTCGGCTACAGGAACCCGCTTGGTGGGTATGGCCGTGTCACTAGGGCCACTTGGAGCAATATAGCCAGGCTGAGTAGGTTGGCGTGGACGTGTGCTTCGACGTGGGGCTGGAACAGGAGCTGGTGCGTTGTGGGAATGGTGGGACTCGACTGGAGCGTCTTGGGATATGTGGGATGTATGGGACTCGACTGGTGGATCAACATCACCTCCCACTGACACCTGTGGCACAGTAGGTGTAGCAGGGGTCATAGATGGCGGCTCACCAGATGAGGGAGAACCTCCCACTGAAGGACTGGTACCTGGAGTACCTCCCACCGGAGTGCTGACACCCTGGTCAGAGTCTGTGCCAGGGATTAGTGGACCCAGGGGAGATAAGGTGGGGTCCCCATAGAAGACGGCTTCGTCGAATTGGACATGGCGTGACCTGATGACGCGCTTTGCAGATGGGTCCCAAAGGATATAGCCAGCGTTGCGCACGTGTCCCAGGAGGAAGCACCGGCGGGAAACGAACTCGTATTTCCGACGGGTGTCGTCTGGGATGTGAGAGTAGGCAAGACAGCCAAAGGGGCGGAGGTAGCTCACGTCGGGTTTGCGACCGTAGAAAGCCTCAAATGGAGTCCGACCGTCAAGCGCTGAGGAGGGGAGGACGTTCTTGATGTGAGCAGAGTTTAGGATCGCCCAGCCCCAGAAGGAACGCGGGAGGAAACCACTCTGGTGGTGGCAGCTGAGGGCACGAGTGACAACGGTCTGGTGGCCACGCTCAGCAACCCCGTTCTGCTGTGGCGTGTAGGGCATGGTGACTTCATGCTCAATGCCCCGCTCCGCTAGGTACTCCCTGAAATCCTTCGATACGTACTCCCCACCATTGTCACTACGAAGACGTTTGATGCGTCCCCCAGACTGAGTCTCCATCCACGGCACAAACTTCTTGAAGAGCTCGAAGACTTCGGACTTCGCGCGCATAAGGTATACGAGTGAGTAGCGTGTGTAGTCGTCAGTGAACACAACGAAGTACGAGTCACCAGTGGAGGATGTGACACTGACGGGTCCCCAGACGTCTGAGTGCACAAGTTCTGCGGGTGCCGAGGCTCGTCGTGCAGCGTTTGGGAAGGGAGATCGTCGGTGCTTACCCATGAGGCAAGAGACGCACTGGATCAGGTCAGCATCGCCACTGGTGCCGTGGAGTGATGAGGAGGGGAGTGACAGTCCGTCAACATGTTCGCTCGCTTTGAGGACTGTGGAGAATCCAGCGTGACCCAATCGACGATGCCAGGTCTGCAGGGATAAGGCAGCAGGAGGCGACTGTGTGAGCATAGCGGATGCACCAGTAATGTATCGTGCAGCGAGTAAGTACAGTCCATTGCGGGAATGGACATGTGCGAGCGGTGGCCCATGTCCATCACCAGCACGAAGCATTCCTCCTTTGGAGGAGGAGATGAACGAAATGCGCTCAGATGCGAGGCACGATACTGAGACAAGGGTACACCGCAGGTCAGGAACGTGAAGGAAGTCAAAATCTCGACTCGTTGAGGATTGCTCATACTGTAAGGCGAGCCGTACAGTCCCCCAGCCAGGAGCTAGGACCTCATGATTGTCGGCGAGTTTCACACGGATGGGTACATCGAGCTTCGTGTAATGGGCAAAACGTGAAATATCAGGCTCCATATGGGCCGTGGACGCTGAGTCTACATGAATAGAGCCTACAGGCATAGTGAGGGAGGACGAGATATTGGCAGTATGCTCTTTTAAGGTGAGAAAGAATGGAGATTGTGGTTTAGCGTTGGGTGAGGTAGCGTCCGCGTTAGGTTGGTCTGCCAATGGGGATTCCATGTTAGTGGCGACAGCGGTAGGGGACGAACGTGGTGCTGACTTCTTCTCATCCTTAGCGAGGCGTGCACGACATTGTGCCCAGACGTGGCCAGGCTTTTGACAGTGGCCACACTTAGGCCTCCATCCCACAATCCAGCCATCTCCCTTCGACTCGTCAAAACCCTTGGGAGGGACACGATCACTCGTCTTGGGAAGTGCGCTGTTCCCTCGATGTCCAGAGAGCATAGCGACGTGCTCTGTTGCGCTACTGGTCCCTGCACGATGCAACTCCTGGGTCTTCAATCGATTCACGATGTCGTTGAAGTCCAACGAGGCATCGCTGTTAACGAGTGTTTGGCGAAGAGGGTCGTAATAGTCGGGGAGAGCACGGAGTAGGATGTGCACGAAGATGGCATCTGGAATCTTGTATTCCTCCTTCGTAGCAGTAGCGCCAGACGTAGTGGTAGTCGTACCAGGTGTAGTAGAAGGTGGAGAAACTGAGGATGTGGATGGTGCGACTGAGAGTGCTGCGAGGTCCGACTTTAAGACAATGAGTGTCTGTAACGTCTCCGCGATGGACGTGCTGTCGTGCGCCTTTGGGACCGTGAATAGACGATCGAGGTATTGGTTGAATCGAATGGCTTTCTGGGGAAGGTATTTCTTCTCCAGGGCGATCCAAGCAAGGTGCGGATTGTCAATATCACGTAGATAGACGAAGTCCTGCGCATCGATAGCGGTGGAGAGAGCACTGAGGGCGAGGAGTCGACGTTGTCTGTAGAGCTTCACCCGCTCGTCGTGTTTCTCCTTGCGGAGGATATTCTGGTCAGAGTCTGAGAGTTGGGCTGGTGGGGACGGTTCTACTTCGTCTCCACTGACGTAGGACCATAGTCCAATACCGCCGGCCCACATCTTGAAACCTGTCGCCCATTGGGAGTAATTAGAGCCGTCGAGAGTGAGTTTCTCGTGCGGGTACTTCTCGGTTTTCGGGAGAGAGGAGTCCGATGATGCCATAGTGATCGAAAATTAGGGGTGACACTTCGATATTGGTTTGAAACCCGGTAGGAAGTGTGATGGGTGAACGGACGTTCGAGAAGTGCTGATGTGAGAGATGGGGTAATGCCGCTGTCCTTTCAGCCAGGGCTCATAACCTATTGAGAGACGAGAACTAGAATACGAGGCTCAGTCACGGTTAAAGGGACTAGCATTCAGCGTAGTACTACGAACCTAGAATACGAGGCTAATGTATATAGTGAGTATAATGGAATAAGAATGAGGAAAAATATGATACACACCTCAGTCACGGTTAAAGGGACTGAGGTGCGTTGGTGCGGGTTCGTAGTCTTATATAGAGTTAGAATAAAGTTAGAATACGGTTGAGAACGGGAAGAGAAAATGAGTAAGGTACTGTTACTGTCTTGCATTCATATATGTCAGGACGTCGTGACGTCCTGTGTGCCCTGGTGGTCAGGCGCACTCTCAACATTTAGGAGTATGGGAGTATTCAAGATATCAGTAGGAATTCACAACAGAAGTTGGAGGTGCGCACTCATCGAGCAGGGAGTGGTACGCGGACTGGATGTGTGGAACATCAACGACTCATTCATTGAAGGGTATCGGGGGGCTTACGCACATCGGAAAACAGCACTGGTGCAAGAGCGTTCACGGCCGACAGAACTTTCAAAACAATGATCATCACCGATGAGCACAGAGACATGTGTAAGCAATGACTCACAAAGACCGCATGTATAGTAGAATGTGTTATGTTTCACCAGGACGGTGTGGATAGGGCCTTGGGTCACCCGCCAACTTTTGATGACACGTATGAGTGTGAGGGAGACAAGTCCTAGGGATAGCGACGGTCACTGCATGTCTGTAATATATTCTCCCAGTTTCGACATACCCAGTTGAAATATAAATATAAGAAAAAACGGTATGAAGAATTGGATACCGCGTGAGCTCCGGTAGCAGCCTGTGATACCTGGAATCGCGCTAGTCGCAACTGTGAAAGTGACTTGAATATGTGTGAATACTAGTGAGAGAAGTTGGGAGCACAAACACTGAGAAGTGGCGATGGTAGTAAACCAGATAACGAAGGATGATGCGATAACAGCCTGACTGATTGATCAACCATGAGCTTGGGTGTGGCGAGGGTATAGGACTCACAAAAAGAGTCGACAGCATGGCTACGAGTACGATTCTATTGCTGTTCCAGAGCGCATATGTTCTGAGCACAAAAAAGCCTAGGTCAATTGGATCAGGAGCACGTGTCTCGCGGGGAAAGGATAGATACATTCAGAACAAGCGAATGATACCAGACCGGAATCTGTGAGGAAGGAGCACGCTAAGCAAGGACATGTATGCAGCATGTACCTTGCACTTACATGACAAGATATAGACCAACACCCGGCAATTCTGGTGAAGTTACGCAGTAAGCGTCTTTAATTAGTCGGTAAATCCTCTGCACGTTCACATACATCAGGGTTCTCGTTCGGATGAAAGACCACTGGAGCGCAACATGTCAATTCATTATCGAGGAAATGTGTGCTGGGAATAAACGCACGATATAGTTCTGCGGTGATGAAGACAAAGGGGACATATCGTGCAATGATATAAAGGCCTTTTATCTTGGTCCAGCGCGACTGAAGCAGGAATTTGCACTTTGTACAGCATGTTCTCGATATATAAACCGAAGCGTATCACCAAACAGGTACATCAGTACTCACCTCCTCGCGAAGGGAACAAACATAATCATAGATCTGGATAAACAGGTTTATCGGTGGACAGGAATACATCGGCACAGCCTACCCAGAATGTAACCAGAGCCGCTAAGCTGTCGGTTAGAACGAGGAGGAAGCGGTTCAGACAGCACGCACTGCACATGTACTGGTGGCCAAACATGTTATGTTGGTTATTTTCTTGCCCTCATATTGTAAGAAAGCGACGCACCGCCAAGTATTGCAGATTTGTGGCTGCTGCGATATCGTCAACTGAATACTCCATCTGCATTCGTTCAACAGACAAAAAACAGGTCTCGCGCACACATCATGCCCCCTTTTATCTCTTGCGAATGAACTGGGAACCCATTCAGATGGAGGTGTACATAATTCGGCTAAACTTGATGATTGTGACTCGGAGTGTTTCACTGGCTGGTTTAAAGCTGGTCACGGGCTGTACCAGGCGGGACTCTGCCGCAACTTGATAAATTTACAGTTGGTGGCAGAAACTTGCCCGAAGTGCTCAGTACTTGGTTTCACTGATAACATAACTGTAAGCACTGTATTTAAACACAAAACGCGCCTAGTGCTACATATAGTTAAATTCAATAGTTGATTGAGGAGCTCACGTGTACACATTTTGCTGGTTGATGTAGCTTACTTCTGACGTTTGAAACACCATCAGTCCTTGAAACATGCAGCCACATTAGAGGGACCTACGTGACTACAAGGAACGCTCAACCTCTTTCGATCAACCTCGACCGCTTTAGATACACCATACATACTTCTTAGTTGAAGATGAGATGGCTTTAATACGTGCTCGATGATGATACGTAAAGCAGACTGGAGGAATTTGATGCATTCTCGTCCATGTGAAGCAGATTGGTAGGGGATATGCAAGGGACAGATGTGGTGATACTGGTAGAGAATGTGCGGAGTAGGTTGGCGAGGTAGACCATAGTCTTCATTTGAATGATGCCTTGATGGTCTGGTGAATGCCGTGTAGGCGGGGTAGAGGCTGAGAAACCAGTATGGAATTATGTGTAGGACAGTGCAAGTTCGAGGGATCTTGTCTACATTAAAATATCAATGTTCTTTGCTGCAACTTGAATTCGAAGCTTCATGAAGGTGTGTATCAGTTCGAGCAGGTTCGAGCTTGGTTTCGTGCGGCACTATGATAATTAATTTCAGCTTAACGACGACCACGTGACCCATGCCTTGCCACTGTCGCAACTTGCGTTACGCGACAAGTACCATCATGGTCGGTCCTCTCATCAATCGCTCGCAGTATCGATGATTGAGGCATGTTTTGGACTGCCCCCACTACCCTTTAAAGATCTTAAAGATCTAGTACTAGCTATTCATGAAGTACTGCCGGGCCCGGGCCCTCCGGAACTGAGCAGCCCTCGACGTCCTTGAGGCCCTGAGGCGAGACGATACCCCTTCAAGATATCCTCCACAAATCCACCAACCACTCCATCATGATCAGCCCACCGCTTGAAGTTGTACGGGAATTTCGACATCGATCACATCGCCTAACAGTGTCACGCACTCCCAAGTCGGCTCGGCGATGAGGGCGAATCGCATCATTACCGTATTATGGCCATGGTTGTGGCATACACCAGTACGCAGAGTCTTCGTTACACCCTGGGGTGCTGGTGGCCGCTACAGACGCTCTGCAACTTCTCCTGCAGTCTAATCTGACAACATCATGTCCCACTACGCCTCCATGCATCTCAGGCCATGATATTACCCACTGTTCGAAGGTATATGTTATGCACAAGGTTGACTGGAACAGCTCGTGCCTGGTCAAGCCTCCTGCGTCGTTCGTGAGCAAACCCATCATTTTTTTTCTTTACTACGTCGTACGACAATAGGCTAGCACGCTTGCGATGGCCGAGGAGGAGATATAGCCAAAACCTCTTCGAGTCCGTTGAAGAGTGAGCTAATCTCGGCTGCTGCAAACACTTACTACGTTTTTAGACCGCGACGTTGGTTTATAAAGTGCTTCGTCGCTCATTAGACCCTATGTTGTTGTCACGAGAGCCGGTTTCACGACGTTTTCAACCTCGCTGTCGCAATTAAATCACATGCATGGGTCGTCTTGAAGGTGGTCAAGTTCCACGCCGTAGGCTCTTGACTTCACCAGGTGAGGACAAAAGTTGATAGATATGTGATGAAAGGTATACGTACACCCTCAATCGCCCATCGGTCATGAAGTTTGTTGGGTGTAATGAAGTATCTGGGGCTCTATCACAGAGCATGCTAACGTAGCTGTCATGTCTATTTTTCCTGCCGATGACTAGATGAACGACTTGCGACAGGATCGAAGAATGGCAGCGCAGGTAGAGAATATGAGAAACCGAAGAACTTGTGCGAAGGAGTATAGCTTGGATTTTGTGTGGTAAGATAGCTGCTGCATCAATGAAGGCAGCGGTGCCGAGCTCAACGATTTGCTCCATGTTTCCACAGTCACCGCAAACAAACAGATAGGTGAGCGTGTATTTCTGCCAGTGTATTACTCCTCATCTTATCTTGTTGTAAGGGAATTCCATGCCTCCGTAGTTGGAGCACTTGTGTGCAACTGCATTTACGCTTTGTTGTTCATTGTCTTGTCTCGGCTTTGCGCATTGTGTCGTGTGTAAGTTCCAACTACCATCCTTTCACAGGTGCTTAGGCCTCCACACTCATGCCTTCCACAGGTGCTTAAGCCTCCACACTCACGCCTTCCAGATTTCGCCTCCACACTTGTACCTTCCCGTCTCGTATATAAGCTGCCATGTTTTCCTCATACCATCATCAGATTCCAGTCATCTCACCGCTCAAAGTTTCAACCAGTTCGCCTTTGCAACATAATCATTGTCTCCCTCTTTCACCTGTTAAATCTCAAAACATGGAGCAAGTGAAACAAAAGTGTGCAAAAAACTATTGCTCTAATCTGGTGATCATCGAGGATGTAAGTTCTTCTTGTTCTGCAATTGTGTCAATTCACAGTTCTTTGTATTTAGGATCTACTTTGTGACGACTGCAACCAATTCTGGAATGTTAGTTGTTTCTCTCTTCGACTTTGGATGTCGTGCTGATTTAGACCTTTTTCACCTGTAGGATCCGCCAACCCCAACCACGGTTGAAAAGAATGTTGGCGGTTTCTCTGTGCTCTATCGATATCGTGCTGATTTTTGCCTTCCCCCAGCAGACGCAGAAGCCAGACACGCACTGCGGCAACTTAGCTTCCTATGGGGAACATCTTGAGGTAAATTCTATCTAAGCTCTCAACCACTCTCCTCAATATGATTGTCCAGCATTACCAAAGGAGGGCCAAAGAGTTACCCGCTTCCTCATCCTCTGGAAGGCAGGCTAGCTGGAGCCGCAAGTAATGAGGTGGAAATTGAGGCGTAAAACCAAGGGTCACAGCCCACATACCACACTGATATCACGAAATTTTTTGCTGGCGGGGCTCTGAGACGTGTAATATATATATGGAGGCCGAGCGTCACAGTGTCAAACGATATTGTTTCTCTATATGTTCATGATTCACGACAACATGTTTTGCCTTATGCTTATGATTGTCTCCTATCATGTCTAATCAAATCCATCATGCGACTCCGAGCTTGCGCGTGCTCTCCACTACAGCCTCTGCAAAAATCAGAACACACCATGCATGTCGTCTAACAACAACGTCGATGAACTGACGAGCCAGTATCGAGAATTGACCTTATTTACCATGTTCAATGTTGCAATTCCTCCTCAAACCACTTCGCTCAGTACCACAATTTACGCGATGTTACTTAGTACAAGTCGATTCCATTGCGACTATCGTACATCATCATATGCAATGTATTGAACCAACTGTTTTCACGCGATCAATTTGATCATGCCTCCTGGAATATTCTCCCCCACCCTTTGATCGCTTTCGTATCTACCCCACACTGCTTCAACATATCCCAAGTGACCGTAGTAACGGTATCCAACACTGGAACACCATACTTTGCCTCCCAATGCTCAACCTTGTGCGCCGCTATCAGATTTGTGCAAAACGTCGAAACAGCCTCTGCACCGCCCTCAACCACTTGTCCGACCAACTTGTCCAATACATCTTCTCCAATCAGGGCAACGTCAGTGTTCTTCACCACGCGCAGGTGACGTTCCGTTTCCGAGGTGACCTCCATCCCAATGGCGTTGTAGTTCTTCACAATCCTCTCCTGAACGTCATCTAGATATGGTGTGACTAGTCCAAGCTTCTTGATCTTGAAAATTTCCAAAGCCTTGTTCAAAGACAATACGGAGGTAGTGGCGGGTATACCCGTAGCTTTGGTAATAGCTTCGCAGAGTTTCTCGTCGTCCTCGAACCCCATCCATCCTGCTGCTGTTCCGCTCCAGCCTATCATATCAACTTCGGCATGGGCGAGTAGTTGGGCAGCTTGCATGATGACTGAGTGGTCGAACTGGGCGAGACCCTTGGGCGAGAGACTGATCCCTGTAACGGGGAAACGGGAGAAGTGAACGGAGACGTTTGGAATGGAGGAAATGATCTGGAAAGTGAGAGGTTCCAATGCGGTATTTGAGGAAGGCGTGAGAATGCCGAGACGGATTTGTTTTGACATGCCTAAAACGCTAGGGACAGATACGGTGTAGAGGAGTCCAAGTTGTTGTGAATGAAGACGGACGAGCGACGACGTATGCAAGTTTGCAAAGCAGATATAGGTCCTTGTAAGCTAACACGTGTATTTGAATAGATCGAAGATCCTCCCCGACGGGCGTCCGAGTCGTGACCTGCTGATCCAAGCTGATTTAGGTCTCGCCGCCAAGGCCCACTCGGCAGATATTCTTGTTTGTTCAGCCGTGGTATCGTTATCTCTTCCTGGGTCGCCTGACTTTTCGGACGATAAAGGATATGTAGAGCGTAGTAGGATGATAAGTCAACTCGCTCTTTCAGGCATCACTCACCTTTGATAACCTCTTCTTGAGCGGGGGAACCGACATAGAACGCATAACTGGTGGAATCAAGAAGATATTTGTATTGGTTCGGGTCCGGGGCGCTGATAGGTCAATGTTCGGGTTGATCATAGTGCAGCACCAAGAAGGATGTTTCCGTGATTGCATCATGATGAGGTGCAGCCATCATTTATATATCCACGTGGTTGCATGGTAAAAGAGAGGCAAGTTATACCCGTTGTCGAATGTGAGTGGTCCAGATAGCGCCTGCAAACCAAACACGTGCCTGTTCCGTAGATGGACTCGTCGTCCTAGTCAATGTGTTGAAATTTTAACAGTCACACAGATGAGAAGATGCGGAAGATTAGAGTCGACCAGCTTTAATCCATATAGATAGCAAGTACCAGCCTGTATTATCTGACGTCACAACCCGCTCGAGTCTCTGAAGCGTAGAGATACATCGATCGTGTACCCGCTCCCACGAATTCTTTGTATGAGCTTATACGTTCCAGAAAGTCTTCAGGCTTCCGCGTCGTCCTCTTTCTTGTAGATTTCTGACATAGAATGCGAAGAAGTCAATACGATGTCGTTATTCTCCTTGCAGCTATTACAGTTGATGGAACTGACCAAATCAATGCAACGTGGTAGGTATGCATCGCAAGAGTGAAAGGATGATTGGAATCGGAGCCCGAGCACACAATCTGTCTTCGTGCGTGCAATAGTGAATTGTTTTGGTTTCTCAAATTTCTAGGAAGAGTCGGAGACTATGACGGGACGAGCTAATCTTTGCTGCCCAGCGCCTGTTCCACGATTTATAAGCCGAAGGAGAGAGCGCCAGACGTGGTGTCAGTCGCCGTCACGGTCAACAAGTTGCGACCAGCCAATTTTTTTCATTTCAAACAACTACAAACATCATATAGATAACCTCAAATTGCCTTTGCACTCTTTCGATATGGAACCGATACTGTTTATCGACAGAACGGAAGTGGGTGACCTATCCAACCTCGAGCCTCGTCATCCAAATCTACTGTGTTGCGGGATCTGGGCTTGCGAATCTACAAAGAAGTCTGGAAATAATATTACGAATGGGAACCTAGGGAATGCCAACAAATTATGCAGTCAAGTGCCTCATGTCTCTATGTCTTTGGTGTTACCAAATGTTGCAAGTTTGTAAAACGGGGACGCAGCTTGCCCAGCCAATGCCATGGCTATGCACTGCATCCATCTGACGGGCCGAATATCTCGGTCCGAGAAGCTATACATATTACGAACACGGCCTGGGCACTCTCGTGGTCAGGCTGTACATCTCGACATTTTGCAACGTTTTTATACTACCAGAGGTGAGTGAGGCTTTGGTGAGCAATTGAGATACTGAAGGCTCACCGGACGATTTGTAGCGGGTCTGATTCTAGTGCAGGGACCTTTGTTACGGTGCAAATAACACATCGGCGGAACACATCTTTTGGTATCCACGCAGGTGAGCGTTGCTATATCCTCCATCATGTCAGCAAATACGATGAGTTGCACGCTAGTAGTGAACTGTCATGAACAAAAAGGCATCTGGATTCAATCGATTTGACCAATATATCATGAACGACATCCCAATCCGACTCATACGCCTATCAGACATGAAGTTGGTCGGGCGGAATGATGTGAGAGAGCACATCCGGAGTTCTGTCCCTCAAGATAAATGGTTCTATCACCCATCCTATATCGTGAAGTACGCTATCTTGTCTCACCGGTGGTTGGATAATGGAGAGCCAACATACGAAGATGTGAAGGCAGACACCGCAGAAGGTCCAGGATACGAGAAGCTGAAGAACTTCTGCGCAAAAGCCAGGGAGTACAACGTGGAATTTGCATGGTCAGATACCTGCTGCATTGACAAGAGCAGCAGTACCGAGCTTGACGAGTCGATTCGTTCCATGTTTCGGTGGTACAAGAACTCCGCGATTTGCATCATCCATCTGGCACAAAGCAAGACTATCAAGGATATGGAGTGGGACGAATGGATGGAGAGGGGTTGGACGTTGCAAGAACTCCTTGCGCCCGGTGTGATCAAATTCTTTAACAAGGATTGGATGCCCATGACAGGTGATGAAGATGACAAGAGTGGTGAAGAGACCGAAGTAATGGAGACTCTGCACAGAGCCACTGGCATTCCTCATGATGACCTACGCACATTTCAACCAGGTCCGGTCAGGGTAGATGAGCGAATGGCTTGGGCAGCCATGCGCCAGACAACAAGGGTCGAAGATGTGGCCTATTCTCTGATGGGAATCTTTGATGTTAGCTTGCAGATTGCATATGGAGAAGGAGGAGACCGCGCATTCTACAGGCTCATCGAGGCACTCATGCATGCTGGTAGCCCTTCTGTTCTCAACTGGGCGGGCGAAGCTGCGAAACATCACTCTTCGGCATGTGCTATTCCTCGATCGCCGCGGAGCTTCATGGGCAGCAAAGGTTCGTGGTTCTGTGATGGGCGACTAGAGATGACTATGACCAGCCTTGGCTTGCGAGTGCCTCTAGTGATTCTCCCTCTCAACTTTCATTCGGAAGAGTTTGTGGAGATTTCGGATGTTCAAATTACACTTGACTGCCCGCGATACCCAACGATCGTTCCACGGCTCTATAATCGTTCGCAGTTACGGTGTGAAACTGTCACCAACGAATTCGCACTCGGGATTGTCAACTATTCGCTGATCAGTGGTGGATCACAAGCGGTCTTAGGGGTCCGGGGAAAGTCAGTCGGCGTTATCCTAACGAGATATCCCGTCTCCCGCCAGCCAGCCTGGGCACGTAAACCTAGACGCGATGACCTTGCAGGGCTTAAATGCATCCCTGGTCCCGAAGAGCAATTCAGTGAATGGAAGTTAATATCGTGGATAGGCTCAACTCTGGTCCAGGCTTGCTTTCCAAACACGCAGAGTGAATCACTTATTTACATTGATCACGAATACCTACAAATTATTTACATATAGCATTAGGCCTACAATATTGAAATTAAACGGTATTGTGGTATACTTGCTGATTTTCCGTGCTCGATCCTTTCTGCCAGCAGCGAGAGGCTCCTCGTGACCATCCCGATGTGTGCTTTGAGGTTGTACTCAAAACCAACAGGCGTTTCATCGGAACGAGGGGCTACTAGGCCAGAAAACCGTGTAATTTCTAAAACACCCAAGCAACTCAGCATCCCAGAATATATTTCCAATTTTATTTTGGTTTTAACTCTGTAGCAAAATCACATCTTCAACGAGCAGGATAACCCACCAGTACGTGCACAGAAATACTGGCATACGGCTATTCAAAATAGGTCAACAAAGCTCAGAGACGGACTCATGTAGGTGGTAAAACACCACTTAACCTCGGCCCAGAGATATCTTACGCACTTCTTTGTGGACAGAAGGTCAGATCTAACGAGTGTCCAACGGTCTCCAATGTCCATACCAGCTAGTCTAAATTTTCGGCCGTAAGCACGATTGAATCCGTATGTACTGGTAGTAATGCTGAGGAGATATAGTATCATATAGACGTTGTGAGTGCGACGGTGATTTCGGGGATCGGCAACTCAAAACCCGACAGCGCGGAGGCGAAAATTTTGGGCAAGATGGGCGTGTATATCTACAGCGTCGCGTGATATATGAGTGCAACCGCCAGCTGTAAAACTCGGAATTCAACAATAGGTCAGCAGCACAGAATTCTGAGTTCGGGAAATGATAATGAGCAAGCACATGCTCCAATTCTGAATGGACTGGGGTAGGGCGTGATTTTTCAAAATAGCCATATTCTCTTCAGATTCAGCTTTAGAGTGAAATATTCTGTCTTTCCTCGTTGCTTATATTCGACATTGACGTGGCGACGGCTTGTCGCAGGTCCGCCTGTTCCGAGCTGTATAAGTACAAATAACCAGTTTTGCTCTCGCAAGTGATCGAGACACCTTGCTAATTGTCAGATTGGCAAAGAAAATGTTGAAACATACAATCAAACACCTGCAGCACACAGTATCACCGGCGGCTTTTCCTATGCAGCTCGTCGCAATTGCGTTTTGTACGGGGGTTCTGGACGCAACGACGTACGCTGATTTCCAGACATTCACGTCAAACCAGACGGGCAATGCGATCCTTCTCCCTGTGGGGATGATGGGTGCGGGCGGCCGTCATGTCCAGATGCTCAATACGGGCGTCAGCCTCGCGTCCTTACTCTTCTTTGGCTTCCTGAGCGGGCAAGTTGGACACGTTGTCGGGCACAGGAAGCGCTGGTGGATGCTCCTGACTCCTGAGTTCGTTAATCCAAGCTGTATTCGTGCTCATTCCAGCTGCTCTGCTCTATATTGGAAGCGTTATTATCTCTCCACAACACGCACCTTTGCTTCTCTTCCTCCTGGCGACATCGGCGGGTTTCCAAGTTGCGATGGCACGGAATATGGGTGTGAACGAGATTCCTACTGCCATGCTCACATCCCCGTTCATTGATTTCGGTCCTGCTCCAGGTGGCCACCTGTTGAGTGTTCAGGCATTTAGTAGCATTTCTCCTATCATCGTACTGATCCACCCGCCAGATACACAGGGTCCGTCTGAGTCTCAGTTAGTGACTAGGCTATGATGCAGGTGGTTGTGTTGAGCAAGTGTTGAGTCCAGCCTGGATTGAGATGACCTCATCATCTCATGATGACTCAGCATGATGAACATCCGACATCCAAGTGAGACAAGACGACCACGTCGACTTCAAGTATAAAATCATGCCGTCCCCTTCCAAAGTTTCCCCTAAAACCAACCCAGCCTGATACCAACTCATCAACCAAGTACTCTCGCCCCTCAAATTTAACATTCAACCTCACGTCTCGTTTGAAACTGCTTCCTTCCAAACCAACCTGATCATCAGCAACCATGAATTGTCAACAGGAAGTACTCCCAATTCCGGACTTGTCTGGTCGGTGGGTCGGCCACGGTCGTTTCAAGCTGGTCGAGTTGATTGGCTACGGTTCCTCCGGAATTGTCTATCTCGCTCACGACACTCAGTCAGACCCATGGAATCCTGTATACTATGCCATCAAGTGCTTGCTAAACAAAGAGCTCGATCGAGAGAGTCTCATGTGGCAGAAACGAGAGATCGCATGCCATTCCTTGGTATCTAGATCGTCGTCGCCGAATATCTGCAAACTTCACCAAATCTTCGAGGAAGGACTATACATGTACTGCGTACTCGACTACTGCCCTGGTGGGGACCTCTTTACCGCCATCCGGTTGCGAACGTACGAGGGCAATGTTCCGCTCATTAAGAAAGCCTTCATCGAACTTATCGATGGCGTATTTGCCTGCCATACCGCCGGCGTATATCACCGCGACTTGAAACCAGAGAACATTCTCTGTGTTGAGTCTGGGTTGGGCATCCGTATTGCAGATTTTGGGCTGGCGACAACAAAACTTGTCAATAGGGAATTCAACGTAGGCAGTTGGGATTACATGAGTCCTGGTATGTCACAAATCGCTTGAGGTCGCTATCTGACATTCTACTTTTTCAGAATGTAATTATGCGATGGGCAGCCCTCATTACTCGTCGCTTCACTCGGACATTTGGTCGTTGGGAGTTATTCTTGTAAACATGGTCTTAGGTCGCTCTCCTTGGGGCCCTGCAATACTTTCGGATCCAAACTTCAGGAGATATGCCGAAAACCCTAACTACCTTTTCGACGTCTTACCGATTTCGAGATCTTTCAACGAAATCCTCAAGCAAATATTTCACCTACGAGAATCTGCACGAATCAGTCTCCCAAAGCTCAGGGAAGAAATTCTAAGACTTGATACCTTCTACCCCAGCGAAGCCGAGCTCTGCAACGACTTGGCGAACGAACGAGAAGCCATTCACAATCACGCAAGGCGCGTCGCACCGTTGACTAATCGGATTTTCCATATGCCTGGCTATCAAGTTGACGACTGGTCATTCGGCTTTAACGGAGCCCCCCAGCCTCAGTGGGCTTACCGTAGTTCCGCGCCAGCAATTAAACAGCCTAGCGACACTGCGGGAATTGAGGGGACGTCCTCACATCTTCGCGTTTACGATGACGGCCGACCTTGGTCACGCGCTCGCCTATCTCGCTGTTCTTCTTCTGAGAACGAAGGACCCGTTACTCCAGAAACTCGTCCCTATGAGCCTATGATAGACCCGTCCGACATGCCTGGCCAGAAAGGGGCTGTGCACCATTCTCTACCTCCTCCCTCATATAATCATCCTAGCTGTCTTTGTGGAGTGCGATTTATTTTTCTCAGAAGCACAAAACTTGTTGACCAGATTTTTACCAGATTTGTCTTCCATCATTATCCCCGAAAATTGGAACGAACTTTTTCGTTTCAAAGATTATGGACACTGGAGGAATTGTGCAGGTCGCCTCGACGTTCTAGGCCTTGTAGTTTTAATCTTGACATTTATCGCATTCGTTGAGGTAGCGGCTACCTTGAATACACGTCGCTCGTCTTTTTATTCAAATGCGAGCTGGCATTTTTACCTCGAAACAATGCATGAGATGATTGAATTCAACTGATATATCCCCATGAGATAGATTTTCATAGTACCTCGAGCCTCGAGGTAATCACTGGCATAAGTGGGTCCACTACTACTTCATGAGGGCAGTGTATTCCGCTCGCTGCTCATCTGTCGAACACTGCATCCAACTGCTGCTGGCGTTCTGTGACGATCGCACTAGTGCTCAAATCTTTGCACTCGAACGCAGAGTAATCAGTATTGAGCATCAATATGGGACATCTGGAGTGCGGGATCTGGACATGGTCAATAATAGAGCTGTGGAGTGTTGGAAATAGACATACAATTACTGGTGAACGTTCGAGCTGAATGGTTTTCAGACACGGGAGCCTATAAATCCGAGTACTTACGATGTTTCGCAGTGTACTAATGAGACCCGAGTCCGGGGAGAGATTGACTTCTGATATGGCTGCTGTTCCTTGAGTGATTTCACTATCCTGGTGGTTGATGAAATTTGAAACCTTCGAAATCTTAGATGATAAGTAAATAAAAAGTAAAAAAATGATCTGAGCCAGGCTCGAACTGGCGACCTTCTGTGTGTTAGACAGATGCGATAACCAACTACGCCATCAGACCGATGAAAGACGAACGATAGCCGACATTCTCAAGCCCACTGAGTTCATACTAGGAGGCCGTGCGAACTTATGACCTTGCTGCGTCAATTTTCACAGCATGACGTTTATATCACGTGACTGACAGATTTTGTTCCATCCAACATGACCTTGCTTCGCAAGGTGATAATTAACAAGCCCCCTTTAGAAATTTCTGACGCTCTCCTTCGACAGCCTTCGACCTTCTGCTTGCCGACAGATATGATACGCCTTCTGTGACCTTTCATGTCTTGATCGGACAATAGCTGTCAATCTGTTTTCAGGAATTTCAGTGATGACTTATCGGTCGCGGGCCATGGCTATGTCATTTGTATATCAAGTTGCGCCCTACCTGGTACTACGGCCTGTGACTAGGCAGTGCATTACTCCGAGCGATTATTAAGCTAAGCCGAATGGCATTCACACTGTTTACCATTCGATAAGAGATAAGACGTTAGATGATGTGGGTGAACGCCGTTTTTTTACCTCTCGAACGCCGCATACAGATGGATTATTCGGCTGCCGATATTGAAGCGGCCATGAATCTGCAGCTCTCAATGGTGCGTCTCTTTCTTAATACGATGGTAAGATAATAACATGCATACCATGTGCTACCAGCACCTATACAGTGCGTCACTACAATCTGAACTGCTTCGTCCTCATTCTAACTTGACAGTTCAGCGGCGCTGGCTACGTTCTGGGTAGGCTTGTCTCAATTTATACATCCGTCATTAAACCGGTTCATCCAGACATATGACTATGCTTGTTCACTTGAACAAGAGGTAATGCACTTATGGCTACACGCCTCGGTTTGACATTAACTTTAATATGCTGTTTGAAGTGGATATTTCTGTTTCGGTCACGCTGGACCAAGGTAAAAGGCCTTTATATCGTTACACGACACGTGCCCTTCTTTCTTATAATGGATCTTTGTGCGTTCAGCTCCCAGCACACACACCCCAGCAATGAACTGACATGTTCTCTTTCAGTGGTCTTCACCTCGAACGACAGTCCCGATGTATGTGAACATGCAGCAGTCACATCCACTGGCGAACGATACTTACTGCATGACTTTGCCAGAAATGCCGGGTATTGAGCAGTATTTACTCGTGTACGTCTACTGTAAAAGCTGCATGCACGTCCTGTCGAGCGCTACACTTTCCTCTCACAGGTTTCGCGTTGATATCACTCACATGCTCTGAATGTATTTCCCTTCCCCCACGAACATACACGTCCTTCTGATCAGCTTTATCCAGGCTTTTTTGTGCTCAGAACGTATTCGCTCTTAAACAGAAACAAAATCATACTCACAGCCATGATGACCTCCCTTTTTGTGAGTCCAATGCCCTCCACACACCCAAGCTCGCTGTTGATGAATTAATCAGGCTACCACCGCATCCACCGTTGCCATTTTTTTCACTACTATTCCCACCTCATATGGTTCGTGCTCTCACCTTCCCGCACACATTCGCACACCTTCACTCCTGTTTCACAGTTACGACAAGCGCGATCCCAGGTATCACGGGCTGCTACCGGAGCTCGAACACTGTCGAAGTTCTTCTGCCGTTTCTTCTGATGTTTGCGTTTCAACTGGGTATGTCGCTGGGAACTGGGGTCACACAATACGGGCATGCGCCGACTGACACTCTCCCCAGGATTGATATGCCTAACACTCACATGTGTTATACGAACCTGGCGATCGACCAGGAGCCCTCTGTATGCTATCCTGGCGAAGCATAACATATTCTATTATGCCACCGGTCTGCGTAAGTCAGGACTGATGCATGTCAATGTCTCCGTGCTCATTTGTGATGATTATCATTTCCAAAGTTTTCTCAATCGTGAACATCCTCATGCCACTGCTAGCCCTCGATGTACGTCAACTTCTCAATAGCCATTAATATGATCGAATCATCGATATTCCGCACATCCAGAGCGCATACCTCACCGTCCTCGAAGAGTACGCACCTTCAACTTCTTTTGCGAGTCCTTGCTGACGATAAATCCAAACACGCATGTACAGTTTGCAGGTCTTTATCCTTGCGATCCTCGCCACGCGCATGCACCTCTATCTCTGGCGTATCGACCGGCGTGTGCGTGGCTCTGAGATTGTGTGTATATCTCTGTCCGACATGTCAGTTGCAGAGTCCGTACCATACGTGTGATACAGATCATCGTGATACAAATCGGGCATTCTGAGGTAGCACCAGAGGAGTACCGCTCTACTTGCCACTATTAGTACGAGACTCATTCATCTACGAACTCCCACTCAGAATATGATGGATTCTTCTGATTCATATACTTCCTTGCAAGTGTACGGCGCAGCAGCGTGACACAGTCAGGCAGACCATAGATTGTGATACATAGTCAATCAGCGCACAGTTAACAATCCCGAGCGCATGTTGCTGACGTTTATAGTGTGATTCTGTGCCCAAAGCAATAACATCAGTCTTGACGGGTATTCCCATCGTTTTGAGAGGAAGTTTACTGTATCACGTGAAACCGAGTGGAAGTGGGAGATACGTTTATAGCTCAATAAAATTTGAGGCGTAAACCAAGGGTCGCAGCCCACATACCACACCGATATCATGTCTCAAAATATTGTTCGATTTTTTTGCGGGCTCTGAGAAATACTAGACGTGCATGAAGGCCGAGCGTCGCAGTGCACGACGCCTACCCAAACTACTATGCAACCTGTGAGCTTGCACATACAAAACACATCATTGACAAGCATCTCAGATATGGATCATGCGAGGCATTAAGGATCTACGGTTAGATGATGAGCGTCATCCTGCGCCGGACGCCTGAAAAGGTATACGAATTGGAAGGGCCCATTCAACCGGACAATTGAATAACATTGTCTGTCCTATTGCCAGATTTTATTCCAAGTATCCTGTAACCACTGGCATGCTGCCAGACGAGTTCGTGTTTCAGACGTAGTGACAAGACCATACGCCACCATGGACAAGAGGCTTGTTACACTGTGACGGAGAAAAGACGCAAAGTGCCGCAGTTCACAGCGAGCAACCGGAGTACGAAAACAGCACAGTTGGAGCGCGCACATGGCGTCGACACCATATTGGAAATCACTCCGTCCTTACAATATGTAGATATTTATATGTATTCCTACATCGTCAAGCACATCCAAAAGTCAACCAAGCCACGCGACCGGTCATCTAGTATTCAAATCTCACTCCACGAACGACAGCGAATATGCCACGCGATAAGACGTCACGGCGCAAGGTCTCCAGGTGACATGTCGGACAGGGAAACCCACACGAGGGCGTCAGTGTCATACCCGGCGTGTTGGTCCGTATGCCAAAGATGGAGGTGCATGCGCGTGGCGAGTATCGCAATGATACAAACCTGTAAACTACATGTGTGTTTGGAGGTGCTATTAGTACAAATTCACAACAGAAGCTGGGGGTGCATACTCATCGAGGAGGGAGTAGCATGCGGGCTGGGTGTGCGGAACATCAATTACTCAATCAAATCGAAGGGTATCGGGGAGCTTACGCACATCGGAAATTAGTATTGGCACAAGGATGTTCCCGGCTGAGAGAACTTTCGGAACGATAACCATCACCGATGAGCACCGAAACATATGAAAGTCCTTACTCACAGAGACCACATGCATAGTAGAATATGTTATGATTCACCAGGATAGCGTACAGATGCCCGGTGGACATCCGCCAGCTCTGTATGACATGTATGAGTGTGAGGGAGACCAGTCCTGGGGAGAGCGTCAGTCAGCGTGTGTCTATAACGCATGCTCTCAACATACCTAATTGAAACACAAACAATAGAATGAACGCGATGGAGAATTGGATACTGCGAGAGGTCCAGTAGCAGCCTGCGATGCCTGGGATCGCGCTAGTCGTAACTGGGAAAGTGGTATGAATACGTGCCAATGGTAGTGTGGGGAGGGTAAAATCACAAACCATTAGAGTCAGCAAGATTGGCAAAACGAATGCCGCTGGAAGCTCCAATAACAGCCTGCTAATTCTTCAACCATGAGCTTGGGTGTGGTGAGGGTATGGGACCCACAACAAGGGCTGACAGCATGGCCACGAGTAATATTCTATTCCTGTTCCAGAGCGCATACGTTCTGAGGACAAACATGCCTGGATGAATCGGATCAGGAGCACATATATGTCACGGGGGGATGGATAGATACATTCAGAGCAAGTGAGTGATATCAGGCCGGAGTCTTTGAGGACAGAGCGCGCTCAGCAAGGATGTGCATGTGACATGTACCATACACGTACACGAGTAGATACTGATTATTATATGGCATTTCTGACGAAGTCATGCAGTAAGTGTCGTCATCAGTCGAAGTGCACTGCACGTTTACGTACATTGGGGTTTTGATTCGGGGTGAGATTTACTGAAACACAACATGTCAGAACATTATCGGGGGATGTGTGCTGAGAATGGACGCACAATAAAGGTCCACGGCGATGAGGACAATGGGGATATATCGTGTGATGATATAAAGGGCTTTTACCTTGGTCCAGCGCGACCGCCGCAGGAATATCCACTTTGAACAGCATATTATCAACATCTAAACTGAAGTGTATCACGGAAAAAGTCCATCACCTCTTTGTGAAGTGAGAAGGTATAATCGTAGGTCTGGATAAACAAGTTTAATAGCGGACGGGAAAAAATCGGGACAAGCCAACCCAGAATGTGGCCAGCGCCGCTGGGATGTCAAGTCAGAAAGAGGAAGAAGCAGCCTCGATAGTACGCACTGCACAAGTACTGGTAGCATATGGTACACCTGTTACTATCCCGCCCTAGTATTAAGAAAGTGACGCACTGCTAAAAGCTGCAGACTTCTGGCCGCTGCGATATCGTCAGCCGAATACTCCATCTGCGTTCATTCGAGAGGTAAAAAGGGGGGGCTTCTTGTATTCGCATCACGCACCTTCTCAACTCTTATGAATGAGCCGGAAACTCGTCAATATGGGAGTATATGTATTAACATCATTTAGCTTAGCTTGATGAAGCTAGTACTGGCTTATTTAAAGTCGACCACACGTGGTCACAGGCCGCACCAGGCGGGGCACAACTCAACAAAAGTAACAGTTGGTGCCAGAAACATTGGGCATTTTCACTGAGAAGATAGCCATTCATGATCAGAAGCCTGCTATATGTAACGTATTGGATTTAATTAACACAAACGTGATTTGAGTTGGTGGCTCGCGTGTATTCATTGGCCTGGTCTTTGATTCTCGAAGCTTGCTTCTGGAAGGCTTGGAGTTTGAAATTTGAAACATCATCAGTCCTTGAAACACATAGCCACATTGGAGAGACCTATGCGTCTGGCTCGATCAGCCCCGGCTGTTAAATCAAGACAAATGCTGGAGTGTATCCACGAATGTGTGCCTGCCAGTGCATATCGCGAGCAAGGCAAGGATACCTTATTCTCCCGGCACGACGCTGTCATAGCAGGCCACCCAGGACGAAACCGAACATTCGGACTTGTAGCACGAGATTACTCGTGGCCTGGCATGCAAACCTTTGTCAGGCGCTACGTAGAAGCTTGCGACACCTGCGCACGCATCAAAACACCCCGCCATAAGCCTTACGGCTTGCTCCAGCCTCTCGACGTCCCCTCTCGTCCATGGAAAGCAATATCCATGGACTTTATCGTCAAACTCCCCGTGTCACACGGTTACGATTCAATATGGGTCGTTTGCGACCGACTCACGCGATATGCGCACTTCATCCCATGCAAAGAGACACTCACGGCTCCTGACCTAGCCTGGTTGTTTTTGGACCGCATCTTTCGCCTACATGGGCTCCCAGACTCTATTGTCTCAGATCGCGGTTCCATCTTTATTTCTAAATTCTGGTCCGAACTGACATCATTATTGAAAATTGATACTCGCACATCAACAGCGTATCACCCGCAGACTGACGGTCTGACTGAGCGCACGAATCAGACGCTGGAGACATATCTCCGCGCCTACTGTTCGTATCAACAAGACGACTGGGTGGATTACCTCCCTCTTCATCAGCAAACTACCGTTTTCGCCACAGACCTCACAGGCCTCACAAACATGCCACAAGGTTTTACAGACCTCACAAACATGTCACAAGGTTGACAGCCTCACAAGACTAAAACTATTAAGTAGTAGTCTAGTAACTTGATAGTTGACACTCAATAGTCTAATATAACCATACATTAGTCACATTACTTGTGTGCCTGAACTTTCTTGAACACACTACTTTCTAGTGTTTTGCTTATAACTCACTAGGATCTTAACCAAAAAATATCATAAGACTATGGATAGACTACCCTTGACAAGGGCTACAACTTTGATTTTTATCGTAAATGTTCCCACGGTCTACCCTAGTCATTCCTTATCATGGTCCTTAATCAAAATCCTAGTCCCTAACAACCAAAAAGTCGAAATTTCATAGTCTTTCTTTACTATTGGTATTCCTGTTGGTTCTTAGTCTTAATAAGCAAACATCAGTCACATTACTTGTGTGCCTGAACTTTCTTGAACACACCAATTCGTAGTATTTTGCTTATAACTCATTAGGATCTTAAACAAAAAATTTCATGAGACTACAGATAGACTACCCTTGACAAGGGCTGCAACTTTGATTTTTATCGGAAAGATTCCCACGGTCTACCCTAGTGCCTGAACTTCCTTGAACACACCACTTCGTAGTATTTTGCTTATAACTCATTAGGAACTTAACAAAAAAATGTCATGAGACTATGGAAAGACTACCCTTGAGAAGGGCTATAACTTTGATTTTCTTCGAAAAATGTACTAAGGTTTGCCATAGTCACTCCTTATCAAAATCCTAAAGGTAGACTATTGTATTAGACAATCAAGTATTGTATTTTATTCTAAGTCCAATGGATATGGTATATATATCAGTTGCTGCTTTGATATTTACAAGGTCCTTTAGTGTAGTGGTAAGTGCTGCTTGAAACTGTGAGAATTGATCATGTGATTTCATCTGGTCAACTGTGTGGTCGAGGGTTCAAACCAAGTAAGTGGCAAAAATTCAATTAATAGAAATGATCATGTAATTGCTTGTGGAATTAATAGACAGTACTTGATTTCTTTTATTGATCATAATATCGAAAATTTTACAGGGCTACAGACTTTACAAGCTCACAGACCTACAAGTTGTACAGTCTGTGCCTCCTTGTACAAGCTCGTACAAACCTGCACAGGGGGGACTTAGCTGTAGACCTTGTGAGTTTGTACAAACTTGTACAAATCTGTACAAACCTGTACAAGCGCCCGGTAGTTTGCTGATGTTGCCGAGTTCGCGTTCAACAACCTCGAGAACTCCTCCACTCGTCAAACACCATTCTTTGCTAACTATGCTTATCACCCTACCTTTGAACCACAGGTTTCTGAACGTTCATCTGTCCCTGCTGCTGCCAGCCTCGCCGCGCGACTCGACATAATCCATGACGAACTACGCGCAGAATTGCAATTCGCACAAGATGCCCAGGCCAAGCATTACAACAAGAAGGTTGCAAGAGCACCAGAATTCCAACCTGGTCAGCTGGTTTGGTTGTTGCGTCGCAACATCCGAACCACGCGTCCATCCCTGAAGCTCGATCATCGTCGACTCGGCCCTTATCCCGTCATTCGCAAAATAGGCACTTCCGCGTACTTACTCCGTCTCCCCTCCTATTTATCCCGTCTTCACCCAGTGTTCAACGTTTCACTCCTCGAACCTTACACCGACCCTTCCCAATTCCACACTCACTCACCTCCGCTTCCTTTCGACCTCATCGACGACCCCATCCACGACATCAAGTCCATACTGGACTGTCGTAAAATCGGCCACCGTTACGAGTACCTCATACGGTGGAAGTCCCTCCCCGAGTCAGAAGACTCGTGGCTTCCTCTTTCTGATATTCCCAACTCACTTAATGAGCTCATCGAACGTTTCCATCGCCGTCATCCTCGTTCCCCACATCCCCACACTTTCGACATCAATAAAAATTATAATGTTTCATCTGTTACTGACTACTCTTCTACTCCTTCTTCTATTCAGGTACCTTCGCCCGTCGTGCCCTCCGTGCCCTCCGAGTCCTCGTCCGTGCCTCCCGCGCCTGCCCTCGCTGCCGTCCCGCCTGCCGCTGCCCGTCCTCCGTCGCCCGCTGCCGTACGTCAGAGGTTGAGATCTGAGTACGTGCCTCCAACGCAGACTACGACCCGTAGGGGTCGTGTCTCGCGTCCTGCCGAAAGGCTCGACTTGTAGACTCATCCTCACTCGCCCTAGAAGGGGGATGATGTCACGGTCACGGTCATTATACCTAGCTCACGGTCTTTCTATTTAGAACATGGACACTCTACCTTACTGAACACTGCGCCAATGTACCCGTCACGCACGGATCGACTCGTTCGGATGTTTGCGGGTTCGTTATCTCTGACTCGAACCTCGCTGACACTCTTACAGATTACGGTTTCACCTTACATTATCGCTGTAGCAAGTATTTATGCGTGTCGGGGCTTTGTATCTCTTTTCCTCGTCGAATCAACGCCAGTAACTGGCCCCATTCTGTCCGTCCTTCTCGTCTCGCTTGCCTCGTCTCCAAGGCGTCCGTTACATGGATCCGGAGGACACCACGCGAAGCACACTCACTGGTAGCTGACTAAGCTACGTGGCACTACCCCCGGGGTCCCCTACTCCAACGCTTCTTCGAATATAAGACCTGATATGCCTGATAGTAGGAGCGCGAGCTGCCTTGAGTGGACGCACATCATAAGCCAGAAGTTCGTTGATAATCTAGGGAGAGGCTGATTGCGGATCAGCAGATGGCCGCACTCGCGATTAGTCTTCGTCCAGCGTTGTTCAGTAGCTGGATGATATCTACACTGTTGATAGTGCGTTCAAGGGGGTGAAGGAAGCCGGCGAGCCACTAATTCAGATGAGAGTAAAGATCCCGAAGGATAGTATGGTTGATCCAGGAAAAAATAAACAGGAAAGCAAATCCAGAGATAGAGGAACGACGTGCGAAGAGTATGACTTTGCATACATCCTGCGGTACACGGTCGTGGAGTAGTGAAGAAAGTAGAACAGAACAAATATATAAACGAAGTTGAAAGAAACACCGCGATAAGGCAAATATGTATTGTACGGTACGAAATCTGTCCCATCTTCAGTTGAATGACAAAATACATGCCATAACCTGAAAGAAATATATGTATCGCGAAGATGCTGTTGCCTCCTACTTCCGACACTCGTGCCATGATGTGCCGTGCGCAACATGACTCAAGTCCAGCTGTACAGCATTGTTGGATATCACCAGCGTGTTGCCTGGGGTATACATCGCAGACGAATAGAAAGTGAGTGGGATCCAGAGGAGGAGCCGTCCTTTGGGACCTACAACCCATCCCTCCTCGTTCGGACCGGATGGAGCTGGGGTTTCAGAATCTGAGAGGAAGGACGAGGTGGAATGAAGGGCATGAGATAGGTCAGATGAGAAGCATATTGCAGGTGCTTCGAAGGGTTGGTGTCGGTTAAGAAATTCCATATCCCACACACGTATGGTCTTGTCGGATGACCCAGACACGATGTTTTTGCCATCGGGTGAGATTGCGACAGACTTGACGGGTCCAGTGTGCCCTCGGAAAGGGGCACCGACTGCCTCGCCAGTTGCCATATCCCACACCTGAATCGTCTCGTCGTCTGAACCGGACACGATGTGATTTCCATCGGATGAGATTGCAACAGCGTTAATGGAGTCAGTGTGGCCTTGGAGAGCGGCGCCCAATAGCTCGCCAGTCCCAATATCCCAAACCCGGATGGTCTTGTCATCTGAGCCAGACACGATATTACGACCATCTGGCGAGATTGCGACAGAGAGGACAGCATCAGTGTGGCCTTTGAGACAGACGCTCGAGGCCTTGCCAGTCTCCATATTCCACACTCGAATTGTGTGGTCATCTGAACCAGACACTATTCGAGTTCCATCTGATGAAATCGCGACGGACATAACACTCTCAGAGTGCCCTTCGAGAGAGGCCGTCAATACCTTGCCAGTCGTCATGTCCCACACCTGAACTGTATGCGCTTCTTCCGAGGAGGATTGCCTTTAGCCATTGAGGAAGTTGGAAGGACGGCCGGATACGAGTCTTCAAAGGTTTATTGGTGCAACAGAACGAGGAAGCTTGTGGTTAGTAGCACACAGCCTGAGCGTACATGCGACTGGACGGTGACGCGCTGCTTGTAAGTCTTGATACGACGGAGGAGGAAACCTTGAAATAAATTATGTCCATAAATTCAAACTCAAATATTACGTCATCGAGACAACTTACTTTTGCCAACCCGCCTTATTCTTCATCGTCCTCGTCGTCTTCCATAGCTAGAGCTTCAAATATTGACAAGTGGTGACTTCGAACACTTTCCTAGAGACTAGTACTGGAATGAAACTCGACAACACACCCTCCATGCTACTTCTGGGCGTGCCCTCGAGGTGGAGCTCTCCGAGTCTATGGACCCCTACCTCCCCATCATGACGCCTGAGGGCCTGAGCATTGAGCCACTCATCCCCGCATTGAGCAGGTAATCAGAAATTACCTTACAAGGTAGAAAAATAAAAGTTCTGAGACGCAATCCAACTCACTTGCCATCCTCGCTAACCGAGTGGCTCGTCCCTTATGCTCAGACCATCGCACACGATTGCTTTGCGCTTTTTGCCTTTGAAGGCAGAAACGTGCGCCGCAGAAAAGCAATCATACTCGATGTCCATAGCACACCTGGTGCTTTAAAAGAAGCGTGCAAGATGTGTGCATTTGCCCCAACACACGCGCTTTTCATTCACTCCAAGGATTTAATTCCACCCCACAGATCATTCACAACCCCTTCCTTCCTCTCAAACACTATCACAAGATGCCTGCTGCAGAATGTAACATGGTACGCTTCCAGCTTACCTCATTACCCGTCTTGTACTTATCACACTTTCTCTACAGACACCTGTCAACTGCACTGTCTGCCACAAGACTATAAGCCGCAAGGCAGATCTTCCAAGACACATGCGGACGCACGATGATCACAAGGAAGCTCTGTACGTGCTTGCGCCTTATTATACAACATGGTTCTGACCTGTTTACTATCTTGATCAGTATGCATGCATGCCCATTCTTTGACTGCGATTACAAGACCCTCCAAAAGTCCAACATGCAGACACACATCAGAACCCACACCGGTGAACGCTCCAAGATATGCCCTCACCCTGGGTGCGCGTTTGCCACCACAGATCCAGGCAGTTTGACACGTCACCGCAAGAGACTGCACGACTACCAGCCCAAAGCGCGTTGCAACCCCGGTGGCAAAGCTGCTCGACGGTCCGCAGTCGCGCCTTACCCCTCCACTCGATTTATGAAGCCAGAGGTAGAGATTCCTGCATCGTTGGATCTCAATGACCCAGCATTTCCCGATCCCGAGCTCGCCGCAGGCCTCATTCCCTGCGATTCGCTCTCACCTGCTGAGTCCAGCAGTTCTGGTATCCCCCAATTCTCGGGCGAGCTCGCCGAACTCCCCTGGGAGCGACTCTTCCCAGATCTCCTCGCCGAGAGCTTCGCCTCCGTTTATGATCAGCCCTCTCAGCTCCCCATCCCCGCTTCCAACTACGTACAGCCTGCGACTGTCCCCGCCGATCTCTCCACTCTCCACATGCCGCAGTTTGACCCGGAGCTGTTCTCTAATGCCAACTATCAGCAGCCCGTTCCAGATGTCAACTTTCAGTCCCAGCCCGTCTCGGGAAGCGACCTGAACAACCCTTTTCCACCTGAACTGGACCAGTTTTTGCAGAAATATGGCTCAGGGCACTTTGAAGGCCGCTACGAGTATCAGGACAATGCAACATATTCGATGGCCCAGCCCTCGTATACAAACGAATACAACGTCTATTGAAATCTTCATTATCGTCTTTCATCCCGTTGTCCTATTACCCCCGCATCATCACCAGCATTGGCATCAGCATCACAATTTTATGTGGAACTCATCATTATCATTATCGATCATTTATATCGTACCACTTGCATCTTTTATACATATTTTCATCCGCACTTTTAGAATTGCGATCTTCAACTTGTAAATTGTATCATATGTATCAATACACGAATATCATGACTACGGATTGATCACCTCGTTCCTCGGCCAGTCGACGTGCTCGAGTGCACCAGTCGGCCGAGCACTGTCGATATTGCAGCAACGTGCTACATTCACCCAGCCGGTGCAGATGGCTGTCCGACGATACTTCCGCAGTCTCTTACGCCTCTCCCAATTCTTTCGCTGTTGGGAAACCCGTTGTTTAGCTTTCTCCTCTGCTTCGTATTTGATACGTTTGTCCCTGGGTGAGTGATGCGAGAGTGATGTGATGTGGCTGACTCCAGAAATGCGCCGGAATATGAGCTTGTACAATGTTTGCGAGTATAGGCAGAGGAAATATCTACTTTTTGGGTTGTAAATTGACAACCACGAAATGATGTCTGGCGATTGAAGTTTGCCGTGCTATGGTATTTATGATATAAGGCCAATCCATTCATTGCGCAATAGCTGGAGTAATCATGCTGCCAAGTAAGTGTTAATTTGGTCGTAATAGCAACATTCTATGATATCCCACCGGCAGTGGAGGCACCTGATATAGGACCTGAGTGTAAGGTCAGTAGTGACTGAGTGTCACAGCTAGGGTGGATGATGGGTACATCAGCACCATATTCAAGTGCCCGCTGTGTCCTACGATCAAGGCTGATGTGATCAATGGCTTTGGGCAGAAGGTCGCAGTATCATCATTAGTGTACTATCGTCAGTCAGAGACTTGAAACATCGCACGGGTATCAGTATTGATAGACATCTTTGTTGAATGTCATCTGGTGAACGATCCTCGCTGTCATGATTACTTATACCTGTTGGCGTCTCTCCGGACGTCAAATTATTCATCCCGACAAAAAATGCATTCCTATAAGTTAAGCGCGTCCAAAACCAGACCAAGCCGGCGGATCTCGATAAGCCACTTCCACCTAGCACACTGCATCACATGTACGGGTCTGCAGGTGACATGTCGGACAAAGAAATACACACAAGGTCAGAGCCATGCACGTGCTGGTCGATACGCCAGAGATGGAGGTGCATGCTCGTAGCGAGGATCGCAAGGATAAAAACCTGGAAACTGTATGTGATTGTGGTTATAATCGACAGGAACCCGCAAAAGAAATTGAAGGTGCGTACTCTTGGATGACAGTGTAGTATGCCGACTGGAAGCGCGGAACATCAATGACTCAATAATATTGATGACTTTTGAGAGATTTACGCACATTGGAAACTAGCACTGGCAAGAGGATGTTCACGGCTGAGAGAACTTTGGGAACGTTAATCATCACCAATGAGCATGGAGACATGTATAATATATAAGTCCTGACTAACCCAGGCCGCATGCATAGTAGAAGATGTTATGCTTCACGAGGATAACAAATAGAGGGCTCCTAGTTGCTCGCCAGCTTCGTACGACACAAATTAGTGTTAGGGAGATCAGTCCTGGGAGTGTGTCAGTAGGTGCGCCGTGTATTGTATGATCCCAGTTCCCGGAGACATACCCAGTTGAAACACACACATCAGAAGAAACGGCAGAAACACTTCGGCGCTGCGAGAGGTCCGGTAGCACCCTGTGATGCCTGGAATCGCGCTAGTCGTAACTGTGAAGGGGCGTTAATATGTGCGAATAATAGTGGGGGAATATGAGAGCACGAACCATACGAGGTTGGAATAGTGGCAAAACGAATGCCGATGGATGCTACGATACCAGCCTGATTGGTTCATCAGTCATGAACTTGGGTGTGGCGAGGGCATGGGACTCACAACATAGGTGGACACCATGGCTGCGAGTACGATTCTATTTTTGTCCCAGAGCGCATACGTTCTGAGCACAAAAAAGCCTGGATGAAGCGCATCAGAAGCACGTGTATGTCGTGGGGGAAGGAGATATACATTCAGAGCAAGTGAGTGATATCACTCCAAAACCTGTGAGAGGAAAGCTCAACAAGGACTTTCACGGAACTTATACTGTGCACGTACATACATAAATATTTCCCAACGTCCGGCATTTCTAGCAAGGTCATGCGGTCAGCGCCATTTATCAGTTGGGTATGTCAGCTGCACGTTCACATACATTGGGGTTCCCACTCGGGGCGAAGGTCACTAAAGCACAATATGTCAATTCAGTATCGGGGAATGTGTGCTGGAACTGAACATACGGTATATATCCATGCTGATGAGAAAGAAGGGGACATGTCGTGTGATAATGTAAAGGCCTTTAACTTTGGTCCAGCGCGACCGAAGCAGGAATTTCCACTTTGAACAGTGTATTATCAATATCGAAACCGAGGCATATCAAGGCGCGAGGGTATTACCTCTTCGTGAAGTGAACAAGCGTAATCATAGGTCTAGATAAGCCAGTTTAACGGCGGATAGTGATAGATCGGGGTAAGCCTACCCAGAATGTAGCCAGCGACGCTGAGATGTCAAGTTAGAACGAGGAAGCAATAGTTCAGACAGTACGCACTGTATAGGTACTGGTAGCGTATGCCATATATGTCATTATCTTGCCCTTGTATTAAGAAAGCGACGCACCGCTAAATACTGCAAACTCGTTGCCTCTGCAATATCGGCAGCAGAATATTCCATCTGTGTTCGTTCGTGAGGTAAAAAACGGGTTTTGCACACACACCATTCACCTTCTTATTTCTTATGAATGAGCTGGGAACCCATCAAGATGGCAGTGACAATATTGCGGGCACCATTCGGCTCAACCTGATGTTCACGGCGATGGTCCCTTTATTTAGAGCCACTGGCAGACGGCTATCAAGATGGGGGTGTAAAAAATGGGGACACCATTCACCTTAAGTTGATGGTCGTGATGAAGTTTTTTACTAAATGATTGAAAGTTGACCTAGTCACCAAGTAGCTATAGTTGAACTCGGTGTCCTCCATAGCGAGCTCGAGCATTGTGTCGTCGTGCTGCGTTACCAAACCGGGAAGTCTCGCTAAAACACAATGTCCAAAAGTATCCTGATACGGTACACGTCTGAAATCCTGTGTAGTATGTGTGAATTTTGTGTTTGGAATAGTTGAATTGATCCACCGCCATATGGAATGGCTATAAGTACTCAAACACGCACTAGGCTGGTACCATATATATTTAAGTTTAGTTAACACAAAGTTGATTCAGAAACTCACGTAGTCCTTTAGATTTGAAACACGACTCCTTGAAACACGTAGTCACCTTGGAGGGACCTATATAGGATGTTATCGGCTATTTTGAGGAGAACGACCACCGTAAAAAATCAGTATGCGTTCGGGATTGTCAACTATACTAGTATGCTCGTCATTTATGGACCATGCGAAATGTTAGGGATCTATGATCTGTCGATTGACGTCATCCCGGGCCTGCGCACGGAAATCTGATCATGAGAAGTACATTAGCTGGAAGAACCCATTCCTCATCTCAGTGTGTAAATATAACTTGATGGTGCTTACTCAACAGGAACGGATATTTACAATGTGGGAGTTCGTGGATAGGGTGAATTTGGCAGAGGAAGACAATAATTCACCAACTTCAAGTCATAATCCAGGTAAAAAGACAGACGAAACCTTGACAGTCTATGCGAGATTCCTAAGAACGCGAAAAGTGACCGAGGAATCTTCGAAATGGCTCCCTCTCGTCTGTTGTTAACTTGATCACTTGGGTGAGCAGAGTTTGAATGCCTCGATAACATCATACCTCTTTTTCAAGTCTCGAATAAATTTTGGAAGGAAGATGTCGTGGTTCAAGGCAATGTTGTGGAATTTCTCGTGCATGCGACAAAAGGAAACGGATCAACCCATCGGCATTTGCCGATTCGAATGAAACGCTGACAGTGTCAGTGACAGATGAATTCACGTTTCAGAGGTAGTTGCAATATCATAGTATACCACTGGCATCGTACGTATATATCAGTATTCATATACATTTTCGTCAAAAGTCATCAGGTGAATGATCCTCGCTGCCATGATTACTTATATCCGTCAAATTCGGTGTCTCTCCGGGCGTTATCCTATAAATTAAGCCGGTGACCCCGATAAGCTTTCTCCACCTAGTCCAAACCTTGATAAGACATCACACTGTATCACACGTACGGTATGGAATCAAGATCTGGCGTGTCGGGCTGAGAATCACACACAAGGCCAGTGCCAACCGCCTGCTGGTCAATATGCCAGAGATAGAGGTGCATGCGTGTGGCGAGGATTGCAAGTAAAAAGACCTGCAAACTGTATATGCGTTTTTGGAGTTATCGTCAGCAGGGACTCGCAAAAGAAGTTGGAGGTGCGTACTCTTCGAGGACGGTGTAGAATGCGTTCTGGATGTGCAGGACATCAATGGCTCAATCATATTAATGACTATTGAAAAGTGGACGTACATCGGGAGCTAGCACTGGCATGAGGATGTTCACGGTCGAGAAAACTATGGGAGCCATAGCCATCACAAATGAGCACGGAGACACTGGTATGTATCAGTCCTGACTTACGCAGACCGGTGGCATAGTAGAATATATTATGCTTCACCAGGATAGCATACAAAGGACTTTTGGTTGATCGCCAGGTTCGTACAACACATACGAGTGTTAGGGAGATCAGTCCTGGGAAGTGACAGTAAGCGCGTGTCCATATTGTGTGATCCCAGTTCCCAGCGACATACCCACTTGAAACACAAATACCAGAAGAAACGGCAAAAGCACTTCGACAGTGGTCGAGCTCCGGTAACACCCCGTGATGCCTGGGATCGCGCTAACCGTAACTGTGAAAATGAAGTAAATGTGTGTGAATAGGTATAGGAAAGCGAGAGCACGAACCATATGAGGTGGTAATACTGGTGAGGAATATGCCAATGAATGAAACAGTGGTAGCCTGATTGATCCCATCAATAATGAGCTTGGGTGTGGGGAGGGCATGAACTCACAAAAAGGGAGGTGATCATCGCTACGAGTACAATTTTATTTTTGTTCCAGAGTGCATACGTTCTGAGCACAAAAAAGCCTGGATGAAGCTGATCAGAAGCACGTGTATATTGCGGGGGAAGGAGATATACATTCAGAGCATGTGAGTGAAATCACTCCGAAACCTGTAAGAGGAAAGAACAGTGCTCGACAAGGACGTGCATGCAGCATGTACAGTACACGTACATGAGTAAGTATCGCTCAATATGCGACATTTCTGGTGAAGTCATGTAGTAAGTATCGTTCGTCAGTGGTTGGGCCGCTGCATGTTCACATACATCAGGGCTCTCGTTCGAGGTGAATCCCACTTGAGTATTACCTGTCAGTTCACTGCCGGAAGGATGTGTGCTGGAATTGAACGCACGATACACTAGATCCGTGATGACGAGAAAGAAGGGGACATGTCGTGTAACGATATAAAGACCTTTGACCTTGGACCAGCGCGACTGAAACAGAAATATCCACTTCAAACAGCATATTATCAATGTCAAACCGAGGCGTGTTACGGATTAGGTGCATTACCTCTTGTTCAAATGAACAAGCATAGTCATAGGTCTGGATGAACAGTTAACGGCGAACGGGGATAGATTGAGACAAGCCTACCCAGAACGCAGCCAGCGCCGCTGAGCTGTCAAGTCAGAACGAGGAAGAAGTTCAGACTGCAGTGACGCACCGTATAGGTACTGATAACAATTGGTAAATCTGTTATAATCTTATCATCGTATTAAGAAAACGACGCACTGCTAAGAGCTGCAGACTCTGAGCCGCTTCAATATCGGCAGCCGAATAATCCATCTGTGTGCGTTCAAAAGGTAAAAGAATGGGTTTTGCGCACACATCGTGCACCCTCTTATCTCTTATGAATAAGTGGTCTAAAAAGCCATTCGGTGATCCGGGGTGTTTCAACAGGCTGTACCAGGTAGGGCACAACTTGATATTTAAAGTTAGTACCAGAATTTTTTTCAGACAACACTGCCATGGCTCATAAGTACTCTATTGAGACACCACATGTAGTTACGTACTGTATATATAATTCGATTCGAAGCATCCCAAAATTGTTCGGGAGTTTGCGTGTGCTCATTGTGCTGGTCGTTGAAGCCTGGTTCTTGGTGCTTGCTCCTGAAAAGCTTGACATTTGAAACACCATTAATCCTTAAAACAACCACCTCGGAGGGACCTACGTTTCCACAAGAAAGGATCGGCTTTTTTCATCAACCCTTACGTTTTAAGACGCGCGCTTCTTCGAAGATGAGATGCCGGTGATGCGCGTGCGATCGCCGTGATGATGATGATGCAGAAAGCTGATGGAAACCAACGCGTTAACATAATGGTGTCGGTCTAGGGACAGTGCGGACAAGGTTCTTCCGAGTCTATGCGGTGGAGATGGTTATCAATGGGACAGCAACATTAGTTTTGATTACGAGAACCTTGCGGGCAGCCGGACATTGTCAGAAATGTGGGCTATCAAAATATTGACACGGAGCCCTTACCTGTCGAACTAAATGCTGCTCAAGCAGAATCCTCAAGGAGTGTGTTTGTCTGTTAGAAGGTTGGATTGTCGGATGATTGAGTATGTGGGGGGATCAGCATTTGCTTTCCGTCGTTTCGTAGTGTTGATGTACTCACTGTACAATTCCATTTGGCATCGCGGAGCTAGCGCTGATGCTTATACAAGATGAACGACGTATTAATATCTTCCGACAGCGCATTGGAGGATGTAACTATGGATAATGCGAGGTGTCGGTTGGGGTCACCATCAGCCTGAGGTGCCTGCAGGTAGGCTTTGTGGACGTGGAATTCTGAACATTTTGCGAGCGTGGGTTTTCTTTGTTGATCAAAGCATCAACGCTAGCTCTGTGATATCAAATGTAATTGTACGCATCAACGCATCAACGGGTGGTACTTAATCAAACACATTGATTGCTTCGAAATGGGTTTGAACTTTAAATTTGAAATTCGATGGGAGCAAGAGTGCCCAAGGCCACACTCCTCAATGGCGGAATGCCCGATTGTGCTGGTGCTAATCAGAATGCTGCGGCATCTTAGTTGAACCATTGAAGGTTTCGTCTCCCTCGTAATACTATGGCCTACTCAGCTACAGCCTGTATGCGTTCATGTTCGGAGAGTCGTGAAAGCAGTGCCGACAGGCAAGGCAGTTGGCAGATTTTGTAGCAGTGTCTGCAAGTATTCAAGCACACCCCGAAACGCGGTAGCGATGAGAGATTCAGATGCAGGGAATAACATAGTGTGTCGAAAATAAGCTTGGCGGTGGGAGGGGTCCGGTTGCATTTTTCCGTCGGAGGTTCATTCAAAACGTTCCCACACACCTGTATTTTTTCACAATTTTCTGAAAAGAGGCCTCAGGACGTGACCACTTTTCAACAGTGTTTTTAACCATTATTATGTAACGTAGCTGTTAAAAAAAGTGACTTTTCAACCGTACCCTATCGACGGAGACGTCTGACGCCCATGACAAGAATGGATTCCTATAATTTAAGTGCGTTCCGAACCCAGCCCGTGGCAGCCCCACCAGTCATCATCGACATCTCATAGTCCAAACCAACTCCACAAACGACATTTAATCGAGCCACGCGATAAGATGTCACAACGCAAGTGACGTGTCGGACACAGAAACCCACACGAGGGCGTCAGAGCCATGCACGTGCCTATCAACCTGCCAGAGATGCATGTGCATCCGCGTGGCGAGGATCGCAAGGAGGAAGAACTGCAAACTGTGGTTCAAGAGAGTTGTTAGTAGGAATCCACAGCAAAGGTTTGAGGTGCATACTCTTCAAGGAGAGTGTGATATGCGGACTGGGTGTGCGGAATATCTAATGACTCGATTATATTGAAAGGTATTGGGAGGTTTACGCACATTGGAAGACAGTACTGGCATGAGGACGTTGACGGCCGAGAGAACTTTAGGAACAATAATCATCACCGATGAGCACGGAAACAAATGAAAGTATTGACTGACGCAGACCGCATGCATAGTAGAATATGTTATGCTTTATCAGGACAACGTACAGAGGGCCATTGGCCAGCCGCCAACTCTGTATGGCACGTATGAGTGTGAGTGAGACCAATCCTTGGGAGCGTCAGTCAGTACGTGTCTGCAATGCCAGTTCCAGGTGACGTACCCAGTTCAAACACAAAAAAGAGAAGAAACGGCATAAAGAATTGGATACTGCTTGAGATTCGGTAGCAGCCTGTGAAGCCTAGGATCGTGCTAGTCATAACTGTGAAATGGAGTTAATATCTGCGAATACTAAGAAGGTGACGGAACGAACTATATGAGGTGGAAATAAAACGAGTGCCGAGTGAAACCACGACGATAGCCTGACTGATTCATAAAACCATATGCTTTGGTGAGGGTATGGGACTCACAAGAAGGGTGGACAGCATGGTCACGAGTAACATTCTGTTGTTGGTCCAGAGTGCGCATGTTCTGAGCACAAAAAGGCCTGGATAAATTATATCAGGAGCACGTGGATGTCTTGAAGGAAGGAGACATGCATTCAGCGCAAGTGACTGATACGAGACCGAAACCTGCGGGAGGAAAGAGCAGCACTCCGCAAGGACGAGCATGCAGTATGTACCGTGCACGTACATGAGTAGATATTGATAAATATCTGGCATTTCTGTAGACTTCATTCAGTACCTGTCGTTCGTCGGTCGGTAAGTTCGCTGGACACATACATTGGGGTTCTCGTTCAGGGTGAAATCCACTGAAGCACAGCATGTCAATTCATTATCGGGTGATGCGTACTGGAGCTGAACGTACGATATAGGTTCGTGGCAATGAGAAAAAAGGGAACATACCGTGTAATGACATAAAGGGCTTTTACCTTGGTCCAGCGCGACCGAAGCAGGAATTCCCACTTTGACCAGTACATTAATATTATTGAAACCGAGGCGTATCACGGAATAAGTGTATTGCTTACCTCTTCGTGAATTGAGCAAATATAATCATAGGTCTGGAAAACAAGTTTAACAGCTCACAGGAATAGATCAGAACAAGCCTACCCAGAATGTCGCTGTCGACGCTGTGCTGTCAAATCAGAACGAGTATGAAGCAGTTCAGACAGTACGCACTGCATAGGTACTGGGACCACACATGGTATATCTGTTATTATCTTGCCCTCGCATTAAGAAAGTGACGCACCGCTAAGAACTGCAGACGCCTGGCCGCTGTGATATCTTCAGCGGAATGTACCATCTGCATTTGTTGGAGAGGTAACAAAAAAAGATTTCGCACACAAATAACGCGCCTTCTTGCACCTATTCATCATTTAAGAACTGGGAAGATGGCCGTGTTCACAGGAACAGACGCAAAACTCAGCTACTATATATGGTTAGGTTTGATCAATAATACACTAACGTTGATGCTTCTGCTTGAAGTTTGAAACACCATCAACCGGAGCTCCCCTCTATCTACACTGCCCCTCGTTAGTTTTGTTGAGGTCCCATTTCTACGAGAAATGCCCAACCTTTTAGACGCACACTTATTTGAAGACGTGATGACTCTAATATGTGCGTGATCATGATATGTGAGGCAGACTGAAGGAACCTAACATGATCTTGTCCACATGAAGCCGATTGATACAAGTATCTGTAACGGTATGAGGGGGCAGATGTGGTAATGGAGAATGGTCAGTAGATTGGCGGGACGTACCCTACGAAAAATCGCTTGAAGTCAGTCGTGTCGCAGTGTTGATGTACCTGTGTAGATAACCTGTGTCAGGGTCGTGACCGACCCCGGTCACGCTTAAAAATCATGTCGTCTACCATATTTTCTTTATGGTGATGCGCGACACGGCGTGTCCGACCTGGATTAGGGCTGGGTAGATGGCTACACTCGTCATGATTACCTGGAACGAGTATCACAGCTTAGAACTTGGATTACTCCCGTGCGCACTGCTGATTCTATTTAACCCAACTTCGTGAAGCATAGATTTGTGTTTTTACGGGAACAAATATTTGGAAAGCGGGAGTTTGTGGGTGGGGTGGAGGTGGACTCGGGATTCCCGGACATTTCACAGGCATGGATTGACCTAGTCATGATTTGAACCACAAACTTTACTTGTGCATCAGCTCTGCGATGTGAAGATTGAATTACTTGAAGTTACTCACACGTCCATATCCGAATAGCATCTGACACTCAAGACAAAAATGCATTCTTTTAAGTTAAGCGTGTCCCAAACCCGACCAAGCAGCCGATCAGCCATCTCGTAGTCCAAAACTCAGAACGCCATATGGTCTGCGGATGGCAAGTCGGATAAAGAAATCCACGCGGGGGTGTCGGAGTCATGCACGTGCCGGTTGGTATGCCAAAGATGGAGGTGCATGCGCGTGGCGAGAATCGCAAGGATAAAGACCTCCAAACTGCATATACGTGATTGGGGGTATTGTCAGTAGGAATCTGCAATGGAAGTTGGGGTGGCATACTCTTCGAGGAAGGAGTGATATGGAGACTAAATGTACGGAACATCAGTGATTTAATCGTATTGAAGGGTATCGAGAGGTTTACACACATCGGAAAATAGCATCGGCACAAGGATATTCACGGCCGAAAGAACTTTCGGAACGATAATTAGATGAGTATGGAAACATACGTAAGTGCTGACTCACGCAGACCGCATGCGTAGTAGAATATATTATGTTTTACCAGGACGGTATGAATAGAGCACCTGGTCGACCGCCAGCTCTGTGTGGCACGTGTCAGTGTTAGGGAGACCAATCCTGAAGAGCGTCGGTCAGCGCGCATCGGTAATATATGCCCCGAGCGACATACCCAGTTGAAACACAAATAAGAGAATAAACGGCAGGTACAATTGGACACTACTCGAGGTCCGGTAGCAGCCTGTGATGCCTGTGGTGCCCGGAATTGCGCTAGTCGTAACTATGAAAGTGGAGAGAATATGTAGATAGTAGCGGGGGAAGGTGAGAGTACACACTATATTGAGAAGTGGCAATAGCGGTAAACCAAATACCGATGAATGATATGATGGTAGCCTGACTTATTAGTCAACCATGAGCTTGGGAGTGGTAGGGGGATGGGACTCACAAAAAGGGTGGACAGCATGGCTACGAGCACGACCCTACCGCTGCCCCAGAGCGCATATGTTCTGAGCACAAAAAAGCCTGGATGACTTGAATCAGCAGCGTGTATGTTACGTAGGAAGGAGAAGTACATTCAGAGCAAGTGAGTGATATCACTGCGAAACCTATGAGAGAGGAGTAGCGCTCGGCAAGGACATGCATGTAACATTTTCCATACACGTACCTGAGTAAACACTGATTAACAATCGGCATTGCTGGCGAAGTCATGCAGTAAGTGTCGTTATCTGTGGAAGCGCGCTGCACGCTCACATACATAGGGGTTCTCGTTCGGGGCCAGGGTCACTGAAGTGAAGGATGTCAATTCATTATTGGAGTGACGGGTGCCGGGAATAAACGTACAGCTTAGGTCCGCGGCGATGAGGAAAAAGGGGACATATCGTGCAATGATATAGAGGGCTTTTACCTTGGTCCAGCGCGATTGAAGCAGGAATGTCCACTATCGAATAGGCTATCAATATCCAAAGCAAGGCATATCACGGAACAAGTACATTACTGACCTCGTCATGAAGTGAACAAATATAATCATATGTCTGGGTTAACAGGTTTAATGGTGAATGGGAATGGTTCGAGACAAGCCTACCCAAAATGTAACTAGCGCCGCTGAACTGTCACATTAGAACGAGGAAGAAGACATTCAACCGGCACGCACTACATATGAACTGATGACCATGAATGACATATCTGTTATTATGTTGCCTTCGTATTAACAAAGCGACGCACCCCTAAGTACTGTAGAGTCCTGACCGCTGCGATATCGTTAGCCGAATACTCCATCTACATACATTCGAGAGGTAAAAAGATGGGTTTTATGCCCACAGCATCCACCTTCTTATCTCTTATGAATGGGCTGACCAGGAACCCGGTGGGAACGCAGCAGTCTCGAGGCAACGTTCTGGCAGGCGGAGTTGAAAACGGCATATCTGGCGCTTCCTGGAAGTCTCGACGGAGTCTAGGGTGTGTAAATATTACTTTGTTGCAGACGCACAACATGCCTACTATATATAGTTAGGTTTGACCAATTCATTGTGATTCGTGCTTCTAAAATGCCCGACTGAAACACAGCATTAGTCCTTGAATCACGCAGCCAGTGGAAAGACTTAACTCCACTATCAGAGCTCAACATCTACTTGTCCCTTCGTAGGGTTTGATGGGTCCTTTCTACAAGGAAGACTCAACCTTTTATATGGACACTTATTCTAAGATGAGATGTCTTGAATACGCAATGATGATATGTCAAGCAGACTGAAGGAAGCTATGACGTTCTCGTCCACGTGAAGCTGATCAACACAGGTACCCGTTTATCTGACTGACGCCTTGATGATGTGGTGAATGCTATGTAGGTGAGGCTACAGGAATTAGTATGATGAAGCGTAGGATGGCCGTGGCGCTACAGGAGTGTATCAGAGTGTTTGACTAGCAGAGGTAACTCACCAAAAAAATGCTCTTGTTGGTCGTTTCGTAGCGTTGATGTACCATTGGAGGATGTGTCGTTTTATACGATACTACAAAGGGTGAACGGTTGCCTCGCTCTCCGAGTGGTGCGGACAATGCCACGGGTTGCACTCAGAAAGTTGGCATTGCTCTTTGCTGTGTTGGTGTGTAAACCCAACTTCGTGGCCCTGAATTTGTGCTTCTACAGGAAAAGAGGCTTACAAAGTGAGAATTCGTGGATGGGCTTGGTGGAGGGCGGTAAGTGTTTATAAATTGCTCACTTGTAGTGCCGGCCCTGGGCCAACATCAAGATTGGATGGTCACCAAATACAGTGGCAAGCTCTTAAGTAGAGACGCTGGTCCGGATCAAACAAAGACTCGAGCCTGGTCACGTACGTAGTAAGTTGAAGTTTAATTCCACGTTGAACTGGGATATAGCCTTGACTCGAGGCAGGATGATTTTTCTGAACGTTGCTTTGCTCCCGAAACATGTGCTTGACTGATGACTAAGCATTGTCTAGGCTCTGACTAAGCCAAAATGCTACGTGGCGTGGCCGTACACCTATCGCGTTTTTCCTTCATCCCAAATATGGGTCTGGTACGAAGTTCTTCCACCTGCGCAAATTGTTCCCCGGGGTTGTCCGTCATGCAGTGCATGCGGTACTGGCTCCATGGTAGATACGTCTTCCTAGACATCTTCCGCATTCCGCATTGGTGACCCTCTCTCAGGCTTCGGCCAGCTGTGATACACATACGCTAATAACAGCCTCCACCTCAATAATATTAATAGGCCTTGCGTACAATATTATGCCATCCCCGCCTCAGAACATGTTCGATGTCTGATTTTGATATATTCTGGATCATTTATGCGTCCCTGGGAATTTTCCAGAACGTGTATAGGCTCTGACGCCTTGCCAGACGCAATTGATTGGGAGAGACTCTGTTCAGGATATAAAAGCTAGCCGTCATCCCACTGCGTTCCCTATTTCATTCGAAATCAGATCCCATATCATCCGCACAGATAATGTGTCATGGTTTCTCCTTCCCCGTCATTATTGTTGCTTTGACAGCATCTCTGCGCATCTGTTAGTGCATGCAGGTGAGTATAGATCGTTTTCTTGATTCAACACCATGACTCACCCTTTTTAATACTTCTAGGGAACGTTGCTGACGAGTAGCTGGAAGCCGAAGTCACTGACACGTTGCAACAGTGAGTGATATTCCTAATTGTGCATTTATGCTGTGGTTGATGTCACGATACGTAGTTCGTTGCTGAGTCGATCAATATGGTCGGGTGGTTGCGATATAAGTAAAGGAAAATGAAGAACGTTCGCGAGGGGTGACTGCGATGGTTGGGACGTCTGTTACTTATGCTCGACGGTAAGAATCGAGAAATATATGAATAAATCTAATATACAAACACCGGAGCTCGTCACCCGGATCTCACCCTACCTTCAAATGTTGTTTGCTCCATGTCTTACATGCACACATATTCCACTGATGTCAAAAAATGCATTCCTATAAGACAAGCGCGTGCCTCCAAATTCACTCTACTAACGACCCCGAATAAGCGGCGCGGTAAGGCGTCACGGTGTAGGTGGTATATCGAACAAAGAAATCCACACGAGGCCGTCAGAGCCATCCACATGCTGGTCCATATGCCAGAGGCGAAGGTGCATGCGCGTGGCGAGGATCGCAATGATAAAGATATAAGATCTGTGTATGTGTGTTTTTGGGTGTAGTTAGTAGAAATTCCGAACCGAAGTTGGAGGTACATACTCTTGGAGGAGGAAGTAGTACGCGGACTGAGTGTGCGGAACATCAATGACTCAATCGTACTGAAGGGTGTTGGTTACGCACGTCGGAAAACAGCAGCGGCATAAGGACGTTCACGGCCGAGAGAACTTTCGAAACATTAATCATCACCGATTGGCACACATACGAAGTGCTGACTCACGAAGACCGCATGTATAGTAGAATATACTATGCTTCAGCAGGATGGCATGAAGAGGGCCTTTGGCCATCCGCCAGTTCTGTATGACTTGCACGAGTGTGAGGGAGAGTAATCCTGGGAATAGCGTCAGTCAACGTGTGTCTGTGATGTATACTCCCAATTTCCAGCGGCATACCCAGCGCAAACACAAAGAAGAGAATGAACGGCACGAAGAATGGGAAACTGCCCGAACTCCGGTAGCAACCTGTGATGCCTGGGATCGCACTAATCGTAACTGTGAAAATGAAGTGAATAAATGAGAATAGTAGCACGGAAAGGTGAGTGCACGAACCATATGATGTGCCAATAGTGGCCAAACGAATGCCGATGCATGCTATGATGATAGCCTGACTGAATCATCAACCATGATCTCGAGTGTGATGAGGGCAGGTGACTCACAATGTGGGTGGAAAGTATGGCTAAGAGTACGATCATATTGTTGCTCCAGAGCGCATGCGTTCTGAGTATAAAAAAGCCTGGATGAATCGGATCAGAAACACGTGTTTTGCCTCGGAGGAAGGAGAAATACATTCAGAGCAAGTGAGTGATATCAGACCAAAAGCTGTCAGAAAAGACTCTTTAGCATTCATGAATGACGTGTATGCACCGTGCACCGTGCACGTACATGCGTAAATGTCGCTTATTATCTGACATTTCTGGCGAAGTCATGCAATTAGCGGTATTCGTCAGTCGATAAGTCGGCTGCATGTTCACATACATTGGGGTTCTCGTTCAGGACGAAGGTCACTAAAGCATAGATATGTCAATCCATTATTAGGGCGATGTGTGCCGGGAATGAACGCACGACATAGATCCACGGTGATGAGGAGAAAGGGAATATATCGTGCAATGATATAAAGGCCTTTGACTTTGGTCCAGCGCGACATAAGAAGGAATGTCCACTTCGAAAAGCATATTATCAATATCCAAAGCGAGGCGTATCACAAAACGAGTGCATCACTTACTTCCTCATGAATTGAGCGAATATAATCATAGGTCTGGATAAACAGGTTTAACGGCGGATGAGAATAGACCGGGACAAGCCTACCCAGAATGTAACCAGCGCCGCTAAACTATGACGTTAGAACAAGGAAAAAGACGTTCAGACGACACGTACTGCATATGTACTGGTGGCCACATATGGTATATTGGTTATTATCTTCACATCGTATTGAGAAAGCGACGCACCGCTGAGAGCTGCAGCCTCCTGGCTCCTGCGACATCGTCAACCGAATACTCCATCTGCATTCGTTAGAGTGGTTGGAGAACCGGGTTTCGCGCACACATTATACACCTTCTTATATCTTATCAATGAACTGGAATCCCATCAAGATGGGGCGTAAATGTTAGGGAAAACATCCACCTGACCGTTTCACTGGGTGATTTAAAGTCGACATGGCCGCATGCATCGCAATAGGCGGGGCGCAACTTCATAAACGTTACAGTTGGTACATATAAATAGATTCGATCATCGCAAAGTTGATCCGGAAGTTTGTAACACCATCAGTCCTTGAAACACGCAGCCACCTTCAGGGCCCTACATTTCTACAGCTTCGAGGAAGGCTCAACCTCTGTCGCTCAACCTCTGTCGATCAACCCGGGGCGTTTCAGACGCACGCGTCTTCGAAGATGAAATTGACTCGCGCGTGATGATGGTATGTAAAGTAGACTGAAGGAAGTTGTAAGGGGGTAGATGAGGTGATAGAGAATCGTCCGCAGGCTGATGGAACATTGTCTCGTCTCTGTCGACGTCTTTCAAAAATTTCGATGAATCAAGACGGTCGAGTGGGTAGAGAAAATGATATCCTCACCTTATGAGATAATACTTGGACCCAGTCCCTTCCGTCTGGCCCACTGTTGGGTCAGAATGGTTTGAGGGTTCGAGTAGAGTTGTCGTCTTTCTTAAGCGAGTGCCTCTCAAACATCGATGGGCATATCCATCAAGACTGACATTGGGCACAGAACAACCATTGCAAACATCAGCAATATAAATATACGGTGGTGGTCGACAATGATGCGAGGTGTTAGGGATCTACGGCTTGCCTGTCGGGGTCTTCGCTGTCGTCGTCATTCCCGTTGTATTTGGCTCTAGTCACCGCGTCGGGTTTGCTCACGGGTTCATATTCGAATACTTCTCACGCTGATGACAAAAATCCATTCCTATAAGATAAGCGCGTTCCAAACTCGACCAAACCTCACTCTACAAACGATGCCGAATAAGCGCGCGATATAATATCACACCGTAATGTCTACAGGCGACACGTTGGACAGAGAAATCCACACGAGGGCCTCAGAGCCTTCCACACACTGGCTCGTATGCCAGAGATGGAGATGCATGCGCGTGGCGAGAATTGCAAGGATAAAGACCTGCAAACTGCATATTCGTGTTTAGGGGTGTAGTCAGTAGAAATTCGCAACAGAGTTTGGAGGTGCATACTCTTGGACGAGGGAGTAGTATGCAGACTGGGCGTGCGGAACATCAATGACTCAATCATACTGAAGAGTATTGGTTACGCACATCGGAAAACAGCAGCGGTACAAGGACATTCACGGCCGAGAGAGCTTTCGAAACATTAATCATCACCGATTCGCACGAAGACATACGTAAGCGCCGACTCACGCAGACTGCATGCATAGTAAAATATGTTATGCTTCAACAGAATGGCGTGCAAATGACCCTTGGCCGACCGCCAGTTCTGTATGGCACGTATGAGTGTGTGAGAGGCCAGTCCTGGGGATCATCAGTCAGCGCGCGTCTGCAATGTATGCTTCCAGTTCTCGGCGACATACCCAGTTGAAACACTAACAAGAGAAGAAAAGGTATGAAGAATTGGACACTGTGCGAGATCCGGTAGCAGCCCTTGAAACCTGGGATCGCGCTCGTCATAACTGTGAAAGTGGTGTGAACATGTATGGATAATAGGGGGAGGAGGTGAGAACACGAACCATATGACGTGGAAATTGCGGTAAAACCAATGCCGATGAATAACATGATGATAGCCTGACTGATTCATCGACCATGAGCGGGTGTGACGAGGGCACGACTCACAACAAGGGTGGTCAACATAGCTACGAGTACGATCCTATTGCTGTTCGAGAGCGCATATGTTCTCAGCACAAAAAAACCTGGATGAATCGGATGAGAAACACGTGTGTGTTGCGGGGGAAGGAGTTATACACTCAGAGCAAGTGAGTGATATCACTCCGAAACCTGTGAATGAAAAAGCAGCGCTCGACAAGGACGTGCATGCATGTACCCGTGCACGTACATGCGTATATATTAATCAACATCCGGCATTTCTGACAAAATCATCCAGTACGCATCATTCATCAGCGGGTAAGTCCGTTGCACATTCACATACATTGGGGTCCTCGGTCGGGGCGAAGTTCACTGAAGTCAACTGTTGTCAATTCATTGTCTGGGGCATGTGTGATGGAAACGAACGCACGATACAGATCCGTGGTAATGAGACAACAGGGGACATATCGTGTAATGATATAAAGGGCTTTCACCCTGGTCCAGCGCGACCGATGCAAGAATTCCCACTTCGAACAGCATATTATCAATATTTAAACCAAGGCGGATCACGGTACAAGTGCATTACCTCTTTATGAAGTGCACAAACATAATCATATGTCTGGATAAACAAGTTTAACGGCGGATGAGAATAAATCGGGACAAGCATATACCCAAAATATCGTCATCGACACTGAACTGTCAAGTCAGTGCGAGGAAGAAGTAGTTCCGACAGCACGCACCGCATATGTACTGTTGGCCACATATGGTGCATCTGTTATTATGTTGATTTCGTATCAAGAAAGCAACGCACCCCTAAGTATTGCAGAGTCCTGGCGGCTGTAACATCGTCAACCGAATACTCCATCTGCGTTTGTTCGAGAGGTAAAAATCGGGTTTCGCGCGCACATCATGCACCTTTCGCATCTCTTATGAATGAGCTGTGAACTTATCAAGATGGAGGTATCAATATTGGGGACACGATTCGGCTGACCTTGATGAGCGTCATGAATGGTTTCAGTGGCTGGTTGACGTGGTAACAGGTTGCACCACGCGCAACTTAATAAAATTCAGACGCAAAACACACCTACTATATGTGGTTAGGCCCGGGTTTGATCAACATAGCGTCGCTTGAGTGAGACATAGCTCTACACACTTGATGGAGTCGCTAGAGAAAATTATATCCTTACCTCGTGAGATAATACTGAGTTAACGCAGTCCCGTCTGGGCTGACCGGGTCAGGATGGTTTGATGGCCCCAGTAAAATTGACATCTTTCCTAAGCGAGTGATACACTATACTCCCTCTCAAACGATGGGGATATCCGTCAAGACTGCATCGATGTTATTGCTTTGGGCAGTGGGCACAGAACGACACTATAAAACGACACTATCAACATCAGTGACATGCGCTCGAGATTGTCGACTGTGCGCTGGTTGACTATGGATGTCGATTTATGGTCTGCCTGTCGGGGTCATGCTGCTACGACGGACACTTGCAAAGAAATAAATGAGTCGGAAGAGCCCATCATCTTCTGAGTGGTGTCGGTTTGAACTTCGGAAACTGAGCTGAGTTGGAGTTCATGGATGAGTGGGTCTCATACTAATAGTGGCAACTCAGAGCCTGAGATGCTGCTTGAAGTGGCCCAGAGCTCAACGGTACTCTGGTGCTGCTTCAGAATGTCCGATTTGTACCACTGGTCCATGATGGCGTTAGTTGAACCCAGCCGGCTAACACTAGTACTGGAATAGAGTTGCCAAGCTTTTGATGGATGTAAAATTGACATATGAATGATCCGTGTCTGCTCTTCTGCTGAAGCACATCGTCGTCATCGTCGTCCCCGTTGTGCTTGACTCTAGTAGCGTCGTCGTCGTCGTCGTCGCCAACGCCGTTCTCGTTGTAATTGCTCACGCGTTCATATCCGAAATACATAGCCTCCCAGGACCAGTCCCTGTAATACCCTAGGCGCCCGTACACAACAAGCTCTCTTGACACGCACCACCATGTCCAACCTACCCCCACCCGTCAACAATCCCTACGACCCTACAAACGCTCTCGACGATATCCCGGGTCTTCACTGGGCCCTCCACGAGTTCCTTCAATCTCGTATGCATGAAAGCGAGCGCTACTGCGAACAAAGCGATCCAGACAAGTACTTCCGTCTTCTTCACTCCCACCACAGAAGCTGAGATCACTGCAGACAGAGATTGTACTTTGCGACTGGGTATGGTCTTATTCAATGCGTGAAGGGTCTCATGTCTTTTGAGGACAAGGTTCGTGTGCTGCGACTAGTAGTATTCTCATACATGCTAATTCGTAATTTGGGATCCAGGATCTTTTAGCTTCTATCAATCACACCAAGCACGGTATCAGTATTGCTTCTGCACATCGTAAACGCCCCGGCAGCCTTGCAGGTCGTCTTGCGGGATACATAGTTCCCTCCCTCAGCACTAGCGGCACAGAATGGATTGCGGGTATGACACCCGTGGAACGCCATGCTGAACTCGTCTATGCAGAGAGTCTTTATCAAAAAGTGCGTTGGCTGGCAAGACGATGTGTTTTGCGCGGGATTCACGTGTTGGGGGCGCTGGCTGATGCCGCAACAGAGTCTTCTTGGGATCGTGTATTCGGGCGATTGGTTGGCGTTCATCAGGGAGGTGTGCGTGTTCTGTTTTTTCTCCTTTTTCTCTCTCACTGATACCAAAGTATAACCGCAAACACCTAGACTCAACATGCGCACCACTATCTCCATATACCGCCAACTCGGTAAATGGATCGAGACAGTCGATGCAGCATACGCTATTGCACACCCAGAACTGCTAGCTACTATCTCAACACCTAATTCCAACTCCACATCAGGGGGTGCAGGAGCAGAAACTGATATCGAAGAAACGCCACCGCAATCAAGCACTACAAGCTTTGCAAGCGCCAACTCATCCTCCGTCATACCTTCTACGTCCCCTTCTCCTTCCCCCAAGGTCACACCTACACACGAACTCACATCCCCACCCCCATCATCTCCCACCCCACCATCCACGCACCCATACCTCCCCTGCCCATCCATCGACCCCCATTTCCGCTCCGGGGTATACCTAGGCCTCGGCATGTCCCACCTCGTGCTCAGTATGATGCCTGGAAAGCTCCTCCCGCTGGTGGAGTTGTTTGGGTACAAGGGCGATAGGAAGTTTGGGTTAGAGTTGTTGGAGAGGGCTGGAGGATGGGGTGCAAATGGGCGGGTGGTCGAGAGAGGTGAGTGGTCCTGTTTTGTATTATGGTTCTTCAAATGGCGTTTTCGAATTGTTAGATGGAGCCCATAATGCATGTACAATGTCCAAAACGCTAACATGAATTTGACAGACACAGAAGGCGTCCGACGTGCGATCTGTGATATGTCACTACTCATATTCCACCTTGTTCTCTCTGCGTTTACATTTGAAGGAGTGGATGTGCGTAAGGCTGCGAGGGTATTGGAGTGGAATTTGAAGAGGTATCCGAATGGTGCGTGTGTATTTTCTGTTATTTCGCTGCGCTGTCTGATGTATCTTCGCTGCTTCACTCACTCGCTCCACCAATACTAAAACAGGCGTCTTCTTCCTGTTCGGCGCAGGCCGTCTCGCCCTCGTCCGTTCCCAACCCTCAAAAGCCCTCGCCTACTACGCACGCGCTGCACAAGCTCAGACACAGTACAGGAATTTGCACCATATTTCGTGGTGGGAGAGTGCCGTTGCTTGTTTGGGGCTTTGGAGGTACGTTTCTGTTCTGTGTGTTTCGCTGGTTTTGTGTTGTGTGGGGTTTCGTTTTTGTGTAGGTATATGCGTGCGTTTCAAGGATACTGATGGGTTCTTTTATGCAGAGTCGCGGAAAGCAGATCGTGGTGGGGGAAGCTTGGAGGCGAGGCTACGGTGAGCTTCCCTGCCCCTCTTTTGGTTTGTTTTCGCTTATGATTGTCTTCTTCGTGCGTCGATCTTTCCCCTCTATCTCTCGATCTCTTTCCGCCCAATTCATTGACCTCTCTACTCCCCATCCCTCAATCTCGTATTGTCATCTCGGTATATCAAGTGGTCTAAAGCAATATACACATACGGCGAGGCAGCATGCCTAGCCACGCTCGGCGAGCACGCACAAGCGAAGAAATTGATGGAGCGTGTCCAAGGGCTGAGGCAGAAAATCGCAGGGAAGAGTATTCCTGTCGAGGTGTGTTATTCGTTTTCATTACTTGCTTCCTGCATGCTTCCCCTCTCCCTTCCATTCCCACCCTAACCCGTCCCCAAACCAACCTCCAACCCATCCAAAGACCCAACACTAACCAAACACACAGAAATTCGTCGCCCGCAAAGCCCGCAAATACCTCTCCCAATCCGACAAACTTCTTCTCCCAGCCCTAGAGCTCGCCTACGTATTCCACGCGATCGCCCATGCGCCTAGGGAGGTTATTGCGAGGGAGATGATTCCTGCTGTTCGTGGTGCTTTGGGGGAGTTGGGGTTGGTGCTTTTGTCGCAAGGGAGTGAGAGTGGTAGTAGTGGGGTGGGTAGTGCAAAGGCGAGTGGGGTTAAGAAAGGAAATGATAAGAAGCTGGAGTCGCGGAGTGGGTATTGGGATGATGTCTGTCTTGCACGGTTTTTGGAGGGCGTATGTTGGCGGTTTGTGGCATATCCGGTGCGTATGTGGCTTTTTCGTTGGGATTAGCGTGTTCGGGCATTGGCTCTTTCTCGCTCTGAGAAGTCCTGATGATCTCAAGGATCGTTTTCGTGATGAGTAACAAGTTCTCACCCGTCATCTCGTCTTCCAACAATTCTTCACGACCGTTAAATACTCTCACTGACGCACGTCCGTCTAGGACCCGGACGCTGAGCTCGAGCCTGACGAAAAAATCCCGTTCTCACCAGAAGACGCGCGCGCGTACTCGGAAGGCGCATTCCGTGCTGTCTTTGAGCATGGACCTAACATCGAGTTGGACCACTATATCGTGTATTTTGCGCGTGAGTGTGTTTCGCTCTGTCGTTCATTATGAATTTGCCAACTTTCTGATTTGCTTTTTTCGTAGATTTTGAGTACGGCAGATTGCTAGCGAGATCAGGCGACAAGGATGGCGCAAGGACTCAGTTTAATCTTGTGATGTCTGGAAAGGCGCTTGAGGTGAACGCTGCTGGGCGAAAGGTACGTCGAGCGACTGCTGCTTTGGATTCGTCAATATTTCTCGATCTCATCACTGACGGATGTCTCCTTTTCAGAGTAAATACAGTTTAGAGGTACGAAACGCGTCCTGGAGCAGAATGAACTAAGACTGACTTGATTGTTGCAGAACGCACTTCACATAAGGACGAATGCAGCGTTAGAAGCATTAGATCAGAACCGCCTGTTGTGATACCCGTGCATACTGACGGACCCAGTTTCACGTCATATCTATTCGTATATCTATCGATACGTGCTGTCTTTCTGTCTATCCGCGCGTGGTGGTTTTGCTTACTTGCAATTGGGTGATACCTGCATACCTACATACATATCGTTGGTTTGGACCTGGGGGGGCTTATGGGAGTTGCGTCTAGATATCTGGCTGAGCTGGACGATCCTGATGCATATGGATGTTTTACGAGTTGACATAGTATACTCAGGGGGACCCTTGTGCTGTCGGTCAAATATCATAGGGACATTTTGAATCCTATGGTCCAATTTGAATCTTCCGCATCTTGTCTGATTCTATGAATCATTGATCAAACATGACAGACATACCATCGGACGCCTTTCCTCCTGCTGGTATGTGTGATACATTTTATGTCACATCGTATCGACTCATTTCATACCCACAGGCACTCCGGAAGAATCATGGGAACTTCTACTACACAGCTCCATACGGTGCGGAGTCGCCCAAATAACAGGGACTGCTTTAGCGGCCGTGTACAACATTTCCACTCCCATTGCAGATTTCTTGGATGGCAATCCATGATGTCGATCGCAATGGAAATCAACCTGAGCACCTTCGACTTCAAAAGGCTGAAGTGGAAGGGACCGGGACGACTAAAACGCGACGATTTTTATACAAGTACTGACAGCTTATATCAAAGCAAAGCATGCGCAGCGTTGAAAGATGGCGAAAATGCTGATGATATGATGTGCTGGCGCAGTTGGACGATGACCATGCATATTTGATTAGCTTTTTAGGTCTCGATGACACAGCGAACCCGCTGCAGGTCCAAATGCTTCTAGGTACTTTTTCCTGTCATATTTGCACAAAAATCTTAATGTTTAGCGGTTCAAAACGACATACTCATACGATGAAGCAGGATGCCATGCTGGGCAAATACACAGAAGTTGATGGAGCGCGTGCGTACAAGGGCTGAACAATGAGGCAGAAAACCTCAGGGAAGAATATTCTTGTCGAGATGCGTTTTTCGTGTTTTCATGACTTCGGACGATGTTGGTATTATCCCGGTGTTTCCCAGACGGCATCCGTTTACGAGCACAACTCGCACCTTGCGAGGCCCACGCATTGGATCCATCACATGTCGGTAGAGAAGCAGAAACACAAACCCGTATTCGTTGAATGATTACGAGACGTCGGTAGGCTCCGTGCATGCATGGGTTGACAGGTAGTTCAAGTATTAATGTAACATGACATTGCCCAGACATAATTTTATCCTCCAGAACACGAAATAAAGAAGGGGACGAAGTTCCTACATATATACTTCAAATCACCTATCCTTACGTACCACAACGAAACTCAAATCAAATATATATGTACTCCGTGCCCAGTACCCGGGGTTGATTACTTGGATGGCTTCCAGCGCTACACATCTCCGCCAGTCAACGCATCTGCACCAGCCTGGAAAGCAATGGACGTCATGTGCGTTCCCCCGTCGGACCTGGCCACGAGCTTGGCGTTATATTCACGAACGCTGAGGATCAGACGTGGTCCCAGCACACACATCTGGAACCCCTGGGCAATGCAGAGAATGCCAACATACACATCAGCTCCCAAACCATTTGAGAACTGTAGACATGATCAGGGGTGGTCAGATGGAGATGCTAGTCGCAGGTCAGCGCACCGTGATATTCGGAGACAGTTGTCCAAGAGTGAAGCAAGCCAAGAAGACAAAGCTAGCATATGCAGAACTTCAGCGAAACAAGATAACGACAGACAAATCACCGAGCTCACGCTAGAAAGTACAACATGTGACTTTGCATTAGCACCGTGAAACAGTCTCCAATGGTCGATCCTCTCTGCGATTGTCGCAGTTCACGGAGGTGTTTTATAGCAATCCAAACTGCAAGAAAAACAGTGAGGATCTCCCATATTACGGTGGGTATGATCATGTCATCATTCAGATATATCCCATCCGTGCCAAGACTGTAAAGACAGACATAGTAACCAGACAATACGGCCTCCTCTAGTATTTTTCCATGAGTCCCGTGTACTCAAGTCTGTCATCAGCAACGAAAGCTTACCCCCTGAATAACCTAGGTTTCCAATTACCGTCACAACCCCGGTGGCAATTGTGGAAACCAGCAAGAGTACAGCAAGAAATATGAGAATCTTGCTGGATCGCCCATACATGGCGTGTATCCGAGTCATCATGATGGCTTGCGTGATATTTCAGTCAAGTCAGTATCAGTAAGGTACGGCAGGTGAGCTCACCGCCCAGCATGGCATTGACGACAACGGGGGTGAATATCGATATGAAATGAAGGATGTTGCCTGGAAAACCCAGTGTCAGATGTGCATTGATCGACTCAATGCTTCAAATGAACTTGCAGCTGTTGCAGTCATGTCTAACTATCAAGCTGTCTGAGATTGTCGCTCACCCCTGTGTGGGAGCGCAGTCAGTGGTTGATTGGAAGTGTCAGCCATCGGTGCCGAATACCCACTATGTCTGTCACCGGGACTGGGAGAATGACTACGTGCTGCCAGTCAGAAGGAATGAACAAAGTGTATTTTGGGATACATACCTAGTACGGCGGTGCTGATTAATATAGCTTCTCAGTGCAGTGCGGTGTCAACGTGTTAGCCTTGCTAACATACAGAGAATACAGTATTCCAGCGTAACGGACCTAGCATATGAAGTCAGCACAAGATGTCAACTACGCTTATGAAATAACGTACACAAACATAGAGAACGGTCATGAAGGACCAACGTTGCCTCTGCCCCGAGTCAGCCGCATTGTCCTGTTTGCTTCTGGGACTCTGCTCACCCAGATGAGTTCGAACTGTTACAGTGTTTTTAGTGATATGTGAGATTGCTGCGCAGGTCATGACATCGACTTACCTCTTGTGCGGATGTTAATGCTTGAATACCGTAGTATACATATCAATGATCCACTCTGAAAGTATTATCTCGCTCACCCCAGTCGTATCCCACCACAACAGCAGATGCAACTGCGAAACCACAGTCAATGATAGTGAGACGTCAACATTGTCATGCCACTTGCTCTCTACGAACCTTCAAAATAGCCAGTAAACTGAGCAGAACTGAGGCTCGGCCACCAAGCAGGATCGTTTGAGACGAAGGTGGTCATATCAGGATGGGGCGTATGGAGTTCGTGCAGACCTACCACCATCCAGCGCTTTTATAGTGATGAGGCTGGACAATGGCCGCGTCTCGAACCACAATCTTCATTGATCACAGAAAGTAGAAAAGGAATAGTAGTGAGAAGCCGTCGTTCGAAGAACTTTCAATGATGTAACTTACATCTGAAACCCGCGGAATATTTGAACACCGGAAAATCTGTTCGTGATGAAACTTGCTGTTTGGGGGATTCTGCATCAGTTCCACCAGTAATAACAAAACGTTAGCTATCGATGAACATAGACCAACCGCAGGACTTGATTACATCTAAGCAGTGCAGTGACAGAGAACAGACCACTATGATGATGGATGTGCAAGGGTCAGAGTGATATTTGCAACATCAAACAGAGGAACGCCTGAGTTATTAATACCTACTTCGGCGTGGCCATTGATGATCTTTCCCAGACATCATCTGATTACAGCGGTGATGAACCGGGCTTGGGTGGACTCAGTTTGCAAGACCAGTTACTTATGAGGGAATTTTCACATCAAGGCTATGCGTCGCAGATCGCCGCAGAGTCTCTGAACAGATTGATGGAGGAGCTGGATGTTGTGCGATTGCTAATGCTGATTTTGTGCAGAACTCAGGATTCGATCGTGTCGAGGTGCGTTTTTGTTTCCGTTATCGCCTCTTTCCTTCCTTCCTAGACATACCTTAGTTGCCTGTCGACGAGTCTCTGAGGTTATTGGGCGGACGGGGTTAATTTGAGACATCGACATTGCAACGACTCGACGAGTTTGCGGAGTAGAACTGGGGAAAATTTTAAATTAACCAAAATGACCCTTAGTCGGTCCGGCTCGGCCGTGTATGCCCTTGTATGCCATGTACCATTTGACTTGATACATTCTAGCTTATCCGAAGCGGCCTCGGTCACAGCCATTTCATTACCGACGCTGCCGAAGGACCAGGGGGTGTGTTTCTTTCTTCCACTACGTAAGTACAGCGTGTGACTTCGCATTAGCACCGTGAAACAGTCTCTAAGGGTGGATCCTCTCTGCAATTGTCGCAGTTCACGGAACTGTTTTATGAAGATCCAGACTGCAAGAAAAAAGGCGAGGATCTCCCATATTGCGGTGGGTACCATCGTGTACAAATTTAGATCCAACCTGTTTGTGTCAAGGGTGTAAACACAGAGACGGTAACCGAAGTTGACGGTGTATGTCCAAGGGCTGAGGCAGAAAGTCGCGAGGAAGAGTTTTCCTGTCGAGGTGTGTATTTCGTTTAAATTTACTTGCTTCTTGCATGCTTCCCCCGTCCCTTTCATCCATCCATCCACTCATCTCATCTCCACCTGGAACCCAACACTCACTAAACACACAGAAATTCGTCGCCTGCAGAGCCCGTAAATACCTATCCCAATCCGACAAACTTCTCCTCTAAGCCCTAATGTTCGCCTACGTATTCCACGCGATCTCCCATGCGCCTAGGGAGGTTATTGCGAGAGAGGCGATTCCTGTTGTTGGTGGTGTTTGGGGGAATTGGGGTTGGTGCTTTTGTCGCGAGTGAGAGTGGTGGTGGTGGTGGTGGTGGTGGGGTGGGTGGTGGGGTGGGCAGTGGGAAGGCGAGTGGGGTTGAGAAACCAGAAGGCGGAGTCACGTAGTGGGTACTGGTCTGGTGTCTGTCTTGCACGGTTTGTGGAGCAGATGTGTTGGCAGTTTGTGGTGAATCCGGTGCATTTGTGTTTTTCGTGTTTCCTTTTTCCGTTGGGAATAGCGTGTTCGGACACTTGGACTTTTCTCGCTCTAGGAGGTGCAGATCATTTTGAGGATCGTTTTCCTGAGGGGCAACAAGCTCCCTGCCCGTCACCTCATCTTCCGACAATTCTTTACATACCTGTTAATACCCTCATTGATGCACGTCATCTAGGACCCGGGTGCTGAGCTTGAGAAAATCCCCTTCTCACCACAGGACGCGTACTCGGGGAGTGCATTCCATGCCGTCTTTGAGCACGGACCTGCCATCGAATTGGACTCTTATGTCGTGCATCATGCCCGTGAGCGAGTTTTGCTTTGTCGTTCGTTGAGAATTTGTCGACTTTTCTAATCTGCTTGTCTCGTAGATTTTGAGCACGGAAGGCTGCTGGCATGATCGGGCGACAAGGATGGTGCGAGGCAGCTAGTTCTACCAGTAATGTAACATGATATTGCCCAGATATAATTTTATCTTCCGGAACACCAAGTAAATGCCAGGATGTATCCACCAAACCACCTATCTTTAAATGCCACAATAAAACATAAAATATACACATACACGGTGCCCAGTACCCTGTGTTGGTCACTTGGGCTGGGATTGTTTTCGGTGCTACACATCTCCGCCAGTCAATACATGTTACGACAACGGTCGTAGTCGGACTGGGATGGGTAAGCGAAGGACGACGGTCCTAAGCTATTGTGTCGTGTATCGGTTGAACGTCAATATACCTGGTAGCCTAAGCCGTCAGGTTGTGACAGAACGGAAGGGGAGGTAAGCTTCTAAGGCAGCGGCCGAAGAAGGGTTTCGTGTTCGACGGTTAAGTCTAGACGAGGGATCGGTATCGACTCAAAGACAAACGGTCTAAGAGAAGATGTATCGGACTCAAGGATAGCGATCCAAGAGTATAGAGGTTTCGTGATCAGACTCAAGAGAGTTAACTCAAGAGAATATACAAGTCAAGGTAAAACCCAGTAGAATCAAGTTAAGGAATAATAGTACAAGTGGATCGACTATATATAGGTAGGGATCACAGTGTTCAGGGCAGGTCTGGTAATCGTACAAGAATCAGGAGGGAAGGCATAAGCAGGCAGGAGTCCATGCGGTCAGGGATAGGGTTCTGTGGGAACATCAAGGGAAAAGGAAGTAGGGCCATGAGGCCATAGATCAAGGGTCCAAATGGAAGCGTCTAGCTTCTATCACAGAAGGTCAGGGTCGGCGGGGATCAGGAAGTGCATCAAGCATCATGGTGAATCGTGAAGAGGTGAAGGTGTGACGTTGTGATGGGGTGAAGGGTCAGAAAAAGATAGGGGCTCTATGTTACTGTAACAATACATCTCCACCAGTCTGGAAAGCAATGGGTGTCATGTGTGTTGCCTCGTCAAACATGGCCACGAGCTTCACGTCATATTCACGAATGCTGAGGATGAGACGTAGTCCCAGCACACACATCTGGAGTCCCAGTAAAAGGGTGAAAAAGCCGCCGTAAACACCTATTCCCAAACTATATGTATACTGTAGATGTGATCAGGATTGGTCAGATGCAGATGCTAGTCGCAGGTCAGCGCACCATGATATAAGGAGACAATGCGCCAAGAGCGAAGAAAGCCACCACTGTGGGAAGTAAAAACCATTAAATTAAGTGACAGTGGCAATGAATGTGTTGAATTCACTCCCAGTGTCACTTAATCTCTGGTTACTTGCATTCATTGACAACTGGGGACATTGAATTTTACCCGCGAGAATGTAAGGGTATCAAATTCATTGTCAAAATTTTAAGGACACTGAAAATGACATTAGCAAATCACGTAGTCCCATTTTTTCCATTTTTTTCCATAATTTACTTAGCAAACAAATTCACTGACCGAGGCAGCTAAGGAGAATTTATATTTATTCCTAGGGACGGCTGCAATAAGCAATATTAGTTGTGTGCCTGAACTTTCTTGAACACTCCACCTTTCTAGTATTTCACGTATAACTTACTAGGATCTTAACCAAAAAATGTCATGAGACGATCAATAGACTACCCTTAACAAGGACTGCAACTTTAATTTTTATCGGAATAATTCCCATGGTGTACCATATTGATTGTATGAGTAGATTATTATTTTATTCTAAGTCCCATGGGTATGGTATATATATCAATTGCTGCATAGATATATACAAGGTTATGTAGTCTAGTGGTAAGTAATGCTCAAATGCGTGAGAATTGATTATGGGATTTCAGCTGAGCTTGCGTGGTTGGGAGTTGTGTGTTCAAACCAGGCAAGTGGGAAAGATTAGTGGATTTCTTTTTTTCTTTTTTTGACAAAATAAAAACTTGAATATGACAATGAATTTGGATCAGACAATGATTATCACCCCAACGTTAAATTCATTGTTTGTCAAAGAGCGATTCAGTGTCGCACAGCGGCACTGATTTACATTAACTGTCAATTAATTTCCTAGCTTTCAGCACTGATCATAAAGGTCTTTGGTTTTGATATTCATTGTCTCCACTACCCTCAGTGCACGGCAACGAAGCTAGCACATGCAGAACTTCAGAAGAACGAGATAACAAAAGATACGGACCGCCGAGCTCACGCTAGAAAGTACAACGCGTGACTTTGTATGAACACTGTGAGACAGTCCCCGATGGCCGATCTGCTCTGTGATTGAGATTGTCGCAATTCATGGAAGCGTTTTATAACAATCCGGACTGCAAGACAAAAGGCGGAAATTTCCCATATAGCGGTGGGTATGATCATGTCGTCAGTCAGTTCCAATGAGTTTGTGTCAAGATGGCAATCGCAGACATGGTAACCAGAGAGCACGGCCTCCCCTGATCGTTGTCCATGAGTCTCGTGCGCTCAAAGCTGTCATGAATAATTAAAGCTCACCCCCTGAATAACCCAAGTTTCCCATGAACATCACAACTGCGGCGGCGATCGTGGCAACCAGCAAGAATGCGGCGAGAAAGATGAGCATCTTGTTGGATCGCCCATACATGGCATGTAGCCGAGTCATGATGATGACTTGTATGATATTTTAGTCAAGTCAGTATCAGTACGGTACAGAGGTGAGCTCACGGCCTAGTGCGGCATCGATGACGATCGGCGCCCATGCCACTATGAAATAAAGGATGTTGCCTGAACAATCTAGTGTCAGATGTGTACTGATGGACTCAATGCTTAGAATGGACTTACAGCTGTCGTGGCCATTGTGCTGTAGAAACATCAAACTTTTAAGATTGTCACTCACGTCTGTGTAGGAATGCAGTTAGTGGTTGAATGGGAATAATAATGTCAGGTGTCTGTGCCGAATTCCCACTTGATCTGGCATCGGGAATGGGAGCAACCCTACATGCTGCCAGTTAGAATAAATTAACAGAGCGTATTTGGGGACACATACATATTGTGAACGCGCTGATTGTGACATATGGTATATATTAGTACAGTGCGGTATCAAGTTGTTACCATTGCAAACATACAGAGAATACAGTATCCCGATGTAGCGTACCTAGCATATGTTGAAGTTAGCATAAAATATCAACTGCGCTCATAACACAACGTACAGAAACATAAAGAATGGTCATGAAGGACCAGCGTCGCCTCTGCACAGAGTCAACCACATTATCCTGTTTGCTTCCGATATAATACTTTGCTCACCCAGATGAGTTCGAACTGTTAGAGCATCGTGAGATGGCTGCGCGGGTCATGAGATCAACCTACCTCTTGTGCGAATGTTAATACTTGAATACCGTATACATGTTTGAGTAATTCCCTCAGAAAGCATTATCTCGCTCACCCCAATCGTATACCACCGAGACAGTAGACGCAACTGCGAAACCATAGTTGATGATAGTGAGGTGTCAACATCGTGATCCCACTTGCTTTTTACGGACCTGCAAAATAGCTAGCAAAACGGAGACCGCTGATAACCGACCACCAAGAGGGATCATTTGAGACGATGTAGGTCATATCAGGATGGGACATATGGAGTTCGTGCAGACCCACCACCATCCAGCACTTTTATAGAGATGAGGCTGTTTCGGAGATAGTAGTGTGAGAAGCTCTGCATCAGTTTCAGTAATTATGAAACATCAGCTATGTATTAAGATAGACCAACCGCAGACCTTCATTGTATCTGAGCCGTGTAGTGACAGAGGACGGACCATGATGATGGTGGATGTGCAAGGGTCAGCGTGACATTTACAGCATCAGGCAGTGAAGATACAGACTGGTAGGAATGTCTAAGTTAATGTCTACTTTGGCGTGGCCATGAGTGATCTTTCCAAAACATGATCATAATGCGGTGACCTGCCGCGGTGGTTATGAGTGCCACATGTACCGGGCGCGGGTGAGCTAAGTATCAAGGTTACTTAGGGAATGCTCACACCGAGGCTATGCGTAGCAGATGTGCAGAGCTTCTGGATATATTGATGGTGGAGCTGAGCGCTGAACGTTGAATATTTGCGTGATTGCTGATGATGATTCAATCATTTTGTTTCCATTGTAGATCTGAGGTAATTGGGCGGACAAGGTTTACTTGAAAGTTGAGAGTCTTGAAACATTAAATTTGAAATTCGTGGGATAAGGACTGAGAAATGGTAAGAGACTCTGCGCCCGCCCGGCGCCAAAGGCCGAACAGAATCTATGATATACCATCAACTCGATCCTCCGTCACACCTTCCACGTCCCCTTCTCCTCCCCACGACTCACAAGGACTCACATCTATACAAGACCTCACCTCCCCACCCCACCACGTATACCCGCACTCCATCTATTGACCCCCATTTCCGCTCCAGCGTATATGTAGACCTCAGCATATCCCACCTTGTGATCAGTATGATGCCTGGAAACCTCCTCGCGCTGGTGGAGCTTTTTGGGTATAAGGGTGACAGGAAGTTTGGGGTGGAGTTGGTATAGAGTGCTGCGGGGTAGGGTGAGTAGTCACGTTTTTTTGTCATGGTTCTTCCACTGGCGTTTTCGAATTGGGGCATGGAACCCATACTGTCTGTGCAAAGTCCAAACTGCTACAGTGCCTTGCATATAAAACTGTGTAGTCGCATTTCCACAAACCCTATTTGTACCTATTTGCTCGGGCCAAAACATACCAAAAATACCTTTGTTGGTGTGACCAGTCACAGCCTCACTGATGTCCTTGACTTTGCAGACTCGTGCCCTCGCTAGAAAGATTTCTGGAATATGCGAGCCAGTCATTGCATGCTCATAGCGCTAGGTGATGATGCATTCTCGAAGCTGTTGAGACAGGTGAGGAGGCATAATTTGATGTGACTGGTCACAGCAACAGGATATTTTCGGTATGATTTGGCCCGAGCAAATAGGTACAAATAGGGTTTGTGTAAATGCGACTACGCAGTTTTATATGCAAGGCACTGTAACATGGATTTAACAGATACAGAAGGTGTCTGACGTGCGATCTGATATGCCATTACTCATCTTCCACCTCGTTCTCTCTGCGTTTATATTTGAAGGCGTCGATGTGTGCAAGGTTGTGAGAGTGTTGCAGTATAATTTGAGGAGGTATCTAAATGGTGCGTGTGTCACGGTCTTTGTGTTATTTCGCTGCGCTGTCTGATGTTTCTTCGCTCGCTTCCTCCACCAACACCAAAACAGGCGTCTTCTTCCTGTTCGGCGCAAGCTGTCTCGCGCTCATCCGTTGCAAATCCTCAAAAACTCTCGTCTACTACGCACGCGCTGCACAAGCTCAGACGCAGTACAGGAATTTACGCCAATCTTCGTGATGGGAGAGTGCGGTTGGCCTGTTTGGGGCTTTGGAGATGGGTTTCTGTTCTGTGTGTGTTTCGCTGGTTGCTGGGTTTGGAGTTTGGGTTCTTGTAAACGTTCTCTGGTGGACGTTCTATGGGCAGGGAGGGGTCCAGGGTGATACAGGGCAGGTGTAGATCTGAATATATGCACGATACTGATGTTGGTGTTCTGCAGCGTCGCGGAAAGTAGATCGTGGTGGGGGAAACTTGGGGCCGAGGCTACAGTGCGTGTATCTTTCCCTCTTTCGTCTTCATATTCCTTTTTTTTCAATTCCGTGTATCGATCTCTGACTGTCATCTTGGTGTACCGCTTCATCTCGTGTGCTTTGCTTTGTGTCGGTGTACCTCCGCTTCACCTCACTGAACCCACATCCAGTGGTCGAAAGCGACACATACATACGGCGAAGCAGTGTGCCTAGCCACGCTCGGCGAACACGCAGAAACGAAGAAGCTGGGCGCGTCCAAGAGCTGAGGAAGAAAAACACGGCAAAGAGTATTCCTGTCGACGTGTGTTTCTAGTGTTCTCATTACTTCAGACGACGCTGATACTATCCCGGCGTTTCCCAGCCAGCATCCGTTTACGGTCACAACTCACGCCTCACGAAGCCCATACATTTAATTCATTGTATGTCGGTAGAAAAGCAGAAGGTAGCAAACACAAATCGAATCGAGTAGAACGCTGGAGCGTCCGAGTGACCTGCCATCAAGTTCTTTGGGGGTCTTGGAGAGGAGTCATGGATGCAGGTATGTTGTCTTTCACTGTGCTTCTAGTTGATCTTCCGGAGTCTTATGATACACTCCTAGCGATAAGCATCGTTCACACTATAGTGATAGACTAGCTGTTCTCGTTGCAGTTTACTGTCTAGATTCCATTTAGATCTGTAGTTGCGCGCCCTCGCATTAATTGAATGTGTCATCCCCGTTGTGCCCCCAGCATCGAAATCGAAAGCTAACCTGATCATGATGTGTTGCTACCCCACTAGTCTTTTCACACTAAAATCCTTCTGATGTAGGCACGGCTAAGCATCATGACGGAAAGCCTGTTTATTCCAGAGATATACTCGACATCCATTGATCTACATAAGATATCGCAGCTCCGCACCCCGTTGCATCGTGATCTCTCTTACAGAAACGAGCCTCCAAGGGCTAGTCGACACCCACAATGGCACACCGTCCCCATCCAACATGCGTGTGGTCTCTGCCCTCTCCAACTGCAATACTCACTGCGCCTCACCACCACCTCCTCCTTATTCCCGCTACGGATCTTTCGTTTCGCCCATTCTCAAGGTAGATGGACAGCATAAGCGACATATTCATCAATATGCTCAGGAGGGGATATTCACGGATGAGCGGGTGCTTGCAGTTGAGTGCTGCCCGTGTGTTTTCTCCATTCAGTGTTGTTGGAGTAGTTGGATTGTGCGTGTGTGCGTGTTGTTGAGTGTGAGTTTGAATGGCGAAGGAAGTTGATTGCGACGAGCCACCCATCAAGAGATGGTGAGGATAGGATTAAGGAAGATTGGCCGTTGTTGATGGATACAGTTCAAGCTCACTAAACCTGCGTGGTCGAGTTTTGGCTTGCACGGTTGGTCCAAGATACAATAAACAGGAAAGCAAGTCTAAAGAGTAGAGTAGCGATGGGAGAGGAGTATGGAGACGCAAGTGATTCGGGCTTGACAAATGTTCAGCGGTACGTCGTGGAGTAGTAAATGAAGCAGAACAGAACAAATTGAAGTCGTAATGAAGCATCGCAACAAGGCAAATATGTATTGTACGGTCCAACATCAGTCAATCAACAAAGTACGTGCCCATGGCGTGACCCGACAGATATCTATCACGAAGATGACTCTGCCTACTGCGTCCGACACTCGTGCCACGACGTGCCATGTGCGACACGACTCAAGTCCAGCTGTAAGGCGTTGGTAGGTATCACCAACACGTTTCCCTGGGCGAACATCGCTGGGTGGAAATTAAGTGGGATCCATAGAAGAAGGCGTCCTTCGGGACTTATCACCCACCCCTCCTCGTTCAAACCATAAGGAGCTGGGGCTTCAGAATCTGAGAGAAAGGACGAGGCGGAATGAAGGGCATGAGATGGGTCAGGTGAGAAGCATATTGCAGATGCGAAGAGTTGGTGCCGGTTAAGAAATTCTAGGTCCCACACCCGGATGGTCTTGTCTCGTGAACCAGACACAATGTGTTTGCCATCGGGTGAGATTGCGACGGACATAACTAGACTAGTGTGCCCTCGGAAAGGGGCACCCACTGCCTCGCCAGTCTTCATATTCCACACCCGGATCGTCTTGTCACGTGAGCCAGACACAATGTGTTGGCCATTTTGCGACAAAGATAAGAGGTAACAAAAAATGAGGCCATAGTGTAAGATTGATTAATACAAGTCTGGGCACTGTAGAAGACTATGTATGCATACTGGCCTAGGACTCTCAGTCCCAGCAAAGTATGCATACAGGCTTCTTTGTATTGATACTAGCACTCGGACACAATGTTGAACTTCTCTGGCTGATCCTCATTCCCAATTTGGGTACTCCCATCTATTCTTGCTGGCTATATTAATCCCTCGACTAAAAATAGGTTGTCTGCATCAGTTTCCCTCGATTCGTACTGCTTCTCCACCTATAAATATGTCACCCCTCCTTCTTGGTTCTTGCTGGCTATATTAATACATCAGTTCCAGCCTATAATCTCCACCCCCTTAAATCTCGCACCCTTCCGGACCCTTCCGTTCTTACCGGTTCTTGCCAACTTGTTCCTGACAGATCCTGGCCCAGCCCCTCAGAGCCACGTGACAACCTTGTGATGAATTTTTGACCGTCCCTTCAAGCCACGTCACAAGTTCACGATGAATTTGACTAAGTCCCTGCAAGCCACGTCACAAGTTCACGATGAATTTTGACTAAGTCCCTGCAAGCCACGTGACAAATTTACGATGAATTCTGACTAAGTCCCTGCAAGCCACGTGACGAGTTCATGATGAATTTCGACTAAGTCCCTGCATAATAAGTATGAGACATATAAACTGTTTACTGCAGTACCTAAGCTTGTGACACGATGCTGAAATGTTGACTACATGGTATTGAAAAAATTGACATGAGACATGATTGGGGTTTGCTAACGAGATGCTCAATTTTCCTGTGTTCGACGAAGATCATTGTGTCAAAAAATAGTGTATTTTGAGTAAAGACGGCGAATACATGTAATACGACAAGAACAATATACGATATACAGCAAACATGATGGCAAGAACACAACATCCTCAGTGAACCAATTTGCGTGACCTAGAACAAAAGTTCAAAGCGGAAGTGAAAAAAATTGTTAAACTTACTTTCGTGGCTTTCTTCCCATACCGTCAGCACCAATATTATTAGCTTCTGTTGTGCGAGTGGACGGAACATGAACTCGGCTGCTACAGCGCACTTGGTTATTGACGATATCATCTAGAGGCTGCAAATTCTCCATGGGCTCGCTGTCAGCAGGTAGCTGGCTACTTGGTGCAGCTGTGGCGGCCCGCGGAGGAGTCTCAGCAGGCGGTAATGAACTTGGGTGAGTCGCTGGTGCCGCAGGAGGCACAGAAGGGGAATCACGATGGTGAGTCACCGGCACTGGGGGAGGGGAATCACGATGGTGAGTCGCTGGCGCCGCAGGAGGCACAGAAGGGGGAGGGGAATCACGATATAGACCATGGGAAGTTCCAGTTCCTCCTCTGAATGGACGGGGCCGAGGTACCTTCTTATAGTTACCAGAGGGGCTCTTCGACTTGATACGAGCTAAAGCACTGCGGAAGCGTGGGGGTGAAAGTATAGACTGAGATGGTTGTGAATTGTCAGCAGACGGAAATGGAGGTAAGATAAGTTGGGGACCCTCGGTCCCATCTGCAGTAGATTGGAATAGGTATGATTGTGAATCCGCCAGGAAGTTGTCAAGGGCCTCGTTTGACAGATCGAAAGAATTGCCGGGAATGAGATTGAGTGAATCATCGGGAATGGGATCAAATGAGAACTCGCCCGACATATCGAGTGAATTGTCAATAGGATGAAATGAGAAAGGGTTAATGGGGGGGTTAATGGGGAAGAATTGATCGGCCGAGGCATGCGGCACTTCTTGAGTTGCAGTTGGAGCAGCAAGGAAGTCGGTGGTGTCCATAAGGGGCACAATAGTATCAATACTCGATGGAGACGAATCTGGGACGGAGGTGTCTATAAGGGGCACAATAGTATCCATACTCGAGGGAGACGAGTCTGGGATGTGCTCCTGGACAGAAGCAGCTGTGGAGAAACACAGAAACACCATCAGCATTACCTAACCAGAAGACCACACCGACTTACCAAAAGCGCCCTTCAAAAAAGTAGTGAATGGTTCGATGATTCGTGCGTGATGGTCAGGCAGTGTATCACGAAAGTTGAGGCCGGTAGTACCCTTCCCATGGTGGAAACTATAGAGCAACATGAAATCAAGGTAACCGAGCACAAAAACAAACACTAACCTGTAAACGCGAAGATCCCCACCTACACGAGGGTCTGGTCCCCCAATGTACACGCTCCCATTCCAACCTGTTGTGTTGTGGATGGACTGTAGAAGTTGTCCGATCAATCCACCCAGCCCTTCAATGCATCTGTGGGAATGTTAGTATTGCTGCAACATGTTCAGAGACATGTACGCACTGCAACTTTGCAGAGTCACTGGGATTAGACAGTGCCTCCATCTCAGCCTTGGCCTTCTGCACACGTAGCTTACATTCAGCTTTCGCCTCCCACTCCATCTTCAGCACATATTCTTGTCCCCGCGCAGTCATGGCCTTCGTTGCTTCTGTACGAAGCAAGGCCATGCGATTTTGTTGAGTGCATGATGCTATCTTAGATGATATCTCATCCTTGATGGCGCTGTTGTCCTTGTACTCGGTTTGAATAAAATATTCCACAGCAGACGGCCCACGAGTGCGAGCAGTGGTGGAGCCCATGAGCTTCGTAATCGTTTTAGTGAATTGTGTCACTCGTCCTTGCGCAGCGGCGGAGTTGCTGCGGTAGAAGTAAGAACAGAGTTTCTGTAACACGTATAAGCAACCGTAATACAACAGGTGTGTGGCCAACTTACGGAACGACATTTTTGGAGATGTAATCCTAATTCAACTGTCTGCTCTTCTGATAACTGGGATTTGGTAAGTGGAACACCAGTCTCGCTGTCTTTGAAATGCACAGCAGCTTCAGGCCAGTTCTCGAACCATTCACAGGATGTATTCGCAAAGAAGACAGTTGTTTCACCCTGCAGCTGGCTGAGGCGGAATGCATCCACCTTAGTTTTCAGCCAAGCCAACTGTTCGCGTGTCATCCATGATACACCGGGCATCTATGAACCGGCGGCATTAGGCTAAAATGAATTTCATCACCTATGTCACATACCTTATTTTTTTTTTAGATGAGTCTCCGCGCTGGCGTTGCAGGCGTGTACTGATACTCCATTTGGGACGGACTTTGAATCTTATTTTTGCATTATCCAATGAGAAGGGCTGATCGCACGGAGTTACCCGACAAAAGCTATTATAAGTGGATGGAATTTCAACAATCTCACATCACATTACTGCTATTACCCCCGCTTGACCTTGTTTGTCCAAAATGAAAGTTTTTCCCAGCCTCGTCAAGGAACAAACTTTCACTTTATCCGAACTAGCAAGCGCCATAGAGCTTGTGCGGGACCAGCGTGGTGAGTGCGAGCCTCTGGCTAATTCTCACTGGGCTGAATGGTTATTCTAGCCATAATCGAGGCGCACGCTAACCACAGTCTACCCGAAATTACGGATGACCTTGTGCTTGGCCACTGCCCTGCATGCGTTTTTCGTGCACACAAGCACTTGTGCTATGTTTGTGGTACAATTGGTGAGCATTTAATATTTCCGTACTCAATGTTCAACCTTACAACCCACGGCAGATGACGAGGGTGGTGAGTCACAGAGTACCCACACAAATGACGGGGGTGGTGAGTCACAGAGTGACACATCGACAACTGACAGCATTGACACTGCTCCCGCCCTCGTCGTCAACACTGTCGCTGCTCCCACCATCAATGCAGCACCCATTGTCGTCAACACTGTCGCTGCTCCCACCATCAATGCAGCACCTGTTGTCATCAACGCCGCTGCTGCTCCCACCATTCGTGCAGCTGCTCCCACCCTCGTCAACACTGCTGTCCCCACTACTCAACACTCAAGCACCTCTGCATCGGTGCGCTGGTATGTCATTACTGTTGGACGTGAAACTGGGGTCTTTCAAGGATGGTACATACTCCGAGATCTGCTGGTCTATTATTTTATTCAATTTTCTCCCAGGCACAATGTGCATGTGCATGTCGTCGGTGTTCCAGGAGCTTGTTTTGCGCGTTACTCCTCTCTAGCTGTCGCCCAGGCTGCCTATGGACAGGCTTTGGATGATGGCGCAGTCAATCAGGTGCCGCTCTAGGAGTAACATACTGTACTGTACATTTATGTGTGGCCTGTCCCGTTTCTTGCATCCAATATGATGATACCAATTGCTGTCATTTGTGTGTGTGTGTGTGATATTTATATTCGACGATAACCTATTCGTGCTCAACAGCATGGTCTAGAGTACATTGTATGATAATTGGCGGCTGTGACCATACCGTAAAGTCTATATACCAGTAAGTGTATTGCTGTCATTTATTTTTATATTCAACGGTAATGATGATTCATGCTCAACGGCATGGTCTAGAGTACATTGTGTGATAACTGTCCCGAAGTGGTGGCTGTGACCGTACCAAAAGTCTATATACCAGTAAGTGTTTATGTCTGTTAACGTACCCTTACTAAGGGCTCTTTGTATCATACCACTCATCTGTCTCGTTCGATGGGACGCCGTCGTAAGTCTTCACCGGACCACCAAGAAGCGTGAAAACAGTCTAAGAAAATACATTATTTGCGGTAAGTGTTTCTCGCATTCTGAACCAGAAGTGGACATAGGGATTTGACATGATATTAGACATGTCGGGTATGAACGATCCAAAGCACAACAGAGATCAAGGCAGGCAAAGGGAGCCAATAAGGTATATTCAAATACTACATCTACTGACATTCAGTACTAATTTGTGCAGGCCACACTAGACGCCTATGAGGCAATGGAAGAAATATGGAGCAGGACTTATACCTGTGGTAGCCGGAACCACAATGGGTGCCAGCCTCGAGTTATCGCTGTTCTTCAAGAAGTAGATGTGCGAGGGTGGAGTGCTGTTAGACCAGCTGTTTTGGAAGGAATATCAGAGGCCCGGGTTTTACTGAAGGACGCGGAAGACCTGGTCACAGCGGTCAAAAGTTTAGATGGTCCATGTACTCCACATCTCCAAACTGAATGTTTCCGTCTTATTTCTACAGCACGTCTCTACCTTGCCGCCGAAGAGGAGATCGTGTCCCTCATGGATGAAGACGAGGGAGCTCTTGATGCCGCACTGCTTAGCAATGGACTAGTATGGCAGTGTATAGAAAAGTAGTGTCACGTGACCAGATAAACAATGTTGAATGCAGTATGTACGTTGTATAGCATGTGCCCACATTATTTTCATTGCCATGGTCAAAAACTCTCGGGTATGAAAGTTGGACAAGTATCGGTGGCAGTTCATGGAGGAGAATCAAGCTGCACACAAGCGACGACACAATGAGGAAACTCAATTGCATGTTCCCGAGGGAAGTGCATATTATGCACATACCTCTGTAGACGTTACGACCAGGAGCCATCCCACCATCAAAACTACATACTTTCAAAATGCCAACACGTCTCCGGCTGTACCCACTAGTTCCTCGATCACAAACCTTGGGAGTTCCGAGACTTTTGATTTCACTTCTTATTTCAATGATGATCAACCATACCTCGATTATCTTGCTGACACCAGCACAGATACCACACCAGTGAAAGCCAAACGGCCACGCACACCGGCGGTGTGTGCTATTTCTATATCTTGATTGCATTTTTTTTTTCATTCGGTGATATTCAGGATGACCCTCAAAAACAATGGCTGCAGGAGCGTGATAATTTTCTCAAGGAATTCATTCGGCTAGAAGGGTGTGGAGATGATGCATGGCACATGCATTGTCACGGGGAGCAGACATGCGTAAACCAGCCGTCTATTTGGTGTACTGATTGTGAAGGATTACAGTTGTACTGTCAGTCTTGTGTCATCTCACTGCACCGCGCAGCGCCTTTGCACCGTGTTGAAGTATGTATTCACATCGCTTTGCGTTCTTTAAAATTGACTATACTATCAGATTTGGACTGGGAAATACTTCCAGCGCAGCAACTTAAGAGACTTAGGGCTACGTGTCCAACTCGGACATCCAACTGGTGTCCGTTGCTGCAATCCCTCTCCTGCTTTCCAGGACGACTTCGTCATCCTTGACATGACCGGTGTCCACAGTATCATGCTAGATTTCTGCAACTGTGAGACAGCGCAAACGCACACTACCCAACTCCTGCGCACTCGCTGGTACCCAGCAACCGTCACAGATCCCCGAACTGCTGCAACATTCCGGGTCCTTGATCACTTCCAAATGTACACTTTTGAGTCGAAAGGATCCGCGTTTGAATATTACCAAGCATTGGCACGTCTAACGGATAATACTAGGAGGTACCTGTTACGACAACGGTCGTAGTCGGACTGGGATGGGTAAGCGAAGGACGACGGTCCTAAGCTATCGTGTCGTGTATCGGTTGAACGTCAATATACCTGGTAGCCTAAGCCGTCAGGTTGTGACAAAACGGAAGGGGAGGTAAGCTTCTAAGGCAGCGGCCGAAGAAGGGTTTCGTGTTCAACGGTTAAGTCTAGACGAGGGATCGGTATCGACTCAAAGACAAACGGTCTAAGAGAAGATGTATCGGACTCAAGGATAGCGATCCAAGAGTATAGAGGGTTCGTGATCAGACTCAAGAGAGTTAACTCAAGAGAATATACAAGTCAAGGTAAAACCCAGTAGAATCAAGTTAAGGAATAATAGTACAGGTGGATCGACTATATATAGGTAAAGATCACAGTGTTCAGGGCAGGTCTGGTAATTGTACAATGGTCAAGAAAGGATATATCGGGTAGGCATGAGCAGGCAGGAGTCCATGCGGTCAGGGATAGGGTTCTGTGGGAACATCAAGGGAAAAGGAAGTAGGGCCACGAGGCAATGGATCAAGGGTCCTGAAGGAAGCATCTAGCTTCTGTCACAGAAGGTCAGGGTTGGCGGGGATCAGGAGTGCGTCAAGCAGCATGGTGAATTGTGAAGAGGTGAAGGTGTGACGTTGTGACGAGGTGAAGGGTCAGAAAAAGATAGGGGCTCCATGTTACTGTAACAGTACCAGACAAAGGTAGGTGCATTGACTATTGAATCATTTTTCACAGCTAACGTGAGTATAAGGACCATTATGAAGCTTTCCTACGGATGAGTCAGCAATTTCGACATATACTATCTCTTAAACGTGCCGGGCGTGGCCATGACCCTGATGGCGCTCTCGGCACAACGGAAGGAGAACTCGCTGTACTGTGCCCGGTGTGGGTGAGGAAATAGGGATGCGAACTCCGGAGAGTCACAAGAATATCTACCTCGAGAGGCGAGCTAGTAGAATCGTCCCTTAGGGGATGCTACTGAGTCAATCTCTCTAAATGATGAGAGGGATCAAGAGAAAGGCTCAAGTCGGAAAGTGCGCGAAGGCGCGCGGGAACGCGTGAGGCTGATGTGATGAACGCGCGGAACGCGCGAGTCGTGCGGAAGGGTCGGAACGCACACGGTACGTGCGCGATAGGAGAAGAGTTGCAGAGGATAGTAGGAACTCCCTTTGGATGAGGAACGAGACTTCACAAGACAAAGAAGAAGATAGACAAAGACTGCAATGATATTAGCGCTCTAAGCGCGACTAGACAGAAAACTGATAGTGAGTCCCGGTAAGGGAAAAGTAAGTAAGTCCGAAATGTTCTGAGTCTTCTAGATATGTAGGTCGCTATGCGCGCTCTCAGGGTAATGAAACATAAGGGAAGCGGATAAGTATGTAACACTATGTAAAAGACCCTGGATGTGGTCAGAGACGGAGATGACAGTGAGAGTACGCACCAACGGTACCGGACAGACAGGACAGGACATGGGAGGGTATGCCGAGGATAGCGCCGGTCTGCGGAAGGGCGCGGAAGGTCGCGTGCGTCGCAGAAGAGCGCGGAAGGTCGTGTGTGTTGCGCGCGACTCTATTGGACTGCGCATACATGAGGATAGTGATGAGGTCGATGTATATATCAGGGGATACGAGCCTGTAGGGATATTACTCCCTACACCGGCTTGTCCGCAACCTGGAAAAAACTTGCCTTTGGGTTGGGAGACCATTGAGGCCCAACACAAGTAAGTTTTTCTTTTTTTCATTGGGATATTTATGCTCAAGGAATGTAGATGGCTTTATGCTTTATTTCTGGCAATGGACACTAACTTTCACTTATGCCGCTGCAATAAGTCCTCTGAGCAGGCAGACCCTAGCCTTAGCCAAGGCTGGGCTTATTTCATAGAACAAAGTGGATTCAAAGATGTTCTTGACACTTATGCCAGCCAGGTACAAGAGGTGAGGTTGATATATGGTTTAGTGTATCATTCGCTGATATCGTGTTTAGAAAAGTTCTTGTGCCAGTCACAATGCCATTAATCTTGCCGACACCAAGAATTCACGGGGACTGGCTGCCACAGGCGTCGGCGCCATCGTTTGTGCTCGTCATAACCTCACATGTCCGTCCTCAGTTGGAGATCTCCAAAAAGGAGAAAGGTACGCATCTCTGATATCTTTGATGTCATCTAATCACACAGGACTTAGATATGTGAATATGGATTTCCTGTTCTTCTCGACATTGCAACACTCTGGCAAGGTTCTCGTTCTCAATATCTCATATGATATTGCATGTCAATGGAGTAAGCATTTGTGGGAGCGGATGTCACGCTATCCGTCCCAGATCCATTTTTCGGGCGACTCGAAAATTTTAACATTCCTCATTCCCAAATTTCATCTGCCGGCGCATATTGCAGCATGTCAAACTTCGTATTCTCTTAACCTTATCAAAGGCATGGCACGGACTGACAGTGAAGCCATTGAACGTGGATGGTCAAACATGAATCCTATCGCTACCAGCACACGTGAAATGGGTCCAGGGTCAAGACACGACATCTTGGATGACCACTTCGGCGACTGGAATTGGCGTAAAGTGTCCAACTTGGGTATGTATTACACTTAGATTGTGCCTTCGTCTCTGACAGTTTAATAGGTCCTTCACTGCTCAAAAAACTCAAGGAGGCAATTCCAGAATGTTATCAGCATGCTGTAGATCTTCGGGACTTCGAGGAAGCTATCCCGTCTTCGAGTCTTAGTGCCTGGCGGAAGTTGGTAGAAGATTGGGAGGGTGATCGTTCAAAGCCGAACCCGTTCGAGATTAAAGTGTCAGGTATGTTTTCGCTTGTATGATATTTGCAATCTTTGACATGTACACTACAGTTGTCACCCAGGCATCTGTCAGACTCGAGCTCTCTCAGCTTGAAGCCCAGCAGCTAAGACAAGGGATTGATGCCTCCCTCCACCCAGATGTCTCCCCTAGCATATTAATAGTTGTTGGGATCGACCTAGAGGCTTTACAGTATGTCTGTCTTTCGCACTGACAACAAGCTGGTCTTAACAAGTTGCTTTACCTCTCAGACATCGACTCACAACGGACACTGCGAACATTGGAATCCATGCCACTGATAATCAACTGTCTGCTATGCAACAACGCATCAATGCACTGCGCCGTCGGATTGAAAAGTGGATCCAAATCCAAATGCTATATATCCCCAGTGTTGCCAGACTTCGAGCATACACCTCTGATACTGAGGATACCACCCTTGAGGAGCCTGTTCACGCCATCAAACTGTGGATGCCATCTGCAGTGGTGAAAGCGGGGCATGTCTTGCGATGTGAATCTGTGTAACATCGAGTGGAAGTTACGCTGTGCCCAGGCGCATGATGGTCTCCAGGACCTCCGGCAACACCTACGACTCAAACACCATCTCACTGGGTTCAAGAAGAACTGGTTAACTGGCCAACGAGCGCACACGAGATCCCGTGCCGTCATTGATACTGTCCAGGCGAAAATAGACGCTGTGTTACAGTAACATGACGCCCCTATCTTTTTCTGACCCTTCACCTCGTCACAATGTCACACCTTCACCTCTTCACGATTCACCATGCTGCTTAACGCACTTCCTGATCCCCGCCGACCCTGACCTTCTGTGACAGAAGCTAGACACTTCCATTTGAACCCTTGATCTATGGCCTCATGGCCTGACTTCCTTTTTCCTTGATGTTCCCACAGAACCCTATCCCTGACCGCATGGACTTCTGCCTGCTCTTGCCTTCCTGATATATCCTTCTTGATCTTTGTACAATTACCAGACCTGCCCTGAACATTAAGATCCCTACCTATATATAGTCGATCCACTTGTACTATTATTCCTTAACTTGATTCTACTGGGTTTTACCTTGACTTGTATATTCTCTTGAGTTAACTCTCTTGAGTCTGATCACGAAACCTCTATACTCTTGGATCGCTATCCTTGAGTCCGATACATCTTCTCTTAGACCGTTTGTCTTTGAGTCGATACCGATCCCTCGTCTAGACTTAACCGTTGAACACGAAACCCTTCTTCGGCTCTTGCCTTAGAAGCTTACCTCCCCTTCCGTTCTGTCACAACCTGACGGCTTAGGCTACCAGGTATATTCATGTTCAACCGATACACGACACGATAGCTTAGGACCGTCGTCCTTCGCTTACCCATCCCAGTCCGACTACGACCGTTGTCGTAACACGCTGCTGCAACAAAGTATTGCATGGCATGGAGGGCACTTGATGACTTAGCCGATGCACTCCTTTGCCTTGATTTGGAAATTGAATTCCCAAAGCTCGAAGATGAGCATATTCGTCGTATGACTGAGGCACAGGCAGGAGGTTTGGTGTCAGAAGGTCGAAGATTCGTAGCCGTGTCTTGGATTTGGACGCAGCGCCATGGAGCGGGTGAGGAAGAACTTTCTGAAGGTGAGAGTTGCTATGTATTTGATGTAGTTTGTTCTAATCGGAAACAGCAATGCGCGTTGAGTGGTGCAAGGCACGAGCTTGTGCCAACAGGTGGGCAGAGGAGGTCGAACTTGTGCAGGAGGAGATGCGACGTGTATTAGCATTCTTTGAGTGGAATGCAGGTTGGTGGGAAGAACGCGCAACCTCCAGGATATATGATGGAGCAATGGAGCACGAGGGAGCAGTTGCATATGCCTTGCGACAGGCTAAGATCCGCCGGTCCATGCGGAACGACTGTCTTTTCCTGTGGGATGTGGTTCCCAGCCTTCTCTCTGTTCAAACCACTACAGAACGAGCACCTGTACCTGCCACGACTACTGCATAGCAAACCAGAGGCTATTTGTTTGTTTTTTGGCGCTTTTTTCTCATTTTCCTGCATTTCATCCTGCCATGCATCCCTTGTTACTAGACTACTACGTGCAATACATCGTCTTTCATTGTGATTACAGACGAGTGACCACACTAACCGCACGCCTACACCCACTATGATATTTTTGCCATCTCTCTCTTTATTATGCCTATTTGGGATATGTCGCGAGCGGGAGTACGAGCGGGAGTATGCAGTGGTTCGAACTTCGAACTGATTTGATTCAAATCATAGAAGGAAGGATTCAGAAGGTACCTAGTGAATTTGATGGTCCGGGGTTGGCACATAAAAATAGCAGTGCGGGGAAGGGATCTAAGATTACTATCATTGTTATACTACTTATTTGGTCAATATATACCTATTAGAACTGTCCGAAGAAGCACACTATAGCTCCCAAGGTGTGTATGGATACAAGGAAAGGCTCCCAAGGTGTATATGCATACAGGGAGGTGTTGTGTTACAGTAACATGGCACCCCTATCTTTTTCTGACCCTTTCACCTCTTCACCCTGTCACGATGTCACACCTTCACCTCTTCACGATTCACCATGATGCTTGACGCACTTCCTGATCCCCGCCGACCCTGACCTTCTGTGACAGAAGCTAGACGCTTCCATTTTGACCCTTGATCTATGACCTCATGGCCTCACTTCCATTTCCCTTGATGTTCCTACGGAACCCTGACCCTGACCTCATGGACTCCTGCCTACTCCTGCCTACCCGATATATCCTTCTTGACTCTTGTACGATTACCAGACCTGCCCTGAACACTGTGATCTTTACCTATATATAATCGATCCACCTGTACTATTATTCCTTAACTTGATTCTACTGGGTTTTACCTTGACTTGTATATTCTCTTGAGTTAACTCTCTTGAGTCTGATCACGAACCCGCTATACTCTTGGATCGCTATCCTTGAGTCGATACCTCTTTTCTCTTAGACTGTTTGTCTTTGAGTCGATACCGATCCCTCGTCTAGACTTAACCGTTGAACACGAAACCCTTCTTCGGCTCTTGCCTTAGAAGCTTACCTCCCCTTCCGTTCTGTCACAACCTGACGGCTTAGGCTACCAGGTATATTCATGTTCAACCGATACACGACGATAGCTTAGGACCGTCGTCCTTTGCTTACCTATCCCAGTCCGACTACGACCGTTGTCGTAACACGTTGTAGATAGCTGGTGAGTATGGATACATACCCTTCTACAGTGGCCAGGGGTGTATTAATACCCCTGCCAGGGTGTGGTGCCTTTTCTGCCTTTATTCGCAATCCACTGTCATTACCATGCCCCGCAGAACGGACAACCCCAATCTTGCAATCACTCCCAATTTCCAATCACCTGAATACGCTGAAGCGCGCGCTCAACTCACTTATGAAGCAGTCGATGACCAACAAGCAGCAACAATCCTAGCCAACCTCTGGCGCATCCAAAACGAAGTAGACAAATGCCACTGGGCGGTACGACTTGAGAACGAGGCCCAGGAAGCAGAGGCAGAGCGCAGAGAAGCAGCTGAAGAAGAGGCCCAACGCTTATTGACGCAGAAAGCTGAGCAAGAAGCTGCCATCCAAGAAGAACGCAAGAAGAATAAAGCCAAATACGCTCCAATCAAGGACGTAGAAGTCCCATCCGACCCCATCATTCTTCCCTGCCAATACGCCGTTAGGAAAATGAAGTCTGGCGAGTACTGTGAACTTTTCTACTTCACTAACAATGGGCTTGAAGAAGCATCGCGATCCACCTTCACAGCCGATGAAGACGCCCTTGTCATGATGCCAACGTCAGACGGCCTACACAAGTGGATCCCCGCCAGCGCAGCTAGAGACCCCAAAGTGCAAGTTATCAAGGACGAAAATCTCACCTGGGAACAGTTCAACAAGTCGGCACCCCGCATGATCACTCTCATGAAGGAGAACGACTGGCCGGACGACCAAATCAACATGCACATCTCCTTCTGGTCTGCCCTGCAGAACCACAGATGGCGCCATGACTTTGACACCCACAAACAACGTGCCCTATTACTGTACCAAGCGCAGCAACGCAGACGCTGGCACCTAGCCGCAGGTAGTTCCAACAGTTGGAGCCTAGCAAAGATCAACCAGGACCTACTCCTCGAAGCTTGAGAGACAATCTTCAATCAATTCAGAACGCAGCAATTGTTAGTTCAGGTGCGTTCTCCTCATTACAAACTAATTAAAATTGCGCTAACATTCAAATTGATCAATTTCCTCTTCATCACACCATCTTTCGTGTTCTGTTTGGCATTGCGTCCAACGAATGGTTTCCCACCGGCGGACATCATGATCCGCCACCCAACCAACTCCATGGTCTTACCCTCCCCCACTCATTCTTGGACAACGCGCTCCAAACTTCACCACGGCCATCGCTGCCATGGTCGTTACCTTATACACCTCCACACACTGTTCGGCCACCACGTGCCATGCTCCCAGTCCCGCACCTTAGCGGCCCCAGGGCACAGTAGAACACCGCAGCAGCACATGCGCTCTTCCAGCTCTCAGAAGTGTTCCCCCCTACCTCACCAGACGAGAAGCCACATAAGAAACCTAAGACATTTCGGGACCCCAACGCCCCCCTTCCCTGCTGCTCTGTCTGTCTCGGACGCAACCCCCACCGTACCATCGACTGTGCAGCAGCTCTCACGTGGGACAGTAAACACAATACCATCGCCGAGCGCATACACAAAGCGCTCTGGACCAAAGATGGCAGACAGCTGTGTACTGCCTGGCAATGAGAAGAGGGATGCAACAACCGCAAGCACGACTCTCGACACACCTGTTCAGGGTGCGGCGCAGTCACCCATGGCGCTCAACACTGCCCTAGAGCACAGAAAGCTTAACCCCATCACGCCCTACAAGGCTGAAGCCTGGGAAAGAGAACTGCATCATTTCCACCTCACCGCACGCTTCACCAAAATATCAGACGGCCTCCGCTTCAGTTTCAAATTAAATTTTCCTACTTTAATATCTATGCAAATTCCTCCTAACAAACAATCTATATCCACTTACAAAGAACAATTTGAATCAAGCATACAGAAAGCACATACTGCAGTCACTTACCCTTGATAAAAACAGACAGCTGAGGTTGAAAATTCCCTGTTCCAAACAGGCCAGCGGACGTGGGCCCATAAAGTATAGTTCTGTTAAATACAGGTGGGCCCACATCAAGTATTTACCTGATATAATCAGTGGGCCCATGATATGTGGTGTAGTAAATAAGTGTAGACATTTCTATTGACTTTGGTAGATAGTGTGTGGTAGGTAGTGTATGAAATATGTGCCTGATACCAACAGGTGGGCCCATCACAAGTGTCTCTGATGCCAATGGGTGGGCCGGTCAAAGTGTGTCTCTGATACCAACGGGTGGGCCAGTCAAATTGCGAGACTAATAGTGGACCCATAGTAGTGCAATAGATAACAGGCAGTATATGATGGTACCTGATACAAACAGGTGGGCCGAGTGGCCTTCGGATCTCATATGGCCAGATGGGCCAAGATAGTCGGTCAATAGGTACCTGATACAAAACAGGTGGGCCGAGTGGCCGACAGATGTAGTATATAGACATGGGCCGGTGGTCATGCAACCGCTTCCATCATGTACATTCCAGGACCACCTCGGTAAAAAGATGATCGGTCAAATATGACGCGTGGTTTAAATACCATACGTCACACAACATCGACCGAGTCCTTGAATATTAGTCTATATGTCGCCGGTCTTACATGGAGCGCCGACCGATGAGCAATTGGTTATATCAACATCAAATGATGGCCGAGATAAGTGTGGTTTCATGTCCTAATAAAGTCGGTCAGACATCGCCAACCCAAATGGTTCAAATAATATCGGTCAACATGGAGCACCAACCGATGACGAAGTGTTTATACCGACTAATGACAACCAACCGGTCGCATGAAGTAAGTCGGTGAAATATTGCTGTCACACCAACTGCAAAGTCTGATCAAGTACAATTGTGCCCACAAACAGGCGGTACTGTTGACACTTATATCACATATAAAATTCCACACCAAAGTCATTCAATTTCATTGTGATATATACAGGTGTCATACGCCGACCGAATCATAATCTATAGTACAAGTATGTAGTCCACTGAATGAGCGATTCAAATGTAAGGTACAAAGTAATCTATTTAGACAGTGGGAGCGGCAGAAGCAGGTGGCGCAGAAGAAGGCGGCGACAAATCAAAATGAGGTTGATCCGCAACAGGAGCGGATGAAGGACCGGCAACTGCTGAAATTGAGGCAGCATGGCCGGATGTGAAAGTCTGGCCCTGTGGGTCAGGCCAACCGGAAGGGCGAGATGCCGAGGGAGCGACTGAAGGACCATACACGCCGTTGAGAAACTGCATGCCCAATGCTTGGACCTGTGTGGTGGCCACGGTACCGCCGAGATTACTGATCGGCGGTGCAGGAAATGATGGATTAGTGGCAACATGTGCCTGCCGAAGTTTTTCGACCATGTTGATCGGGCCATCTGTGGATGACACATTGAGGACAACCTGTTGCTGCACCTCAGAAAGCTCCGCGCGCATTGAGGAAATGCGCATCTCAAATTCTTTCTCCATGGCTTCCAGCCTGGCAGCGAAAATCTGGTCGCCGAGGTTCATGGCATTGACCTGAGCGGAAAGGGCAAGTACACGTTCATGCACAGAGATGATGGTGAGTGGTACAGATGCCGATGAGAGGGAAAGGGGGCTGGCGACAGGAGTGGGGGTGGGAATACGCAAGGGCATGTTGTCCGAGGTGGGCTCAATCCAATGGTCAGGAGGGAAGTCGTTTGCCGACGCGACTGGGGGGTCGACCGACATCTTGATGTTGACATCGGCAGCGACATCAGCAGCGGCATCGGCATTGATGTCACCAGCTTTATCGCCAGCAACAGACTCATCTAGAAACAAGGTCAAAGATTTTCTGATGAAGAAAAAATAATTACTTACCGATAGCATACTCTTCCGACTCCAAGATTGGAGTTGCAACGCGAGCATGAGACGTTGCTCTGGTTTTTCTTGAGGGCACCTTGGACTTCGCGTGTTTTGAGGGGAGCTGCTGAGGCTTTGGAGTTGGATTGGGAGTGACCGACTCCGGTCGCTCGCACCGCACCTTCATGCCGTGGCACTTGACACAGGATTTGATGATGTTCCCTGTCCTGCCGGTAGCGACAAGGCATGGATGGGGAAAATAGGTTTCAAATCGAAGAGGGATGGAGAGGTCGTACAATGCCCCCAGGGCCATCTGAGGCTGGGAGAAATAGGGTTCGAATGGAAGAGGGATGGAGGGGTCATACAATGCCCCCGGGGCCATCTGAGGCTGGGGGAAATAGGGTTCGAATGGAGGAGGGATGGAGGGATCGTACAATTGTTCTGGGACCATCTGAGACTGGGGAAAATGCGCTTCGAATGATGGAACGGCTGCAGACCCCATCATATCTGGCATGAGGGGTGGCAGTCTATATGGTGCCACACCAGCATCGAACACTGTGGTCTCCATTCCGTACGCTGTGGGAGCTGGCCCAAGTGGAGCGTACTGAGATGGATCGGCATACATGTCGAAAGGAACGAGTTCGGCATGTTGGAGTTGTGGTTGAGGCTCATCATCTTGGGACGGGCCTGGGATGGAACTTTGGTTCATTTGGGTTGCGTAGTGGTCCATAGTTAATGATAGAATGCTTGAGATATATATTGTTGATGGCGCCAGGCCTTATACTGTGGCAGATGAGTGACAGAAGGTGGAGGAAGTGTACAAGAGTAACTCACTGTGCACAAGTTATATGGCAGATGTTTGCAAGGAAAGTGCGATGGATGTTGAAGAGAAGTAGAGGGACGCAGGTTGCAGTATTTAAGCTGTTGGAATGTATGTCACGCTTTGGTGTTTGGTGGACGTTCCAAAGCGTCTCCGACATATCACTTCCTTTTTCATATGATTGTCCACACCTTTTGCCCATACTAAGCGACATAGTGAGCACAGCCTGGTGTCATACAAAGGAATGCTTCCACCGACCAGATTTGACAATGGCACAACACGCCCGGATAATCCCCCATGAGGCTGTGGGGATGAGTGATTAGGGTGATTGTCGTGAAGAGTAGAATAAGGTATTGGTGAACAAACATTGAACACGATGCGCTGGATCTCAATATTCAGATTCCTTTGCCCTTTGGTTGAGCATGTTCTTCGTGTATACGGACATGATTTTTTTTATATGCTGCTGGGTATTGATTGCTTCCAAAAATTGTATACACGAAATCTAATCGACAGGATTTATCAATATAAACATATTGAACAAGGGATTGCGTGCTTATTGACACCACCGAATGATATGCCCGTCCAACCACCAATAGAAGGGTGCGTCTCTCCAATGCGTCCAACTTGCATCGCGTCTCCCAATGGCCAAGAGTAGGTCCACGCATAGTAGAATGCGATCTCCACGCCTCTCTTCTCTATCACATGACACTTGTTCATCGTGTTCTTGAATGAGCACCCTGCGTAATAGTCTGGCGCATGATCTCCGTCTGCGTGAAGCGGAACATGTCAGATCACGATAAGGGACCATGCAAACGAAGGTCAAGGAAAGAGCCGTACCATCAAGTCAAGCGCGACGGGTAACTTGACCTCGTGAATTGCCTCGCAGATGTAGTGTCATGTGAGATCGCTGTGCACCTGCGGGATGTTGGTCAGTGCTGGTCCTCGACTTGAGATTCGAGTTGACTTGGACTAAATTTGTGTAGGTCCCTGCCCGCCGTATGCTTGGGCATTCCTACGATGGATCAAAGCGTTATATTTCCAGTGAGACACATCAGGAAATCACGGGTTTACCTTCTCAACCTTAAATCACTTAATTTATGAAACAAGGTGTGAAAGTTCGCTAATTACAACTTTTTTCACTTATTCTTTGGACGCGGAAAGTGGGCACCATTAAATTAAGTCGAAGGACTGAAATAAGCAAAATAAGAAACAAAGTGCAAGTGTCTGCCATTCACGCTATCTTAAGTGACAGCGGACTGAAATAAGTAAAATAAGAAACAAAGTGCAAGTGTCCGCCATTCACGCTAAGGTTGGGGCTCCGAAAAGTCGAATGAGGGTGTGGTAGTGTTTGATTGAATGTTGTCGAGGGAGTGAAAAGGTCAGAATTGTCCCAGAAGACTTGAAGATTTTGCGGTAGTGATGGAATCGAACGACCGCGTCATCGATCTCTTTGAGAGTTGTCTCCGTGATGACGTTCCGACGGACAAGGTGGCAGAATTTGAGGAGAGCACGGAATGTGCGAACGATCTCTGTCGGGACATAGCCTTCAATTGCCGGTACATATACCTGAGTGATGTTAGTCAAAAGTCCGAGTCCAATGGGAGGAATGTCAAAGTACCTTCATAAGCGCTTTTGAGTCGTCCCCGGTCCACTGTTTGAAGTTGCGCCCTTGAGGAAATCTGCGCAATCCCGAAAACGCCGGAGCTGCTGCGATTCTGTTTGCAATACTAGTAAGCCAGGTTCTCGGTTAATGTAATGATTGGCGCACCTTCGATCAATGTCGTCGAGCATGATATCAGCTCGTGCTTGTCCATGCATCCGCACAAGGTATTTTTCAACCCATGCGACAAGGTGATCTTTGAAGGCACCCTTTATGATCTGGTGGAGGAGATCTGGGGCAATGAGCTCATGTATGTCGGCTCGCGGAAAGTCGTTTGTAAACGGCTATATGAGCGCGTTAATTCTGATCAAAAACAATACTCGAAGACTTACCACAAGTTGAGCGACAATTCCATACTCGAACCATAACATCCCATGGTCACACTCTTCAATTAGCGTGTCGGTATGAAATCTTGAGCGCAGGAGATTGTCGTTGTCGAGGGTCTTGTTATTCGAAGTACATCTATCATATATTTAGTAATGAGGAAGCGACAAATACAAATACTCACTTTGCACACCAAAATCGGACTATACACGCGAGCAAAACTTGTTCTTCATAGTCTGCAATGTAAGGGCCAAGTCCGTAGATAACGCGATGATAATGGCCATCGCCAAAGCGTACGACTTCGGGCTTGGTCATTGCGGGCTTCAGGTTCTTCAGAATGAATGAAAGGGAGGAATGAAATAGTTGTCGATGGAATTTGCGGAATATCGCAGTCTTTGCGTGCTGTTTAGTCGCTTCGTGTAGTGAGGTCAATGAAGATATGCGATTGGAGAGGAACTTACTCTTCGGCATTGCTAGAAATCCAACAACGGCGACTGCATTGCGGTGAGCGCGACATACATTATTGCGGACATTTCCTATGGATGCATATAGTGGATAATAATCGTTCTGCCCGGTTGCAACCGACACCGTGGTTTTGTCGCTGCCAAGGATGACAGGAATGAATGTCGAGCCATGTGTGTCTGGATCCTCAGCAATTTGATCCTGTATAGATGTGAATTAAATTAACTAGCATGACAAGGAAGGTGACAACTTACTGCGTGATTCCACGCCCAGTCGCCAGACATGAAGTCTTGCCACTGGTGCTCGTCTGTCTCTGTTGCAAATTCGCGGTAAGGTCGAAGATCAATTTCTGCGGCGTAGTCAGGGTTGGCGAGCATGTTTCGAACGATGTCGTGAGGTTCACGAAACCAGACATCATAGCTGTCTGTCATCCAGGGTGCAGGGCCGTCATCTGGATGCTCTCCCGTATATTTGATGGAGAACGACTGCCATTTGACATCGCCCAAAGGCGTGTTGTCAATCGTCTTGTAAACATCGCGATGGTCTGCGAATAATACTTCTGATGTGTCAGCGCCGGCTCGGATTAGCGATGCCGCCCACATATCCAGAAGGTGGTCAATCTGTGTTGCGGGTGTCTGATTCTTGGAGAAAATATAGTCAGCAAGCTCGAATTCTAACCGATCACGGTAGGGAGTCCAATCATTGGGTGATTTTTCTGTAAGTGGTGGGGGTGGAGCTCCTGGAGGAAGGAAATTCCCTTCAGGATCACATGTGCGACCTTTGAAAATTGAGCAATTGGATATTAAAGAAAATGTGAAAAGGAAAGGAAAGGAAATGTACCGGTTAAGTGGGGGTGGAAGTTTCTATACAAGTGGTCGCCAGCACCAAAGAACTCAGCAGGTAAATCCTCTTCACCGGCGGTACCATTGTGTTCGATGGGATGTCCATCAAAGATAGGTGAAGGGGATCGACTGCGTTGAGACGGGTCTGGGTAAAATGGTGAAGGGGAACGGCCAGGCTGAGACGGGTCTGGGTGTGATGGTGCAGTGTTGAGGACTGGATGTACTGCGTTCGTATGCTGAGTGAATCCAGACTTGTTCTTGAACCAGCAGGTTGCATCCTGATTTGGTGCAGGGAATGCGAAGGGCACTGAAATCTTGTCTAAGGTGCGACATGGTGAATATGGTGGCCACAAAAATAACGGCGAGAAATAGAGTGGTTTTGAGTGTGCGCATGCATGCGCAATTGGCCAATATGTGCCAGGGACGAGGAAAAAGGCTTGAATTGTGTGTAAGCATGGCAGCGCCATCTGTCTGAGTTTAGAAAAGATCGTGGGGCACTTACCAAAGTGTTGACTTTTCTCGATCCCTCTTCGGTGCTCACAACCTCAGTCATCTTGCTGTTACTGCTTTCCCGTCTGCTATGGTCTCTACTCGTCCTAAAAACGCAACTCAGCACCCTGGTGATGTCGTCAAGCAAGCTACAAGGAAGCGACGTACGGCAAAGCAAATTGCTGCAGATAATGAGCGGGCAAGAGAAGCACAGGAAGCACAGGAATTAGCCGCCAAAAACGGCATTGATCGTGTTGGAGCGATAGAAGCATCGATGGAGATAGAGCAGGCAGCAGCAGTAGCAAAGGTGACGCCTGTAAAGCCTCGTCCAAGGCCAGCTAAAAAGCAGCAGCTGCGCTACCAAAGATGCCCCTTCAAACAGTCACAGTGCATTAGGGATTGATACCAGTGTCCAGTCTAAAGATGAGCGTACCTTGCAAGGTCTCACTGACGATGATATGGATGTAGGAGGTGATTATGGGGATGAGGTTGAGATGGCTGAGCCAAAGCCAAAGAAGAAGAAGAAAGTCAGCCTTTTGTTACGCGAGGCTGTCAGTGCTGCGAGGTTGAAGAAGCAGAATGAGGATCGATCTGATATCGATCTGATTGATGCGCCTCAGCCTGGGAGACCTGTTGATGGCAAGGCACACGGCCTTGACAAGAAAGGAAACAATGTCGAGTCAGTGACTTTCTGTCTCACACCATCATGCTAATACTCACAGAGTCAACACTTTACTTTCTAAACTTGACCTCAAAATTCAGAGGCAAGAAATTCAGCTTGTCAGGGAAGATCAATAATTGGCGCGATCAAGTGGAACCTGATTCGAAGGGGAAATCCTCAAAGGCATCCTCAGTTCGGAGTGGGACAAGCATACCCTGCTCAACGACAGATTCAGTATTTAGCCGTGTAACGTCAACAACTACTTTCTCGCAGGCAACAGAACCCCCACCTACTCCAACCAAGACTTCAAAGTCCCAGGCCGACCATACACTTAAGGCCACCTACTCTGACGACGGCGACCTTGATGAGAGTGATTCTGACTCGGAAGAGCGTGCAGCTGCCATTGCAGAAAAAGGACAAGGCAAAGCTGCTATGACGGTAAGTTGCAGTGGACCCCTGGGGCCCTGACGAATGGCGTACTTACCATCTATTCCAGACCGTTATCGAAATCGAGAGTGGCACTGATACCGACGTGTATGTGACAGTTCCTAGCACGGGATCGAAGGGGAAAAACAAAGCCGTCACTCGCGCAAAGGTAAGTCCAATCAGCTATTTATGATTGACAAGATGTGTACTTACTATGTATATAGGTTATCGTTCCAGGAACGCCCCAGGAATCTGACACCGATGACAACGTCTTGGATATGCCACTGGCCGGCACTCCCTTCGCTGATTTGCCTTACGACAGGCAAGTAGAGATCAGTTAGCTATGCCTTAGAGCAAGGTGCACCTCGTGCTGGCAAGAGGAAACTTGACCTTGGACCTGAAGACAACTCGAACGATTACGAGGATGGAGATGGAGATGACGTCATGGAGTTTGAAGATGACACCATGCAGCTCGACAGTGAGATTGAAGGCAGCACCCAACCTATTGCCAAAGAGGCGAATAAAGTAGTCCGCACCACTTCAGCGGTAAGCCACTCTTTTTTGGCAACATTTGTTCTAACAATGTCACCACAGACAAACACGACGGCTGTCGAGAAACCGATTGCACCGCTGCCAGCCAAGAAGGTTAAATTAGAGCCGGCTTCTAAAGCCTCCACAAAGGTACCACGCCCAGCCAAGAAGGTCAAATCAGAACCGGCGTCCAAAGTCGCGATGACCCGGGCACCAGACGTTCCTGAGTCGATGCTGGCAGACATGGCGACCAAGCCAGCACCAGGTAGTACCCAGTGGCGAAACACGGACCTTCCACCTCTAATGATGGTGAACAAGTTGTGGCGTAAGCAATTCATTCCGACTGTTCTCCTTTGGGCGGGTAGCCAGCCCAATTTTTGGACGATCGAGGCCGCAGATTTGCTGGCTGCAGGTGCAGGCCATTTTCAACGCGATGTACCCAGACGTGAAGCATCAAATCCAACCCAAGGGCCCCATCATGGGTGTGGTCAGTTTCGTCCTCGTCTATATTTTTATTCGCAATCTTGATAATAAATTCAACCTCTAATAGGTCACCCAGCGTTTGTGCATCTGGCGCAACAATTTTAGTTCAACCGCTGTATCGCTAATCACTAATTTCCTGGTATCATCGAAGGACGACGAGGACGAGGACAGGTGTCGAAGACGAGAACACCGACAACGAGGAGCAGTACATGGTTCAAATGGCGACGTCCCTTCTTGAAGGTTACGCGTTTCTGTTCGCGGACCCCGATACCTGCAAGCCATCTGAAATTTACCGCTCTGTCTTCACACCTCAGGCATCAGTTTTCGGTATCAATAAAGGTCTGTGAGACCGTATTATTATGTTAGGTACAACCCCATCTCTCAGACCCAACCTCCCGGATGTTCTAAAAATAGAACCTACCAAAACTCCCTTCCTTGCTCTGCGGGACCTCCCTGGATCGTCGTGGCGCTTCCTGGATCTTCTGGACCTCTGAAACACCTACATTCATCCTCGTCGACATCCTGTCCGAGCATCTGGGTAGGGTCCATGGCGCACCCGCCAGATTACTTAGTAGACCTTCTGGTTTACTTGCTAAGTCCTTTTCCTCTTGTCTTTTCCCTCTACGCTGCCACCTTCATCATGGCTCCCGCCCGCTCTGCGCGTGGCAATCAGCCAACATCTACAGGGCTAGGGCACCACTATGTTAGCCCCAAGAAAGCTCGAAATGCGAAAAAAAAAACCCAATCCCTTGTTCATATTCCAGGCATTGGTCCTAAACGCGAGCGCCTCCTCGCGCAAATGGCCGCCCTAATGAACCCTCAAGTATTAAATACTGACTCCCCCGGTTCTAGTTCTACGGCTGTTCAATCTGATGCCCCAACGAACATTGATGATGCTGCGACTTATACTTACGATGAGGCCGACTACGACATGACCGACATAGGCCAGCTTGACCAACAAGTACCTTGCTCTACAGCTGTGGTCCACGAGGATACCGGGCGCCGTATCTTGCCAGACAAGATGGCAAACAATCTCTATAGTGCTTGGAAAGTACTTATCCCCACCTTGGTCGATGCTCACCTCAAGTATTCTGCACGAACACACGGGCACCCTCTCACAGAAACCCATCCCATCATATCTGCCTGCGCAAGCCATGCTTGTTCACAACGACATTTCTCCATTGTTTGCCTCTTTTTCGACCGTAAGTAGTTTATTCATTATGTGCCGCTCCAGCTGACAATTGCAGGTTTCAATAACATCGATGTATTGGCCTGCAAATGTTCCACGCTTGCGCAAGTCCTTATTCACCACGGACTTTTCCCTACTGCGCCATCCCAACCACGTATGGCAGTTTCTGTCGATCTCCTTGCATTCTATCGCGCCTTATTCGAGCGCTCATGTGATGCTGTCCACGCTCTCGCCTCTGCTCTCAAGACTCATTATTCCCGCAGAGGTTTTCAAATGACTAATGCAGATGTAAGTTTCGATTTATCGGCCTTTTTCTATCCTAACTCATCACACTATAGGGCCAAGCCATTCAAGAACCATTTCGACGTGGCCTTGGCCAAGCCGTTCAATGGTATGACATATTGCAAATTCAGGTCGAACAACAGACTGAAGCTACGGTACAAATCTGTCGAGATCGGGTGTACGAGGCTCGGAGATCGCAACGTAAAGAGGATGCAAGCATTTTGACCCCCACACCCTCCAAAACCTCCCTACTTCAAGGAAAATGCGCTTCTATTCTCGTGCAGCGTTGCCCAGCATGTTTTGGAGGTGCCCTCTTCGGCAGGCCACTTAGCGATGGCGGAGATATCCACGTTGCAACAGACGGGAACTTCCATCATCGTCATCGCCGATCTGCGGGTGATTGCCCCCACTTCTATGAACCCTCATATTTCCTTCCGAAGGCCCAGGTTGACGAAGTTGGACGGCGGATCGTCTCGAAACGTAAGCGTGCCCCCAAGATTCGCACTCGTGTAGTCCCAGATGAAGCCATCGATCAATGTGAACATTCATACGAAGCCGCAGACGGCAAGAAGCAAAAGGCCGCCATGGATTCTTTTGATGACACGGGCATCATGGCCCTCATTTGCCGTCATGATGTCCCACTCTTATTTGCTAATATCGACTCTCCTGGCGAGCAACAGAAGTACGCGGTAGCGTTGATTGAGCATCTTTTTTCCCTGTTGCCGCAGGAAGCCACTGTCATCACGCTCTACGACGTTGGCTGCGTCCTCTCCCGCTCACTATCTCAGGTAAGCGATTCTTTACTCGATCCCATCTCAATCTGATATATCATTATGTAGTATGATATTCTACCTGATCATGTGACTTCGCGTCTTCGATTTGCGACCACTGCCATGCACGCCTACGGCCATGAGTGGGCATGTCAACTCGAATACAACCCTCGGATGAGCACTGGCCTTGGTCTATCCGACGGCGAGGGTACAGAGAGGCTTTGGTCAAGGTTTGTCAAGTTGATCGGAATTCAACGTTCATCGTCGGTAAGTGGTCAGCAGTATACAGATGATTTTTCATTAACAATAATGCACTACACAGCGACAGAGGCGCCTTTGGTTGATAGACCGACAAGCTGCTGCCATCGGTATGGAAATGCGAGTAGATCTCGGCGACTGGATCAAGCGGCGGCTCAAACGTGGCGTTAATGCTCAGGGCGCAGCGGCCAAAGAAGTGCTGAATAAATGTGGCATCGAAACTGACGACCTCCAGGCCCAGTGGGAGGATCAAAAGAAGTCGCAACTCTCCATTCGTGCCCGTACGTCTGTTTTAGTCGCTCAAAATCATAACTAACATCTCATATCGCGATCTCCAGATGCTCCTGCACGACTGAAGAAGGAGCTCGATGTCGTTCTTGCTCTACAGTCTGATCTAGATGCTTCAGATAGGGCTTTGCAAGCCACGCGCGCTGTGGTAGAGAAGGGTTCAGCTACCGAGGAAACACTAGACGCTCTAGACAGCCTCGACCGCAGCCATGACCGATTGATGAACAAGGTCGAGGTATTGTATTCCTCCCTTAATGTCCATGACAGGTTTCCAGAGTTGCAAGGTGTCGACTTAGATTTTGTCCGAACGCTACTCATGGCCCGCGACCTGAAAATAAATATCCGCAAGCGTGCCATAGGCAGCTTTTTTGAGTGGGATAGGCTTGACCGTGCAGTCGGCGGTGCAAATCAGGCACTCGGTAATGTGTAATACTTCTATGTTGCCGCATTAGAATTCTGACACATTGAACCAGGCACAAAGCTTCATCAGCACACACGCAAAGCCATCGCGAAGCGCCAGCCTGCTTTGATGACTGCGATTCGCAAATTTAATTCATACTGCGAGCGTCTCGAGAAGCTCTACGACCCGTCTTGGGGTGTCCCTCTCCCTGCTGCTCTGCCTACCAAACTCGCTGACCTTCGAAATGATCAGACGTTGATGGAGGATGTATGGATCACTCCATCCGTAGGAGATGTCCCCCGTTGGATGGAAGATGCTGACGTCAGAGATGGTATACAAGCGTTGCTCAAATGAGAGCGATGCCACGAAGAACAGCGCCGTCTTGGACTCGAGGCAGATAACCTTTGTCGGTGGTTCGGAGATGAGCTGGCTGCCTTGGAACTTGCCCTACGCTCTCCCGCAAGTAAGTAATTCTATATACTAGTATATTTATGATCGGCGCTAATCCTAGAAGACTACACATTCACATTCCCCTTGCAGCAACGTCGGGATCATATCCTTCAGCTGCAAACTAAATGGGTTACCCCACTTGCGTCTTCTGTCCGCTTCGACAGCAATGCCACAGCGGCAGTCAATCTTGCAATCACACTTTGTGGGAGCAAGGGACCATCAGAGGATGTCATCTACAGGCTAGTACCGACCACGTTGGCACTCGCTGATCCATCTCCCGAGGATGACACTGATGAATATAATGCACCTGCATTTGAAGAAGCCATTGAAGAAGCGGCGCTCGTGGACATTTTCCCCGAAGGCACCGTTACTGACGACGAAGATGACGAAGGCGTGGAACAACCTGAATTCACGATTAGCTGGGAACTGCCAGAGGTATGTTCCCATCTCTCAAGTGACCCACACTCATCAAATGTCATAGAATCTTCGTACAGATCCTTTCAAAGTTCCTCGCCCAGAAGAAAATATCATTGTACCAGCCTCGGGCCCTCCCCCGACTCGGGTGCGACCTGCCCAAGATGGTTTTCCTCTCCAAGTATTTGACTCAAGGGATCAGTCCTTCCTGGCACAGCCTACTGCTCGCCTGAATGATACGTGTATCAATGGCTGCGCCGCACTGCTATACTCTGAGATACGGATGAACTCACGTGCCCGGCCTTGTGCTATTCTATCCACGCACGATCTCCCTCGTATCCGGTACAATGCGTCGGATGAGATACTGTGGCGAAATACTTCGTGGACGTCCTTTTGGGACAAAGACATTTGGGTCTTACCTGTTCATCGCCCCTCACCGGTCGGACACTGGGTGTTTTGTGCAATTTATATTCAAACTAAAGAACTTCACCTGTTCGACAGCCTGGCTGAGCGACAGCCGTGGAAAACCGACGTGAAGGTCAGTAATGATTTCGGCTATCCTCTGTTGAACTAACAATGATCCGAAAACAGGACATTATGAATCTTATTGCACGTCTATCATCCATCGCTCACCAACGGCGTGGCTCGCATAAAATTGATCTTAAAGGCTGGGTAGCCCGTCCACTAATAGTCAATCCTCTGCAAACTAATGGCTACGATTGTGGTCTCTGGGTCCTAGCGGCACTTGCGGCCGTCTTGCGGGGAGCACATAAACCAGGCATGTGCGAGGAGGATATGATCGCCTTCAGACACTATATACGTACACTAGTAGTCAGAATACCTACTCCGTGATATGGAATACATAACTTGTCTACAACTCTCTCGAAGACGTGCGCGGAACTGCTTTGAGTACCTACGTACAGCGACTGTCTTTGGGCTTGGCAGAACCTTGTTGGAGGGAGCTGAAAGTGAGGTGATCTGTGCGATGCAGTCACGATACCAGATATATTGTGGAGAGGAGACACATCAAGCACATTCATCGTATTTTCGCTGATGCTGGTGTAGTTTCAAGGCAAGAAACCCTTCATACATCAAGCCAACCAACTGCTTGATAGTGTGTTTGCTGACCATCGTGTAGTTGAGGAAGCCCGAGGTCAGAATTGTCAAAAAGTCACAAACTGGTCGAATTGACGTTTGAGCGACTCAGAAACACTCACAACTCAATGAAGCAATCTAAGTGTTACCAGTGTTACACAAAGTATGGTAGCTCTGCATGATAAAAGCCTCAAGATATGTATCTCATCTGAACCGGGCTGGTGAGGGCTTCAGTTCTGGCCTGTTCATAGCCATACGTTGTTCCATATGATACTGAAGAGACATGTTTTCAGTTTTGTAGGAGTTTTATACACAACTTGATTGGCTATCACAACCTCTCGGGATGATGCATCCACTAGCCCAACTAGGAGATCAGCGTAAAGGAATCTAGATCGTAACAAGGTACCCTGCAAGCATGTCTCTTCGTCTTCCATGGGCAAAAAAAACTATCAAATGTTTCCCTTTGGGTACAAATTCTTGATTCCTGCGAGGACCAGATAGGACGTTCGTGGTAACTTCTAGAGTACAAAATGGTATACAAGAGACGTTCGTGGTAACTTCTAGAGTACAAAATGGTATACAAGAGACCCCCCTGATTACACAGCTGGACCCAACAAACCTGACATCTAGTTCATCCTCATTGGTAGCGCGAACCGTAGTCACAGTCACCTAAAGCTGGGTGAGCAGCCCGTCGATTTCTTCCTCAGAGCCATTTGAAGTTGCCGTAAGCTGAGTTAGGCAGGTGATCTGTGGAATGAGTGCGCTCATCTCTCCCCTACTGACAGGCAAAGAGGAGCGCTGGGAAGAGGGGCGCTGGGAAGAGGAGCGCTTGGATGTTGCTTTCAACCTCCAGGAGGGAGGGGCAAGGGGTAACTCGACGAAAACTTGGTGTTTCCGATGACGCGAACTTGAAGGCGCAGGAGACACCACAGGAGAATCCTCAGGTGAGAGTATCCGTAGTTTCCGCCGACGAAGCTGACGCAAAGGTGCGGGTGGAGACAGGACAAGATCTGATAGCGGCTCTGAGGGCAGCTCTGAGGGTGTCTCTGAGGGCGGCTCTGGAGAAGTCTCGGCCATTGCGAGTCGATGAAGCCCCTTCCTATCGATCCGACCATTGAGGAACGCACGCCGGCCACGCAGGTCTTGCGAATCATATTCAGGCGCCTCTCCGAAGATGATTGGTTCACGGGAGATCATGATTTGCCGGCGGGTGTTATTGTTGATGTGTTGAACGGTGATGGAATTGTTTCTGAGTGCGTCAGCGAGTAGGTCCCGCTCATGGATTGTGAGGTCGTGGATACCCTTGCTCTTGACAAGTGTTGGGCGTTTCTCGCCGGGCATGAGAACATTCTCGGGGTAGTGGTGGAGGGTGCAGCCCCGGTGGGCTAGAATGGTGGGCAGTGTCTTCCACGGAAATGTCCCCCCACGACCATCGAGCGTGCCTGTAAAATCGTTAGTAATTCAACAGATCAATCACCAAGACTTACCAAGAAGTGCATTCAGCCCGCCAATAATGCAAGGGATGCCATCGAGCTGCTTCCAATGCTCAGAATCTCTAACTTCCCGCCTCTCAAGCCACTCCGCTAACAGTGTTTCTCCTGGTATCCCGCGTTGTGAAGCGATGCGATTGAGAACTGAATCAAGTCTGGCGAAATCCATATCGCGATTCATGGCGAGATCCGTGTGTCCAATTTTTTGAGGAGGAGCAGCACAGTTTGAAGAAACGGCCAGTGAGAGTGATGGGGAAAATGCGAGGAGAACGGCCCCATCGATGGCAGAAGCACTCTCGAGAAGCCAACACAAACTCAATTGACGAAGCATCGATGTTGTGCTAAGTCAATATTTGGAAGATCAGTGACGGGGAAATATTCCCACGCAGAACACTCAACGGACGTCAACGTTGTCAACGTTCAACATAACGTCAAGTCATTTATTATCCCACTGGAGGATCGTCGATTCTCATCTATGCAAGATCAAATCTCCGAGTTACGAGTAAGTCCAACAACATCCAAATTTTCAGTATGCTGAACAACCAGGACAGACAAGTGTCCGAGCCATGAGCATGCTGGCTTGGCGCCCATAGACTTGGAGTATTTAATTTGCTCCCTCACCAACCTACATGATTTTTCATGGCGGCTGATTTTCCCGTTTTCCTCGCATACTTCCTAACTTCTGTTCTCAGTTAGTAAGTTTGAAGGGCAATTACGCCTATACACGAGCCTCTCGGATGCCATATGTGAGCAGATCCATTACTTTCTGGTCGATCACATTCCTGACTTCTGTTTCGAAGCAGCGGATCTCTTCATCCGCGCAACCTCTCCTGTGTTTATATCTGCCAGCCAAAAAATCTTTGTGCGACCTCCCGATCCCGTGAGTTTTTTTTTGTTGACAACGTGCATGCGCAGTCCTCACCAGCACTCCAGAACAAAAATTCAAAATAGTTCCTCTCTCGCGCAACATTTTTTCAGGTGAGACATTACTATACGTTGTTGTAGGACTACGCTCACTCATCCTCGTAGCCAAAAACAGTTCTTCTCTCGCGCAACATTTTTGCAGGTGAGACATTACTATACATTGTTGTAGAACTACGCTCACTCATCCTCGTAGCCATGACTCAGAAAAAACCCGGCTATCTCACGCCTGAATATGCAAGGTCCTCCCCTTTCCCTGAGTCCCTTTTGCCCGAGTCCATGCTAGATCCCACCGAAGGAGACTACCTGCAAGAACAAGTGGGCGGCGGTAAACGTTATGTGGATCCCGTCGTGGATCCAACTCCAACCCGTCTCCGGACGTGCATCAAACCTACAGCTCGAGACATGGGGCTTGTCAAGGAGGCATCCATGCGTCGTCAAGCCATGCCCGCTAATGATCAGCCAGCTGGAGGTGATTCTGGATCAGCAGGCAGCTCCCTCATTAGCGAGCCCATCAGTCAGGAAGTTGTGCACCCTCCGCAACTTTCTGTACCTGTTGCTGGTACCGAACCTCCTAACATCCGCAGTAGTCCGGCACTCGAGCCTGTGCCAGCTCATCAGGATGTACCTGCACATCAGGCTGTACCTCTTCAGGATCTATTCTATGATTCTGGCATCGCCCCTCCCAAGGTTCCTCCGCAACCAAATCTATTCACTAAGCCTGCTCGTGTCGAGTATGGGACATACGACTTTAGTGGTGATTTCGCCAGCTTTCATAATATCGTTAACGACATTCCGGGTCCCTCTACACTATCCGCCACCACCGGCTTTCGTGACATCGCCAATGGCGTCCCTGGTCCATCTACGCTACCCGCCACCACCGGACCCTCTGCAATACCCTTTGTCCCTGAGACACGTATCATACCTCCGACCCCCACTTTTCAGATGGATCCGGCGTTGGGAGACTGGGATCTTGATGATGTTCTGATGGATGACAGTGAAGGTACCGTCCCTGCTGTGAAAGGACGGAGGCAAGATGCGACGAATGACATCCTTCGCGAGGGCTTCGTAAATATGGAACGCCTCGTGCATGAGCTCAGTCATCAAACTTCCATTCCCACTCATCAAGTCATCTCATTGTGGAACAAGAGCCACGCTCGCGGCATCAACAACGTCAACCACTGGAATGCATATAGCGGCTATTTCAAAGATAATCTCAAGCAGGAGCTTGACAGACTCGGTGACAAGGCTCCTGAAATACCAGGCACACCAAGTAAGTGTTTCTCTCTCTCGCTACGTTGTTTGTTCTGACAATTTTTTTTTGTCTAGGTGCTACTGTACGCCGGAACTGCTATGAGCTGTTTAAAGCAGCGTATCCCGACACGTGGCAGACTATCCTAGAGTACCATGGCCAGTCCGTAATTCTCAGTGGTGTCCCTCAGACCATTGCCATGCGCGCACAGGAATTTCAAAAGTTTTGTAAGAAGATCATTGGAGTGGTACGCACGCAAATTTCAACTGGCAGTATTATATTACTGAACACATGTAGATGGATGGAGGGGCTGCACGGTTCGGATTTGAAGCAGCTTTGGTGACGTGTGGCAAAGTCGTTAATCAAGATGGTGGTCTCGGCCTAACTCATACAACTCCGGGAGCTGCTGGTGTAAGTTTGCTTTTTTGGTTTTCATTTGACCTCAACGTCGTATACTCACACTCGCACAGTTTTGGCTCTCGCGTTGTAAGGCTGACGATGATACAATTATCGGGCATCTCAAGGCGCAAGTGTAGTAAGTTGCCCATATCCTTCAGGGATCTTGCTAGTGACTGAGCCGCCCATATCTAGTAATTTGACATCACTCGCCATTGTCGAGGAAGCCTTCCCAGGAGACAACAGCGTTACCCAGCCAGACATGCACAACGAACGTGACACATCAATCGCTCTATCCGACACCATCGATATATCCAAGGATGGAACCAGGTGGATCAAGACAGAGATCTCTCGCCAGCTCAGTACGTGTTAGTATATCCTCCTGCTCTTATTTGCATTAATGAGGAGCAACAGCGAGCCTGGGCGGCAAATTCCTATCGTCAAAGAAGTTCCCGTGGAATACCCTCCCAGCGGAGCTCACACGGCAGGGGATGATGATAAAGGGCTACCCCGAGGATGTATTGCTCCCCGGGGAATACCATGCTTCAAAGAGTAAAGGCATTGCCAATCTCACTCTGAAGGAGGCCAGTGAGGTCATCGCGGCATTGAAGGCGGGCACCATGTGCTTGAAGAAGGTTTCGCAGGACGAGCAAGGTACATCTTCAACTTATTTCATTGCTGCGTTGCGACATCTAAGTGCATTTTTCTACAGCTGAGATTCTCACTTCTGAGCGCCCAGTAGTGGAGGGCGCACGTCCCCCAGCGGATTCTGTCCATACAGCAGGACGTCGCCTTTTCGCCAATGGACATTCTGATCGCAAGGGACTTGCTCACGAGAAGCCTAGTAAGGCCGCCACCAAGAGGAAAGGGAAGACCTCTCAGAAGGCCCCGGCCATCCGCACTTCTCCGATCTCCCTGTCTGACGACTCTGACTCAGATGATTCATCCGATCCCCCCACCAGACCCATCGGTAGACCTCCCCCCTCTCGCAAATTTAAGGTCGTGCAGCTCCCAAAGGAACAGAAAAAGAAGGAAGTTATCTCTCTCATGTCTAGCGATGATGGCACCGCTAAGAAGGCCGACTCCGACTATGAGGACAAGGCTATGTCCAAGAAACGAAAGGCAAAGTCAGTGGATAGCTCACGAGCGGCGAAGAAGAGGGCTTCGTCTCCTGAGGTGCCTGCGCCTAAGGTAAATAAAGGCAAGGCGCCCATGAGAGCCAAGGGGCAAAACGAGAAGGTAGGGAAGCCAGGGATCATCGAGTCCTCAGACGATGAAATGCCTCGTGATGCTGCTAAACGCCTACGTGATGGCCCACCTGAACTCAAAGGTATCAAAGGTATTGTGCTGATTCATTCTCCTCTCACTGGTTGATTGACCAAATATTTAGAGCGCCCAAAGCCCCGTCCAGTCAAGCCTGCAGTCAAGCCCCTTGTAGCATCCGAGGAGGCCAACTCTACCAACAAGACCGCTGCTTCAGACCACGCTGAGCTCGCTGCCAATAATACTGCAGACCTCGCTGAGCTCGCTGCAGATGCTACTGCAGATGCCGACCACGCTGAACTCGCTGTCGATGCTACTGCAGATGCAGACCACGCTGAGCTCACCGACAGGCTTCCTCCACAGTCACCCTCACCAATGCGTCGCCAGCCTTCCCACATGCTCACAGACCGAGTTGTCCCTGCTGCAACCGCTCCAAGTGACAACGTTGCTCCGGTTCAGCCAGCTGAGTCCTCTCATGATGCTAACCTGAGGCCAGACATTGGTCAGGCTGATGGTCGCATGTATGGCCCACGCCAAGGATCACGTATGGAGCCGCGTTACCGGTCAACATGGAACAATCCTCCCTACAGGGAGAATCATCCTCAGGGTCCTGGCCGTGGGTTCCCTCGCTATCCGCCAGCTGATTACCAGCGCAGTTACTATGATCAACGTATGCAGCATGGCCCTCCGCCCCCTCATGTCCCCCTGCCTCCTCATGGGCCGCAGCCTCTTCAGCCTTCTCGCGGGTCTCAACCTCCTCGCGGATCTCAACCTCCTCACGGGTCTCAGCCCCCTCAGCAGTACAACGAAAATCACCAGCACGGCGGTGGATATTATGATGGTCGCTACCGTGATCGTGACCCTGGAGAGTACCGTGAAGATTATTGGCACCCCTCCAGCAACCCATATCATCGTGAAAGGGAAAGGGGAGGGTACTACCCATACGGGCCTGATTATTCTGATGATCAGACGGACCTTTGAAATCCTCCATTTTGCCGCATTCGTTGGACTGCCTTGTACACTGCGTTATGATGTATCTTGATATTGAGCCTTGTATCTGACTTGCCTTGCTGTTGATGTCCGTTTTTTGACTGTGTTGTATTTACCATACTTGTCAATGCATGGCCTGCACGGCCTTCTGTCTGTTTCATGCCTTGTTGGTAACACACGAAAAAAATCAACAATCAAACAAACAATTGAATTGTGCTATGGAAGTATGAAAAACATAACAAAAAACATATGCGCTCTGACATACACCGCATGGACATCATGCCAACATACGGAGATCAGGTGCAGAGGATCTGGAGAGGTCACCCTCGCGAGTCGCGAACATCGCACCAACATATGGTGATGTGGACATCACCTGCGGAGGATCTGGAGATGAGGAGGATGAGGAGGATGGACTCACCCTCTGCAAGAGGATCCACATGTAAACTCAGGAGGGAGATTCAGACGGCCCTATGAAACTCAGGGGAGACATCCTGATGGAGGTTGGTCTCTTAGACCTTTTATTGACAACATAAAAATAGGGTCTGACATACCGTGAGAACATCGTGAAAGTGCTGCCAAGGGTGTGTCTTCATGGTGCAAATGATCGCGATGACGCATCTTAAAATAGTCACGGACTTCGTCGACGTGCCCGAGCTTGACACATGCACCCTAATTTCGACGAACATGGAGAGCGTGGTTGCTGCTTCTGCCGTCGCCGTAAGCCCCGTCTTCAAATTCAAACAATGACTAATGATTACTACTATCCTACAGCTCGAACGTGCTTTGAAGTTAGTTGCAGACGAAGAGAAGAAGGGCGCGGCTCTCAAAACCCCCCTCAAGCTCAACAAAGCGACCGGCAAGGAAAGCAGCGTTCTGCTGTCTTTTTCCGAGTTGAACTGGGGGAAGTTCACGCAAGATTACTACCAGTCCCTCGTGAAGCGCGGCCCTGAAGTATACGGCGGACATAATCAAGATGGCGCATAAATTCCTCAAGGACTTGAACTCCGAAGTCAGCACGAAAGGCTCTGCTGGGGATGGTGCCGCAGCTGCTGCCAGTGGGGGTGAGCGTGCACTGCTCTGTGAGTACTAATGTTGTCTTTTTTCTGTGCTTCGTTGATGTGATTTTTCAATAGAACATCCACCGCTTCGTCTTTTCACAGGTTCTCCACTACTATTTCATTCTTGCAGCTGTGCCTACTACATAGTCGAGTCTCATACTACTACTAATTCATCATCCGCGTACAATGTTCCCCGCCACAAGCCATCTCCCCTTCACACTTTAATACCCACTTATTCTACTTTTTTTGATGGTATCACGTTGTTGAAATAAGTGTTTCTAGCGGCCTCGTGAAAATAAGTTGGAAAAGGCCGGGAAAAGTTCGAATTGAGTAGAGGGATCTACTTAAATAAGTTTGCTCTGACTTTTCTACCTTTGCATGGTGTGGCGGGAAAAAAATGGCTTTAAGTACGAAAAAGGTAAACCCGTAATTTACTGATGCATGATCCTCATCAATTAAAGGTTCATCAATCGCTAGCTACCGTCTATCTCTTATTCCATCGATCAGGACTTGACTGCACTGGCGAAGACACTGACAATCTGAATGCCGCCATGGATCATCTCAAGGCAGTAGCAAATTTTATCTCTGGAGGTTTGCGATTTCGTCTGTCAGCAAGTCTATGCTGGATTCGTCATGCTCACAGCATTCACATGCCTTGATAGTTTAGCTCCGTTTTCTACATTGAATGCAAACGTGGTATGTATATATACAATGAGTTATTCAAGATATCATGCCGTGAGTTGTCGCCTTATACTATCAAGATACAGTCAATTCCCAGCAAGTCGTTACATTCATCTGATTACACGTTGCAAGATGACCCTTCCACAAATATATCCTTGCCTGTCGACGGTCGGTCCTGATTACCGTACATCGAGGCATCGTCCTTGTGCGTGAATTGAGATATATGGACCTGCAGAGGCTTCAAAGGATATTGCTGCAAGTTTCCCCGATTCGTCTCACTGGTCGACCCTCCACGGACAGTCAAAACATGACTGCGATTGTTTCTACCGATTGTGATTCGAATAATTACCATGTAGAAAGCAATGGAGATGATCGGCGGGAGCTGGTTGACCGAAGGTCAGTACTTTTCAACAATTTGTCGTGTGAACTCACTATGTCTATCATCACAAGTGTTCCATTGTTCGAGCGGAGCGAACCGATTCACGTGCAGAGGAGCGCTATGGAGTATATAAGTGCGACTGTTGGCGACATTGCGTTCGATTTTCCAGATGCGGTACGCCAGTAATCCTGAACAAATACAGGTTGGTATGAGGATGCAACACCGTGCACAGACAGAAGAGCGCTTACCAGAACTCAACAAATTAGCTGCAAGTGTCAAGGTATAGAACCCCGAGATCCATTCACGAGTCAATTGGCTAAAGACATTTCCGGAGGTGCTAGCTGTGTGCGAAAAACTGTAGAGCGAATAAATACCGGTTACTTCAAAACGACATCAGAGTATGCGAGATCCTATGCATATTTGGAACCTGACCTCAATTGAACTCACCACCACCCCATCGCCAAGTAGAGTTTGCAAAATGTATAGTGTTCTCGACCAAGAAGGTAAGGGTTTGAACTTTGTAAGTACAACTGCGGCCGAGAAGCTTGATGGTGTCACATAATTATTTAAATGACTAAGTTTCTTGTTGACAACGTTACGCGTTCGTGCTTTATCATAAGTACATCGAGGTCTTTTGTCCGTCCGCCCGCTAGGTTCCCCTAAGTCTATAGAAGGATGGCAGTCGTCCGAGTCCTTTCGCCCGTTCCCGTAGTAAGAACCTCATCCGTCCCTCCCCGACTGGGTCCTTAGGGCATGTAAAAACCAGGCTGGCTAACGATAGTATGTATCGTTATTTCTGAGTTGTTGGCCAGAGGGACATACCGCTATAAAGGGGCAGAGTGCCACCGAGTACAAAATAGCAGCATCGACAAGTACCCGCAATATTGGTATTTTGCGCCTCGTAACGCGAACTACAGAAACCTTGTGTTCGATCATCCAGATGCGATATGCCACTAGTCCTGGATACATTCAAATCGGTGTGGGGCCTCGACATCGTCCATACGCAGGTGTTTGCTTACCTGAACTGAACAAATTGGTTGCGAGCGTAAAGGAAAGGAATACTGTGATCCAAACCCCAGTCTCGCTAGCAAAGAAAGTCGACTCAAGGGTTCCTGGGGGACCACTCCTCGGTGCGTAGACCCAACAAATACCAAAAGCTTCAGAAAAACAAATGTCAATCGAGTTTCCGAGTCCCATGATGGTCGTCGTCAGGTTCGGAAGTGATAATCGTGGCGATAACATGGAGATGAGCCCAAGCTGCGCTATGGCAGCGGCCCAGTCGTCGAGGGCTGCATGGTCGCTGAGGATCTCATTGTAGACTTACTCGAGGTTGTCGATTTGAGGTCAATACGCGATGCGGACGTCACGAGAATTTACTCATTAATCATAGCTATAGTTGAACACATGCTATAATCAATCAGTAAATTTTCCTTGACATGAGAACGTAAAGTTGGGTTGTAAATGGTACGGCGGAATGTTCTTCAAGAAGGGCATACTCTGATACACAGCACCAGAATGCAAGACCAAGGACCAAGGAGCGTATGCAGCTTCACTGGCAGATATTCCTAACTTTGAAGGAAAGGAAGGTTGGCTCGAGCGTCGGAAATATAATTGTAAATAAGGATATTACAACTCCGCGAACTTCGACTTAATCAACAAAGTAGTCAGCGACTCGTGCTACAAACAAGAGCTGCCTACAGAGATTGCTCTCCACATATCATATCATCCTTCTCTCATTACAATATCTCTGCAATGCCTGGCTCGTGTCCATGGAATGACAATACCCGTTCACCCCATCCTGAATCGTTTCGATCAACAGGCTCATGTAGACGATTACGCTCACTGCGAATACGATCACAGCTACACCATCTTCAATCGCCACGACAACATCAAGGAAGTATGGCACTGTTCCCGCGACTTCCGGGACTCTGAGATGCCAGAGGACTTCTAACTTGACGAATCCATGATTAAAGCATTGCAGGAAGCCGCTCAGTGTTATACCTCCCCAACAAATCATAGTCATTTCAGACCTTGGGCCCTCATCCAGATGCCCGACTTCGTCCGTGCATTCCGCTTCTCGTACCCTATGCTGCTTTCGGCTGGCGAAAATAACGCTTATTTGTGGGACGTGCCGACGTCTCGTCCTGTTGAAACGACTGGCAACATTCAGGCTCCGAATGAAGGCGGGACACTAGGACGCCTCAACTATGTTGAAGTCAACAACCAATACGCTTTCTTCTGCGGGTCCATTCAACTACGTTTTTTTTGCAAGGTGCAGTGGGGCCATGGTCTATTATCTGGGCATGAAAGATTTGCCGTGCACCTACTGGGACGTGCTTCCAGATAGCGACGATCACCCGTGCCCTTCTTCGCTCTACCAGCCCTAACGACTTCACGAAGCATATCACGTCTCATCTACATGTCAGAGCAACTTTGTCGCGGGTAAGTTATACACGTCGATCTACACAATTTAGTCACTGTTTGCGCAGCCCATGAATCTTCCTCGGGCAAGGACATGGGAGTACTCACCGCATCAGGGATCTTCATCTGGATGCCCGGCTTCAAACGACTTATCCATCGCGAGGCCGCTCTCAACGACACAGCAACCCTCCTCAACCTCAATCACTCCCTCGACAACGTCCGAGACATCTCCGTCTATCTAGCCCTCGGAGAATCAAATGAAAAAGCCGCAATTGCGACCGTAAGTGTCCCCTCCCACATCTAGACTTCTCAGTGCTAAACCCATCGCAGCGTAAAGGTCTATTTATCGTGTCCCTAGACCCCGATATCAGCAACCTCACTGCGGAGGCCCCGGCTCGCCCTGGCCTATCTGTCTGCCGCGTCGCGAAATACGACCACAGCCGACACCTATCTTTCATCTCATGTCTGCAGATGACGCACACTGGGCTCTTTTTCAACTAGTACCCATCTTCGGAGCAAAACAGGCCTTCTCAGCCTGCACGGCGCATGGTGATGATCCCTGGAAGGCAGAGACACTTTGCCCGGCCTGGAGCCTATTGAGTCTAGTGATGATGATGAGCCGGGTGAAGGTGCAGTTTTGATCCGCTTTCTCCCACTAACGCAGAGCAAGCTGGCCTACCCTTACTGGTTAAAACGCACGAAGAGGACGAGGACGAGGGGAACAATGGGGAGGGAGGGGATCTCGTAGTACATGAAGATGTTGATGATTTTGAGATGGAGGATGTGGAGGATGAGATGATTGATGATTTTCAGTTCGGTGGTGATGGTGAGTGCTTGTTGTGTCGAGGAGTTCTTGATCTGATGCTTGATTTGTTTTTCTTTCCTTTCTTTCGGTGTAGGTTTTATCCAGGTCATCGTGAATGATTGGTTCCTTCCTATCAACTCCAGCATGGTGCATTGCATACATGTTCGACACAATGATCGGCAACGCGAATACCACATCTCAGATATGTACTGGCGGGATCTTCGATATCGGCATTGGCAGCACTCCTGCTTGGATTGACGGTAACACCCTGAAGAATGTGTACTCCGTCTTCCATGCTAGTCCCACTGCCGTTGGCTTTACCCAGCTTGCCAGTGGCTTGAGCTCTTCAGCTGGACTTTCCGACTCAAACCCGGTGCAGGTGACTGGCTTGACACCCCTGCCTACTAGTACATGCGTGAGCCTCGAGTGGGAACGGAAACACGACGAGCGGCAGCACACGCTCTGTATCTGCTTCTTCCAACAAGAACATCGCCCTATCGCTTACTCTTCTCGCCTCTGTGACAGGCTGCTTCACCCTCTTCCTCTAAGCAGAGGCAATGTCTTGTACGATGTATAGACCATTCTTCTGTTTCTTTTGGTGGACCAATATTGCAGGAAGGCAACTGTGTATAGATCATTCATCAGTGTCTTCTTCTGATGCACAGTACGCACATTTTATGACGTCATTATTCTCTACACGATGATTTACGCCTTGACTCGACGCTTCGCAATCTCTCAATTCGATTTTCTGCTTTACAAAACACTTGTAGATTGAGAACGAACGACTTCATTCGTCTATGGTCTGTTCACCCCGCCAGGGCCGAGCTCTTGGATTTCGATGCTGCATGTCGGCTGGCAGTACATTTAAGAACTGTAAAGCAGCGAGTTTCTTCTTTACATGATCGATGAGCCGCTGGCAAGTACATATCCAACCGCATACGCGCAGAAATTTCCATCATGTGTCATTGCACCATATTGTCTCGAGATCTTGATGATTTGGCTCGCTCGTACCCTGAGTGGTACATACATGAACCAATGATACAGCTTGTTCATAGTGCATATGAGAAGGGGTCACGTGTTGTTCTGAGGCAACAGGCTGGGGAATACAAGTCGGAATTATGGGTGTACAAATCGGGGATCCGGGAGGTACCTATACAGTCTCACAAAGTCTGAAATAGCGAAAAAAAAAAAATCCGCTCAGATGTTCGACTACCGGGTGGACGATGTCATTCCATAACTCCCTCAAAGCTTTCATCAGGGCTGAGTGGATGCTTTTGGGAGCGGGTTTGGGAGCGGGTTTGGGAGCGGGTGTAGAAGCAGCTTCGGAAGTGGGTTCGGGAGCAGCGTCGGGGGGGTTGAGAGCGGCCTGTGGTTGACTTGCCGATTGAAATCTTTTCACCAAATTTTGTAGTTTCTCCAAATTGATACGGAGTTTAATGCTTATCGGAGGTTGGTTGTGCGGGATAATAATGGCATCGCAAGATGACTTGCTTCCGACGAGCACGACAATAGGCCCATCACGAGCTGCATCTTGCAGATCGGAGAACAAGGGGGGAAGTAGGAAGCGAGAGAAGCCCTCGATCTTCCGAATATCTTCTACGACTCTATTCCAGTCCTCCACTAGACGTCGGTACCGACTTGCTTCGGCTTCTACATTGATGCTTGGGGTCCCTTCTTGATAATTCGTAGGAGGTGTATCAAGGAGGGAGCTGAGGTCTCTGAACTTCTTCATCAGGGCCACTGCATGATCACCGAGATCTTGGAGGCCATCAAGAGGCGTGCGGAGTCGTGTCATCTGGGTCCAAATGACAGTCCTACCTTGTTCCAACAACTCAACAGCGCGACACACATCACCGCTACGAAGCGCACATGATGCAGCATCCACGGCAAGCGTACTTGGAAAGTCCTTCATGGCATGGTGACGAGACGATACTGAAGCTGTCGCAGACATGTAAGTGTCGAGGAGCTGCATGGAAGTCGCGTAAGCCTCCAGTTCAGTAGCATGTGAATGTTCGTGGGCTTTGTTAACCCAGTGTAGACCTACTCGCAGGCGTGATAGCAAACCTCCAGAGACAACATTTGCTGCTGCCTGGAGATGATGCATGGCAGCAGCCAAGCTGTCAATGTGTTCACCAGTGCCGTTAAGTTCCGATTGATCGAACAACATATAGACGTTAGCTAGCGATCCATGGACAATTAATAGAAGAGGACTATGTTGCGTCAAGAGAGTCAATGCACAGCAGAGATTCTCTTGTGACTCGTGGAGGTCTTCTCGACCACGTCGGTGCACGAAGCGGGTAGAGAGCAAATTCCCAAGGTTATTTAATGACGAGGACCGATCTGGGTGACCGACTGGACGTAAAGCCAGAGCGTCCCTGTGAAGCATGACAGCGTCATCCAAGTCTTGGTCATTGCCTCGGTGCTTGAAGCGGGTGGAGAGCACAGTCGCAAGGTTATTCAATGACTTGGACCGATCTGGGTGACCGAATGGACGTAAAGCCAGGGCGTCCCTGTGAAGCATGACAGTGTTATCCAAGTCTTGGACATTGCCTCGGTGCTTGAAGCGGATGGAGAGCACATTCGCAAGGTTATTTAATAACATGGACCGATCCGGGTGACCGACTGGATGTAAAGCCAGCGCGTCCCTGTGAAGCATGACAGCGTCATCCAGGTCTTGGACATTGCCTCTACACCGAACCGATCGACAGTCGTCAGAAGGATTCACATTTTGAGGAACTGACACATCTTGTCTCATTCAACATGACGATGAGAGCGCCCTCGTTTATCGTGTTGTGTATAGGCGCTGAGCTGATGTGGGGGAGAGTTGAAGGGATTGGGGACATGGATGCGTGGTATTACGAGGGAAAACATGCAGTGAGTATCTATTTCGTACTTTAAGACTCCAGAAGCAATCACAGATTCAACAGTAAACTAGTCTCATGCGCTACGATATGTTGCCACGGACGATTCCTCTCCCAAGTCGATCATCCGCAATCCCACCTCACAGGCATGCACGCTCGAACCCACGCTCACACCACTTTGCAAGACCGATACATTCACAATCTCAGCCACCCACATCCAGAAGACTTCTACTCGAATTTCGCATCTCTTTCCTCACTGTTGCTCACAGCCATGACGATGACTAGATAGGCGACGAAGGTTATGACCCTGCTTCGCCTGACCTCCACTCACACGAACCGTCTGCATCGATACAGATCAAAACCTATGAGCATATAAGTGGCCTTCTGCTATGGTTCTCGACTTGCTTTCCAACTTGTTGCATAAGCGCTTGTCGTGTCGAGGAGTTCTTGATTTGATTTGATTCTCTTTCGGTGTAGGTATGCAGGTTATCGTGAATGATCGGTTCCTTCATATTAACTCGAGCATGGCGCGTTGCGTATATCACAGTATATTTAACTTTGCGAATAACATGTAAGATGAGCCAGTGTAAACGAAGAATACGAGGATGGGGCGTTTGTCACAGTAGTGAGGCCCACAGCAAAAGAGAACGACCAGACCTCCACCGCGTTCTCAATGCCATTATCTTTTCTAGCTGTGTTCTTAAAAAAAACTTGCTGTGAAGGAACTAGGTTTGAGACTGGGCCGATAGCAGGCTAAAAAGGACATGCTGTATAACGCACAGCCATGAAGGACTCCGAAGGAGGGGAGATATAAAGAGGTACACCCATCAAACGATCGCTCGTCAAGCCGTTGCTTGTATCCTGGTAACGTGAATACCCCATCTGAGCATCCTGCACTTATGAACTAACGATTGGCTCAACCAGGGAAAGTGAAGCGGTTCTCGAGACCTGAAAAGCACTTGGCAACGTCAGCATCAGGAAAAGCCTCGTTTGCTAAATTTTAAAAAATATCGATGATTTTTGACTATTATCTCAAAATGTGATGGATTTGAAGGATTTGAAGGATCGGGAGGATTTGCTCGATTATGTTACCCCCAAAAAATTTGACAGAATTAATCATAATAGGGGAGCTCAAAGTTGAACGCCCAACACCCAAGCCCAACGCCCAACGCCCAACCTCGTGACTGAAATTAGGTATACCTAGAATAAATAGAAGTAAATATGGAGTAAAGCCACTGATGAGATAAGCTCCTTACCTAAACCTTGTCGCGCGAAGCGCCGAAACCTTCGCCAACTGTCTCCCCCTAATCCTCAGCATTTCTAAACCTTTTAAGCCTTTTCATCGTACCTAAACCTTTTTATACCTAGGAGACCTTGCTTTTTCATTCCTAATCCTGTTCAGTTATCCCTCATTAGACTTTTGCCACATGCTCACACAATAAAATCTATGACATGTGTTATGATTAGGGTTAGGAATAGCATTTTTTAAGTATGGAAAAGTTAGGAATAGAATATGAAAAGGTTTAGGGTGTGAAAAGGTTTAGAAATGCTGAGGATTAGGGGGAGACAGTTGGCGAAGGTTTCGGCGCTTCGCGCGACAAGGTTTAGGTAAGGAGCTTATCTCATCAGTGGCTTTACTCCATATTTACTTCTATTTATTCTAGGTATACCTAATTTCAGTCACAAGGTTGGGCGTTGGGCGTTGGGCTTGGGTGTTGGGTGTTCAACTTTGAGCTCCCCTAATAAGTAGTTATTCAAAAACATTGTTGTGCATTTAGAAGTCCATCCGTTCAATTTTAGACCGTCTACGAGTGGAGTTTCTGATCACAATCACACAGCAATACGCGAAAAAAATAGTCTTCGATTAGAAAATGATAGAGTACAAGCACAGCTAGTAACAACATGGAGACCATGACTCGTATGGCAACATTAATTGAGATCAAGATCAAGCAGTTCAAATGTGTCCAGCTCGGTGTGGTCTATGGCAACACCATTCCATCTGAACTTCCTGCAAGATGAGTCAGCAATGAGCATCGAGGACCGAAGCAACATCCCTGGGGAAAAACTCACTTCGCTGCCTCGTAAATGTCGTTGTGCCGCAGCGCATAGCTCTGCGTACACATTAGCGTCAAAGGAAGAACAAAGAATTTCAGGATGACTCACCTCGTTCTGAGTGATTTCAACAAAGCGCCCCACAAATTTCGCACTGATGGCCTTCATCAGCAAACTATTGATTTCACGACAATTCCCACACACTTGACAAGTCTGCACAAGTCCGCACAAGGATCACAGGTCCCACAGACATCACAAACAAATGACTACAAGTTTGGGTACAAGCAGGACAGCAGCACAAGCAAGTACAAGCGCACAAGCTCACACACTGTACAAGCGACACACGCCGTTACACTCTGTAGCACTTGTATATGACATATATCACACTACTAGCGAGTTTATATACATATATACTATGCACAGCGAGGAGAACGGACTACTTAGTATGCTACAAGGTCTTATTTTCATTTTTATTAATAACAGCGGTACTATGAAATAAAAATGTACTTACTACTCAGTGTCACATGCTCGAATAGTAAACACTGTAATACCGTTTTTCCTCCGGCGCTCTGAGTGCATGCGTCTGACATTGAGGTCGGCCAGTAATAGACGCTGGCTCGCTGCTTCTGCCCGGCGGCGGGAGATGTGGATAAGTATTTGCTGGTGCTCCAAAAGGCAGTTGGCCAGGTGTTTTTGAGCTTGACAGACTTTGCGCTTGGCCTGGGCTGCCTCAAGCGCGAGGTCAGAATCTTCTTCTTCTGCTGGCTGATCCAACAAGTAGCTGGACTCAGCCGAGCCTCGTTCCTGCAGATAGCGGGATATGAGTAACAATGGAACACATAACCTGGGTGCAACTCACAAAATGCATTGGTATAGGTAAGCTCTCGTCATCATCATCATCTTCCTCCTCCTTGACAGGGTGCGATTGCAGAGAATGTGTAGGGCACGGATGTCCTTTATCAGGCCAACTTGAAGGGGATGATGAGGATCGAGGAGTTGAGGGAGGACAATAGTTAGTTTTAAGAGAGGAACGAGTAAATATCTCAGAATGAGAGAACATATGGATGTATACGCGCCTAGACTGAATGAAAGAAGTGTGGGAACTTAAGTGCGTGCATCATCAATGCCAACACCTACCTGTCCAAAGTGCGGGAAGGTTTTCACCAAGGACTCCAGCATCACTCGCCATCTAAGTCAGCCTCGAACATCTTGTCACAGTTCCGTTCATTCATTGTCAACATCTTGGAATTCACGGACGTAGTTCCACCGCGGCGATCCCTCAATCCGCCTCAAAATTTGGATATCAGTGTTGATATGGGTCAGGGATTTGGTGTTGGGGGTGACTCACAATTCAATGCTCAGGCCGAGGATTCCATGGATACCAACTTAGACGCCAGAGACCTCACAGGAAATTTACCTCCAGCTAGTGAAGAATGGTATGAGGGCGCAGCCAGGTGCTATTCTCAGGATGGCATCACATTTCTGGATCTTTTTGACGCCGACGAGCATGCAGAATACAGGAAGGAGAACCTGTTTTATCCATTCACATCGAGGGAAGAGTGGGAGGTCGCCGACTTCCTCCTGCGCTCTGCCCTTAGCATGGCAGCAATCAATACCTTTTTGCAGCTCTCTATGGTATGTATCTTCCTTGTCGCTGTCACGCTTCGATCATGACATTACCTCGCAGATAAAACAGTTACAACTGTCATTCAACAATGCCAAAGATTTGCGAAGCTGAGCTGAAATGCTGCCAAAGGGACCGAGCTGGAAATGTCAACTCATTCCCTCGCTTCATGGCACAAAAAGCCCAATTCGACTATTTTGGAGGGACCCGGTCGAGTGTTTGGAGAGTCTTTTCAGTAACCCCCTCTTTCATGACCAACTTGACTTCATCCCTCGTCGCGTTTACAAGACTGCGGCACAGCTCCTGCGTGTGTATTCGGAATGGTTGATGGGTGACACTGCTTGGAGCATCCAGGTACGTGCTGATGGACTCATTATGTGCACCATCTCACAAGACTGTAGGATCAACTGCCCCAAGGCGCAACAATCCTTGGCACCGTGCTTTCGTCTGACAAGACCAATGTCACGATGATGACAGGTGCCAGGGTCGCACACCCGCTTCTGCTAGGCCTTGCCAATATTCGCATGCGCACTCATACAAAGCTCTCATCCAAGGCATTCATGCTCGCGGCTCTCCTCCCTATCCTGCAGTACCTACACCCCAATCAACGAATGCGGGGTATGCTCGAAGATCGTCTCATCCACGAATGTCTTTCAATCATTTTGCAGCCCCTGATGAAAGCCGCCGAACTTGGAATCATGATGTCCGACCCAGTGGGGAACATCCACCATTGTTTTACCCCCCTTGCTGCATACATTGTCGATACCCCCGAGGCATGTATGCTTGCATGTGTGCACGGTAAAACTTCTCCGTTTACACTGGTGTCGTATCTGCAGTTCAGGGACAACTTTCGTCACCCCACACGTACACGTGCCATCACTCTCGAGCAGCTCGCCAGCATCAATACAGATCCCAACGACCTCGAAGCATTTTTTGCTGCATGCGCGGATTTCTGGCTAAATGGTGTCTTTACACCTTTATGGAAGGGCTGGCGGTTCGGTGATCCTGCAATCTTCCTTACACCAGAAGCTCTGCATCACTGGCATAAGCAATTCTACGACCACAACGTGCAATGGTGTCTTGTAGTTCTTGGAGCGGTGGAATTTGATTTCCGGATCTCAATATTGCAACCCGTCACAGGCTATCGCCACTTCTCCAACGGAATCTCCAAACTGAAACAGGTCATGGGCAGAGTCCACCGCGATATACAGTGTTATATCGTTGGACTGATTGCTGGTGCAGCCCCTCGTCAATTCGTGGTTGCAATTCGTGCTTTAATGGATGTCTGATACTTAGCGCAGTCTTCCTCACCTGATGACAGCGTACTGACATCTATCAACAGATCACTCGCAATATTTCACGACAACAAAGATGCCATTATCCATCCCCATTGGTGCGTCATTTCTCTCCTTTCATCACTCTGATCAAACAGCAGACTGTTTTACATGTACATTCCCATACATGAGGCCGCTTGCCGTCCCTTACATATTATCGCGCTACAGACTCGCCTATACTACCGTCGCTTAAATGGATCCCAAGTTCTTACAGGTTAAGATAAATAGTTGCATCGTACTCTGCCAATATTACTTCCTTTTACTCCCTTGGATTTACTGTCTAAGTTGGTGTGATCAACAAGTCCCCTTAGTCTTCCGTACCGCAACGGACTTCTTCCCGTTCCTCGGATCACTTCCAGTAGCTCGTTACATCGAGACCTCGACACCTAGACACCTTGCCACCTCGATACCTTGATACCTCGACACCTTGACAAATCTGCACTGCTAGACACCCGTCCCATCAGAATCGTTCCCGTCCGGACATCTTTCTCTCACATCGGATCCCCCATCGCTCACCGGCCACTCAGATCTTAAGCCCGTCGGATTGATTCCTTTGCATTTATTGCGAAGACATCCCTCAGTAGCAATCCCCTTGGGACGAGCTATAATACTCGCACTCAAACGGATCAGTAGTCTACACTAACAGGCTACACGGAATTACTTTCGCTCAGCGGCGCACAAACAACAACAATTACGATCCCCAAATCTGTTGTCACTTAGATTGAGCAGAGAAACTGCATCGTTTTGCAATTGCTACAACTCTCAATAGCCTTCCCACTGATCCCGATCTCGAAGAACTTCGTGAGGTTGAAGGGGAGGATGACGATGACGAGGACGAGGATGAGGAAGAAAAGGGGGCAAGTAGTGAACCGATGGATCCACGAACCGCACTTTTAGAAGAACTGAATCACACACGGACCAGTTCCAACTACTTCAGCAAAATAAGAATGTTGGCTACTGCAAGGCGTGATGAAATTCCCCAGGCTCACCCTCCTCGTACGTTCCTTGCTGGCGGCACCACCATTCATCTCAACTGTAACCCCACCCGCACTAGCGTGAAAATTGACGAGGTCGCCGATCAATTCAACATCCCAGATCTGCGGTACGCTCTCTCAGACTTCCTTCAACGCGATGCAAGGAATGGAAATGGAGTTTTTGGGATGGGGGTCCCAAGAAGATCGCTGATCGACCGCCCCTTGAGTATCCCTTTCGAGCGCATTCAACTATGGCATACTGTTCGCATGCAGCAAGTTTGTCTCCACGATCCCAGTGTCGTTTTACCTGCGCAAACCATACATGCCTCTCCTGCACACGTTGGGTGGCCGAAAGGATGTTGCCATTCTCAATGTTGATAGTGCGTATGATTGGCCTAAGTCTGGGTTAAAGGGTGAGCTCTTTAGTACTTGTATACATTTGATTACCCCTGAAACCTTTCCCCTCTTTTGAAGGTCATGCTGTCTGTGAATTGCAGCTCATCATGCGCCCAATACCTCGACGAGGCTCGCGCATCACATGGCGTGATCAATATCTTTGTTATGTGCGCAGCTTTAAGATTGGTGCGGTTGATCCCGTCACCCAGATGCACACATTGACACGCGCAAAACATGCCAACGATACTCTGGTGGGAGATGTAGTTCCTCTGATGCAACTTCGAGCATTCGTCAACATTATCCCGAGGCTGGGTACTGCAGCTGATCCTCGATTGACTAAGTCTACTTCCGCACTGTCTTGTTACTTGAGGGTCTTATATAGAAGCGTGTAAAAATGCAGTGACAATCACAACTACACTTTCATAAGACTGTTACAGTAACATGACACCCCTATCTTTTTCTGACCCTTTCACCTCTTCACCCTGTCACGACGTCACACCTTCACCTCTTCACGATGCACCATGATGCTTGACGCACTTCTTGATCCCCGCCGACCCTGACCTTCTGTGACAGAAGCTGGACGCTTCCCTTACTTCCTGATCCCCGCTGTCCCTGACAGAAGCTAGACGCTTCCTTTGGACCCTTGATCTATGGCCTCATGGCCCTACTTCCATTTCCCTTGATGTTCCCATTGATTTCCATCCCTGACCTCATGGCCTCCTGCCTGATCCTGCCTTCCCGATATATCATTTCTTGACCATTGTGCGACTACCAGACCTACCCTGAACACTGTGATCCTTACCTATATATAGTCGATCCACTTGTACTATTATTCCTTAACTTGATTCTACTGGGTTTTACCTTGACTTGTATATTCTCTTGAGTCTGATCACGAACCCTCTATACTCTTGGATCGCTATCCTTGAGTCCAATACATCTTCTCTTAGACCGTTTGTCTTTGAGTTGATACCGATCCCTCGTCTAGACTTAACCGTCGAACACGAAACCCTTCTTCGGCCGCTGCCTTAGAAGCTTACCTCCCCTTCCGTTCTGTCACAACCTGACAGCTTAGGCTACCAGGTATATTGACGTTCAACCGATACACGACAGATAGCTTAGGACCGTCGTCCTTCGCTTACCCATCCCAGTCTGACTACGACCGTTGTCGTAACAAGACTAAAAGTTGCCAGCTCCTCAAGTCCACGGTCAACAGATTTTTTTCACTTCTCAGTTGATAATGTGTCGTTCGTGGGTGGTCAAAGAGTAAACAAGTTACCTCTATTTGTTTGAAGAAACTATATAGAAATGCAACTGTGGATTTGTCGTGAATAGAAATATGATAGGTATGTTTCACCCTAGTAGGTCGTGTTTCAACCTATGAAAGTCTGTTTCAACTTTGTCGTGTTCTCCTGTTTCGTGTTTCTCTAACCGTAAAAGAGAGAGGTGTTCGTTATGTATACGTGGAGCTTAGCTCAATAAAATAGTAATCGTGAGCAACCTAGTTAATCATATAACTTGAAGTTACTTTGTTGAAATGATACTTGCACCCTCACTATGTCTTGCCTTAATCTCACTCTCAAATAGTGGGATAGGTTTAAAGTGGGAAGTTTCAATGTCTTCTAGGCACCAATGGCCTGCACTTATGTGTAAAGTGGGAAGCTATATTCACAGGTGTAAAATGGGCTCCTTTTATACCTTTTGGGAGGCCAGATTACTAAGCATGATTCATCACATGGATTGGGAAGAATGTGCTTACAAACCATACCATTTGGTGTGCTGAGTCAGCTTGTTTACTAAGTACATTATAAATACAGTGTTATCTTACAAAGCATGATAAATCAAAGGCATGAGTCATCTCATGGATTGGTAAGATTGTGCTTACAAACCAAGCCTTTTGGTGAGCTGAGTCATCCTGGTTACTAAGAAGATTATAAATACAGTTGCAAGTCTTACAAACCATGATGAATCAATGACAAAACATGATGAGTCAGGCTGAATCCTTACAAATCACCTTATTTCCCAGTCACATGACCTGATTACAAACATGATCAGTCAGCTAGTGAGAAAGTCTGATGAATAATCTAAGAAAAATAGAAAGAAATGGAAGGTCACAGAACAAAATAGAAATACATAGAAATCCCCGTGTATGATACGAGAAATGAAACACGAGAAACGAGGCTACAGAAAAACAGACTGATGAGTCAATGAAAAATGATAGAATCACTTAGTGATATGGTAGAGTACAGTTCATTATACCTTCCTTATCTTTTGTATAGCATACATGTCATGGTATGAACTGCATACCATGCATGACAGCGCATTATCATTCTTCGTTCTACTTGAATAAGTACTTGAATAAGCAAATTTATGATACCCTGTACTATGCGTCACAAGGATAGATACTGGCTGTTGGATCATTTTCCTTCTTGGTGATACTACTATGACAGATTGCTTTATCTATTCCATGTGGAAACTCCATGTGGAAACTCTGCGAACGTTCGATTGATGATGCACCAAACTCGAGGCCCAGTGACGCCGCTGCCTTGCAATTGTACAATAGCCTGAGGGAGCGCTTGCTCAACAAACTTGCCGACCATTCAGACAGACAGGTAAATTGTCATTGTAGGGTGCGTTGGTCCGCAGTACTCATTCAATACTTCATAGCGTTGACTAGTCTTGACTCTGAATCCATTAGACACCATGGCAGACTCGGACTCGGATGACCCGCCGCTCACTCCCCAACTTGAAATTCTCCCCGACTTCGCATGCTACGACTTCGTTCGACCTTTATCTCTGTCGCCCTTCACTCAGTTCGACTGGGAAATCCGCCTGAGGGTGGTCGCAAGAATGATCTCGTCAAAGAACTACTCAGATCAGAGCTCGACTGGCCACTGTCATCGTCGAAAGCTGATTTGAACATCAAACACACTGCTAGCCTTTTCCACCACCTCGTTCCCAAATCAGTTACTGAAGACGAAGCATATCGAAAAGATCAGATACTACGGCCAGAATAACAGACCACCAGTATATTTCCGTGGCGCGTGGAACTTCAATCGAACAAAAAAGTTCAAAGCGAACGATAAGAACATCGACTCCGAGTCAGATGACTCAGATGGCGCTAGCGCAGATGTCGCTGACACGGATATCGAGGCATTTGATTCTCAACATTCTGGGATAATGTCCCAAGACACGGATGGCACCTGGAGCCGCAATGAATACGATGGGACCGCAGAGCCAGGATCGAAGAGGGGACGTGAACCCTTCATCGACTGAGAAAGACTTTCAATGCCTCTTCAAAGCCGTTCAGTACGCCCTGCAGCCGTGATTCGAAAATACGGGCCAAACTTCCCTTCCAAATATCGAAAATCGAACGATACTGGTCTTCACAGTATTCCAAGTCACCAATACCAGACCCTTACAATGCGCAAAAGCCTGATCTTGCTCTGTTTTATTACAAGAGTAAAGTTGGCGAGAAATCATGGGCAGATATCCTGAGCTTTGTCGAGCATACTGCCTCTGATTTCAGCAAGAGGCGTGACCTAGGAGTGTACTGGGGGTCCGCCACTAAAGCATATCTCATCATGCGAGAACAGCCGTGGCGTCGCTTCATCCTCTCATTCTTCATCTCTAACAACCAACTTTACGCTCATTATTGCGACCGCTCAGGGCATCATCATCACTCTTCCAACTTCCATTAAAGTGTCACCCGCTCGTGTTGCTGATGCAATAGCTACTGTCTCGTTAGTGGATCCGAGCCTCTTGGGTCTCGACCCCACAGTCCATATGTGCATCCCTTCTTGCACGGGTACTCACACTGACCTAGTAGCAGGGGGCGATCGGTTGGGTAACCGGCAAAGCTGATAAAATATACTCAATTATGGCTGTTCTATTCAAGAGCCAGGGTCTATTTTGTCAGCGGAACAGTTTGTTACCGCATTCAGGATCCTGCAGATGGGAGAGAATATGCGATGAAAGATTGTTGGGTGGCTGATGTAAAGAGATTTCACGAAGTAGACGTCCTTAAGAGGGTCAAGGGCATCCCTAATGTGGTCCAACTCGTAGACCATTGGGATGTCCTATTCAGCGGGGAGCCTGACTGCACAGCCCGCATTCGGGATAGATATGAGGACAGGCCAGACAAGAAGTTCATTAACAGGTATCACCTGGCGCCTTCCTCTTGACCCCCTGTGGAGATCTGTTATGGGATTTCAGCTCCAGAAAGGAACTGATTTGCGCCTTTCGCAATTTTGTGGTCGGTGAGTTCAGTTTCATGCATGTTTGATTTGTTGTATGATCTAACATTTTACCTATAGCTCATGAAATGATGATCAAACAACGAGTCCTACATGGAGACCTTAGTCCGAACAATTTCATTATCCATGAAGGCATTGGGTATTTCATCGAATTTTCGACCACAGCGTCAATCATGAAGGAGGGCGAGACATTTACTATTTCAGTTTGGTACTGTAAGTTTGAACTGTGAAGTTCGCGGTTCTCGCTATTGATCGTCAATCTCACTATCGCAGGGAACTGTGCCATATATTTCTATGCGCATTTTGAGAACAATGTCAAAGAACGCCGACATCATCAAGAAGTCAAAGTCGAGTATGGTCACAAAGAATAGCGCCAACACCAACAGCATTGCTCAGCTGAAACTGGTTGAGCACAACCCCAGTGATGACCTCGAGTCACTGTTCTACATTTTTTTCGAATTCGTTTCGAAGTATGGGGGTGCGCACGGTGCAGTTGCTAAAACTTGGGATAAGACGACTATGCCATGGGCGGATGCTTACGAGAATTTGGGCATTGCAAGCAGTTTGCTTGCCACCTTTTTGGCAAAGAAGGGGGCCATGTCCGAAAGTGATGTTCTGATGGACAGTGTATCAGACTACTTTGCGGAATTCAGGCCCATCATCAATGAATGGCGCGATCAAATCTATTGTATGGAGTCCAATCCCAACGGGGTTGTTCACGATGACATCTTCCAAATGCTTGTCAAATTCATTTCGAACCTTGACAATGAAGAACCTGCCCCGTTGCCCTCTCCAGAAGCTTCCCCCGGTGCCCCCCCCCCTGCTCCCCCTGGTGCCCCCCCCCTGCTCCCCCCCCCCCCATGTGCTCCCCCTGGTGCCCCAAGTCGTACTGGGGCTCCTCCCACGGCAGGACCTTCGCTCCGTCGTTCATTAAGGCTCAGCACACTGGCAGGCCAGACCTAACGATTCTGGCAGGGACTGTCATAATTTTGATTCCTCTTATTAGAATATCCATGTTCCTCGCTATATGTTTGTCCTTCCTATGCCTCTGTTTGTTCTTCCTATGCCTCCCTTAGTACACACTATGCCATCATGATTATGTAACATTGATTATGTCATGTTCATGCCCATTGTTTATACCTTAGGAAGTTCGTACACCGATAAAGCTGTCTGGACTCTGATCTCTCTGATACATGCCTCCAAAAAAAAAGCCCAGGCGTTCTTCTCCAGATCTGGAGGCGACTACTCGGCGAAGCTCAAGACCTAATTGTGGTGTTGGCGGTCATGCAGCACAGCTTCAAAGAGTTGGAGAAATGGTTGCTGCCCCAACCAAGAAACGACCAAAGGGTGACGATCTTCAAATAAGCAGCTCAGATGAAAATCCTATGGCACCTTCACAGCTTCAGAAAGTGAAAACAAATGTAATATGAATTTATTTTGACTATGTTTAAGCTAATTTTTTCAGCCTCCTGCGAAACCTTCCAGCACTTCCAAGAACAAACAGAACAAACACAGAATAACAGGAAGCAGCCAGCATCCTCAGGCCCCTACTTCCCGTCTGAATCTATATGTGGCTCGCTCTTCCGAAAGGTTCGGATTCAAGGAACCCCAGTCCAATGGTCGCGAGAAGGCCAGGGAGGGACAGCCTATGCAGAAGGAAGCACAGTCCAGTGGTCGCAAAACGGTTGAGCGGAACATGGGTCAGTGAGACCCAAGTCGTGTGAGGGAGTCCGCGGAACGTGATAGTGGTCGCCAGAAGGACAGGCAGGACACGGATGAGGACAGGGAGTCTCTGCTCAGCTCTCATGAACGTGATGAGTCTGAACATGACAATGCTGACCGTGATTTTGACAGCAATACACAGATGTAAGTGTGCTTCTGTGTCGCTTGCGTGTTCCTGATATTACATTCTCATCGCAGTGATAGAGACGTTGGCCAGCACACAGTGTCATGCATGGTATGCAGTCCATACCATGACATGTGTGCTATACAAAAGATAAGGAAGGTATAATGAACTGTACTCTACCATATCACCAAGTGATTCTATCATTTTTCATTGATTCATCAGTCTGTTTTCTGAAGCCTCGTTTCTCGTGTTTCATTTCTCATGTTATACACAGGGATTTCTATGTATTTCTATTTTGTTCTGTGACCTTCCATTTCTTTCTATTTTTCTTGGCTTATTCATCAGACTTTCTCACTAGCTGACTGATCATGTTTGTAATCAGGTCATGTGACTGGGAAATAAGGTGATTTGTAAGGATTCAGCCTGACTCATCGTGTGTTGTCACTGATTCATCATGGTTTGTAAGACTTGCAACTGTATTTATAATCTTCTTAGTAAACAGGATGACTCAGCTCACCAAAAGGCTTGGTTTGTAAGCACAACCTTACCAATCCATGAGATGACTCATGCCTTTGATTTATCATGCTTTGTAAGATACATGTATTATTAGTAAAACAAGCTGACTCAGCACACCAAATGGCATGGTTTGTAAGCACATTCTTACCAATCCATGTGATGAATCATGCTTAGTAATCTGGCCTCCAAAAAGGTATAAAAGGAGCCCATTTTACACCCATGCAAATATAACTTCCCACTTTAAACCTTTTTCACTAATCTGAGAGTGATCAGGCAAGACATAGTCAAAGTGCAGGCAAACCAAGTGCCTTGAAGTAAGACTAAGACAAACTTACACTTTAAACCTATCCCACTAATCTGAGAGTGAGATCAAGGCAAGACATAGTGAGAGTGCAAGTACTATCATTTCAACAAAGTAACTTCAGGTTAAAGAGCCCACAGGTAGGCTGTCCAGATAACTAAGTTACTCATCACTACTTTACTGAGCCAAGCTCTACGTACACTTAACGAAGACCTCTCTCTTTTACAGGAAGAGAGACACGAAACAGGAGAACACGACAAAGTTGAGACAAACTTTCATAGGTTGAAACACGACCTACTAGGGTGAAACATACCTATCATTTTTCCAGACACAACAAATCCACAGACACAGTTTATATAGTTTCTTCAAACAAGGAGGTAACTTGTTTACTTTTTGACCACCCACGAACAACACATTATCAACCGAGAAGTAGAAAATACGTTGACCGTGAACTTGAGGAGCTGGCAACTTCAAGTCTTATCAAAGTGTAGTTGTGATTGTCACTGCATTTTACACTGATTTTATATAAGACCCTCAAGTAAGAAGACAACGGACCCACGAACAGACGACACAGGCGACACAATGGATTTCGACCAGAATCTGGATCCATCTTTTCCTCAGGATGAAGCTCGGGGGGGTATTCAATGAGGAGATCCAGATGGCGAGTGCACAGATACGGAGCAGGATAAGGTATTTACATTTTCACTCTCTATTCCTGCGTTAACTATGTGTACTCGAGGCTTATGATATTCTCAAGCATCACCATGCAAAGAACGGGCAGCGCAAAGCTCCTTCCCCAACCTGTTTGTCGCAGGGGAAGGGAAAGGACTATCCACGCACTTTCAATCGCTCAGAATCCCCTCAGCGACGCCCATCCCAACATGTTCGCTCTGAATCTTCTCACCCACGCTCTCCTCAACACATCAGGCCCTCAAAGTCCCCTCGTCGATACCCATCATCTGGAGGAGTTTCTGCTGTTTGAACGGTTCAAAGACGCTCACCTGCACGTCACTCACGTCGTTCCTCTCGTTCAACATCTCCACATCGACAACAATCATCTCAGCAAGTCAGATATCCATGCGCTTCATCATCGCGTACACAGTCTCCTCTTTGGCGCCCATCTCGACCAGTCACTTCTTCAAGTCGCAGTCACACGCAGCCCACCTCTCGTGGATGCTCTCCGTCACGCTCTCCATCTGACTCTACTCTGGCTGCAGAAGACACTCGTCGATCTGGCAACAGCAAACGGAAGGTCAAGACAAGCCAGGGGAACCCTTCGAAGCTAGGGTTTTATCTGGCCACTTGGCAAGCATTCCTGCAGACGGCTAAGTTAGAGATGCGGCTGCAGGCCGTTCTATCCCACCCAATTCCAGAATCCCAGGACGCCCTCGGCCTTGCTTGAGAAGTTTTGGACGCCATGCTATGGACATACCACAAGAAGAAGAATAAACTCGAGAGAGGTATGTTCTCCTTACACCACCGTCTACCCTTCTCACATATTTTTAAGGTTACTTTCTGGAGTACGACACAGATATGTGCCGGCTGGTAGGTTCTTCATTTATTGATGGCAAATGCACTCGCTGATATGTTGATGAGCTGTGTGACGATCTCTTCACGTTCCGCACAGAGCTCAAAAAAATCATCATCTCCATCACAAAAAGGGCATATGATATCTTCCCGCAGGGCTCCGCAATGCGAAAGGAGGAGGTTCAAAAGCAGGTCACTGCTGCTGCTACTAGGCTCCTCAAGAGCGGTGACTACCTCCGGCTCCCTGACTCGTCTAGTGTAGGTTGTGACTCCTTGTAATCACGTCATTAACATTTAATTCACGCAGGGACAATTCATGAATTTCACAGCGCAGGCTCTCAGGGACGCGTGTCTCGAATTTTACTACTCTAACAGCAAGAAAGCATTGAAGAACACGAACAAATTCCACCGCACGATCCCCATCAATGTGATGCTTCTTGTAGCAGCGGTGGTATGCTTATTGTTTTTAATTATTTCATCGCTGATGATTTAACAGTTGAAGGGTGTTATCTCTGGCTTTCAGGAGACCGGCACTGACAAGGTTCCTGTTCTAACCACTGAACAGTGCAGGACCCACTTCGTCAATTTACGCAAATCAGTTGACATGCTGCTTGACATCCCGGAGCGCCGCTGTGGGTGAGGAAATAGGAATGCAAACTCCAGAGAGTCACAAGAATATCTACCTCGAGAGGCGAGCTAGTAGAATCGTCCCTTAGGGGATGCTACTGAGTCAATCTCTCTAAATGATGAGAGGGATCAAGAGAAAGGCTCAAGTCGGAAGGTGCACGAAGGCGCGCGGGAACGCGCGAGGCTGATGTGATGAACGCGCGGAACACGCGAGCCGTGCGGAAGGGTCGGAACGCGCGCGGTACGTGCGCGATGGGAGAAGAGTTGCAGAGGATCGTAGGAGCTCCCTTTTGATGAGGAACGAGACTTCACAAGACAAAGAAGATGATAGACAAAGACTGCAATGATATTAGCGCTCTAAGCGCGACTAGACAGGAAACTGATAGTGAGTCCAAGTAAGGGAAAAGTAAGTAAGTCCGAAATCCTCTGAGTCTTCTAGATATGTAGGTCGCTATGCAAGCTCTCAGGGTATTGAGACGTAAGGGAAGCGGATAGGCTGCGCGGAAGCGCGCAAGGAAGCGGATAAGTATGTAACACTATGTAAAAGACCCTGGATGTGGTCAGAGACGGAGATGACAGTGAGAGTACACACCAACAGTACCGGACAGACAGGACAGGACATGGGAGGATATGCCGAGGATAGCGCCGGTCTGCGGAAGGGCGCGGAAGGTTGCGTGCGTCGCGGAAGAGCGCGGAAGGTCGCGTGTGTTGCGCGCGACTCTATTGGACTGCGCATACATGAGGATAGTGATGCAGCCGTAGTTGTAGTATTAGACCTACGTATTATGGCAACTACCATTGGATGACTTCCCGCAGTGTTTAGAAATCTAGATATCGTTTCAAATCTTATTCGTCGGAGATTCGGCTCGCAGTACAACATAATCTAGAACTGATTCCAAACCGCAGACCAATCATATCTAGATTCTAGATACATAATTATAATTTTTAAACCTACACATGAACGACGACGAAGCTGATCTGCACCAGCTATATCACATGATTGAGCTCATGGAGGATGAGAGAGATGATGATGATGAATTCCGAAGGCACAGGATAGCTGTACTTGGTGCAGTGATTTTTTCAGGAGCCGAAGAATCACGATGTGAACGTCTCGCACGCCGACAAGCAAGAAGAACATACCTCATTCAAGGTGACCTACTTCCCAATCCCCGTGCCAATACTCCCTGGCAAGCTCTATACATGGCTCGTAATGATTGAGCTTTCATCACAACCATGGGGGTTGATGTGTCGACATTCAATCACCTCCTCTCAGCTGGCTTCACAACCATTTGGAACACCACACCCATTCCCCGTGATGACATCCCCACTACTGCTGTTCCTCGAGCCCATCGTCGTTCACTTGATTCTGCAGGGGCCTTGGGCCTTGTCCTTCACTGGCTTAATTCCACCATGCGAGAAGTCAGCCTGATGCAAATTTTCGCGTTAATCCCAAGCACAGTCTCACGCTATCTGAATTTTGCACTCACAATACTCCTTCGCACACTCAAACACATTCCCGAAGGCATCATCCAGTGGCCTGCAGGTGACAAATTCCAAGAGCTGAATTATCTTGTTACTGCACGTCACCCGTTATTGACCGGCGCTTTCGGAACACTCGACGGACTTAATTTACCAGTGCAGACTTCGAGTGACCAAGAGATCGAGAATGCCACCTATAATGGTTGGCTGCATGATCACTTTGTAAGCTCTGTCATTGCATTCGCAGCTGATGGTCAGTCCAAGTCCTCGTTGTTATCAGTTCGTTCCTACTCATTAGTTAATGCAGGCAGTATTATTCAATGTCGACTCAATGCCCCAGGGAGCTGGCATGACTCACGTGTTGCACAGCCAATTTACGAAAAACTTCGCAAGGAGACACCAGCTGGATATTACCTTGAGACACCAGCTTGTCCCACTGGGGTCTCAGGGGCTCGGGACAGCGGGATGGGCGCCATTTATACACCTTGTCGATGTCGATTAACGGGATGGTGTGGTTAATCACATGTAACGGAGGTAAGCCCGTTTGACTGGCTTTAGCGCACAGGGGCTTAGCCCACTCGAACAGTTGTTGACGTGCCTTGTCCAGGTTCTCCTCATATGCGTCTATGGCACGTGATTCCAGCACGGAAACCTGCTCCCCTTTGATGGGCAATGCGGGGGCGCTGCCAATCACCACACGAGGTGGGTTGAACCCCACCATCACCTGGTGTTGGAACAAAAACGGCATCCCCAGGATTAAGTTGTAATTCTGTAAGTTGATTATATCGAAGAACCTATTCTCGCTAACCTTCTGATACTCAAGTTGTACCCTCGTTCCGAAGTTCACGTGGGATCTCGAGCCCTGAACAGCTAGCTGAATAGTGAGTGGTTTTTCTAGTGCCATGTGTTTCACTCTCAGCTGATCTGCCAGTGTAGACGATATAAAGTCCGCCAGTGACCCCGTGTCTACGAGTGCACGCGTGGGTCGTCCATTGATCTGGACGACTATCACCACTGGCTTGGGGATCATCCTCTTAAAGTCTCGCATGATGGCGGTGTTGTGTTGAATAGATGGGTAAGTGCCTTCTGCCACCTGTTGTCCGTTTAATTCAACTAACTTGAATTGGTCCTTAGTTTCCTCAAAACGCATCTCAGGCACGGCGTATAGTTCTTGCACCAGCTCCTCAAGTGCGCAGTCCACTGGACTTAGTTCACCGCGGTCAAACAGCCGGAACAGGTTGAATTCCCCTTCCCATTCCTTTTCAAGCATAAGGTCACTTAGCCATCTGTACACCCCTGGTTGTAGTATTAGACCTAGTAAAATGGGAACTACCAGTTTTACCATAGACACTTTTGATGGCAATTACCAGCAGCGCAATTTGACCTAATCCATGGCATTTGTCAGGCCCTATTTTGCTGGGTGTTTTGGCTTTCACAGCCGCATTTTTTGGATTTTTGAAACTCAGCTATGTTTTCAGTCACAAATGTGTTTTCCACATTTGTCAGATGTTTTGGTATGTTTTATTCCGCAATTTTGGCCTCCAAAAGCGGAAATTCACAAAACACATCCTGTTTTGGTCACCTCCTCATGTCAGGCCTCCCCACATTATTCCCACACTCCGCATTTTCGCATTTTTAGCCACCTACTGTGGGAATTACCCCACAACACCCAAAACATCATCCCAATATGGTATACCACATAATTATAATTATTCCCACACCCTCCCCACCTCACTGCAGCTTCACCACTACACCACAATAGGTCCTCCATTGTATCTAAGTAGTAGTTTGGTATATACATGTATAATATTATCTAATAAACCGCTTTTTTTGTCAATTTGTGTGCCTGCTCATCCTCCAGGGCCTTTTTCAAACAGGGTAGGGTACAGAACATTTTCGCATTTTTGCCCCTTTGATAGGGGGGTGTTCCAGGACATTCAGAACATATTTATGAGCATATATGAGTAGATTCCCATCTTTATTTCACCCCCTGAAGTGTCCTACATCAATAGATATAGCACATATGCAAGAAAACACAGAATATGTTCTCATTTGATTATTTCTAGGTGAACAGCCTTGTAAAAATGATTCCCAGCATCTATTTAACAATAGGAACAATGTATCAGGAGCCCAGGACCATAGGATAATTCCCTGTTGTATGGTGTGCCCCCCCTCTCCTGGTGGTTTACCCCCTGTGAAAATTTTTCCTGTAGGACCGGACCTCAATTGAGGTAGGGGGTCTATTCCTATGTATATTTGAGGTAAGTCTATCATATAGCTGGCCCAGGACACACATAGGATCCTGCTACAGGAACAAAAACATAGAAAATCGCATTTTTGACACTTTTGATGTTTTCAGTATCTTACTCTTGCATAAATAATACAACCTGTTCATATACCATTATCATAGTATATATACTTGCTTTTTGTGACAAGGATCAGCTCAAAATAGGCCAGAGGTTTGAGTTAGTGTGAATGCTTGTTATTTCTACTGATAAGGATCCCATACTTTCAATACATCGAAATTTAATAATCAGACACCTGGAGTAGATTTCAAATATACTCAGTATCATAGTCCTTAATGTACAGAACAATCCTACAAGAATTGAGTGCTGAGGAAGTGAAATAGATAAGAAATTGAGTGTGGGAAAGTTCAAAGACCCAAAACATCGAAAATGGTCAGTTGAGCAATAGTAGCACTTAAATGCTAGGTCAACTCAGATATACACCACATCCCTTCCACCACCCTTCAACCTCAGGGCAGTATGTAGTATATGTTCCTTTAGTAGTCTACAATGTATCCTACATATTGTTAATGAAATATTTGACCTGTATCATATATAAATGTAACTTTGTGTGAAAAGTGTAAGCATGGGCTTACATCATGACGCAACAACTCATCATATGACGCAAGATGACGTAGGCGTTTTCTGTTGCTCATCGCATGACCCGCTATGATTGGACACCGCTATACATTACTGATCCCTATATATAGGCCCTAGAGTTATACCTGTAGACCAGCCTCCTACCGTCTCAAGAATCTTACGCTCTTCCTCGTTGCTGTTTGGCTGCTTAGTGTTTTCCGTCAAACGTGACGGCTTTCCACTTTTTCTTAACGAGCAGCTGAGCGTTAATCTTCTGTCTACCGTTACGCTGCCGATTGCTGTTACTATTGTCCGCACCGCCCATCTGCTGAAAATACACATCCGTCGGGTTCTGACATACGTCAAACCCTGCGCTAATAGACGACAAGCTGCCTCCCCGTCAACGTCGTACCGCCCCTCCTACGACAGTTACAACTCGTAGTCGTAGCAAGGCTACCACCACAACAAGTGGAACCCTTACACCTGCTATTGTTTCAGATCCGTCGCAACCCTCAACAAGGTTAACCTCCCTAAATACCTCACGTCAACCCTCTCCAACAAACACGCATATATCCTCACAATCAGAATCATCCGAATCCGACATCTCTACCACGGCTATGGCTTCCACGACCAGATTCGCGCGTGTCGAACAAACTTCGGCAAGCAAACCTCCGTTTCTTACTGCAGGACAACTGACTCCTGAAGTCTTACGTACTTGGGAGATGGGATGCATGCAATTCTTCCTGCATAAAGAAACGAAGGATGAAGAAAAGGTCAAGAAAGTCGCGTGGGGGATGCAAGACCCGATAATTCAATACTGGTACCTAAACGATCAGGAACGAATGGACACGCTCTCCTTCAAAAAATTCCTTGATGAAGTTCGGAGCTACTTCCTTCCAACTGATTGGAGCGACATCGTACGTAGGAAGATGTTAGCGTCGTCACAAGGACTACGTCCTTTCAGCGAGTGGGCCGTAGAAGTACAAAGTCAAAACACCCTCCTACAGGGAACGGCTTCCCACCTCGACGATGTCAATCTTCTCTACCATTTGGAAGCTCACATGAACCCAGATCTAGCGGCCGATTATTACGCTGAGGGTATCGCAGAAGAGGAACTACGTCGCTGGATAGAAAAGGTTCGGCTGCTCGACGAGAAACGTCTGCGCTACCTCACACGGCAAAAAGAGGCGGTCGACAATGCACTTCGCGCAGAGCGAGCTCGTTCCGGAACCGACAGAAAACCTGCGACTACCTATACCTCTTCCAAACCCTCATCTAGCGCTAATCAATCACGCAATGTCTCAAACAATGCCACCAAACCGTTCACACGCCTTCCCCCGCTATCTGATCCTGAACGCCAATTGTTGCATGACAACGATGGGTGCTTTAAGTGCCGTGAACCGTTCGCAGGACACTCATCTACCAATTGCACGAAAGGTTTCCCTGACGGCGCCACCTACAAAACGTTGACTTCGGCAATGATCTTAGCCAAAAAGAATCGCAAAGAGGGTAACGTCGTCGCCTGTGTAAACACCAACGACAATACACACTCAATCGCTGTTGTTATGCCGTCCGCTGTCTTAGGAAGCGGTTCTGATTCAGCAGACGAGTGCGTCGCCCCGCTAGAAACTGCTCATCTTCGTTGGGAGTGTCTACTTGATGGACCTGCCGTTTCTACTCCCTTACATGTGTCCGCACTTATTGACCATGGTTCTTCTCTAGTTCTGATTGGTGAAGAAACCGTACACAAACTCGGACTACGCCGTCGGAAACTACCAAAGCCGCTGTCCATCTCTCTCGCCGTCGCAAAGAACAACCAGTCTCTCACTCTGTCGCACTACGTCAAATTATCGTGTACTTCTATTGACCAAGCATATACCTCGCGCTCCGTACGCGCCGTTATCACTCCAAACCTGTGTACTCCCCTATTACTCGGAGGACCCTTCCTCGAGCATAATCGAATCATCGTTGATCATGAGCTACGTACCTGTGTCAATAAAGATACTAACTATGATTTGCTCCACCCACATACAGCGGCACCTGACGTGCCACGCAAACGATTGTCCCCCGAGGGCCCTAAACTTTTTTGGATGAAACAGGACGTAGTTTGCGAACTGAAGAACGTCTTACCAGAACTAAAGAGCATCGTGGACTCCGAGTGCGAGACGGTCAAGGAATTTGACGTGGTAGCTGCTGTTCAATCACGCATTAACGAACTCACATACCAAGAGAGTCTAACCGTGCTCGATGCAAAACTAAAGGACGAATTTAGTTGCAGATTCCCAGCGGACATCCCTCACAACAACACTATGCCCGAAGATGTGTTATTTCGCATTAATCTCCGCGATGCTAACAAAATTGTTCAGGCACGATCTTACGATTGTCCAAAAAAATATCGAGATGCATGGAAGACTCTACTGGATTCGCATCTCGAAAGCGGACGCCTCCGTCCTTCCGAAAGCGAATGGTCTTCGCCATCCTTCATCATCCCCAAACCTGATCCAACTGTACTGCCTCGTTGGGTCAACGACTTCCGTCGTTTGAACCTTAACACGATCCCCGATAACCATCCACTACCTCATATAGACGAAATATTAAAAGACTGCGCTAAGGGTAAATTTTTCGGAAAAATTGACATGACTAATGCCTTTTTTCAAACTCGTGTTCATCCCGATGACATGAAGTACCTAGCAGTTCACACCCCGTTCGGAAAGTATGAGTGGACTGTCATGCCTATGGGGGTGAGGAATGCACCCGCGGTGCATCAGCGACGGATGACTTCCGCTCTATGCCATTTGATTGGTAAAATCTGTCATGTTTATCTTGACGATATTATAATATGGTCCCAGACTCTTGCCGAACATGAAGCTAATGTTCATCTTGTTTTACAGGCGCTTAAAATGCGCACTTATACTGCTCTCCGAAGAAGATGTCCTGGTTCAATACGGAGATCGATTTTCTAGGACACCATATCTCAAGTCGTGGTATCGAAGTGGACAATTCGAAAGTCGCTCGTGTATTGGACTGGCCGCAGCCTCGAAAAGCATCAGACGTTCGATCCTTCCTGGGAATGGTAAGGTACTTATCTGACCATTTACCACAAGTCGCGAGGTACACCCGGGTTTTAACCGCCTTAACTACAAAGGCCGCCGAATTGCGTTTCCCTCCATGGAATCCGGAGCACAAGGCGGCATTCACGGCAATCAAAATGCTCGTAACCAGTCCAGAATGCCTCACTACAATCAACCACGACGACCCTGGGAATAACAAGATATTCCTTACATGCGATGCCTCTGATTTCGCCACTGGCGCATTACTATCTTACGGTGAGACTCGTGAAGGTGCAAGACCTGTTGCCTTCGACTCCACACAGCTAAAGGGACCGGAACTCAATTATCCGGTCCACGAGAAAGAACTATTAGCTATCATCCGAGCACTCAAGAAATGGCGAACCGATCTCTTGGGTACGCACATTAATGTATATACTGATCACCGTACCTTGCAGAACTTCGTGACCCAACGAGACCTATCACGGCGTCAGGCTCGTTGGGCCGAATATATGTCTCAATACGACTTAGACATCAACTACATTAAGGGTGAGGACAACGGCGCAGCAGACGCCTTATCAAGACGGACCGACACCACTTCTGAACCCCAGCTAACCGCTGCTATCCTATCCATTGGAACGGACACGAAGATTCGTGATCGTATCTTACATGGGTACGTTTCCGATCCCTGGTGCAAGAAGCTGAAAGACCTCGTAGGTTCATTACCGGGTCTTACACAATCCGACGATGGCCTCTTCTTCGTGTCTGGTCGCTTGGTGATTCCACGAGTGGACGACTTACGAGAAGCCCTCTTTCACGCCGCCCATGATGCAGCGGGACACTTCGGTTCCGACAAGTCGTATGCCCTACTCAGATCATCATATTACTGGCCAAATATGAGAAAGGACCTCGTCGATGCCTACATACCATCGTGTACTCAATGTATGCGAAACAAGTCGAAGACCACAGCGACCGCTGGACCTTTGCACCCGCTTCCAGTTCCGGACACAAGAGGCGATTCGGTCGCAATCGACTTCATCAGCCCCTTGCCTGACGACGCTGGTTTCAACATGCTCATTTCCATGACGGACAGGCTAAATGCTGATGTCCGTCTCGTGCCCTGCAAGGCCAATATCACCGCCGAACACTTCGCATCACTCTTCTTCGACAACTGGTATTGCGAGAACGGCCTGCCCACGGAAATAGTGTCCGACAGGGATAAGCTATTTCTCTCAAAGTTTTGGCGTGCGCTTCATAAACTGACGGGAATTAAATTAAAGATGTCCTCCGCTTACCATCCTGAAACCGATGGCGCAAGTGAACGGACAAACAAAACCGTGAATCAGTGTCTTCGTTATTATGTTGACAGGAACCACAAAGGCTGGGTGAAGGCTCTCCCTCGCGTACATTTTCACATCATGAACACGTTGAACGCAAGTACTGGGTTTTCTCCCTTTCAGTTGCACCTTGGTCGTTCTCCGCGCATGCTACCCCCGCTTACAAAACAGGTTGCTACGCCTGATGAACCCGAAGAACAACGCGCCTTATCATTGCTCTCTCAACTTTCGCAAAACGTGATGGAAGCACAGGACAATCTTCTCGCAGCCAAAGCTGCTCAAGCTACAAGCTGCAACAAATCACGCGCACAGCCGCTAATCCTTCAAACGGGAGATCGTGTTATGCTAGCGACGAAGAACCGCAGACAGGATTACATGAAGAAAGGAGATGATCGAGTCGCCAAGTTCATGCCGCGTTATGACGGCCCATACACCATTATCGACGCGCACCCGGCAACATCTACTTACACTCTCGACTTGCCGAATTCCCCCAACATCTTTCCCACTTTCCACTCTAGTCAACTTCGTGTCTACAACGCCAACGATCCCGCTCTCTTCCCGTCCCGAGAACAACCGCGACCTGGACCAGTCGTAACCGCAGAGGGACAACACGAAAACTTCATCGACCGCATCATTGACGAGCGACGAGTGGGACGCGGCAAACAATATCTCATCCGCTGGGTTGGTTTTGACGAAGCTGATGACGAATGGCTGCCGAGCAGAGATCTGGAAGATTGTGAAGCGCTGGACCACTGGGAAAGGGATAAGGAAGCTTCAAAAAGATAGAGGGAAGGGGTGTAAGCATGGGCTTACATCATGACGCAACAACTCATCATATGACGCAAGATGACGTAGGCGTTTTCTGTTGCTCATCGCATGACCCGCTATGATTGGACACCGCTATACATTACTGATCCCTATATATAGGCCCTAGAGTTATACCTGTAGACCAGCCTCCTACCGTCTCAAGAATCTTACGCTCTTCCTCGTTGCTGTTTGGCTGCTTAGTGTTTTCTGTCAAACATGACGGCTTTCCAAAAAGATGTCAATTGTCACTTTTCACACATATGTGGTTTTACTTGTCATTCAGTCAGCCCTTGATGGATCTTTCTAAATCTTCAAATCTATTATCAGGGGCATATATAGGACATATCCCAGGTCTTTGATTACTTATCACAGGCTTGATTACTATGTAGGCTTCTTATCAGTAGAAAAAGCCCCTGTACATCATATATCACATTTGCACCCTATGTAGGGCTGATCCTTGGCACAAAACATATTTGTGAATGTACTACTGATCATATATGAACAGGTTGTATTATTTATGCAAGAGTAAGATACTGAAAACATCAAAAGTGTCAAAAATGCGATTTTCTATGTTTTTGTTCCTGTAGCAGGATCCTATGTGTGTCCTGGGCCAGCTATATGATAGACTTACCTCAAATATACATAGGAATAGACCCCCTACCTCAATTGAGGTCCGGTCCTACAGGAAAAATTTTCACAGGGGGTAAACCACCAGGAGAGGGGGGGCACACCATACAACAGGGAATTATCCTATGGTCCTGGGCTCCTGATACATTGTTCCTATTGTTAAATAGATGCTGGGAATCATTTTTACAAGGCTGTTCACCTAGAAATAATCAAATGAGAACATATTCTGTGTTTTCTTGCATATGTGCTATATCTATTGATGTAGGACACTTCAGGGGGTGAAATAAAGATGGGAATCTACTCATATATGCTCATAAATATGTTCTGAATGTCCTGGAACACCCCCCTATCAAAGGGGCAAAAATGCGAAAATGTTCTGTACCCTACCCTGTTTGAAAAAGGCCCTGGAGGATGAGCAGGCACACAAATTGACAAAAAAAGCGGTTTATTAGATAATATTATACATGTATATACCAAACTACTACTTAGATACAAGGGAGGACCTATTGTGGTGTAGTGGTGAAGCTGCAGTGAGGTGGGGAGGGTGTGGGAATAATTATAATTATGTGGTATACCATATTGGGATGATGTTTTGGGTGTTGTGGGGTAATTCCCACAGTAGGTGGCTAAAAATGCGAAAATGCGGAGTGTGGGAATAATGTGGGGAGGCCTGACATGAGGAGGTGACCAAAACAGGATGTGTTTTGTGAATTTCCGCTTTTGGAGGCCAAAATTGCGGAATAAAACATACCAAAACATCTGACAAATGTGGAAAACACATTTGTGACTGAAAACATAGCTGAGTTTCAAAAATCCAAAAAATGCGGCTGTGAAAGCCAAAACACCCAGCAAAATAGGGCCTGACAAATGCCATGGATTAGGTCAAATTGCGCTGCTGGTAATTGCCGTCAAAAGTGTCTATGGCAAAACTGGTAGTTCCCATTTTACTTGGTCTAATACTACAACCAGGGGTGCAGCTACAGCTGAATGGGCCAACTCTATGATTTCAGCGGTTTGCTGTACCTTATTCAAGGAGGACACCTCTGGATTAAGGTGCATTTTATATAATTCATTCTGGAGAGTCGTGCTCAACCCAAACCAGAACTTAACTACCTTCTCTCTTTCAGGTACATCCCCAATCATCATCCATAGTTCATTCACCTCGGACAGGTAATCCCTTACTCTCTTATCGCCCTGGTAGCAGCAGTACAGTTTTTTTTCCGCTGCCTCAAACGATAGTCGAGTGGGAAGCAATAGTTGAACAACTCAGTAAGAAACTCACTTAGTCTCCATTCTTCCGGTTTATCTGACACCTGCCTCGTATAGAACTCGTGTGCTTTGCCCTTCAAGTACCTGGCCAGTACACGCACCTGTTTGGACCTGGAAACATTGCTGTCCTCCAGGTACGCTTTCCCTTCAGTCATGAACCGATGAAACACTCTAGAATCGGCTGTCCCGTCGTATTCCGTGGGCGGGACCAGTTTCAAGGTATTTCTTCCCTTCCTTGTCGTTTTCCCTTTCTTCTTCTTACTATGCTTTTTAGATTTAGCTTTTCTCACGTACGAACTCGAGTCACTGCTAGTGGAGGATTCGGATGACGAATCCGATGAGGAACTTGACTCGTCCGAGCTGGACGAGCTCAAGGATGCATTTTCGGAGGAGTCGTCCTCCCGTAAGGTGTGTCTCCTCCTTCCTTCCTTGATCTTATCAAACGCCCTGCCAAGATAGCTCTTTCGAGCTATCTGAGCTGCTGCATCCACCGCTGGCGGCGTGGCTCGATTGTCACGCTTTCTGGTGGGTCTATTCACTATGTTCTCCACCATTTCCTTAACCTGGTTGGTGCTCACCCTTACTTTCTTAGATTTCTTATCCTTTGGGACTTCAGGGTTCACCCTGTTGTCCCGCCTTTGACATTCCAACTCGTCTTGGAGGGCTTGCAACCGAGCCTCAAAATGTTGGCTCACCCGTTCCTCCACGGCTCTCACCGCTGCCTGGATCGCGTTCTCAGTCCCGATTTCTGGATCAGGGCCTGGGTCATTGGCAGGCTGGGGTTCAGGTCCCTGGTCTGCCCACTCGCGGGTCTGAGCCCAGGTGTGCAATGCCTCATATTGCACATCCATATCGAGCTCAGATTCCTCAATGTCAAGGTCGCCCCAATTCCTTGGGTCGACCCCTTTTCCCTTGGATGGTCCCTCGCCCCGGGTTGAAGGAGGAAGCTCTTGGGACCGAGCCTTCTCCTCAGCACGTCTCCTGTTGAGGATACGGCTCCTTTCTTCCTCAGTGAGTTGCTTTTCAGCTTCTATTACTGGGTCTGGTTCTATTAGCTGAGTGTTCTTTCTAGATTTATCAGCCTTCATGCGAGGACGACGATCTACTGTCGTCCATGGCTCGTTTCCCCTTGCTGACTCATTCTCAGATTCGCTGGATGTCAGGAAGGGGTTCTCAGATGGTCGGTCGGTAGGTTTTACTGCCAATGTCTTATCACGGTGACTAACCATAGCGCTATTAACACTAGCCGAACGCCCTCCAGTGCCAGGCTGGGGGGAGACGGACCTCGTTCGTACCACGTCGCTATAGGAGCGGACAGGTCTGAGAATGGACTCCACCCGAGAGACAGATCTCTCAGTTGGAGGTGGTATCGGGGAGTGGTGAGTTTGTTCCTCAGTTAGGGGGGACTCAGCTAAACTTCCAGGAATGGTAGGCTCGACGCTGACAACAGCAGAGTGTTGGGATCGAAGATTGTAATGTGCAGACATGGTATGTTTTCGTCGTTTGGTACTGTCTGGTGGGCCTAACCGTTGGTTCCAGTGACAAGGGGTTATTATAAAAGAGTTTTGAAAACAAGGTAAGAGACTTCTGGATGTTAAAAAAGATGTGACATTGACGATTTAGCACTAAGGCTCGATGACAACGGCACAAGGCAGAAGAGTGCTCGGGTTGAATAACAGGGTAAAAGTCTCTGATTCAAGGGTCCAGAAAACACTGCTCTCCCTAGCTACACGTATCTACTATTTAATGTAGTCTACTAGGTGGCAATGCAGCCCCTCGGGGAATGTAGGGATGAACGCAAGAGATAGGGTAAACGGTACTGACTCAGGGTAAGTAAAAAGGTCAAGACGCAAGGCAACGAAGTAAGTAGAGTGAAACACTAGGAATGGGCGCTTCAACAGCACCCGTTACAGCGAACTTTGACCTATTTAACAAAGTAGTCAGCGACTCGTGCTACATACACGAGCTGCCTACAGAGATTGCTCTCCACATATCATATCATCCTTCTCTGATTACAATATCTCTGCAATGCCCGGCTCGTGTCTATGGAATGACAATACCCGTTCACCCCATCCTGAATCGTTTCGATCAACAGGCTCATGTAGACGATTACGCTCACTGCGAATATGATCACAGCTACATCATCTTCAATCGCCACGACAACAGCAAAGAAGTATGGCGCTACACCTGCGACTTCTGGGACTTTGAGATGCCAGAGGACTTCAAACCTGACGAATCCATGATTAAAGTGTCACAAGAAGCCGCTCAGTGTTTTGCCTCCCCTACAAATCATGGTCATTTCAGACCGTGCATCACAAAAATTGCTCAAGTCAGTCATTACCCGATTTAGACTGCCTTGCGCCACAACAAGCAACCAAACAATTCTGTGTGATGTCAGCAACACATCAACATGATATTGGAACACCCTCGAGTATCTCAGGATGACACACACCCCCTCACCACACTGCCATACTGACAATGAGTCGATAGTCCTTGTATCTACATGATACATATTAGACACAACAATGTATTGACAGTATCCTAGAGATATGTAAATAAATAAAAAGTCAACTTCAAACATGTGCAGCACTATGTGTAAGCTCGTTGGTACTGGTGTGCTGGGTAAGCTGTTTAATGAGCAGAGTCCAGAAGGGTCCAGAAATCAAAGAACACGACTAATGATTAAGATTAAGATCAAAGTGCACCATAGCCTTCCTCGGCGAGAACATCGTCATTGAGTTCCTCGCCCTCATCAGCCACAACTCGATCCTCGTCATCCGGATCATTCTCACCATCCGGATCATCATCCTCATATATCCTCAACATCTTCTTCTGAATCATCCCCGATATCAATATCTGCCTCGTCGGCCTCTTCTGCTTCTTCCGCTCTGTGTCCTTCATGCTGAAGAAAATCGTTCCAGTCCCGCATAGCCTTGTGACCGATTCCACCACTCTGGTATCTCACAAACATATCCCAATCAACGAATCTATTAGTCATTTAGTTAGAATTAAAATAGTGACAATAAATAAAATAAAATGAGTGTGCACATATTCAAATAGTAGAACAGGCTGTCAGAATTCAGATCATCGGGATCAATAGGATATGCAAACCCTGGAATTAAGTGCACCCCACGAATAACAGTGTCCGGGTCCAAAAATCTGTATCCATCAGGGCTGTCTTTGTCGAAGAACTCCAGGCGGTGGAGTCATTTTGCAGCCCAACCTGCACGTGAACTATCCCGTCGGAACCAACGGACAAGTAGGAAGTCCATCCGTGTTGGGCGTGAGTATAGTCCAGTGTCGTTCCGTAAAATACTATGTTGAAATAGTTTGTTGTCGGTGATCAGGACTGATGCGCAATCGGCATCAGAGAAGTTGTGCTCATCTCCATCGTATGTAATACCACAAATTCGAGTGAGCAAATGGTCCTTGAGACGTGGAATGAAGTCCTAAGAAATTAATGAGTATGGTTAAATTTATCAGAAAATAACTGCACCTCGACAGCAGGGTCATCTTGATGCTCACTTAACCAGACTGTAAGATCATCCGTTGCTCGAGCATATTTGGCTATTGAGTGGTGATCGGAGGGAGACATTCGGACATGCCGAGCTCTTGGGTTCTGCTGATGTGCTGCATGTGCAGTGATCACCTTCTCGACGAAATGTTCTAGAGCCTCCTGAGATGCAATGCTAGCGATCATCTGATTCTTCTTTTTGGATGTGCAGGGGTATCGACACTTAGATCTGCGATGTTCTAGTTCTCCCTATGGCAAATTAGATATCAGATAACCCAATTAAAAAAAACTTACCGGCTGTGTGGAATAATTATCTGTAGTACCCATTCTCCGGATCGTATTAGGGTAATCAGCGAGTGCATGGTATTTGTATGTATATAGATTTAATTTCTTGACCTTGGTACTTACAACTGACTTTTCTTTTTGTGCTGACTGCCTTGTAGCAGGTTCCGCCAGTTGTTTTGATGCTAGAGCCGCCTGACGATGACTACGGGCGGCATGCTCCTGTGGTAGTTCAGTTGTCACATATTTCTTGCAAGTAGTGCACGCGAACTTGCGGACTGATCGGGAAAGGACGATCGTTGCTGAGTCGAAAAAGGCAAGTGTGTCGTCAGTATGTAGATGTAGTTTAGTGTATGCGTGCCAAGTCGCGAGATCAAACAGGAGATCGAGGATGATTCTGTTGTGTTTGCGGGGGAGAAGTCCTTCAAAGACCGGAATAGCGCACTGATATTAATAGTTTAACATTGATCGCATCATTGATCACATCAATGATGTGATCCATGATGTGATCAAATGTAGTTAATATGAATCTTACCTGAAGAAGGTCTTCAAAATCTCGGGCAGCAAGTTGCTTCATGGCCGACGCATTCGTGTGGAAGCGTCTTATTGCTCCTCGTCCAAAAGTGGGCACTCTGCGATACCTATTATAAGCACATGTGATTAGTTACCTGCGTGAAAATAATGACACTCATACCTCCAATTGAGTTCCTGGATAGCTGTCCCCGGCGGCAAAAAGAATACGCATGAGATGCATAAAAATAGCCTTCCAGACTCCGAGCTCGAATTCGTGTAGAAGATCGACAACAAAAATTAAAAACAACTTGAACGCAAAGTCAGCAAGGCGCTCAGAGAAGGTGTTCTTAAACAACATTAATTTAAAATGAAATGATAGTGTTGATCGATCACTTACTCAAGTAGGAACAAGTGACTCCTCCTGCAAAAAGTTCTTGACATATTGGCTGTTGATACCGGTACCTTTCTGAAATATATGGGCCCGAGCTTGCTCAACACGATCACGACGGGATGCGCTATCGATCCGTTGATTTGTCTTGCACCGCTTCATATCAAGCTTTGTTCCCATCTTAGGAACATCAGCTTTCTTGATCAGGCTACAAGGACACGGACATTTGCTGAGAAATTTGATGCATGCAAGCAAGATTCTGTTTAATAATAGAATTAAGATCAGATACTGAGCAATTGATATGAAAACCTTACTTTTCAGGATAGTCTGCGGAATAACTAAAGAAACGAGGGAATACATGTCTTGTGATGCCATCTCCACATCAAATGACAACACCATACTTATAAGCGTGCATAAACTTATCATCGAGCAAAAGCGCCCAGATAGCTTGCATCAACTTGCGCTTACAATGAGTGTAGGTATCATTTGAAGAGGCCTCGCCAAATATACTGATGTAGATATCTTGAAAATTATCTGGAAGCTAAGATAATAATGTTAATGATCAATTTCAAATAGTGATCTTCTGAGAAGCGACTTACAGTAGGAATATAGGCTACATGATGACATGCGGACGCTGTTGGTTTGCCTCGTGTATATTTGGACTGATTCCCGAAAAGCAAATAGACGGGCCAGAGAGAAGCATCCCCGAAACTTGCGAGATGAGTCACATCTGATCACATCATGAGCGATGCAACAACACGCTCAAGATCGTCATCGGGATCACGAGGAAGTGAGTTGATCTCTTCATGAGCTTCCAGGAATGCGGGGGAAGAATAGGCCTCGCCGTAAACATTGACAGTGTGCCCATCTGACACGTTCCATAGCTGCTGGAAGGGCGTCATGTGGAAGGTGGATGCAACAGAATCCTCGAAGACAGAAGTGATGATATCAGTGATGGAGCGGTGATAAACACCCAGGATCTCCATTTCTGGTGCTTCGTCTTCTGATCAATACTTCTCCTTTTCTTTCGGTAGGCGGATATTAACTGAGGAGCAGTGCCAGCCGTTTTCGATACGGAATGGATTTGACTTATCCTTAAGATAATCCCCGAGAAGCCTCTTCTCACGTACATCATCGTAATCTCAAGCGTCTTCCCTCCTGTAGTTGTCATCGTCGAGAAAAGTCCTACCAAGACGTTTCATCTCAGCACTGGACTTAGAGTTGATACCGGAGTACTGCCAGCAAAAGAGAAGCCCCGCAGTTGGATACTGAATGCAGAGAAGATATCATCGGGTTGGATATCCTGGGAGGGAAGTCCAGGAACGATGTGTGATCGATCAAAATCAGGGTTGCCCTGCATTTCGAAGGTAGGAGCATTAGCAATCGCATCTAGGCTTTGATCTCGGTGCAGGATCAGGGTGGGACGTTGCGCATATATGCAGAAAAGGCCCAACTCATCTGGTGCTGTCTGGTAAGGGATGAGTGCATGAATATCAGCAGGGGGGGTTCCTCATCAGGTGAGTTGGGAATGGGTGCTGGAGGAGATGGCGCAGCGGGCTGGCCACGTGCCTGACGCGAAGTAGGGGGCATATGTGCTAAGTGGGTTGCCGTCCCCAGGACATAATCCGTATACCACGCTGGCATTCAAATTTGTAGACCGGAGCGCGCAGAGACAGTAGCAGATGTCCCGTGTCCTGCAACTTGAACACAAGAAGGTCCCGGCACATTATTTTCAACCTATTGAGGATCAGCACATCATGATGAACCTGAAAATATTATACTCTTACCTCATGATCGATGTCCGGCCATCCGTTGTCAACATCCGTCTGCTGATCAGGATTAGGTGAGTTGTGAGCAGGAGGTGTCCATTCTCGGGGTGTCGGCGACCGAGATTCTTCCCGACGTCTTCTCCGTTTGTGATTCCTGCGCTTCTCCTTTTCAAGGCGGCGCTGACTTCTGTAGATATCAGTATCTAGAGATTTGTTAGCGGGGCATTGAGCTTCATGACTGCTCAAGTGTTTCTGGGTAGCAAAGGATTTTGCGCAACCCAAACAACTAAGATCGTCCATACAAGACGAACTCAAAGGACGGAGGGTGGTGGAGCTCAAGTTTGACTCGGACATGGACAGGGCAATGTAGTATATATATTGCACAGCGTAGATATCGATCTAGCTATGCAGTATGAACGTGGTGTACCTGAAAATACGAAGCTCTATGCAGGTAATTAGCATACCAGAATGCGGAAAGAAGAATGTAGTGAACGCACCTGCTAACAATACTAATCCTCAGGGCTCCTCCATACTGTAAACCTGCAACTCCAATACCTAAACTTGCCTCATGACCCTTGCCTCATGTCACACTGCCGGAAGACAACCGTGTGCATCAAATCACCCTGCAAAGTCACAGAAAGTCCAAGAGCAGAAAATGGCATGCATCAAATTACCTTGATATAATGGATCCAGTCATGGGCCAAGGTCTCTGAGGATGTTCTGCGAGGATCAGCATTCAGAGAATTGCTTGTTGAAGCACGATAGTAGCGGATATTGTATGTATTGGCAGAGGATAACAGGACTTGTCATAAGTTTGTTGATCGAACATATTGATCACGTGATTAATAATCACATGCGGAAATTACTATCAAGTACGCAACTCTATCACATATCATTATCTCATACCCCTACCATCATCCTCATGGCACATAAGAAGCGTTCCAGATCAGCCTCCGTCTCCTCTCAATCTTCCATATCGTCCAATGGCAGAACTAGCTCACTGATTTCTTCCGAAGATTCTCGCACTCCTAGTCTGCCAAGAAAGCACAGCAAGAAACATGTCCGCTTAAACACCGACAAGGATGTTTCAAAATCAAAGTAAGTTTGATCCTATCTATCGCAACTATACCACTTATGAGTGATAGGAAATCGAAGAAATCTAAGGGCCCATTCGGCAACCTTCCATTTCGTTTCGTTTGGTCCATTTCCGTTTGTTTTGAAGTCCGGCAACATTTGGCGCTGCTCAGCCACTGCAGACATTGAATCAACCCCAAGCGCATTGTGCAGTGCTGTATATTGAATCTTTCATATCCTATTAACTATTGAGAAATCATTTTCACCACCAAATTCAATCAGTCATATCTACTGAGACCCACCTGGGGCTGATTCCTGAAACTTTACTCAGTACTTGGTCTGCATTTGCCCACAATTTCAGGCCCTCCACATTCCTTCTCAACATTCTGTCAGACCAACCTATGCAGCCAATCATTACTCCTGCAAGCCATGGACTTCAATCCAAGCTGACAGCCAATGCTGCAACTTCGTCCTCGACACCGATGGATGACGAGTGGGAGAAACGGGAGTACGCTGACTCGGAGTAGATTACAGTCAATCAGGTCAAATTCACCTGCAAATTAGCGCTAATTAGCATCAAAAAGCTCGAGGGCCGTGTTAATTTGCCTGTCAAGCAGACCCCATACCCTAATTCCTACACTACATAAATACATATATACGAGGTTACGAGGTTTAGAAAACATAAAGGATTAGAAGTGCTGAGAGCTATACAGCGGTTTGGGCAAGGGTTGGTTCAATGTCCGCAGTGGCTGAGCGGCGCCAAATGTTGCCGGACTTCAAAACGAACGGAAACAGAGCAAACGAAACGAAACGGAAGGTTGCCGAACAGGCCCTAAGGCGCACAAGGGAGATCCCCATGAGGAGTACCTGGCAGCTGCACGTGGCATTGCACGTTGCGTCAACTTATTTTGCAAGGTCGACAAGCTCATCAAGATTGGCTGTCTACTTCAGCAAGAGGAGGCCGCGGAGAAGGGAGAGCTTGATGAATCTGAGGCCGATCAGGAAACCCGCAAAAAGAGACTCTCTGCTATGTAAGTTCAATCTGATCGAAAATTCTTGAACTAAATTTGTATTCAGGTCATTAAAGACTCGTGATCGATACACACGGAACTATCAGCAGCTACTCCACTTAGCTCCGAGCATCCGATCTCTTATTAACGATCACACCAAAGCCAGGGAACTGAGCAAAGTGACTCATAAGGTGAGTATATGCTGCTTATATGCACATATATTGTTTACTTAGACTTATCATAGATGAATTCGGTCATCAGTGCGACACGTTCAGACGATGCAGCTCGTTTGAAGTCGCAAATTGGACACTATGCGGCACCAATTCCATCTGATGGCGGTTTAAAACCCGCTATCTACAATGGTAACCCCTCGCGATCGCATTTGGGTGTGAACCACCCTGTATTAGCATCCTTTCTTTGTCCTGTTTCACAGCTCACAGAATTCACGCGAGATCCAGCTGAGTACATATCATTTTATATAGTGCGTGCATGCTGAGATTCACATTTCGCAGAGGCCAGAAAAAACTTGCCAGTGGAGGAATCCTCATGACTGCCAATGACTTCCCCGCATTCCTCTGGTCTGGAAATCCCCCTGGATGTGACTATGATGACGAGGCTATGACTGAAGGCCTATTCCAGGGCTATCTTATCGAACACGTAAGTTTTTCTCAAGTATGGCTATCAATCTCACCAAGAACCTGTCCAGGTATTGCATCATATATTTACAGGCCCATCAACTGCCTTAGGTCAAGATTCGCGGGCTACACGCACTTGCAATGCCGCACTACATGATATGACAAATGTCGAAGCGGAGCATATCGCTTACACTTGTGTACAAGTAAGTCCTGTTTGATTCACAAACAACATTCTTTCTCAATTTTCAATTTTCAGGCACATTTCGGAATCAGCGCGCAGAATAAGTGGTCGGACATCAACAGCAAGTTCAAATACCTGGAGTTTTATTACAACATTATCAACTTTATTCGTGATTGTGGAGATACCGACTGGGTGCAAGAACTAAAGAAGTGGTGGAATGTGTACGTGTTTTTTTTAATCATTTGACTATCCTGACAATCTTGTTTCTGTAAGGACGCTCTTCAAGAATGAGGATGGCAGAGAAGGTGGATCAGAAGGTAACAATCATGGAAGGAGTTCCTCGGGTTCCATGGATAGCCTGGCGAGAATGCGAGCACAGGTTGCCGCGCGCTCTACCACTGCTAAATCCTCTGCAGCCCCTGAGGTCCCTGTTCCTCCGCCGCCGCCTGCTCATCCAATTACTACTCCTCCTCCAAGTTCTCCAGCTCTGACCTCTGCTGAACCTCCTATCACTTCTCCACTTCCGCCTGCCATTGCTCGTCGTCTATCAGCTGCAAAAATGGCCTCCAGTTCACACAAGTCACCTGTGTTAAGTGACTTAACGGACGATGATGACACACTCGATGACATCACCAATGGAACATCGAAACAACCGCCAGCCGCCAAAACTCACTCAAAGAGCAAGGGTAAGGGTAAGCAAAGGCACATCGAGGATTCAGAAGATGAGGAAGATCAGCGGAAAGTAAAACGTGCAAAGAGAACATGCAGGAGGTAGATGGGTGAATATTTTTGTTGCATGGTACGTTCCTGTCGTCTTATTGGCCTAGTACTCATATCTTATTACAGGACTCCTTCACTTTTCCTTACCACTCAGCATTCGTACTTTCACGCTTTCTCTATGGTTCTCTGTTCAAGTGTTTCGTTTTCTCTTCACGATGCATGCCTTACTTCCGGCTCCCGCCCGATAGATGAGTGGACTCATTGCATTGACTCGTGTTTTGTACATTACAGTGTATTACAAGTTCTTGTTGCTTCATATAGATTGATAATACATCGCATTGCATGAATATATCGGAGTGATACACAATATCTGAACTATCTACGTGATGAACAATTTCTGAACTATCTACACGATGAACAAAGTCGCAAGCTGAAGTATGACGTAGACGCATATGTTGATCGAACTTCGCGTTCCCTAGGATGGCAATACATACTGAGCCCGGCAGCCGATATATCCGACGGTATTGATACCGCAGACATGACCATACACAGTCATGTTTGGGCTGAGTAATTTTTGTGATGTGGGCCCTCCTCCAGATGCCCGAGTTCACCTGTGCGTTTCGCTTGTCATACCCAATGCTGCTTTCGGCCAGCGCAAATAACACTTATTTGCGAGACGTGCCGTCTTCCCGTCTTGTTGAAACGATTGGTAACATACAAGCACCGAATCAAGGCGGGACACTAGGACGCCTCAACTATGTTGAAGTCAACGACCAATACGCTTTCTTCTGCGGGTCCATTCAACTACGTGCTTTTGCAAGGGGCGGTGGGGCCTTGGTCTATCACTTGGGCATGAAAGATTTGCCGTGCACCTACTGGGACGTGCTTCCAGATAGCGACGATGTCCCGTGCGCTTCTTCGCTCTTCCAGCCCCAACTACTTCACGAAGCATATCACGTCTCTTCTACATGCCAGAGCAACTGCGTTGCTGGTAAGTCATACACGTCGATCTACATAATCTACTCACTGTGTGTGCAGCCCATGTATCTTCCTCGGGCAAGGACATGGACCGCATCCGGGATCTTCATCTGGATGCCCAGCTTCAAATACCTCATCCATTACGAGGCCGCTCTCAACAACACAGCAACCCTCCTCAACTTTAATCTCTCTTGACGACAACGTCCGAGACATCTCCGTCTATCTAGCTCACGGAGAATCAAATGAAAAAGCAGCAATTGCAACCGTAAGTGTCCCCTCCCACATCTAGGCTTCTCATTTCTAAGCCCATCGCAGCGCAAGGATCTGTTTATCGTGTCCCTAGGCCCCGAAATCAGCAAGCTCACTGCGGAGACCCCGCCTCGCCCTGGCCTATCCGTCTGCCGTGTCGCGAAATACGACCACAGCCGACACCTATCCTTCATCTCATGTCTGCAGATGACGCACACTGGGCTCTTTTTCAACTGGTACCCGTCTTCAGAGCAAAACAGGCCTTCTCAGCCTGCACGGCACATGGTGATGATCCCGCCTCAGCCTCAGCAGGCAAATCAGATCCGTGTGCCTGTTCAGCTTGTGCCAGCTCAAGGCGTGGAAGGGCAGAGTGACTTTTTGCCCGGGCTGGAGCCTGTTGAGTCTAGTGATGATGATGAGCCGGGTGAAGGTGCAGTTTTGATCCGCCTTCTCCCACTAACGCCGAGCAAGCTGGCCCGCCCTCACTGGTTGAAACGCACGAAGAGGACGAGGACGAGGGGAACGATTGGGAGGGAGGGGATCTCGTAGTGGATGAAGACGTCGATGATTTTGAGATGGAGGAAGTGGAGGATGGGATGATCGATGATTTTCAGTTCGGTGGTGATGGTGAGCGCTTGTTGTGGCGAGGAGTTCTTGATCTGATGCTTGATTTGTCTTCCTTTTCTTTCTTTTGGTGTAGGTTTTATGCAGGTCATCGTGAATGATTGGTTCCTTCCTATCAACTCGAGCATGGTGCATTGCATACATGTTTGATTTGTTGCTTTGTCAGAATTTGCTAGCGATTGTATTTTTACAGGATGCAAGGTACATCACACGAATGACATTGATCTCCGGTGATGCAAAACAGCGAATTTCTTCGTTACATGATCGATAAGCCGCTGGCAGGTATATATCTAACCGCACACATGCAGAAACATTCACCATTGCACCATATTGTCTCGAGATCTTGATGATTTGGCTCGCTCGTACCCTGAGTGGTCCATACATGAACCAATGATACAACTTGTTCATTCTTACGCACAAATCACCAGTGCATATTATGTAGAAGGGGTCACGTTTTGTTCTAAGGCAACAGGCTGGAGAATACAAGTCGGAATTATACATGTACATATTGGGGATCCGGAAGGTACTTATACAGTGTCAAACTTTGAAATAACGAAAAGCCACGGCTGGATGCTACACACGATAGCGTCAGAAGGTATCAAGAAAGCGGTGATTAACAAGGTGGGGGACGTACGAAATTGATCATATGCCAATATGCATGAACACTATGCGCTGCTCCAATGGCATGTCCTTGTCACTGGCCAACGACTGGACCGCTCGGTGCAGTGCTCGTGCAGCCCGCTTGGAATTCATTGTTCCATCTCCGCACAAGTTCTTGTAGAATGCCTCGACTAAGCGCTGCACCGTACTGTCGTTGACACTCCATAATGTCCCAATCACACTCTGCACACCAGCAAATTGTAGGCTAGCCGCCAGGTGTATGACTTCGTCAGGCGTATTTACATCACCGACTGCGGTTTCACAGGCAGAAAGAAAGGCAAATTCATGCCGAGACAGATCCGTTTGCGCGATATCGAGGAGTGAAAGCGGTTGGTCGAGCATGAGAAAGGCCGAATTGAAGGGTTCTGTGTAGTTCTGTGTCCCGTGACACGAAAAATGAAGCCAGGTATTGTCTCGCAATGCATCCAACGCTCTCGATTTCGTTGCCTCAGCGCTCGTTATTTTGGTGAAGGAAACAGTCGGAGGAGGGGGCAAAAGACTCCGCACCAATTCTAGTTCGGGCTCCACACACTCCAAAGTGAATGGATGACCAGCTGGGTGATTCTGACCGATGGCAGCAAAGGGCACCGACAGGGATCTGTCGTGACTTCTGCGAGCCCTGATCAGCGCGGTAAGTGATGGCGTATATGAAGAGATATAAAGGTTCGAAAGCAACTGTCCACCATGCCTGTACGCGCCAGCAGCGTGCAACGGCAAAAAATTGAAGAAAGACGTCGGACACCACCATATCCGGGAACCTCGTGGTGCAAATCCGTCCAGATTGTCTACCACCGGGCTGACAACGTCGTCCCATAACTCCATCAAAGCTTTCATCAGCGCTGATTGGGTCCGTTTTGGAGAGGGCTTGGAAGTGGCTTCGGGAGTGGGTTTGGGAGCGGCCTGTGGTTGACTGGCCCGTTGGAATTTGACCACCAAATGTTGGAGTTTCTCCAAATTGATGCAGAGTTTAATGTTGATCGGAGGTTGGTTGTGTGGAACAATAATGGCATTGCAAGACAACCTGCTTGCAGCGAGCACGATGATAGGCCCATCACGAGCTGCATTTTGAAGATCTGAGAACAAGGGGGGAAGTAGGAAGCGAGAGAAGCCCTCGATCTTGCGAATATCTTCTACAACTCTATTCCAGTCCTCCAATAGACGTCGGTACCGGCTTGCTTCTGCTTCTGCATTGACTCCTGGGGTTCCCTCTGCACGATTGGCAGGAGGTGCATCAAGGAGGGAGCTGAAGTGTCTGAATTTCTTCATCAGGGACACTGCATGATCACCGAGATCTTGGAGGCCGTCAAGAGGCGTGCGGAGTCGTGTCATCTGGGTCCAGATAACAGTCCTGCCTTGTTCTAACAACTCGACAGCGCGACACACATCACCACTACGAAGCGCACATGATGCAGCATCCACGGCAAGTGTACTTGGAAAGTTCTTCATGGCATCATGACGAGACGATACTGAAGCTGTCGCGGACATGTAAGTGTCGAGAAGCTGCATGGAAGTCGCATAAGCCTCCAGTTGAGTAGCATGTGAATGTTCGTGGGCCTTGTCAACCCAGCGTAGACTTGCTCGCAGGCGAGATAGCAAACCTCCAGAGACAACATTTGCTGCTGCCTTGAGATGATGCATGGCAGCAGCCAAACTGTCAATGTGTTCACCAGTGCCGTCAAGTCCCGATTGATGGAACAACATATAGACGTTAGCTAGCGATCCATGGACCATTAATAGACGAGGATCATGTTGCGTCAAGAGAGTCAATGCACAGCAGAGATTCTCTTGTGACTCGTGGATGTCTTCTCGATCGCGTCGGTGCTCGAAGCGGGTAGAGAGTAATATCCCAAGGTTATTTAATGACGAGGACCGATCTGGGTGACCGACTGGACGCAAAGCCAGCGCGTTCCTGTGAAGCATGACACCGTCATCCAAGTCTTGGTCATTGCCTCGGTGCTCGAAGCGGGTGGAGAGAACATTCGCAAGGTTACTTAATGACCTGGACCGATCTGGGTGACCGACTGGACGTAAAGCCAGCGTGTCCCTGTGAAGCATGACAGCGTCATCCAAATCTTGGTCATTGCCTCGGTGCTTGAAGCGGGTGGAGAGAACATTCGCAAGGTTATTTAATGACCTGGACCGATCTGGGTGACCGACTGGATGTAAAGCCAGCGCATCCCTGAGAAGCATGACAGTGTCATCCAAGTCTTGGTCATTGCCTCGGTGCTCGAAGCGGGTGGAGAGCACAGTCGCAAGGTTATTTAATGACGAGGACCGATCTGGGTGACCGACTGGACGTAAAGCCAGCGCATCCCTGTGAAGCATGACAGCCTCATCCAAGTCTTGGTCATTGCCTCGGTGCTCGAAGCGGGTGGAGAGCACAGTCGCAAGGTTATTTAATGACCCGGACCGATCTGGGTAACCGACTGGACATAAAGCCAGCGCGTCCCTGTGAAGCATGACAGCCTCATCCAAGTCTTGGTCATTGCCTCGGTGCTCGAAGCGGGTGGAGAGCACAGCCGCAAGGTTATTTAATGACCCAAACCGATCTGGGTGACCGACTGCATCTAAAGCCAGCGCATCCCTGTGAAGCATGACAGCCTCATCCAAGTCTTGGTCATTGCCTCGGTGCTCGAAGCGGGTGGAGAGCACAGTCGCAAGGTTATTTAATGACATGGACCGATCTGGGTGACCGACTGGACGTGAAGCCAGCGCGTCCCTGTGAAGCATGACAGCCTCATCCAAGTCTTGGTCATTGCCTCGGTGCTCGAAGAGGGTGGAGAGAACATTCGCAAGGTTATTTGCTGACATGGACCGATCTGGGTGACCGACTGGATGTAAAGTCAGCGCATCCCTGTGAAGCATGACAGCGTCATCCAAGTCTTGCTCATTGCCTCGGTGCTCAAAGCGGGTGGAGAGCACAGTCCCAAGGTTATTTACTGACATGAACCGATCTGGGTGACCGACTGGACGTAAAGCCAGCGCATCCCTGTGAAGCATCACTGCGTCATCCAAGTCTTGGTCATTTCCTCGGTGCTTGAAGCGGGTTCTGAGCACATTCGCAAGGTTATTTAATAACGAGGATCGATTTGGGTGACCGACTGGACTTAAAGCCAGCGCATCCCCAAGACGCGTTATGGCCTCGTCCAAGTCTTGGCTATTGCCTTGACGACGATAGCGAGTGTTCAGCATTGCGCCTAGATTGCCTAGCAATTGCCCTCGGTCATCATGCATAGTGTTGTAGCATCGCAGGGCATCGTAATGAAGGGAGATCACTTCATCCAATTCATGGGGGTCATCTCTCTGCAAACACCGCTCTGCACGATGAGCGAGCTGATTTGGCGATAACAGAAGCATGGATGCAGCGGGCTGCATGTGCCCAACATTGTGTCCATCCATGCCTCCAGCTCGATGTAGAGCAAATGTATCGATTGCAAGCAAAGCTGCTCTGTAAATGTGGCTGTTGGCATGGCAAACCTCGAGGACTTCGCTCAGTAACTCTTTGGCCAAATCAGCATCTGGTTGAAATCCCCGTTTCGCAAAGCGAGACAGTAGAGAAATGGCAAGATGGAGCTGGGTCGTGGGTCGGTCAGGATGACCAGTAGGACGCAAAGCAAGGGCGTCTTGAAAAAGAGAGATGGGCATGTCGAGGTCTAGGTATGTTCCATTTACTTGGCAATTAACAAACTTCGCGGAAGCTAGATTGAATAGTGCTGCAGGGCAGCATGGATGATCTATGGCGCAGAGATCAGACGCACGTTCAAGGTGCGTCATGGATTGGTCGAGATCCGTAGTGTTCCGCGTCCTTCGGAATCGTGCAAGAAGACGATGTCCGGCATCCGTCATCTGTACTAACGCGTGCATGCCGTCGGACGTAAGCTACACATTACAAGCTCTCAGCATCAGCATATCAGACTGGCATTGATCACTCACGGTGGTAAGCGATTCAAGAACTGCAGCATCATTTTCATCAGATCGTCGCTGCTCCACTGTCATGAACAGCGAAGTACACGGGGATACGACTTCCTCCTCCTTGGGCTGGAAAACTATGGCTGTGATACCCGTCAACATCTGTCAGGCGTAACTTGCAACAGACATTACTGACGACATGACTTTTCACTGCGATCCAATAATTCACCCACGGACATCTCGAATGTGCGAAGGACTTCTCCATGACCGAGCATGGGACCTAATTCAAATGAGGCATACACGCTGACCCGAACGAGAGAAGATGGTTCACATGGCCTAGAGTCTTTCTCAACACCTGCAGGAAAGAAGGGATCAAGGGCAGCTTACAGAAGTATGGGCTTGTTCCATTCGACAACAGCCTGGTCTACGTGCACAGGCTTGTTGCTTGTTTGGAATTCAATATCGTGAGTCTTTACTACCACATGGAAGCCAGCGGGAATCCGTTGGAGACCAAGAGTCAGATCAGTTGCGCGAATGGCTTGGGAGAAGCCGTCAATCCATGCGGAACTGAGTTTGATATCACGTACCAGTAACGACGATCTGTTGCACTCCACTGAGGTGTGCCTCTCCCTGGTCTTGGGGGTGGTCTGGGTAGCTTGCCTCCTCACTCAAGGCTGGGAGGGAATCTTCGAGTGGGTCTGGCACGGTGTCTGTGGCGAAACGAAATAGCAGAGTAATGACGAAATAAAGTGTTACAAGAATGGCTTTGGGAAATCATCGGTATGTGCTGAATGAAAATAGATGGTACATACTATTGACGGCGAATTGTAGCATTTCACCGATCGCGAGGTTCGTCTCGGAGTTCTGGGGGCGTGCTGGGTGACTCGGCTCCTCCAAGGGTGGAGGGCAATCATCAAGAGGATGAGGAACGAAGTTTGACATGTGGCTGAGGGATGCAAAATAGCACTTGAGAGTAAGATGTGTACTAGAGGTCACGGAAAACTGCAGTGCTCGCAAATGCCTGACGGATTATAAAGGAAGAGACCATAGCATGCGCGCAGCATCCACACTGCGCTGCGATGTGCAGAGCTGAGGTCAACGGGACAGAAGCAGCTCGCAGCGCATTGAATTGCCTATAGATTCATTAATGAGCGTTAGATTTGTACAGCAGAGGTGTGTTGTAGGTGCGCCATTTATTGACGCAGCCAACATGAGGAGGCTGTGAGGCTCAAGAACAGCACAGTATTCCAGGCTTTCGAATATTGCGAAGCACGGCATGAATATCACCGCCCTCAGGCCTCAGCCCCATCCCACTGCTGTCAGACAGTGTGTCACGCGAGAAGACAGGAGCTGACAAAAACTCACTTTCTGCCATCCGGGCAGCAGTCGCAACACTTTGCCTAGACAGACAACGGTACACTGTTCTGGGCTGAGGGCTTATGACGGAATGGGACAAAGTCCTGCTCGGGTCCTGATGGGTCGAGGCTTCCACTTGCACGAGAAACGGGATATTGATTGACCATTGTACATGGAAGAATGTGATACTAGTTGTCACAATTCATTGTAATGGACGTTGCAGGGATGGTGTGAATGATCGAGTGAGGTTGGTTGAGAATAAGCGTAGTAGGCTTTGAAGTGGTTAATCAATATGGTCACAGCCAACAGTTAGCATCAGATCCGACGAGACTAAAAAGCGAGGTGTGCGTGTTTGCATGGATGGAATATGTCACACATTCAAATAACATTATGGTCCGGGCTGCATGACATCAGTGAACCGATGAACATATTAAAATGTCATAGTATACTATATATTCATAACAATCAAGCCAATTCCCATAAATGTGGCAGTGGGGTTTGCATGTAATTATTTGATCTTACGTGGGAACGATGCATTTTCATGCCAGCCAAGCAAGTTCTCCTGTGCTCGACGCACCGTCTTCTGCTTAGATCATCCTCCAAACGAATATATGAACGCAGGCCAATAAAGTAAAATGCGAGTCTGTAAGTGTCAGAGCGACACAAAAAGTTGCCACCGAATATTCATGCAAGGTTTTTCCGTCTCGCCACAATTCTGTAAATCAACATGCCTGGTGCGAGAGGTTGGTGTTAATATGCGACTGGATAATGAGAAAAAGCGAGGTTCACGTTCGACAATATGTTCACTTGGTAAGATACAGGGCACTTCACTCCGAAGCGGTAGGCACTTGCCTAGGCTGACTGAGATTTCCATCATATAATGACGCCCAGTCCTGTAATTGGCTCAGAACACACCCATCATCGAAGCATTGTATCAATGATGCGTTTGCGACGCTGCTCACAAGATTACAGCCCCCATACGCTACCGCAGGTTCTAAATAATGTAGCTTGTGACAGCCAAATGTCACAGTCATGAGGTGGATGATTATTCCCAGTGAAAACGAGCAAAATAGAGGTTGATATAAATCAAATGAGATGGGTACAATAAAATATAAAACGAAGAACATTGATGTATATCGATACAAACAATCCTACACTCCGAAAATAAAATCAGTTTTACATTTCTGCACTGCTGCAGCCCTCACATTCCTGCATTTTTGCACGAACAAACACAAATCCTACATTTTCTGCAGTGTACGTGCACAGGTCCAGGTATTTTGCACGACTCTGGAAATATTCACTGCACACTCGGCCATATGCATTCTACACTGCACTTGTACACTAGTACTTCGACCCAATATTGACAATAGTTCTTTCGACACCCCACGGACAGTTACTAAATATATCGGAGTTTGAAAGACTTGTCAGTGGATACAAGTTCAAGTTCTCGACACAGCGACCATCCACAACACCCCTTTCTTCCCGCCATCATTACACCACATCCGATTGGGCAGTCTTTGGGTGCGGTGACATCTTCGCCAATTGATTTGTCTACTATCATCCTTGGCGGTGGAGCTGCAACTCTTGGTTCAACTGGGCGAGCACCTGGATCTAGGCAGGGCTCCCCTGCCATAATGAGCACGACGCGCTCAGTGCCAACATTCTCTCTCGCTTGTCATCCAGCCAGTACAGCAATGTTTCCATGGGTTTCGAACAATACCGTGTCGAAGACCCTTATGGGTTGAACAATCGTGGACAGCGATCGGCTTGGACAGTGGTCGGCTTAATATGCTCCTCGTCGAAGGCATTTGCCTGCGGTCATTCTCACATCGGTCCCCAAATGCACGGTCTTCAGGCGTGTTTGATCGACGGATATGTCTTGCAAGGTACCTCTCCTCATAGCGCGAGCCTGACACCCCCTCATACCAACACCACTGGCTATACGGACATTGCTGGATATGCTAACGTGAGCCCTTTTGGCACGGTCGGTGTTGCCGCGACATTGAATCAGAGCTACGGCTATGGCATGTAGAGCAGGTACATTGATTGGTGCGTTTTTTCTTCTACTATTAGTATACACGAGCTAACTACCTTCTTCTACAGCTGGTTACGAACGAGTTCACTGGATCAGACGGAGACGAGTAGCGGATGGCGGGCGTGAGCTGGGTGGACGGCGCTAGTAGGGTGCTGGGTTTTTTTTCGTCATTTTTTCGCTCTGCATCAACGTATATCACTATATAGATACCTATCATCCAATTCATGTGTTTCATTGTCTATCGATGTGATTCAATTGCGAATGTAAAAACTACCTGGAACGAAATCGAATGCGTATCAATCTGTAAATATTACTCGTTCGATCTCTATCAATAAAATCGATAAAAGTCTCATTTTTCATGATAGACATTGATTCGTATCGAACTACCAATTTCTATCAACATCTATCAACACACATCCATCTCTATCTTGCTTATTTTCACTGGGGATTATTCGTAAGCTGGTTGATCTACACTGCCGTATTGGACGGGAAATTGCCAGCCTGCCACATCTAGCAGGATATTGCAGCCTTGCTCAGCCCTCGACTTAGTATTGTAAAAGTCAATTATCCTTCATGTAGGAAGGAATCTGGACACTCTACCTCAAGGTGTTCAATTAGTGAGTGGAGGAACTAGGTAGGTGTTTCGCACATCAAAATACATACCCGACAAAATGTGCCACACTGACACCGGTACTTACTTCGCGCAAGCCTGACACTGCTACTTACTTCGTACAAAACGTACAATATTAGCCCGTTTCAAAGATAGGGCAAGCGCCAAGTCCAAAGCCCTAAACTACCGAATTTATGTCCGTTCTAAACACGACCGGAAAATTTTTCTGCCAGGCAACATGGCAGCAATCCATACGAAGACGCATGGGTCTAGAATGACCTTCGCAGAGCATGCGGGTTCATTCTCATGAAGTGTGTCCCGCGTTTGATTTAGCAAATTATATCATGCTTATCCCCAGAGGAGTGGTTTTATTCGTTAACTCTACTATCCGCTCACGTCCATTTAATATACCAGTGTCTACCACAGTTATATCACGTACCCAGCTCATGAAAAGTGTCCCGTGTTTGATTTAGCAAATTATACTATGCTTATTCCCAGAGGAGTGGTTTTATTCGTTAACTCTACTATCCGCTCACGTCCATTTAATATACCAGTGTCTACCACAGTTATATCACGTACCCAGTGCGCCCCTCATGTTTAGGGTCCTCGATTGATTCTCTTTGGTTGGAGACTGCGGGTGAACAACTTTCCATGGGTGATCCACACACAGGCAATATGAGCCCCTTCAGTGACAAATCCCGTACTATACGGGTCACCCGACCTACATAATATCCCGTGTAATACGGGCCAGCGGATCATGGGCCGATGATATGTATATTCCCGATGCTGATGGGTGGGCCGGGAGGAATATTATTTCCGATGGAGACGGGTGGGCCCATGTATGCTGATGTTATATATATCATTGACAATGGTGGATGGGCCGGGAAAAATATTATTATGGAGATGGGTGGGCCCATGTGGGTAATATGTAGAGTAGGATTGACATATATTATAGACCTGAGGAGAGATGTATAGCAAATATTATTATATAAATGGGTGGGCCGACGTATTAGTATTATTTTGTAGACGGATGGGCCGAGGGAGCAGTGGAATATTTATTACATAGACGGGTGGGCCGACGTAGGGAAATATTAGATAGACGGGTGGGCCGATGTCAGGTATTTTAATTTGATGGGTGGGCCGACGTGGGGTATTACTAGGTAGACGGGTGGGCCGAGGGTGAGGCGAATTATGTATTACATAGACGGGTGGGCCGAAGTAGGGAAATATTAGATAGACGGGTGGGCCGATGTCAGGTGTTTTGGTTTGATGGGTGGGCCGACGTGGGGTATTACTAGGTAGACGGGTGGGCCGAGGGTGAGGCGAATTATGTATTACATAGACGGGTGGGCCGAAGTAGGGAAATATTAGATAGACGGGTGGGCCGATGTCAGGTGTTTTGGTTTGATGGGTGGGCCGACGTGGGGTATTACTAGGTAGACGGGTGGGCCGAGGGTGAGGCGAATTATGTATTACATAGACGGGTGGGCCGAGGGTGGGGTGAAATATTTATTATATAGACGGATGGGCCGATATGGGTTAATATTAGATAGACGGGTGGGCCGAGGGTGAGGTGAATTATTTATGAGATAGATGGGTGGGCCGACATAGGGAAATATTAGATAGACGGGTGGGCCATGTTCGCGAGTCGCGACCTGCTAACAAGTTCGGGTGTCGTTTTTCCCCCCCATAACAGCCCACCAGAAATTCCGAGATGGAGAACAAAGAGAAATTTGATAAATACCTCATCCAAACACTGGAGCAACTGGTCGGGGCGAAAACAGAAGCTACCACCCTGAGCAAGAGAGTCACCACACTACAAGATGCAACAAATGAATGCGACCAGTTGAGTGCATTGAAGGAAGAAGGGGTATATTAGATAGACAGGTGGGCCGAGGGCGAGGTGAAATATTTATTATATAGAAGGGTGGGCCGACGTGGGTTAATATTAGACAGACAGGTGGGCCCAGATATGAATCATATAGACAGATAGGCCTAGGTATTGGTATACTATATCCACAAAAGCACTGAACGAGAACCACAGAGCTGCCTCATTTTGACTCAGACTCAGTGACGAGTGATACAGTCACGTTTCGCCACAGTGCTCATGAATTGAAACATCTTGGTCGAGTAGATAGATACAAGAAAGCCTGAATAAGCCATATCTGACATTCACCAAGTACCGAGACCCGAGACACGAGACCCGGTGCTCGGTACTCGGTACTCGGTACTCGGTGAAATGTGTACAGACAAATATCAGATGAGACACACTATATAATGTGACAATTTATGTCTGTACACACTCTGTGTATCATGTTACATTTTTGTCTGTACACATTTCACCGAGTACCGAGTACCGAGTACCGAGCACCGGGTCTCGGGTCTCGGGTGTCGATACTCGACACGAAACAAACATCTCGAATCTTGAATCTCAACACTCGAAACTCGTATATGATACACATTTTGCTCTGAGATTTGTATTTCTGTTAAGATTGGAGTTTCGAGTTTTGTGTCATGTCGAGTACTGAGACCCGACGCCCGACGCCCGACGCCCGAGACCCGAGACCCAGTACTCAGTACTCGGTGACATGTGTACAGACAGAAATGTAACGTGATACACAGTGCTTACAGACATAAAACTATAACATGATACACAGAGTGTCTACAGACATAAACATGTAACATGATACAGTCTGTACAGAGATAAAAATATAACATGAAACATAGGAGTACCGAGTACCGGGTGTCGGGTGTCGGGTGTCGGGTGTCGGTACTTGGTACACGGTACTCGGTGAAATGTGTACAGAAAAATGTTACATGATAGAGTGTATAATATAACATTTTTGTCTGTACACATTTCACCGAGTACCGTGTACCGTGTACCGAGTACCGACATCCGACACCCGACACCCGACACCCGGTACTCGGTACTCCTATGTTTCATGTTATATTTTTATCTCTGTACAGACTGTATCATGTTACATGTTTATGTCTGTAGACACTCCACATTTCACCGAGTACTGTGTACTGGGTACCAACACCCGACACCCAACACCCGATTTTTATCTCTGTACAGACTGTATCATGTTACATTTTTATGTCTGTAGACACTGTGTATCATGTTATATGTTTGTCTGTAAGCACTGTGTGTCATGTTACATTTTTCTTTACACATTTCACCGAGTACTGTGTACCGAGTACCGACACCCGACACCCGACACCCGACACCCGACACCCGGTATACGGTACTCCTATGTTTCATGTTACATTTTTATGTCTGTACAGACTGTATCATGTTACATTGCTCTGTACACATTTCACCGAGTACTGTGTACTGGGTACCAACACCCGACACCCGACACCCGATTTTTA